GTGTTTTTGAGGATACAATGCTCTAAAATGTCTTAAAGCTCACAAGAGTCCATTTGAAATAATATAATGTAATATTTAACTACATAGACCGGGGTCATGACTTCAGAATGATATCAAATGAGCTACAAACAAGAAGTGTAATAAAAAATAACCTTTATCGTCATCTTTGGGAATTAATGGAGAAACATTTAATATAAAACCCCGCTGGGATACGTGGTCACTTTTGCCGTAGTCGTAGCATTAAATCGTCCACGGTCTGTGAGTAATCCTGAGATCTTAACGCCAAGGCTATTTACTCATTTCTCAACGGTGAGAAATTGAACTCCGCTGCTTTCTCTATGCATCATCCATCAGGGGAAAAGGGCCCATTCGTCATAAAGGTTTGACAGTTTAGTGGTCGCGCGAAATCCTAAAGCACGCGAGAGGCTGCCAATGTACACAGAAACATTATATTTGATTTAAAACGCAATTTCAATGTCCGCTCATTCAAGGAAAATCTGAAGGGAGTATACGCATTACACAGAGGCTAATTCATTGTCTCTGTACACTTTTGGTAACGCTGTCTTTGTAACTTTTTAACTGATGCACCGTCACCAGCTTGTTTACATGGAGATGTCACTACTCGGTTCAGAATGTCCCGCAGTATGCCATTAAACAGCTCTACCTTACATTTATTCAATTGCAGGTGGTTTTATAGCTCAAAAATACCTTTTAAAACAACATTCTGACTGTGAAACATTCCAGGCAAAGCAATAATGTCCCCGTGTAGAAAAGTATTTGACGGACGCTCCACCAAAAAAGTTACACAATGCACCAAAGAATAGACTCAATGCCAATTCTGATACCATATTATATGTCTGTGTGTTCTTATACTTGTTCTGATACAGCTCAGGATCATTCTAAAGCAGAACTGGCCATTGTACACAGCAAAAAGTGGAGTGTTAAAATTGACTCACACGGAATAAATTTTAACATTTTCTGGATGAAGTTCCTGATTAACTCTGAAATCAAACATTATATTAATGTTTTGAAAGTAAACAGATAACACTTTGTAGGGTTATCCTGATTTAGCTAAACAACACACAGAGGTGTTTTATTATTACACTTTATTTTAGTGAATTTAACATACTAGTAGTAACTACGCATTGTAAAATGTAAATTAAAGTACACTGTAAAAAAAAAAACACATTCAGTGCATGTAAAAACTTTATTTTCTCTAAAACATTATAAAAGATGAAATTATGTACAAAACTGATTCAAAAAATGTGGTAGCTTGGAGGTGCCAAATTAACTCTAAGGGAAGTTGAATGAATTAACTTCAACCATATCAACTATAATCCCATCTCGAACCCCCCATTTCATTTTCAAACAGTTAAAATAACACTTTTTGTGTTAAAAACAACTTATAAATATTTTACCCTGAAATTTTAATCCTCCAGTTTTTGCTGTGTCCAGCTCCAGGGCCACATATAGCCCTTTGGTTGACTCTGACTGGCCCCTTTAAGATCATCTGGAATTACAAAATAAACATATTTTATAATCTGACATCATGGATGCACTAAAGCTGCTTTGCTGTATTTTAGAGATTTTATGACATTTTTTGTAAGACAGTCTCACTTTGCTCATTGCTTAGTCATAACATAAACTCTTACCAGTCTGACCAGTGTGTCAAAACAATGCTGTTTATAAAGAAATACAATTCATATTATACAGAATTGAGTTAAGCATTTTGGCCCGACCCTCCACAGGATTTTCTGTTTCTCATGTGGCCCCATGGAAAAGTTAATTGCCCACCCCTGATACAACTTTAAGGTTTTTTGGTTTTTTTTTAGAAATAGAAGAAATGGGCAAAAAAGTTGAGCAAGTTTGACAAGTTCTGATGACTATAGATAACTGCATCTCCAAAAGCCTTTCCTTCCCCGAATGTCTTAAGAATCTAAAGAAAGGCTCATTTCTATCTTGGGAATGGGTGAATAAGGATTAATACTTGTGAAAAATGAGGACCTAGTTTTGATACTAAATTTAGTATCGATTAGTCTCTGATTTGAGATACTTTTGACAGTCCTAGTCTCATTTTCTATACCAGTTTAATGCTGTACTACATAACTTTCCTGGTCGAGGGTCTGCCATTTGTTGATCTTTGTGGGAATGTTAATGCTTTGCCAGAAACTTTCCACAATACTGCATTACTTTTATCGATATTTATGGAAACAAGCAGGTGATGCAACAAATCCAATTGCAGGTCAGATCTGTGGAGAGGCAATCCCACTCACAGTGAGAATGCATGTTTCTCAGAGTATTTTGTGAACAATAAAAACACCTGTAATTTGGTAACGTGTTCCACAGACTCAGAGAACGTGCCATAGTTTGTACATGTGATCAGTTCTGTTGGTAACATGTTTAACAGCTCGGAGAACGTGCCGTAGTTTGTCCATGTGATCAGTTCTGTTGGTAACATGTTTAACAGCTCGGAGAACGTGCCGTAGTTTGTACATGTGATCAGTTCTGCTGTTAACATGTTCCACTGACAGACGGCTGCACATGAAAAGGCTGAGTTTCCATATTCTGTCCTGCGGTTCGGGATCCTGCACTCACTGCTCACATTCACCACGCAAGTTGCCTTCTTATATCCTCTTCTTATATCTTCTTGTTTTGCAGCTTTGAGGCTCGTCCCACATTTCACATTTCATTCATCCACATTATATACAATAAACACATATAAAAAACACAACTACAAATAAAGTGTTACTGTGCTCCAGTGCAGAATGGTTTGTTCCATAAACAATTAGTTAAATTCATCCATCACACTTGGCTAAAATCACAATAAATATTAAATATATTAAAAAACACACGATTTTCCAAGACAAACGTACTAAAATTGATAGATAAATAGATTAAAATCTATTCATAAGTACAATAGCAGCTGGAAGGGAGCTCCTTTTAAAATGATTCATTCTAGCTCTTGAGACTAAAAGCCTCTGACCACCTGAAACTCTGAATTTAGTGGTTGTTGTCTTTTAAATCCTTTGGGACGTCCTCCGTAAGTGTCTTGAGTACAGAGAGTCTAGACTGCTCTGAGGATGAACAATCACCTCACTCACCCATTTAACCAACTGATTCAGGGAGTTCTTGTTTTTAGCTGAAATGCTCCCAAACCATGAGACCAATGAAAACATTAAAACTGATTCCATAAACATTTTATAGAACAGTGTCATCATTGTTCTGTCTATCTATCTGGAGGTAAATGAACACCCTAGCATTTAGATTTTGTTCATTTTATTTTTATTTATAACTTTATAACATGTCCTCTGTCATGGACACCAGGGACATTTTGGTGTTAAATCCATGTGAAGTTAACAACCTAAAACTTTTTTGATGACCAACATCTCTGAAAAGCTTCTAGTCGCCTTTTAATTTCTTTTTTTTTTTTTTTTTTACTTTTACTAGATTTTGTTTTCTTTGCTGCTGTATAGTACTTTTACAGCACAGTAGTACAAAATGCAGAACTTCATCCATCACTGGTTTAGTTTATTTTAAAACTGCTACTGCACAATTTGGGCATTTTGTTTTTCCAGTGTTTTCGAGTCAGTCAGAAGTTAGACATACACATTCGCAAACACATCATTTTCACCCCATAACACGCTTAATGCTTTTTACAGAAGCTAGGTCAACAGAACCAGCTCGTTCTTATCCCATCATGGATTATTTTCTTCTCTGAGTCAAAAGCCGTTTTAGGAACAATAAGTTACACACGTCCTGCAGTTTGTATTTCCATTGATAAACCTGTAATTTGAGGTCTTAGTATTCTTGTGGTGTCTTGTATTCAACTTTTACTGACCAAACTGTGGCTTGTAAAATGTGCAGTGCCAGTTCTGGGAATGTATATCGAGTTTCAATAATAATAGTAGGCTAAAGATTACAGTGGTTTCATTATTTTATACTTAACAGTGTTTTGTGGTTGCCAAGGGATCACTGCTACTATATTTATAACATTTAAAGCCAATTTAAATCTGTTATAGTAAAAATGGTTCATTGACATTTTGGCTATTGACCTTAAAGCTACAGTAAGTAACTTTGTGAATGATTCCATTTAAAAGGAAAGTTAGAACTATACATCAACACTGTATGGAGATGGATACACTTTATGCCATATTGTGGAAGATTATAGCCAAAGAAACAACATTTCCACAGAAACAAGCAGGAAGAGGCCCTCCAGGTCAAATAAGAGTCAGGTTTGTGGAGATGCAAGCCCACTCACAGTAAGGACGAATGTTTTTAGTGCAATAAACACAAGCAACATTTTAAAAACATGCTTTCATTTTAGTTACATACTATGGCTTTAGGTAATTCAACTTAAATGTTCTTATTTTAGGTCAACAACAACAAATTTAGCAATAGGCATTTGGGGAACGCTGTAACAATTTTTGGTAGGCTTGTGACTTTTTTTTAAATATAACACCTTTTGAATACATAAAAGTATGAACTGTCTGTACAGCGAAGAAAAAAATATCAGCTATAATGTTTTAACTTAAGATATTAATTTAAATATTTTGTTTGTTTGTTTTGTTTTTGTTTTTAGAAAGTGTATATGAATGACGTGTATATTTTAGTAAGATTAAGTCCATAAACTACAACTAATCGTAGTAGACAAACAAATCCAATCCAAGGTTGTGTTGTCTCCTGCGAACGAGACAAGAGCCCCCTCGTGTGGCAGCTTTGGTAACATGCAACTGACGTCATCCCAGTTTCATTTAGAATCAACAGGCCAAATGTTTGAATATGAGCAAATGTGGACTATTTCTAAACTGAATGTCTTATATACATGCAAATACAATTATATTTTAATTTTAAGTCAAAGCAGTCATCAAATACATTAAAATTAAATGGGACAAAGGGGGATTTTAAAGGGAGTATCTGTTTTATTGCAGGGCTCACACCGGCGGAGGTAGTGTTCGTGTCCTCGCCCTTCCCCGCCCGCTCGGACCGCGCCGTGGAGCAAACCGAAGCCACAGTCCGTCACTGCGCCATCTCAGTGCAGGAGACCGCAGCTCTGTTTGCGCTCAAAGGACGATCTATCTCACTATTTGAACCATTTTACAGAAACGACACATTTTGCTCTTAAAGGTCGTGGTGAGTATTTTGTCCGCAGACATTTTTACATTTTTCCTTCCTTTTTCTTTTCTTTTTGGATTTTTTTCAGCGATGCTTTTTCTATTTTGGACAGGAATGTGCGGGCTAGCGGGGCTAGCTCACCTCACACAGAACACACCGTGTTGTTTTTAGCCTTGCTGCTGATGGATTCATTTTAGCGCCGATTCCCGCATTTTTCCAAGTCCATATTGGTTTGTTTTTGTAGGATTCATTGTGAAGACTTTTCTCAGAGAGACTGCTAATGTTTTGGCACGCTTTCCAGCCCGTCACGTTAGCGGCTAACAGCTTTGTGCTAGTGGCAGATCCGCCATGATGGTTCTGTTTGACACACGCAGATTTGCAGGTTTTGGTTTTTGCATCAGAGGAACTGGTCAGAGTGCGGTCATTTTTGTGCTTTTCATTGTGTGTTGGCTAACATTAGCCATGCTAGCCCGAGGCCAAGGGCCCGTGTCACACTGCAGCCTGCAGGGGGCGCTGTTGTGGATGGTTTAGGTAATTGCCCTCTAATCTCTCTTTTCATTTTCTGGATCCTGCTCCTGTCAGGGGCTTTTTGTGGAGTAGATTTTTGTGTTTTTTAAAGGAAGTGCATTTTCAGATTTTGAAGTTTTGGATCAATTCTGACGCAGTTTGTTTGTGACCAGAATAAATGTGCACACGTCAAACACAGATGAACACACGCATGTGTAAGGGCCTGCGGCTCTCTGTTTAACAGTACAACATCAGTACTAATCACCTCACAGCCCCTCACAACACACCTGTTCACACAAAATAACAAACAACATTTGTTTTACAGACACACTGTTTCTCTCCCACACATCAGTGTCACCCCCTCCACCTCTTTCCTCTTTTACTCTGCAGTGTACATTTGACCAAGTGCTAGTTTGTCTGAATCAGCGTAAACATGCATTTCTATCTCTGCTGTTTTCCCCATGAACCAGCATCCCTCCACTTTCCTCTTCAGATAGAATTTAATAATAATTGAAGTCCCATTGAAATAATGTGATATAATGCCACAGAATCACTGAACCCAGATCAGGTTTCAATACATTATAAATAACATTGCACATGAACCACATGACAGTTTTAATCAGTACATTATGATCCAAGGTCTAAGCCCTGCTATAAATACTATCTGCATAATATACTGCAGTCAAATCAGAATCACATTTTTGAGCTGGTACAATTTATCAAAGTCACAAAGACTGCAATTATTTAGATAATACAAAGTTCCCTGCAAAGAACAAAATATCCTGTTGTGATAGAAAATCTGTATCTGTAGTTTAGGCCTCTACGAACATGTTCTGAAATGCAAGGGGTTCTTGTATTAGTTTGCCAGTTCAGAGTTCAGTCTTCTCTCAGATGTTAATGCTTCTGGAGATGTTTACAGTGTGCACTCTGAACAAGATCCTAGTTTTTTATTTTATCACTGAAATCTTAGAAATTACTTAAACTTATAACAGAAAAATCACATTACATTTATTTCCAATATTTGTCAGCCCTTAGAAATGCTTTATAAAACTTTTATTGTCCCCTTCATTTAGGCATCATTAGACACACCCATAGCTCCCCCTAGTGGTCCTGTAGTGAGTAGCATGTATTGGGGAAGGTATTTCCATATGTTGGAGTTGACTGGGGTATGTTTTCTGTCACCTCAGTAAAATCGAAGCGCATTGAAGGTCCACGGCACAGCTCCACACAGACGCAGGCTTCAGACGACCCCCTGCGATATCATGGAGTGAGTGCCACGGTTCCCTCCCTGTCCACTGGGGGGCACTGTTTTACATGTTTCACTGACGCTCTGGGCTTATTGTGGGGCTGCTGTTTATAACGATGTAATGTAAAAGTGGTGTTTCAGTGGTGTTGGGGGCTTAAGAATCGCCTGTATCTAATCTAACTGCAATAACATTATCAGTTAAATGAATGACATGTACAGAAGAGATGGCTGCAGTTATGGCTGGGTACTATTAAAAAAAATTGAGGCACTACTGATTAGTGTACAAAACTCAATTTCAGTACTAAAGGATAAACACATTTTTCGATGCCTAAATTATAGTTTAAACTCTATTTTTCAGAAAGTATTGTAATTTTTAACACAAAATAATAGTCTTTGTTCATAATACCATGTGGTTTTACACTAGCACTTCTGAGAAAACTCATTGAGAAAGTTCTCATTTTGTCCAGTATGATTTTTTTTCCCCAGTAAAAAATAAAGTTTCAGATAACCTCATTTAGAACCCTGCATTAGGTTTTAGCATCCAAAAGATGATTTAGGAAGAAATTTGGACGAAAAATATGTTTTAGAGGTTGCTCAAGCTGCATGAAGTTTCCTGGAAATTGACTCATTTTGTTTTCAAGCAACTTTTATGGATTTTCTAAGTAATGTTTATGCAAGTTTCAGCTTGTGTTTGCAGAATAAAATGACAGATTATTCACATTATTTGTTTTCCTATGTTATAGTATAGGCTCTATAGGGCAATTTTCAAGTGTCTTGAGCAAAATCTAAATATTTATTAATTTGCATAAAACAATCAGATATGGAACCAAATGCAGGGTTCTAATCTAGAGAATTTTTGGACCACCATAGTAAGTAAGTAAGTGTAGCTTTGATTAGTATCTGCTTTTTGATATTTTTGACAAAGAATCAAGTGCCAGGGATAGTGTCAGGCAGTTGGTTTCCCATGATTCTTAGTAACAAGGTGTCTGGATAAAAAGGAGAGCCTGTCAGTAGCTTCTGTTGTAGCATTTTCTCATGTAATAACTTTGTATAATGAACAGATTGTACTTAAATTTTTCTGATTTAGCAGCTTTTACCACACAATACATGACATAAAAAGCGTTTATTGTAACAATAATACATTTAAATCAGGTACAGGACTTTTGACAGAGAAATAGGTTTTTTAAAAAGTACCATGCACGTATACTGAAAACCAGATATGATTCAAGTACTAGTACATGCAAACTATTGAAAGATACCCAGCCCGATCTGCAGCCCATCATATTTTTTTATTGGTTTAAAACTAATGTAACTAGTGGAGCTCAACAGTGACCTCCCATCTCCTCATTCTAGAAGTAAATTTTCTGTTAATTTTTCCCAGAGACTTTTAGAAATAAATCAAAAATAAAGGTTTGAAAGGTTGCTTAGGGTTAATCAGCTCTGTGGTAACTAATGACATATAATTTCATTCAGTTAGTGTTTTAAATGTACTTTTTGGAGGCGTTATGGATATTAGTTGCCCCATAGCTGCTTACCCTCCTCAATGCAACTCTTAATATTTAAATTTTTTGAAAAGTCTATGGGAAAAATCTGAGAAAATTTACTTGTGGAGCGAGAGTAGACTTTGAAGTGGGCGGGACTCTTGAGCTCCACAGACAGGTGGTGGTGTGTAGACCAATACAGCCTTAACTACAACTGCTTTGTGTTATGTACTGAATGCCACACTAACCTTTTCTTTTCTCAGGACTCAGAAGATGTTTGTTTTTGGACACTTTTTAAATTTGAATCTTAAAATTTAAATGTCAAGGAGCCAGTTTAAGCAGATGAATGCTGGTGTTCATTTTTTTGTTTTTTTTTAAGTGCAATGCTTTTTGTTTTTAGCCTTAAAACAGGCACTGGGCACTATGACAAAATTATATCAATCTTGAATACTGGTCACAGTTTAGTGACTTTATATTGATAGTCTGCAGCTGATATCCTCAACATTCCCTGAGGGTGTGATGCTAACCATAAGCACTGCTCTGTCTGAAGCTTGTTAGACTTTAACCTGAGCTTCATTAGAATTAAAATAGGAAGTTGGATTAGTTGCAACTACAACATCTGAGCTGATTTGTGCTGTTAAACTATTTCCTCTCTCATAAAATAGCACAAGCTCTATGATAACCTCGGTAACAACTGAACATTCTGCCCTAGAGACACATGTAGAACACCCCCAGCATGATATCACTGCAAAGTATCAGTTGCCTTTATACACGATTTTTGTATACACTGAATATTTTTGAAGCGTTTTTGCAGCCACCTTTTCTAGCTCTGATCAAACACAGATTTTTAAATAATATTTTTTTTACTTTGAGGACTCAGATGGATTTAACCTTTTGTTTTTCTTCCAGACCCCTCCTCACACTCTCCAGTTGCATCTTTGTAAATCTCACTTAAACCTGTTTTATTTTTGTTTATTTTTTTCTGTCGACTTTCCGCCAGTCGCTCGCCCACCTCCTCCAGCCTCATGGCCAGCAGCAATGTCACCAACAAAAACGACCCGCGCTCCCTCAACTCTCGCGTCTTCATCGGGAACCTCAACACGCTGCTCGTCACCAAGGCCGACGTGGAGGCCATTTTCTCCAAATACGGGAAGATTGTGGGCTGCTCCGTGCACAAGGGCTACGCCTTCGTCCAGTATGCCAACGAGAGGAACGCACGATCAGCTGTGGCCGGAGAGGACGGAAGAATGATTGTGGGGCAGGTCCTCGGTAAAGACTGAACATTTAGCGTTTGGTTTCACTTTAAAGGGGCACTGTGTAACTTTTTGGTTGGGGTCCATCACCTGCTTGTTTCTATGGAAATGTCATTGCTCTGCCTGGAATGTCCCACAGTATGACATTAAACATTTTTAACTGACATTTATTCAATAACAGATAGTTTTATAGCTCAAAAATACTTTAAAAAACAGATGTTCTAACTGTGAGCGGGTTCGCCTCTCCACACATTTGACCTATAACACTGGTCTGATTTGGTCTCTATGAAGATGGAAAAGCTTTAATATCATACTGTGAAGAAAAGTTACACAATGCACCTTTAAACTTTCTATATTATGTAAAATGGTCTCTTGTCAACTTCAGTTCATGTTGTAATGTTGTTACTTCATCAAAAACAAACATGGAGTTGTTTTGTTTCATTCACCCATGTTCTTTATTATTAGTCTCTTATTATATCTCCAAAGCATAAAATGCTGTGTTCCTCCTTGTGATGTCATGGAGTGATTGGAGCTCCTTTACCGTTCACTAGAGATTGGCAATTCCAGGTCTGAAATGATCCAGATGATTCTAGTGAAGGTGGAGTTTAAAAACACAGTGGAACACTTCTGTATTACCACATGACATCACAAGGTGGAACAGAGTGTTTTCCATTTGAGAGAAGAACTCAGCCTAAATCTGCAGGGTTAGTGTGTTAAACATGTGTGAATGAAACAAACCACAATTCCAGGTCTGTTTTTGATATAGAAACAACATTAGATCATAGATCAGGCAATAGCATAATATGGGCCCTTTATTGAAATACCTTTTGACTTTTTTTAACAATAACATTTTTATTGTTAGATATAAATTTGGCGGGTGAGCCCAAACCACACCGGTCAAAAACCACTAAGCGCTCAGCAGGAGACATGTACAGGTAAGGACATCACTGTAATGTAATTATATCTGAGATTTAAACATGAGAGCCTTTCTCCTCACTCAGATGCTGTTTTTTTTGTTTTGCAGCAGTTCCTCGTTTGACCTCGACTATGACTTTCAAAGAGATTATTATGACAGGTGAGTTTCATTGTGCAGGCGGCACAATGTGAACATTTTAAGGTTGATACTAAGGAACCAATTGCGATACCACAATGATAATACAAAACAATTTTTTTAGACAGTAGTCTCTGTCTCCTTTTTGGTTCTCCATGTTTCACATTCAAACATCAGTAGAGCTTAACTGAACTTTTTCTCCTCAGCCGTCTTGCGGACCGCTCTCCTGATGATGCAGATATAAAGTATTTAAAGTATAACATTTTCTTCATATGCATCATTGATAACTGTAAAAAATGTTTTATTGTACAAAATGTTGGTTGGACTGTAGATAGACCTTTAAAGGTGCACTATGTAACTTTCCTGGTGGCATGTCCACCACCAGGTTGTCCTGGTTGTCCTGATGTCACTGCGTTCCCTGGAAGGTTCCAAACTCTGGCATTAAACTTGTCTGTCTACATGGAAACAAGCAGCTGAAGTTACACAGCCTCACCAGCAAAGAAATTCTAGTGATTTTAGAGAATTCACTAACTCTTGAAAATCCATCTTCTTCGACTCCAACTGAAGCATTTGCCTCTGATTGGTGTGAGACTGACCAATTACAGGGGACTGCCAAATAAACCAAAACAAACATGACCACCCCAACAAACATAGTATGGCTTATTTTAGCTGAAATAATAGTCATAATTTTTGTCTTGTTCTGTCATGTGTAGAACTTTATTCAGATAGCTACACATATGAATCTGATGAGAGCCAGAGCCAGGTTAAAACACTCCTCTAGTTGAATATATGTAAGATATATGTTTAATGCCATACTGAGAAACATCCCAGCAACGCAGTAAACATCTACATACAATTTTTTCTAAAGAAAACTTCCACAGTGCACCTTTAATGTCCTGTAGCCCATGATTCCTTTAGAACAGTCTTCAGTCTGTGCAGTGTTTCTTATGCATGATGCTTTGTTTTATCTGTTGTAGAATGTACTCGTACCCCTCTCGTGTGCCCGCCCCTCCCCCTCCTCTGTCCCGAGCCGTGATCCCGTCCAAACGCCCCAGAGTGAGTCTGAGCGGAGGCAGCAGCCGAAGGACGAAGAGTAGCAGCTTCTCTTCCTCCAAGAGCAGCCAGCGCACCTCCTCCAGAACCAGTACTGTCCACTCTACTGTTTAACACTGTCAAATATTATAATAATCCAGATATTATGATCAAATACTCTCTATATAATCAAATACTGAACAGAATTATACACCTCCACCAGAACCTCTACTGTCCACTTTAACTGTATCAAACATCATAATACAAATATTATTATCAAAAACTACTCAGAACGATGCCGATGTGTGAACCCTGCATTCATTTTTTTGTATTTTTTGTATTTTTACGTTTTAATCTATTAATCGATCATCAGGAAGGGCTTTAGTCGACTACAGCTCTAGAATACTGCCACACTATTGTCTAAACCACAGAGAGAAGGCTGATCAAATGTTTTTTTAAGCATACTTTTGGGTTTAACTGTATTTTTTTCTTTCACACCTCTGGCTTCCCAGTGAAAGTGGATGAGCTGCAGACCATCAAACGGGAGCTGACTCAGATCAAGAGTAAAGTGGACGACCTTCTGGACTCACTGGAGCGGATGGAGAAGGACCACAGCAAGAAGTCAGGTCAGAAAATACACTATCCACCGTATTAAAGGCCCTATATTATACAGAATGGATTCTTGTGAGCGTTAGGTCGTGTTATAATGTTGTTACCTCCTCAAAAACAGACCTGGAGTTGTCTTTTTAAATTTACACATGTTTTCAGTTTGAGAAAAGAACTCAGCCTAAATCTGCAGGGTTTGTGTGTTTAAACATGAATGAAACACAACTCGAGGTCTGTTTGTGATGAGGAAAGCACATTAGAACATAGATCAGATAATGGTGTAATCTGGGCCCTTCATAATAATGTTCTTTTCTCCCACAGACGGTAAAAGCAGCAAGACTGAGCCGGGGGAGGTGACGTCTCCTCCTCACTCCAGTAAAAACATGGATCTGAAGAGAGACAGAGACAGCCAAGAACTCAATGACTCAGAGGAGGAAGAGGAGGAGGAGGAGGAGGGAGACCTGCTGGAAGAAGAAGAGGTGAGACACAGGCCGAAGGTTTATCATGGACCTTAAACAGAGAACACCTCCCACACGCACCGATGAACTGACCCGGCTCTGACTGATAAGTGTGTTGAACTTCATTCATAGTGACACATATTGATCTGGGATGGCTCTAACGTCATGACGAATATTTGAATCTGATTGTTCAAAGAATCACAACAGAAGAACAAGTCAAGAAATCACACTTTTGTCGCTTAACTATTTGGTGCATAATTCATTCACTCCATACTCAATGGTGAGCTTGTATTGTAGACAAAGCCGCCTTGGGGCAGACTGAGGGAAGCAAGGCTGTCAATCTGCACTATTTGCCCCTCTAATCCCTCGCACACACCACTTTCATACTAGACAATGTGGGTGACATGTCTTGCCTAAGGACACAACTACATTTTTTAGCTAATGGCATCCCACTGTTGCACATGGTATTCCCAGCACTCTCCCATCCAAATACTGACCAGAGTACTGAGACCAGACTTTGACAAAGAAGTTTGAACACTTTTTCTCTATAGTGGATGGTCAGGGGTGTCGGAATCAAATTTGTGTGCAAATGGACGTCACAATTTTTCAGTATTTAAATATTTTGAAGTTTTGACCTTTGGTTTTTCAACTTTTAATCATTATATTGTGACCAAAATGATCACAATGATCAATTTAACCAAATAAACCTGACGTCCGTCATGATTTGATGCTGCAGTTCTGTGGCTCTACATCAAAACTCCAATTATTTTGAACTCATTCTTATTTCCTCTTTTGCAGGTGAAGAGTCAGGGGCGCGAGGATGAGGAAGAGGAGGAGGAGGGGGAGCACGTGGAGGGAGACGACGACGGCGACAGCGTGAACGGAGACGACTCTTAAACATAAACAACACAACTGAGCATGCTCCGAAACACACCCCTACTGAGCATGCTCCAAACCACAGCCGCTACTGAGCGCGCTCCAACCGGGCCAGCCCTCTCTCCGCGAAAAACAACCATCCACTCAGATAAACTGACTTGAAACCACTAAATTTTACTGCATTTTAATAGTTTCTAACTTAGATTTCCACTACTTCTTAAATCAAGTTTGTTTGTCTCAATATTCGGATACGAATCTGAAATGAAATTTTTAATACTCCATTGGCTGTTTTGTTAAAACTGTATTCAAACCAGTTGAACACATTGTGAAATCAGTCAAAACAAAAGCATAATGTTGAAGGTGCACAATGTAACTTTTCAGGTGTTGGGTCTCCATGGAGATGTGGAGTGCTTTGATCGGAATGTTCCACAGTATCGCATTTAACGTATCAAACCCATGGAGACAAGAGTTGCAGTTTGTAATAAACGCACAACAAATATGTTTAATGCCAGACTGTGGAACATTTCAGGCAAAGCAAAACAGTTTTATGGATACAGGTAGCTGACCTTCCACCAAAAAAATATTTCAATAAACCTTCCAAGATGCAATTGGAAAGTTCACATTGTACAGTTCACACTTCAAAACAAACAAAAAAAAACATTGGACTTGCTATTTTGCTGATGCTTAGATTATAAAGAAAGATTTTTAAAAGTGATAAAAAATAATATTAACATTTGAAGTACAGAATCTAAATTGGCCTAAGATTCAAATTCGGAGTTCAGGTCTTTTTATCTGTTTGTTTGGTTCTGTTTTGCGGTGCACTCATTGTAGATACAGCTGCTCAAATGAAGCATGCGGCTCCTTCGCTCTCCTCTTTTGGGCCTACACTGCAAAATTCAACATCTACGGACTTTAAATCACTTGAATTCAGAGCAACGATCTTGATTTGAGTTTGTGATTAGGGCTGCACAAAATGAGACAAAAATCTGAAATTCAACAGCTATTTTACCGTAATACAGATTGATTTGTGATGGTAGTGCGTGTTTTTATCTGTGTTGTAGTTCGGTTTTTGACATGGCGAGTTCAGTTTCATTTAAAGATTCACTGCGTAACTTTACCACCTACCAAGTCTTTAACTTCTTTAATTTACATTGTGTTCCCAAGCATTAAGATGGTCCACAATTATTACTGGAAAAACAAATTACTAAAGTTATAGGTGCAGTATTTAACTTTCATCTAGCATTTACAGTCTATTTGTACTTGTGAGTGGGCTTGCCTCTCCGCAGATCTGACCTGTAACTTAGCCTGGTTCATGTTAAGTTAATGCGATACTTTGGAACATTTCAGGCAAAGCATTAATCTATGTAGACAAGAAGTGCCAGGCAAAACTTTCCTGCTTAAGACTGGGATTTTGGATTAAATTTATTAGTGAGCTTTGTCAAAATCAAAACTTTGTCTAAAGCAGGATTCAAACAAACATAAAAAATGATGGGTAGATAAATTTAAAGCGGACCTATCATGCAAAATCTACTTTTTACAGCTTTTAGCCATGTTCTAGGTGTTTCTCCTTCTCATTTACTCGCTTGAAGTTGTATTTGGAGTGATTCGTGCAGGTTTGAATCATTTATTTTCAAGACTCATTTTGCAGATAAACTCGCATTTTCCTCGTTCCTAGTACACGCCTGCTGTCACGTACTTACTTCGCTCTTCAGTTTTATTTTCCTAACCTGTCATACACGTAGGATTGGGTAGCATCGCGTCGTCGTTTTGGTACAAATGAGAAAAACACTCCTACTCGCTCGTGCGATCTCCAGCTGTCCATCAGAGGGGCCGACAGCTACACGGCGCTTTGTTGTGATGACGTTTACGGCGACGTCAGCTCCCATTGGGCACGGAAATCTGCGCACTTGTTTCTTTTATGAATGTGTCGTCGTAGAATATGGGTGATAATCCACTGGTGTCGTAGATTCTAACTATATAAGAGGAACAAGCACAATAGGTCTTCTTAATTTCAGATATTGCTTTATCTGGTCATAATATTTTTGTGAAACGTTGTGCAGCCCTTTTCATGACTAGTGAATATTTTCTTGTATTTATTTTCCTATTAAATTGTGTAACTTATTTCTGTATATTTCCCATTATTTTTAAGCTGGTGATACTCTCCCTGTATAAAAAAAGCTTTATTTTATTTTTTTTGTTACTCCACTGACAGATATTGTACTGAAGTCAAATCCTGTAAAGTGCACTGTGTAACTTTTTGGTTGGGGGTCACCTGCTCGTTTCTATGGAGACGTCATTGCTCTGCCTGAAATGTTCCACAGTGTGACATTAAACAGCTCTACTTTACGTTTATTCAATTACAGGTGGTTTTAGAGCTCAAAAATACCACAGATCTGACCTGTAACTTGGTCCGGTTTGGTCTCCGTGAAGATGGAAAGATAATTTAATGCCATACTGCGAAACATTCCAGACAAAGCAATAACATCTCCATGGAGAAAAGCATTTGAAGAACCCTCCACCAGGAAAGTTACACAATGCAGCTTTTAAAATGGGTTTAAAACTTGTCTAATAGGAAAAAGTCCTCAAGTCATGATTCTGAATTGAAGTAGTTTTAACTTTTTGTAGATATATTGTTTTGCATTGTGACGACATTGTACCAGAGATTTAGCTGTAGTTCATGTTTTTACCGGGGTCACGGAGGGTCAAAGTTAGAGGCGAAATCTCAACGGACGCGATTCAGAGAAGTGTTTTTAGCTTTGAGGAAAAAAATCTGAATGTTTTTCGCTCTTTGTCGTCGTCAAATCGTGTGTCTCTGTTTGTCTGTTTTTATACTGTTTGATTTCAGTTTGACTGTAAAGGAATAAATTGCAATAAAATGTGAAAATTAAACTTGAATTTGAGCGGTTTTAATTCTTCAAGTCAGTTTACACTATCAGTCATACTACCAGTTATAATGTAGACTACCATTTATAATTTACACTACTAGTCACACTACCAGTCACAATTTATACTACCAGTTACATTACCAATATATATATATATATATATATATAATAATATATTATAATTTACACTACCAATTACCAAAGGTGGGACCAAGTCATTGTTTTGGAAGTCTCACGTAAGTTTTAAGGCTTTGAGATCAAGTCCGAGTCAAGTCCCAAGTCAAAGTCAGGCAAGTCCAAGTTGAGTTTCGAGTCTCAGGCCCATAAGTCCAAGTCAAGTCCTCAGTCAAAAACAGACAAATGCAAGTCAAGTCTCAAGTCACTGGTTCATAAGTCCAAGTCAAGTCCTAAGTCGTCTGCTTGAGCTTCAAGTCATTTCAAGTCTTTAAACCAAAGTATCAAATATAGCTTAGATTAGCTTTTAAATTGTACTTAAAAAGTCACAGTGTATTTATATATTAATTAATTAATTGATAGCATTTATATAGCACCTTTCAAGATACCCAAAGCACTTCACAGTTCCTTATTCAGTCACTCCACACTCAGTGGTGGTAAACTACTACTGTAGCCACAGCTGCCCTGGGACAGACTGACAGAAGCGAGGCTGCCAATCTGAGCCATCGGCCCCTCTGACTACCATCATCACTCACGCCTCTTTCATACTAGGCAATGTGGGTGAAGTGTCTTGCCTAAGGACACAACAAAAGTTTTTTGCCACTGGCGCCTCACTGTGGCACCTGGAATTCCTAGTGGTCTCCCATCCAAGTACTACCCAGGCCCGACCTGCTTAGCTTCTGAGATCTGACGGGATCAAGCTTTGACAAGCCAGTATGGCCACATATATGTGTATTTGTATAAGGGTTGTAGAAATGCATATTTTTCCTTTTTAAAAGTCTTGACAAGATCTTAGTGTGACTCATTGCAAATAGAAAGAATTCAGATTTAAAAGTGCAGTTATTTTGTCTGCACTGAAATGGAAGAATCATGTTCTCTGTAGTTCCCTCTGTTTGACTGTACTGTACTGTACTATGCTGTATATTACTGTATTGTACTGTATTGTATTGTATTTTACTGTAGTGCATTTGAGGATTCACAGTACTTAAGTTACATCCAAAGTAACAATCAGAGAAGTGGGAGGGACATGTTTCAGTTTGTTCCTGTAAAATTCAGCTCCACATGTATCAACTGTAAAGAGAAAAGTATTTTCTAAATATATATATATATATATATATATATATATATATATATATATATATATATATATATATATATATATATATATATATATATTACCTTCTTTACTACTTTCTATATTTTAGATGAAGACATACAGAATACATGAATATATATATATATTTTTAGGAGAAGCATCAAGTCTTCTCAAGTCACAGGGCTCAAGTCCCAAGTCATTGACCTTCAAATCCAAGTTGAGTCCCAAGTCAAGTCAAGTCTCAAGTCCTAAACATAGTGACTCAATTCTGACTTGGGTCCAAGTCACGACTTGCAAGTCCCAACCTCTGCCAGTTACACTACCAGTCACAATTTACACTACCAGCACCACTACCTTCTTTACTACTTTCTATATTTTAGATGAAGACATACAGAATACATGAAATAAGATATATGGAATTATGTAGCATAAAGAAAGATAAATATGTTTTCAAATCCTGATCTTGGTCTTCTTGATGAAATCTGAAATGTTTTCACTTCACGGCTGTGTCATGTCAGGGTCAAGAAATGTGAAAAAGTCACATTTTTACAGCACTTTTCCACTTTCAAGGCACTCAAAGCGCTTTACATCAAGGAGCCACTCACCCATTCACACACACTCACAGACACTGGGGACGGGGTAGGTTAAGTGTCTTGCCCAAGGACACAACTATAGCATTCATCTACGGGAGCTGGAATCACACCTCTGACCTGTGGATCAGTGGACAAACACTCCAACAACCAACTGAGCTGCTGTCGCCCAAAGCACCCAAAAAAATCTTGAGTTCAATGACAACGAGTGAAGAAAACTTTTATTTTACATTTGAACACAAAAATAATTTAGTTTAAAATGAGAATACATTTTATCTAAAACAGAAAAATCCCACATTAAGACCACAGACAGAGGTTCAGAGCACAAAGGAAATATTTTTAAATGCCTTAAAATGTACTGACCTTAATAACATAAACAAATACATAAATACACCACTGAAAAATGAATATTATAGAATTATGTTAAGGTGTATAGAGGATTTTCCAAGGAACGAGAAATCCAGCGACTGTTTGTCCTTTTTCAAATGTTGCGCATGCGTGAAACCACCCCCCTCCCCTACAGCTCCCTACGTAGAAACGCCTTGCCTCCTCACTACGCCAGAAACAGGTTTGTTTACAGCCGGTGAGCTGCACATGACTTGTAAACAACTAACTACAGTGTTGGTTAGGCAAGGCGGAGAAGTGAGGAGCGGGGGGAGCGGGTTGCGGACATTTCGTTCGCGGACGAGAAGTGAAGCAGGGAGAAGAGCGGAGCAGGGAGAGAGGAGAGAGGAGAGAGGAGAGGGGAGCGGTGCGCGGAGATTCCGTGCCCGGAGAAGTGAGGAGAAGGGGGAAGAGCGATCGGGCAGCGGGGACAGGAGCAGGAAAGGGGAGCAGAGAAGGTTGCGCGGAGATTCAGTGCGAATGAACTAGCTACAACACGCAGCAGCAAGCGGACTCTTTCTTTGCCTTGAAAATACGTTTTCAGACATAGGATATCGCTTTCGTGTCCTGAAAAACGTTTGACTAGCTCTTGGAAATAAAGTACGTTTTCATAATAAGCAGAAGTTCCTGTCCAGGAGTAATTGGCGACCAATTTCAGTCTTTAACCCTGCGTCTGCTTCAGTCGCGCCATTGGAATGAATCTACAAGAATCACCTTAGTTTGGCTTCGCTGCTTTTCCCCTTGTTTCTTCTTTCAGCGACCTCAAAAACGGACTTTCTTTTGCGGCTAACTGCTCCTGGATTCTTGTCTGCCATTGCAACAAACTTTGTGCTAACTGCGAGGAAGATATAGGTCAAAAAAAGCCGCTAAGAACTGTTGCATTGGTGGAGTAAACAGCGTCTGTGCGTCTTGCGTCTGTGGATGCGTGACAGGCGTACGTAAACCACGTACGGCGGCGCGCAGGCAGGTAGTTACGCTAGAACGTAGGGAGTTTGATTGATAGCAGCTTAACGATTTTATCTAGCAAATGTTTAGCACACGTTTGATGAATTTTTATTCTCTTTTTTTTGTCATTTTACAAGGCTACTGTTATAATGCTATGTTGAAACAAAAATGAACTTTGATTTTGTAAGTGAACTTTATGCTTTTAGATATAGCCGCCATTTTGAGGACTTCCCACATTTCAAAAGATGTAATTTTAGTTTTAAATTGTTTATTGTCATGGCAACAGTCCTCATTTGTCATGGTTTTCTGAAACCAATGGATAGCTTCATTTTTTGACCCTTTGAAGCAACTGTAGTTATTATTTCCTATTGATAAGCATGTTAATGATTATTGTTTTAAATGAGCAAAAATAAAACGTTTTAAAAGGTGCACTATGTAACTTTTCTCTTTGAGTTCCTGAATGTCTTTAGAATGATCTTGAGCTGTATCAGAACAAATATAAGAGCACATAGACTAGTACACACTCATGGACCAAGACCACACAGGTATAGAAAAGGAAGCACTATGATCTAATGTTGAAAATCACATTCTATTGTCTAAAGAAAGTGTTTGTATTATGTTGTTGTATCAGAATCAGTACTGAGTATCTAGTCTATGTGTTAGTATTGAAATTGAGTTTGAAATTTTTGTATCGTGAGCACTGATCTCCACAGAGACGAGCAGATAGCAGAACCCCTTTTAGAAAAGTGACACAGTGCACCTTTAAAGTACAGTACCTGGTGGTTATGTGTTTTAATTTTCGTTTTATTTCATGAGAGCCACAGTTATCAGAACGGGCAGTATGAGAGCAGAGAGCAGAGCCGAGGGACAGGCTGCTCGTCCATATGCCTTAGGTTCGGTCACATCCAGAAAACCAGTTCGCATTACCACATTCACCGGACCAAGAGGAGCTGAGAAAAAAAGGAAAATAGAATAAAATGAGTGATATATACAATACAATTGTAAAGTGTTAAACTAAAGCAGGGTATCACCAGGTTTGACTACACCAAATTTAAGACTTTTTAAAGACCTTTTTAAGACCAACATCGCACCCATTATGCGGGCGAAAAACACCAGATCCAATTCTAATAATGACCAACCAACTACTATATTTAGAATCTAAGAGCCACTGTGGGTTAAACCTGCACTTCCCCATACTCCAAACTAGACGTTCATTCACCTTACGTGATTTCACTTTTTTTTTTCCTCCCTCCATTAAATATTTCACTGCAGCCCAGTTGAGTATACACAAAAATCCACTAATGAAATTAAGACCTTTGAGTAAAAAATAAGACTTGGATAACATAATTTAAGATTTTTTAAGGCCTTAATATAGGAACAATAAATTTAAGACCTTTTTAAGACATTTAAGACCCCGTGGCTACCCTGTAAAGTGTTTTTGTTATCCTGTCTCCTCCTCTCAGTAAGCAGGTTGTGAGTGGCTCCTTCTGACCCTGGCTCCAGTTGACTTGCATTGGAATATTGTGGCCCCTCTCTCTACTGCTGCTCAATTTTGGTCTTAAAATCTTTGTATTAACTCGCTTCACATGATCCTGGTGTTCAAAAAAAAATAAAAAATAAAAACTCTGAAGTGCTCACTTCTCCTGTATTTGCATGTATTATTAAACTAAGGTGGTACATTTTGGGTAACTGACTGAACAGATCAACAGTTCACCAACAATACAGACGCCTGTTTAACGTCCAGAGAGAGCACTTAAAGACTGCAGATCTGTTTTCATGTTATAAGCTGTTGTTATGGCGTTGTATTCTCACTCACCAATCACACGGCCAGTTCCCAGCTCCACAGAGAACACAGCGTCATTGTTTGTGTTGAGTCTGGTTATGTCTGACAGAGGAAAACGGAAAGTGCATCTGATCACAGACCCTTTCACCTCTCCTGAGAAGTCCGCCTGAAACTAAGTACATGGAAAAGACATATCAATCTTTATAAAAAAAAAAAATCAAGTCTATAGAGGAAAATATAATAGAGTCTGATTTCTTCTGTGTAGACTGTAGCTCTATATTCATGTTCATGTCTCATTGTGTATGCTCTTTAACATTTGAGCCTTGTTAAGGGAAATTTGTGTATCTGAAATGTAGGTTAATATGATTAAGTGAGATTCAGGAGCAGGACCACGCCTCAGCCGCCCTCTCCTCTCACCAGCGAACCACAACTCACCTCGACCACACCTCTAATTACCCAGAAGCCTATATGTAGCAGCCTTTCTCATCATCCCAGTTTGTCTCAGCTAACTCGACCCCACCCTCCCATCCCCTATTTTGTCTTTCAGTCATAAGATCCTTACGAGGAGGGTCCAGTTCCGGCTGGGCCAATTGTAGATTGAGACGGAGCCCCCACCTAGAGTCTCAACCCAGCCATCTCTGCCTCGCTTCATACATTATCAATAAATTTCTTCTCACTATGTCGTTGTTGGTGTGGTCCTAGATAGTGAAGGTACATTTATTGTGATACCTTTGGCTGTTGTTGTTTGATTACGATTCACAGGGACATGTGTTTTTACAGGTTTTTAGACATATGTGAGTTTTATCCTGATTGGACCAATTTTGGCAACGTGAGAAGTTCTGTATACACTGTGTTTTGGAAATGTGTACATCCATTGACTTCCATTATAAACTCATTATTTGCCCCTCCTTTCAAAATCAGGGTGAAAAGTATTTTTACATATTTTATTTTTCATTTCTCTGCAGTAAACCAAATTAATTTAGAAAAAAAACATCACATTTGGACAATTTATGCCTGGAAAACCAGATGAAAAAAGAGAAAGTCACCAAAAATGGATGGATTTGTTGGTAGTGAATATCTCTGAGTCTGAATGGCTGGTGTTTCAAGGAGTGTTTCTGTGGCTATACAAATCTGAAGTGCTATGTCCCTATGTAAAAACATTTCTAAACAAAGCAATAAAAACAAAAAAATTGGGTTCCCTGAAAAAAACAAGAACATTTTCCAAAAATTATGAAGATAAGCATTTATTTTAAAGCTAAGGCTTCAAATTTTATGTTTAACTTTAACAGACTTTAAGACTTTATTATTATTAAGACTTCAACATTATTGTTTAACCTTTAACATTATGTTGAGTTGTTTAGTCTGATATGGTGTAATAGAGGGAAGCAAACATGCCTTGTGAAAAAGCTGAGAACATATCTGAACTTTTGGAAATTCCCTAAAAATTTCAGGCCATAGTGACAAGAAATTTAAGAAATTTGTGATCAAATGCACAGTTTGAACTGTGGGGATGTGTGGGAATATGTATAGGGCACAGGAAATATCATGTGAAATGGGCTGCTCATCAAAAACATGCCTTTAGAGATTTTACAACTAGGAAAACGATTTTAATTTGGTGCAATGTTGAGTATCTATCCAATTTCACTAAATCTGCAAGTATTGCTGCTAGAAAATGTGCATTCAAAGAAAATATTTTTTTTCCTCTCCATTAAGTTATATATATATTATATATATATATATATATATATATATATATATATATATATATTATATATATATATAATATATATATATATATATATATATATAGCTGGAGATTGAGCCTGGAAAGTAAAGGCATCAGTGGTGCCTGTGGTGATCGGACACTTACGGGGCTGTAACCCCCAAACTGGAAGAGTGGCTACAACAGATACCGGGAAAAACAATGGACATCTCAGTCCAGAAAAGTGCAGTACTGGGAACAGCAAAGATACTGCGCAGAACTCTCAAGCTCCCAGGCCTCTGGTAGAGGACCCGAGCTCAATGAGGGTGAGAGAGACCTACCACCGTGGAAGGTGAGAAACACATTTTTTTTTTTTTTTATAATATATATATATTATATTTTTTTTTTTTTTAAACTGAAATAACACAATTTGTATAAAACACTCCAAGTGTGACTTTTGTTTTGTTTTTTTCGTGAAGGGGCACAAAGTCCATATTCACACTGAGACAGGCCACTTACACTGTTCATAGTCAGAGTAAAAAAAAAAAAAAAAAACAAGCATTCTGTAATACATTGAATTTTCTTCTCACCATCTGCTGAGCCGTGAGGGGGGCACGGGGGGGGTCCACCTGCAGGAAGACCTCAGAGCCATTCCGACCACAGATGAACATAATGGACTTTTCCCGGAAAACATAAATAGAGAAAAACCCATAAGGAATCATCAATGTTACCAAAATATTTACACAAGGTTTGTCTTGTCACTGTCCGTGCTGCTGATGTAAACCGTGACCTTCTCAGAATGAACCGCCAACCTCCAGTTAGTGAGCAAATTCTGTACCACTGAGTCACTGTAACCTCTGGCTCTAAACCATGTCACGCATTTTCAACAGGTTGTACAGAGACAGTAGAGGCTTTGAAAGTTTGGTTGCCTGATGGTCGTATAGTTCCTGTTTGTGGGAGGAGTTACCTGAGGATGGGAGGAGTTACCTGAGGATGGGAGGAGTTACCTGAAATTTTGTGGAGCTTTTGAGCTCCAGAACCACAAAGCCCTCTGCCTTTCCACTGAGGCTGAAGCGGATAGATGTGGAGGTGCTTTCTATAGAGCTGAATAGACATGAGCCAGAGCAGGAGGAGGGGTCACAGAACTTTGGTTCTTCTATGCACAGCTTAGACTGTCCACAGCCAGAGCGCGAGATCTGAAAGAGATATAAAAACATAGACATATATAGACATATAGGGTTCACATGACACAACATTGTAAATTACCCATACTTAAAGGGCCCATATTACAGTATTTTCTGATCAATGTAATGTTTTTTCCTCTTTAAATACAGACCACAGAACACAAACCCTGCATATCTGAGCTGAGTTCTTCTCTCAAACTGAAACACTCCACTGTGTTCCACTGTGTTTTTAAACTCCATACACCTTTACTAGAATCAACTGGATGATTTCAGCCCTGTAATTGCCAATAAAGGTAAAAGAAGCTGTTAACTAACTGTAAACTACTGCTTCATGACATCACAAGGTGGAAAAGAGCATGTTTTTGATGAAGAAACAAAATTAAAGTGCAATATGAGCTCTTTAATGCCACTTTAAAGAGTCTGGACCTAACATCTGATCTGAAGATGCAAAGTACATCTTTTTGACAAGTGAGCCATTCTAAATGATTTTACCTGTTTAAAGGGACAGTCCGGAATTTTGGACATAGGACCTTATTTCCTAGTTAGCGAGAGTGTTGGAGACGTGTGGAGATACTTTTTTAAATATTCCATCCAGGTCCTATGTCCAAAATTCCAGACTGTCCCTTTAAACGGTGCTGTATTAACAGAGCTAACAGTGTGTATGAAGAGCAGGTTTGATGACATAGAAACCAAAGATGTGGACTTTACCGAAACTCCCCCGACCTTCTTCACAGCCCATAAAAACAAAACGGCTGCCGTCAACCATACCAGGAATGACTCTCGAACCATATCTGAGCAGAAATTATACAAATATAAACAAATGGCATTAATTCATTTCCAGGAGAGATGTGTATTCATGACCGTGTGTAGAAAACCAATCTAGTTTATCAATGAAATCATTTTCAAATGCTTGAAGGGCCCATATTACTTTATTTTCTGATCTATGTTCTAATGTAGTTTTCTCATCACAAACAGACCTGGAGATGTGTTTTGTTTCATTCCCACAAGTTTAACACACAGACCCTGCAGATTTAGGCTGAGTTCTTCTCTCAAACAGAAAACACTGTGTTCCACCTTGTGATATCAAGTGGTAATACAGGAAGTGCTCCACTGTGTTTTTAAACTCCATACACCTCCACTAGAATCATTTGGAAAACTTCAGCCCTGGAATTGCCAGTCTCTATTGAACACAAGTTTAAAGGTAGCTGTTAACTTGAAAACTACCACTACATGACATCACAAGGTGAAACAGAGCATTTTGAGCTTTAGAGATGCATACTAATCATAAACTGTTATTCAGACATGTTAGGTCTGTTTTTGAAAAGGTAACAACATTCTAACATGGTTTAAACATCACAAGAGACCATTTTGTGTAATATAGGACCTTTTAGTTGGTTCAGTGAAAAAAGTCCCAAACTAAAAATGTTCAGGGCAGATGATGGGAATAGGGTTGAAACACTAATGACTTAAAGATACACTGGGTCACTTTTCTGAGGGTCTGGCACCTGCTTGTCACAATGGAGATATTATTGCTTTGCCTGGAATGTTTCACAGCATGTAATTAAACATGTAAATTTCTATGGAAACAAACTGCTGACACCACCAAGTCCAATTACAGCCTGCTCACAATAAGAATGCATGTTTTTCAGTGCATTTCCAAGCTATAAAAACACCTGTAATTAAGTCATACTACATAGATAAGTTTAATGCCATATTGTGGAACATTGCAAGCAAAACAAGGACATTTCCAAAGAGCATCTTAAATTCTCATTTCAGGCCTGATTTATAGTTACTTGAGTATAGGCATTTAATACATCCCCAAGTAACACCAAGTTTGGCAATTATTATATATTTATTATATTTTCAATCAACAATATTACAGTATTAATATAGTTGGGGTCTTATAATACAAATTGTATATTGCTGGTTTCAGATGACATCACCACATTCTATAGGTCGTATAAGTAAAAAGTCCTTTTTTTTTGTTTTTGTTTTTTTTGTTTAGTATTAGGTTAAAGTTTAATATTTTGTTTAAAGTTGAACATGTATCTGCATAGACATATTTTTATTATGTTAAATGTGCTCATATTACTTTATTTGAATCATGTTTGGAATTTCAGTGCGGAGCGACTTAATGAAGGTCGATGGAAGAGCCTTAAGTTTTGACAAAATTTGACGTCATTACATTGCTTCTCCCCATTGCTTTACATTAGGGTGACCAAACGTCCTTTTTTCCCCAGACATGTCCGTTTTTCATGTCTGGGTTTTCATTACCTTTCATTTGGCCATTAAATTGACCGGTTCTCTTAGCTTTCTGTACACTCACAAGGATCAAGCAGACACAGTTGGTCAGCCTACAACATGCCAAAGCGCAATTGCACATTTAATAATGACTTGTACAAGAAATTCCCCGCTTTCCGTTCTAATCAGGACAACTGGGAGGCCATGTGCAGTGTACAAAGCAGGCACATATGTTTCAGTGTCCAGCTTTGCAAGGTGAGAATAGCTCAATGTCGATGACGAGGCCCCACCGTGTACGGTGTCCCGGTACGGTGTCCCGGTTTTCACAAACAGAAATATGGTCACCCTAATTTATATTAGCCATGAAATTCATATTGGGGGGCAGGGTGGGGGCGATCTGAAATCAAGTGATTGGTTCTGATAAGGTGCATAAAATATCTGACTGACTGCAACTTCAACTTCAAGTCAAAGTGCGTCTGAGGAGTCAGTTTTAAGGGTGAATTCTGTGGCTTCTCTTCAGTGGAACCCTTTTGCAAAGCGTTTGCTCAAAGAAAAGAAGAGAGTGAAGGAGCTCGAACCAGACCGGTCGGATACGGGTCTCCAGCAGAAGCCACGTCTACACCAGAGCATTTTCCCGCAGCTATTATGAGAAGCAGAGATGGCTAACGGGATGCAATGTGAAGAATGCCTTTTTCGGTTTTCCTTGTTTGCTTTTTAATTGTACAGGGACATTCCCTGAGCAGGCTCTAACCATCACCTTAAAGGCCTACCCTGCCCACATTGGGAACAGGTTGAAGACTAAGCTGGGTGTCATCTATACAGCAAGGAGGACTTGAGAGCATGTCAGGGAGCCATAGGTCTTCTGCAAGTCTTTGCTGAGGGTAACCTATTAGATGTTTTTCAGAAGACAGTAAAACTGTAAACAATTTTCATCACCATATCCATGACCACTGGAGAGGCTGAAAGGTGCTTCTCCACCTTAAAAAGAATTAAAACATTTCTGATAGTTGTTGTTTTTTCTAGTACTGTATATAAAGGAAGTGATAATTATTTTTTCTAATACTGTATATATAGGGATTGAAAAAGCACTAATACTGTATATAAGAGAATGCGCCGCCATTGTGACAAAGTATAATGTGAACAATATGAAAATCTGGATGTGCGCCTATCACATGCTAGAATCTGAAAACCACCAACAGTTGACTTTTAATATTTCTATATTCCTTAAGTTTTGTACATGCATTACATTTAAAACAATGCACTGTAATTGATCAGATGGAAATTTAGTCTCTAAAACTCATCACTTTATTCATGTATTTCAAGATGTAACGATAATAAAGCAACCGCGTGTTCATTATACTTAATATTAACAATATGCAATAAAAATATAAAATAAACAGCTTAATAAAGATTTTTAATAATAAAATCATACTATTAAAATTAATTATTAAAATAAAAATCATATCAATAATAAATATCTTACCTGATGGTTGGTGGTTGAAGTGGGAGAGTGGGGTTCTTGCGTCACAGGTTAAACTCTTCTGTCTGATGCTCCCTGAAGCTCAACTGAGCCTGATGCTGAGGGGTGGGGCTTAGACACACCTGTCCACGGACTGTACACCTGCGCCTGTTCAGGTTTCTATGAAGAAAAATGTAATCACATATATTATAGAATGTGTACTGAGTGTTTGCCATCTTGTCTTAGATATAGTTATAGTGATATTGCTTGTCCATCGCGTGACCTGTAATTTAAGCAAGTAAGGTCATCTGTTTCCATGGAGATAAATAAGTTTAATGCCACTATTGGAGATATCTAGGACTGCAGACTGTATGCGTTGTATGCTGAAACAGTTACACACAAACAATACTCTAACCAGAGGGTGGAAACGGACAAAGGGATGTGTTTGTTGAGCTTTAATGTGTTTTTTTTTAGCTTGTTTGTCTATCCTTTCATCAGACCTGTCCTTCTGTCTGTACTATCCTTTCATGTGTCCTATCCTTTCATTTAACCTATCCTTTCATCTGTCCTATCCTTTTGTCTGACCTATCCTTTCATCTGACCTATCCTTTCGTCTGTCCTATCCTTTCCTCTGACCTATCCTTTCATTTGACCTTTCATCTGACCTATCCTTTCACAGTGGTGCAGTCACAACTGGCGTTGGTTGTTGCACTGGGAAGGCTGGGCCAACTGATGTGGCTTGGTACTGGACTGGCATAGATATTGTGCCACCATACTCCATACTCACAGTGGCAGGAACAAGTTGGATCACTTCAGGCTGTCGTCGACACGTAGGGCATAATCGCACTTGTTACCGCAAGGGCTTGGTACGGTTGTACATAACAAGAAGGACTGAAAGGTGCTGGGGCTGGCAGCGTAGTGGGCAGCTGCTGATATACTGGACTGTTAACTTGTTGAACCATGTAGGCTGCATGCTATGACGTGCAGTATCCACTTGGTGATGGCCAGGTAATGAGGAGCCCCCACACACTACTAGAAAACCCCAATGCTGTGTTTCACTGGCTCAACTTATCGACTGCAGCTGAGGATAGAAACCGAGAGAACGTGAGCGCTGTAGGTAGCTGGCCATCACTTGTTGTAGACTCTGTCTGTTTGTGGTGTGACTGCAGCTGCTGAACGCTGGCTCTTGGGCTCTCATCCTGAGGAGAGGCAGTATTAAGGCATGAAGGAATTAGGAAGCCTGACTCGAAGGACCAGTACTGGAGATATCTAGGACTGTAGACTGTACGCGTTGTATACTGGGACATTTCATCCACAAACAATACTCTAATCAGAGAATGGAAATGGACACAATACAGGAATGTATTTGTGGAGCTTTAATGTCCTTTCTTATACTCTTGTTTGTCTATCCTTTCATCTGACCTGTCATTTCAAAAGATTCAAAAGATTCAAGATAAAAAAAAAAGTAATTGTCCAGTATCACATATTATCTTGTAGTTTCACTCCTCTTTTGAGTCTACGTCAGTATTTTTGTTCCATTGGTTGAAGAAGTTGGATAGTATATCTCTCCAAAGCTTTGTGCAATGGTAACTGGAGACTGGTAAAATGCACAATGACACCAAACTGCCCTCAAAAAGAGTAAAATATAATAAATTGCAAAAATCACCTTGATACTTGCTCAATACAATGTCAATCTATTGTTTCTTTACTTGATTAAAGCCACAGTATGCCATTTTTAACTAAAAAATGCTTTTGAGGGGAAAAAAACATCCCTACTATAAGCAGGCTTGCTTTTCCACAAACATGACTTTCTCTGTGACAGAAAATGGAAAACCCCCAAGGTTCAATAGTGGGTCCAATATTATTGTATTTCATTGACAGATCATCACTATTTTGTTTTTAATTAATAATAGGAGGAAAATAAATAGCTTCAAAAAGCTTGCAAAAAGTCCAATTTTATTAATGCAGTTTATGTAAATTTTATGAAAGAATGTTACACAAATACGTCCACTTTCCATATGTAAATCATTTTCCCTACAAAAGCCAAATTAAACAGTAAAATAGTAAATAAATATGCTAAATAATAAAATATATAAGTCATGATGTACATTCAAACCTTTTGGACACAATTCTCTATGCCAGTGGTTTACTATTTAAAGATCAACTGTGTAACTTACTGGTTTCGTCTTGCATAAAAAACTGTTTTGGTTTATTTTGTCATTTTAGTTTTTTGAGTGCTCAGAGTGAGCTTATGACAGTAAAAATGTATCTCCAGTTTTTTGTAACAGTTTGGATTCAGATCACAAGTGGTTTAGAAAATGTTAATGACGAACAATATATGCACATACAAATCTTTTGAAAAAATGCTATTAATTACACCACAGACATAACACAGTACAAAAAGGAGTGTTTTGGGTACCAAAATGTACAAATTGATGCTTTATAGCCTAATCTATCAATATCTGTCAAGATACAGGTTGTCCCAAAAAATATGCATAATTTCGCAGGCCAATAATTTTGGCAGTGCTTGTTGAAATAACCTCAATTTTTTAGAGAATGTATAGAAACAGATCAAGATTTTATATTTAATGTTTTATTTTTGTTCCGTTTTCAGGTTGGGCCATGCCATTCACTCCCAAAAAGAAGTGATTTTGTATCTTGGAATATGTTCGCACACAGTCACCCAAGACTGTGCAGCGTGTCTTCAATGCAACATTTGGAAAAACCACCACTGGAAAAACAAACTCCCATAATAAACGTATGATGTACAACACCTAAACTGTTCAATTTCATTAAGCTAGACTTAGTAGTTTTAAGATAATTGCCTTTAAAATTATGTCCAATTTTTTTAGACACCCTGTATAATAGTTCAAGCCCATCAAAGTAGCATATAGCACATAGTTTTAGAATTACATTTATGTTTATGGCTTTTTAATACAGCTCAGATTAAAAATACATTTTGTTAACTACAGTTTGACGAGTTCCTGCACGATGCTTTCCTGGACAATAAAGTGTACGTAACCCATTATGTTCCGCATTATGGCTTTAACTTTTTGTGCTAAATGTACAGTCCATCATCAAGCAGAGCATTAGACCTTGGTCGTGATCCACCGTGCTCTCGCCGTCTCTCACTATCTTTGTGGCTCCTCCTACTTTCTCTTTCTCCTTTATCATGATCTCTATGGCTCCTCCCACTTTCCCTGTTGTCACTCCTAATTTCTGCATCAATGTCTCTGTGGCTCCCCCTGGTGTCTTTATAGCCACTTGCAGGATCTTTAGCTCCATGATTACTTCTAGAACTCCTCCCACTCTCCCTGTGGCCACTCCTACTTTCTACGTCAACATCCTTCTCTCTGTGGCTCCTCCTACTTTCCCTATCTTCTGACTTTTCATGATCTCTATGGCTACTCCTACTCTCTTTATGGTCCCTCTCACTTTCAGCATGACTCCGCACATCACCCCCATGACTCCTCCCACTTTCTCTATGGCTCCTCCTACTCCCTCTCTCCGCCTCGTCGCCTTTTTCAAAATGTCCGCTTTGTTTTTCCTCTTTCAGTTCTTTCCTTGAATGATGCTCCGGCTCCACCCAGCTGCGCCATCCCTCTCTGTCCAAGCGCTCCCTCCTCTCTCCATCGCCATGGTGATGTTCTAATTTACTCCTATCAGTTCTAAAACTACTGCTACTACTACTACTATGGCTACTACTATGAAGGCTTTTTGAAGTACTTTCTAGTTTCCTACTTGACAAACTTGGACTGTCAACCTTTAATTTTTCCTCTTGTACCTTATAACTTTCTTTAGGAATCACAACTTTTTCATCACTTTTAGTCTTGACATCTTCTTTTGCCATCCAGCTCTCTCTAAGACTCTTAACTTTTTGATCTACATTTGTCTCAAATTTAGGAATGTCTTTCACACTTTTGGAATAAACTTTTTCCTCAGCATTTTCCTGTTTGGCCAACCAGCTTTCTCGTAAGCTTTTGAAATTTGATTTTTCCTCAGCTTTAGTCACATCATCTTTAATTTCTTCCTGATTTTTGACTGAAACTTTTGGATTAACCTTAGCTGTTACCTCCTGTTTAGTCAAGGAACCTTTCTCCTCCTCTCCTTTACTAATATTTTTCTCATCAGTTTTTGAATCTTGCTTAGCTGTCTGACCCTCTTTCTGACTCTTAACCTTCATTTTATCGTCTTGTTTTTTACTTTTAGTTTTTTCCAACTTTTCCTCTTCTTCCTTACCTTCTAATAACTCTTTTCCGGACAAACTAGCTTCCTTCTTGTGCGATTTCTTTCCCAATATTGATTTATCCTTCTCACCTTTCTCCTTATCTGCTGCAATTTTGTTTTCCAATTCTTTGTCTTTCTTTGTAACTTTCAAAATGGGATCTTTAAAGAATTCCTTAAGAGATTCTTTAACGCTGTAAACGCTTTCCGATTTCTCCTCATCTAATTTCTTAGGTTCTTTTTCACTTTTTAACTTTTTAATATCAGATTTGACTTTTTTAAGATCGCCATCTCCATCCTCTGTATCCTCAGACTCTTTGAGCAACTTTTCTTTTGCTGCTTTTGCTTCTTCCTCCTTCTTCCTTTTCCTCTCCTCCTCCTCTTTCTTTTTCCTTCTCTCCTCCTCCTCTTTCCTCTTCTTCTCCTCCTCAACTTTTTTATCCAACTTTTCCTCCATGAGATCCAACTCTTGCTCCAGTTCGGCTAATTTCACCGGATCACATTCAAACTCATCCTCTACTTCCTCCTCTACTTCCTGTATTTCCTCATATTCCTCCACCTCGATTCCATCCATCGTTTTTTGCAATTGAGTCTTCACTTTGTTCAGCTCCAAAAGTCCGTCTTGTAGATCTTTGCACACGTCTCGAATTTTGGACGCAAATTTGGTTTTGGCACCTTTCCGAAGTTCATGTGAATCTTTGGCTAAGAAGAAAACGTCCAGTGCGAGAAACAGAGCGGACATGACTCCAGTGGTTACGCTTATGGCCTGGACAGCCTTAGCGGCGCCCCCCGCTGCCCCGAGCACCTGCACTGTGCTGATCAGTTTGTCTGTGTTTATCATTAAGGCCTTCCCCGCACGACCGCCCTCCTTCACCACATGCTTGATGTTGTGGTTTAAAGCTTTTTTAGCAGCGCTCTCAGAGAATTTCTCAAAGTCCCACTCCTGCAGGGTGTCTATACCTTCCTGTGGAGAGAAGAGGAAACAGAGCAGTTAAAAGCAGGGGTAGGCACTTATTTATTCCACATGAGAAACAGAAAATATTGTGGGGGGCCGGGCCACAACGCTTAACTTAATTCTGCATAATATGAATTGTATTTCTTCATAAAAAGCCACTAAACCCATTTAGTTTTAGTTTTGACCTGGTTTAGTTCTGGTTTAGTCCTGGTTTAGTCCTGGTATAGACCCAGTTTAGTGAGGTTATCTTACAAAAACTGTCATTAAAAAAACACCTCTAAAATAAAAGCAATGCGGCTTTAGTTCGTGCATGAGGTAAAATTATAAAATGTTTATTTTGTAATTCCAAATGAGCTTAAACGGGCCAATCAGAGTAAACTAAAGTTCCATATGTGGCCCAGGACCTGGACAATGCCCAGGTGTGGTTAAAAGAATGCATCAAATACAAACTATAAACAACTTTTTAGCTTGTTCGTATTTGTTTTAACACATAGTATTAGCTTAAAGGGCCATATTACTCAATTTTCTGATCTATGTTATAATGTTTCCTCATTAAAAACAACACCTGAAATGTTGTTTCTTCAACATTGTGTTTAACACACAAACCCTGCATATTTAGTTCTTCTCTAAAACGAAAAACACACTTATGATGTCATGTGGTAACACAAGAAGTGTTCCACTGTGTTTTAAAAATTCATACACCTTCACTAGAATGATGTGAATGATTTCAGCCCTGGAATTGCAGATCTACTCAAAGGTAAAAGGTAGCTGGTAACTTGAAAACTACCGCTTCATGACATCACAAGGTAGAACAGAGTATTTTGAGCTTTGGAGATGTAGACAAACTCAAATGTGTGAATGAAACAAAACACAACTCCAGGTCTATTTTTGAGGAGGTAACAACGTTAGAACACAGCTTAACCCATTGACGCCGGATGCTGCGCAGCGCAGCGCTGAGTCTCCTGTCGGTGTTCTGGATTGTCTGGCGATCAGCGTAACTGGTAAAGGCGGGGCCACATCTGGAAACATGGGGGGGGCGTGTCCTCCTCTCGCTTCCATTCACTCCCATAGAGAGACGCAAAACTGCCAGAGCTGTATTGTCACATTAAACCTTCTTTATCGTGGCGTATTATTTCTCCATTGAAAAATAATCCAAATGCATCCCAAGACCTGGTTTGAAGTAACAAACAATGCTCTTTACTGCCAGCGCATGAACGCGCTAAACCACTTGATCTGGTCGCTGTTCCAGACGCTCCTATAACAGGTGCCATATCGCTATGTCGTGTAACAAATAAACATTGTCAAACACAAATGTTGTCCGTGTCTTCACTGTCATTGTCACTGTCAGCATTTTTGTGTTTGACCATGTTTATTTGTTACATGACATAGCGATATGGCACCTGTTATAGGAGCGTCTGGAACAGCGAACAGATCAAGTGGTTGAGCGCGTTCATGTGCTGGCAGTAAAGAGCAACGTTTGTTACTTCAAACACCAGGTCTTGATGGGAAAATGTGCAGGATACATTTGGATTATTTTTTAATGGGTAAATAATATGCCATGATAAAGAAGGTTTAACGCGACAATACAGCTCCGGCAGTTTTGCGTCTCTCTATGGGAGTGAATGGAAGCGAGAGGAGGACATGCCTCCCCCATGTTTCCAGATGTGGCCCCGCGTTTACCAGTTACGCTGATCGCAAGACAATCCAGAACACCGACAGGGGACTCAGCGCTGCGCTGCGCAGCATCCGGCGTCAATGGGTTAAAGCTCAGAGAAATCCATTTTGTGTAACAGATGAACTTTAATGAAAACATTTAATACAATATGATTACAATCGTCTCCTCAAAATGATGCATATAACAGGAAGCTGAAACTCATGAATAGGTTAGTTCTCACCTGAACGAACTCAAGGCACTCCCGTATGTCCTTGATCTCCTCCTGGTATCCCTGGATTATCTTCTCCATGTTCTTTCGGTCCATGTTGGAGTGAACAGCATCTGTGATATTGGCCGTTGCCGAGGTGATGCTTCCGGCTGTGGCCACTCCGATCCCCACAGCTGTAACGATGATGGACGCTCCGAATGTGAAGGGAGCCAAGATCAGACCTGTGCGACGAGGGGGCAATGAGAAAGGTAATGTTATGGTATTAAGTTTTTGTGTCATCTGTATTTTAGCCATCAACCATAGCTTGTATCGAGATTTGGACTAAGGGAGTGGGATGTCACCCAGAGTGTTTGGCTCCCGCCAAATGAAGCTCATCAAGGCTAGCTGTAGGGACAAATTTGGAGCAGAATTCCATATTTGGGATTCTGAGAAAGTGTACCAAAGCTAAGTACCAAAACTACCTGAAAATCTGAAAATGGGTGCCAGTGCACCTTAACGTTAAACTTAAATTTTATACTTTACCTGTGATGGTGGCGATGCTCCCGGCGACACTGGCCACGCCCCCTCCCACCGCTGCAGAAACCGTCCTCTTGTGAAACTGGTCCGCAGCGTCGGCTAATGCTAAAAGCTCCAGGATTTTGTGCTGCAGTGATGCTCCCCGCTGGTTAAAGAGATGAACGAACAGACGCGCTGCCATGTACACACGATCGGCAGCTTCCTCCATCACTCTACACACACACGGACATTAGACATTATTATTTAGATTTCAGTAGAAGTTACAGCTCATGAAATGTACAATTCATTACAAGGTGGCTATGTAACTTTTCTGTTTGAGCGTCCGCCACTTGCTCGTCTCCATGGAGAAGTTATTGCTCTGTAATTAAACTTATCTCTCTACATAGAGACAAACAGGTGGCAAACCCTACACCAGAAAAGTTATGTAGTGTATCTTTAATTTTTATATATGTAAATATAGATTAAAATTTAGTAGAAGACTATATTACTTACTCTTGTTCATTTTCCTCCTGATTAGAAGTCTCATTCCACTCCACCCAACCTGAGAATCAAAAACATAACATTTGAAGTTAAGATTATAATCATTTAAAGGTGCACTGCGCAACTTTTCTAGTCATTTTTCTGCTCCCTTCTTCTTACTGTTTTGCCTGGAATGTTCCAAGGTATGACTTTAAACATCTCCATCTAGCATTTATTCATTACAGGCGTTTCTATTGCTCAAAAATACAATTCCTTCTGTGAATAGGGGCGACTCTCCACAGATCTGAACCGTTATGTAGCATAGAGGTGTAACCCACTTCTCTCCATCATGATAGAACTGTGGAACATTCTAGACAAAGAAATAAAATTTCCATGGAGACATCAGGTGGTGGACCCTTCACTAGAAATGATATAAGTACACTTTTGATACCACAACAGCAATTTCATAAAAAAAAAACAAAAACGTGTCTTACCTGCGACTGTTTTCCACCACTCCATCAGTTCGTCATCCTCCTACAATGAAGCAAAAATTAGGTTTTCCTTCTCAAATTTCTGGCCTAAAATCACATGATAACAGTCTTTAGTCTCACCTCTTCTGTCTCCATGGGGGATTCTTCAGTCGGATAAGCAGCCATCTCCACATTCTCCACCTCCACTGCCTCCTCCTGGACACACACATAATAATAATCATCTTTATTTATAAAGCACTTTTAAAAATAAGGTTTACAAAGTGCTGTACAGACAACAAAAAACAGTATGAAAGCATCAAATAGCATATAGAAAGTGTACAAAAGCCAAGAGGCCTAATAACAGAAAACAGGATCAAACAATTCAATAAATTCTAATAAATAAATTAATTAAATTGAATAAAAATAAATAAGTCAAGTTAAAACCAGTTAAAGGGAGGCCAATTGGTAAACATTAGTTTTCAGATATGATTTAAAACACAGTACTGATGGTGTAGCCTTATCTCCTCAGGCAGGTCATTCCAAAGCCGAGGCGCCCGGACTGAAAAGGCTCCATCAGCCTTCATCCGGAGCCTAGACTTTGAACAGCCACAGGGACCTGCCTGAGGATCTAAAGCTGTGGGAGGGCTCATATAGGGTTAAAAGTTCTGAAATGTAACTTGGTGCAAGATCTAAACGAGCTTTAAAAGTGATCAAGTGATAAAATCTTCAATTCAATTCTAAAACATGTATAAATATGTAGTTTATTTGAACCTGTCATAGGCACTTCAAGCTGCAGTTTAAATGCACAAACCTGCTCTGGGTTCAGTTCCTGCATTTCCATTGCTTCTTCAATCATCGGCATTTTGTCTGCTCCCTTTTAGGAAAGTAAAAAACATACTTTTTTTTTAAATGCCAAATTGAAATACAATTAACAAACAACTACAATTAACTTAAATTAATTGCTCAATGTTCTTAACTACCAATCAGGAATCTATTAAATTATACTAATTGATTAACTGATAGATAAAACCAATCATTACCTGTGCAGTGAGTTTCGGTAATCTAGGGAGCGTCTTTTTTATTCTGAACGACACAACCTGAATGAAACAGATTAAAGTCATGCAGTACTTTGAATTAACCTGAAATAAACATGTATTATATTATTATTTTTGTAAAGTCTCACTCTTTTTTTCCTCATAATTGTCCTTCTCCGTTTTATTCCCAGGCCTGTTGCTGGCTGCTCATCTTCACCGTCCTGCAAATCAAAATACAAACGTATTAAAGAGGGAGTATTGTACTTCTATGAGGTATTACCTGCTAACACATAACATTTTTAGTTCACCATGTTACCTTTTATTGTTTTGAAAATGCTATATTCACCAAAAACAACATATTAACACATTTCAGCTTTGTTTTTGACACTATGCTCTCCGTGCTAGTCACTCCCCCTTATCACATTACAATTGATGTGCATCCCACTAATGAAAATACTGCACATCGCATCAGGTTTGTGAAGTTCTAGTGTATTGTTTTCTATCATGTTTTTGTATGTTTGTACAGAATCTTACAATTAACAGTAAAGAGAGTTTGAATAGGGCCTGGGAGAGATCGCGAGATTACTCAAACAAACCTCTTCAGGCCTGTTTTTAATGACGGAACAATGTTATAACATGATATAAAGCTCCAAAAAGTCCATTTGGCATAATACTCCCTCTTTTATTAAGGGTAAATCAAATATAATCTCAAATAGCATCTCATTAGAATAATCAACAATCAAAATATAAATGTCAATGTTTTTAAGAGGAAAAAAATGACCTGTGGTTCAACAATCTTGGGCGTCCTCTTAAATAAACCAGCAAACCCCGATTTCTTCTCCTGTGGACAAAGGAGTCATTCATTTTACAACATAACAATTAAACACTACACAACAAAAATATTTATAACTATAACTCTTTATTACGTATTTATATTGCACATTACATAAGTAAAGGATTAGGCCTACCTTTGCTAACAGGTCCTCATTACTGGCTGACAGATTCTCCTCCTAAAAAAAGGAAGACAAAAATTGGCAACAAATCAAATATACAATACAGCCACCTCCAATGTCTTCCAACCATCTCCAAAATAGTCTAAAAACAAACTGCACATTACATGGGTAAATCAGATATAGGACACTTTTGGATTTTATATACAATAGTCCAGGGATGGACAATTTTTTTTTCCATGGGGCCACATGAGAAACAGAAAATATTGTGGAGGGCCGGGCCAAAATGCTTAACTCAATTCTGTATAATATCTTTATAAAAGCAGTAAACAGCATTGGTTTAACGCTCTGATCAGAATCGTAAGAATTTATGTTATGACTAAGCAATGAAAAATTGAGGCTGCCTTACAAAATATGTAATAAAAACACTTAATAAAGCAATGAAGCTTTAGTGCATGCATGAGGTAGAATTATAAAATATGCTTATTTTGCAATTCCAAATTAACTTCAATGGGACGGTCAGCGTCAACCAAAGGGCTGTATAGTCCCTCCCTGTGTATAAAATGAATAGATCTACAGTATAATTTTGTTTAATATGGAAAGGGCGAGACATGAGATTGAGTCTACAACAACAATATACTACAAGATTTTAACACTGAAATAAAAAATGTACAATTCAGTTCACAATTTTGACAATCTTATATTTGCTTTATTTAATATTTTTGTTGTCATTGGAGTACTGCTTTTTGGAACTGTAGCTTCTTAAGAAATGTAACTTTCCAGCCCTTACCCCTGGGGCTGTTTTTTATCCATCCAAATGTAAATGTTGTAACCATAAATGTTACAGATGTTAGCCGAGCCTCACCTGCACCATCCTGTCTGGGATGCTGTCACAGCTCCCAAACTCAAACTGTGTGTCACTCAGAGGATCCTGAAAAATACATGAAGTTTGAATTATTTGACCATTATTTTATGGTGCATGTTTTGGATTGATGAGGGAAGCCTAAAGTAAAGCGCCGAAACAAACATGGCTAAAATGACTGATGTGCTGTATGTAGTAGAGATACAGATATATGAGGCTGATATTTGCACTTTTAGCTCAACTTGTTTTCTAATTTTGACTTAAACTGGTGGGATTATACCTGTTGTAATTATAAATTAGAACTGTACAGTCCCTGACAAAAGTCTTGTCGCTTATCCATTTTGTAGAAACAAAAGCTTATAACCTGACTTTAAATTAATCGATTGGTTTTAGAAATGTCTCATATGAAAACTAAAACCCTCCCAAATTATGCTCAATATACTAAAATAAATTAGCTTCACTGAAGAAAGATTGATCATTTAATGAACACAGAAAGGTCAGATTTGGCAAGACAAAAGTCTTGTCGCCTACAGAAAATTGAACAAATAATTTACTTCAAATACAAAAATATGTTGCATAACGTCAGTGAATTAAGTAGTGGTGCTGTGAGATCCATATTTAATATCTTGTATGACTTCCATGAGCTTGAAGGACTACATCCATGCGGTTCGACAATTATTCATACAATTTGTTGATGAAGTCATCAGGAATAGCTAAGAAAGCATCTTACAGCCTCCCAGAGTTCATCAAGATTCTTTGGTTTTGCCTTCCATGCTTCCTCTTTCATTCTACCCCAGACCTGCTCAATGATGTTCATGTCTGGTGACTGGGCTGGCCAGTCCTGGAGCACCTTGATCTTCTTCGCCTTGAGAAACTTTGATCTAGAGATGGAAGTATGCGATGGAGCACCATCCTGCTGCAAAATTTGACCCCTTTTATGGTTGGGAATGTAAGAGGAGCTAATACTTCTTGATATTTTAGGCTATTGATATTGCCTTCCACCCTGCAAATGTCTCGCACACCCCCATACTGGATGGAACCCCAGACCATGATTTTTCTGCCACCAAACTTAACTGTTTTCTGGGTGAATCTTGGATCCATGCGGCTCCAGTAGGTCTCCTGCAATATTTGCGGCGGCTGTGATGTAATTCAACTGAGGATTCATCTGAGAAATCCACCTTCTGCCACTTTTCCAGTGTCCATCCTTTTAGCAGGCTGTGGGCCTTGGCAAATGCACACGGTTTTTTTATTGCCTTTTGTTTAGTGCTGGTTTCTGTGCACTGATTCGACCATGGAGGCCATTTCGAGACAGAATTCTGCAAACTGTTCTGGTTGACACAGGGACTTGAGGTGACCAGGCCTGGTGGAGCTCTGCTGCAGTGAAAGGGGCTGGCCTTGGATTTTCGAATCAACAAACGGTCCTCCCGAGCAGCTGTCTTGCGGGGTCTGCCGGACCTGGGCTTGTCAAAAACATCTCCAGTCATTTCAGATCTTTTTCTTATTCTTTGTACTTGACGCTGAGACACATTGAAGGTGTCAGCCACCTCAGCAGTGGATCTGGGGCCTCATTTATAAAAACTGCGCAGGAGTTGTCGTAAGTTAGTGCGTACGCCTAGTAGCTACGACAAGGCGTGAGCCACGCAAACTCCATATTTAGAAAACCCACCGCACGCACCAAACCACGCAGTCTTTGCTTTATAAATCCCACCTGCAACTACAATTTGCGCACGTAAACCTACGTCACGTCACGCCCTCTCCACACCTCCACCTCACCATAAAAGGAGCATGTAAAGTGACTCGTGAATGAGATTTCCCTAAACATGAGCTGATAATCAGTGGGTTTGACTGAGACACGCGGGACAGAGGGAGGAGGACGCTCCACGCAGCCCCACGTGATCACGACAAAGACTTTATTAAAGACTTTATTAAACCTTGTTTAATAAATAAATACAAAACTAAAAGTGACAACAATGACTCATCTGTTCATTTAATCATATTTTATAATATTTAGGCAGAACATCTTTGCAGTAAAGACCATGTGTTTTTTCGCTGTTTCAAGAGTTTTATCGCTATATTTTTAAGTCTGTCTATGAAGTGTGTGTGAGGACTGGCCCTGTGTATTTATGCATATACACGTAGATACGTGCACGCGCTGATCTGAATGGTCAAATTATGAGCGCGTGCGAGAGATTCAGATGCCCTCCCCTGGAGAGGGAAAGGAGCGAGGGAGGGACACGAGGATACGAGGACACAGATTTAGCACGAAACACATCAGATACAGATGTTATTCTGCCAATTAAAGTCCACACGAAACATCCAAACTGCTCACCTGTGAGTGTGGGTCTGGGTCTGTGAGTGTGGGTCTGGGTCGGGACGGGCACGGGCATTATTCTGTTCTTCATACAGTCAGAGAGCAGCTCTCATGTGCAAGAGTTCCCCATTACACAAAAATGTAGGGAAGATTTTGGTTCGGGTCTGGTTCGGGCAGTAGGCTTCGTGTTGTCCGCAGACTCAGGTCACTCTGGCGCTCGGTGCGTAAAGACTAAAGTAAAAGTGTTAAAATTGCGTTCATTAAATCAAAGCCTGGCTCCTGCTGCGTCCAAGGGAAGAGTTTTCTCTCAGGTTGGGTCATTATTTCGTCCTCTGTGTTGGTCACAGACTGTGTTCTATAGAAGTCTATGGTCGCGGTGTGGACTGTGGGACTCTGCGCTACACCGAGTCCGGGAACGTGGCCGCGCAGTGTCAAATGTATAATATTGTGGAGAATAATGAGTGGAATAAACAGCCCTTCTCCGTATTTTGGCGAACCAAACACTTAAATGCGCAAATCAGAAGGTAATTCTTCTATATACGTGGATTTTCTGATCAAACACTTCCTCAAACTCTGTTCACTTCTGCCTCTCTCCATGAGTGTCGCTTTTTCCCCGTGGCTCCAGACTTTGCGTAGAACTTACAGGAGGTCCCGAGTTGGCGTAGAGTTAAGCAAAGAGCCACGCCTTAGGCAAGTTTTATAAATACCGCGGTTGGCGTAGGAAGCGCGCACGCACGGATTTTTGCGTAAGCAAGCTTTATAAATGAGGCCCCTGGTCTTCAGCCTCTTGATAATTAACACTTTGGTCTCAGGGTGGATCTTAGGCATGTTGTCAGAGGTCAAGTTGCAGTTGATGTGAAGGTCTGGTGTGCTGGGGTTCTTTTTATACACACCCACGAATTGATTGATCAGTAACTGATCACAGATGAGGCTGTAATCTAGGATTGGGTGCATCATATGACAAGGCCACAAGACTTTTGTCTTGCCAAAATCTGACCTTTCTGTGTTCATTAAATGATCAATCTTTCTTCAGTGAAGCAAATTTATTTTAGTATATTGAGCATAATTTGGGAGGGTTTTAGCTTTCATATGAGACATTTCTAAAACCAATCGATTAATTTAAAGTCAGGTTATAAGCTTTTGTTTCTACAAAATGGATGAGCGACAAGACTTTTGTCAGGGACTGTACACCAATCAAGAAGCAATTTGTGAAGAAAAGTTGAAAAATATGTTGAAAATCACAAGAAGCTGAAAATTACAGGAAGTATTAATGACATCACACAAAGAATTCTGTCCAAAAGTTAGACACCATTTACACAAGAAGTACATTTTTGTTATATAAAAGTGCATTGTGTAAGTTTTCTGGTGGAGGGTCTGATATTATTGCTTTGTCTGGAATTTTTCACAGTATGGCATTAAAACTTTCTATCTCCCCGGAGAACAAACCAGACCAAGTTAGGTTTGTGGAAAGGCGACCATTTTTGAGCTATGAAATCAGCTGTAATTGAATAAATGGAAGGTAGATATGTTTGAATGTCATACTGTGGCATATTCCAGACAAGGAAATGACATATCCGTAGAAACAAGCTGGTGACAGAACCCTCCACCTACAGTGAAACAATATACTTTTTTTAACGTCTAACTTAGGAAACAGACTTTCAGACAGAGCGGTGTCTACAGTTAGCGTCACACCTTCAGGGAGTGTCGATTATATCAGTTGCAAAGTATCAACTATACTTTTTTTTAAAACAAAATTGACTTTTAGTTTGTTTGTGGGTTAAACAGGTTCAGTGAGTTAAAATCATTACCTCATCAGTGGTCAGTCGTGGAGAAGGTTTTGGTGACTTTTTGAACATCCCTGCAAAGCCTCCAGACTTTTCCTGAGAAATTTAAAGTGACAAATTTGAGTCACTAATGAAATGAGAAAATGTTTAGCTGTAAGCACAAAAAAACACCCAATTATTTGGTTTTGGACCTTCGTTTTGGAGCCTTCAGACAAATTTTCACAACTTGCAGAAAGTGGTGTGTCTCCAACAGAATCCTACAAACAATAGAAAAGTTAGATATAAGTTAGCTGTATAAAAGTTGTTGACAGGGCAGAAATGAAGCCTTCCTGAATAGGTTTAGAATGATCTTAAGCCGTATCAGAACAAGTACAAGTGCACATAGAAAAGAAAGTACTATGATTTAATGTTGAAAATCGCATTCTAAAGAGTATTTTTTTAATCTTGTCAGGGTATCGAAATCTGTATTGAGCATCAAGTCTATTCCTTAGTATCGAGAATCAAGTTTGAAATTTTTATATTGTGACAAAACCATTTTAAATAAACTCACCTCATCTGCAGATTTCGCCTCTGTATTTTTATTAGGCTTTTTGAACATGCCAGTGAAGATATTGTCCTGAAAACACACGATAAGTAACTTAAGTGAAAGTTCTATTGAATGTTTAACTTTTACTTCTTTTTAATACACAAATGCATGAAATAATATTTAACAAAAAAAAAGGACACTACTGTATATACATACTTGCCACATTTACACAAGAGCTTTAAATCTGAATACAAATAATTTCATTCTGAACAAAAATGACCCACTTTTAAAAGAGCATGTAAACGCTTAATTCCTAATGAAAATGATTATTCGGAATTAAACTTAATTCAGAAGTAAGTGGTTGGTTTATTCCGATTTTAAAGATGACTTTTAATTGTTACTGTTTAATTCAGAACAATTAATGTGGAATTAAAAACATCATGCAAACATGGCCACTATGCCATCTCTTACCTCACTGTCAAAAAGGTTGTCAATACTTGAAGATCGTTTGAACATTCCTGCAAATCCTCCTTTCTTTTCCTAAAATCAAGAAAGCAAAATTAAATAAAATATAAACTTAAAATTATGCATACAATTTAAAGAGGGGGGATTTGATATTATATTCAGATCACCATATTATATTTTATTGTTTTGAAAATGCTATATTTGCCGAAAACATTTTATTAACGTTTTGAAAGTGTCATTCGCCCACTGATCTGAAGGTTGGCGGTTCGAATCCAGCTCTCGACATAAACATCTCAGGTTGAGCGGTCAGATCCACTGACCCACAGGTTGGCTGGTGTGATTCCAGCTCCCACAGATGAATGCTGCCATTGTGTCCTTGGGCAAGACACTTAACCCACCTTGCCCACAGTGTCTGGCGTACACTGGTGTATGAATGTGTGTGTGAATGGGTGAGTGGTTCCTTGTTGTAAAGCACTTTGAGTGCCTTGAAGGTGGAAAAGCGCTATAGAAAAATGTGACCATTTACCATGTTCTTTTTTGACAATCTGAGTTTGATTCCCTTTGCTCGCTGAACTAATCCACTCCCCCTTCAGAGCACTATAACATTACAATCGATGTGCATTTCGCTGATGAAACTACTGCTCATTGCATTAGGTTTGTGAAGTTGTTGTGAAGTTAACAAAGTATTAATATAATATCGTTCATGTAGCCATTTTAGATTTAAATACCTACATTTTACATTTCTTCTTATTTAAAGCTAAATTGTGTTATATTATTATTGTTCAGTCATTTTTAAATAAATTATCCATTTGAAATTCAAGACATTTTAACTCATAGTTATTCCATTCTATAGTTTGAACTCACTTTGGTCGCTTCAGTCAAGTCATCATTGCTGGCCGTCATCTCTTCTTTGTCCTCCCTATCCTAAAAAAATATACACAAAACATGTTTAAATAAGATCAAAATAACTAAAACTGTAATAATTACAAGTACATTTGAGGTATAATTATAAAAATAATCACTGGTGAAGCTGCTCTTTCTTTTGGAGTCTTTGGTGTCTTTTTGAGAAGGCCACTGAACATCCCTTTGTCCTGAAACAAACAAAACAAATACAGAACAGGATCAACACACACACTGTATTTATTATGAGGTCAATGTCACAGTTTTGATTTTCAGACCTGTTTATTCTCCGATAGATTTTCATTGCTTGCTGAAAGTTCATCACCAGACTGTTCCTGTGAAGATAGAAATATACATTGGGAGTTACTTCAGAAGAATTCACTACAAACCACAATGAATATCTGTGAGTGAATGCGGTGTGTGCTGGTTTGAGGGACAGATGGTGCAGATGGGAAGCATTTCCAGTATATTCTTGGTCGATTAAAGACATATGCTGCTGATCCATTAGTCGACTAAAAGGGGGCGTGGTAAAAGCTCTCAATACTATTATGTACCTCGGTGTATCTGACCTAAACAGTGCTCACAAGACTTACCTTCTCAGCTGTGGTGCCCTCTGCTGGTTTCTGGGGTTTCTTAAAGAGGTTGGTGAATATACTTTTCTCCTAAAATAAAATTAAAAAGTGAGTAAACATTGCAAAAAAGAAATATCTAGTTTTAATTTTTAACAAAGTATTTATCTTTATTTATAATTTTGCCATTTAAGTCCTATATACCTGCATTATATTTTACATGCTTTTTCTTATTTCTAAATAAATTTACAAAAAAAAAGCAAACAAATAAAATAAAATAAAATAAATAAATACCAAAAAATATATAAAATAATAATAACAGCAATTTAAATTAAAAAAAAAATATTTCAGACAATACATCTTAAAAGTATATATATTATAAATGAATTATAAATGCACAATTTTAAGTGTATTCCTATTTTACTTTAAATTTTTAAGAATGTATTACTATAATCATACATGTAGCCATTTTAAATTTAAATACTTACATTGCCTTACACATATTTTCTTATTTAAAGCTAAATTGTGTTATATTATTTAGTGCTGTCATGCGATTTAAAAAATTGAGAGATTAATTAATTATGATCTGTAATTAATTAATCTAATTAATCTCATTTTAATCTCACCTAAAAATTGCTGAGAAAAGCCTTCAATTTAAGGTATTTTCATTTAAATTCATTATTACATTATTGTGGCAGATCAAAAGACTGATATAGATTTAAAAAAGTGACTTTATAAAGTCATTTATTGTTTAACAAATCTCTCCAATTTGGCTGTTGAGCCCAAGTCTCCATGAATAAGAAACTGTTTGCTGTAAAGTAGCAAAGACGAGGAAATCTGAACATAATAACTTGTGTCTACTTAAAGACAATAATAAGTCCAGACTTTCCTTAATCATATTAAAAATATTATTGATAGAGAAATGCTTTATATATGAGATCACTGGTTTCAGTCCTGGTTTAGACCTGGTTTAGACCTGCTTTAGACCTGCTTTAGTCCTACTTTAGTCCTGGAATGGATTAATCCTGGTTTTAGTCCTGGTTTTAGTCCTGGTTTAGTCCTGGTTTAGTCCTGGTTTAGTCCTGGTTTAGACCTGGTTTAGACCTGGTTTAGACCTGGTTTTAGTTCTGGTTTTAGTTCTGGTTTAGTCCTGGTTTAGTCCTGGACTGGATTAGTCCTGGTTTTAGTCTTGGTGTTAGTTCTGGTTTAGAGGCACACAGGAGGAAGCGCGGTTTACGCAGCGTACGCGAGAAAACACGATCCACACGCGGCTCACGGGAGGACAGCTGTGTCCGCGCAGCGTCTACGGAAGGAAACGTGGTCCGCGCGTTCTCAGGTTAATGATGATGATGAAGGTGTGTGTTTGTTTGTGTGTGTTTGTGTGTGTTTGTGTGCGTGTCCCCTCATGTGGCAGGTCACTATAGGACAGTGCAGACATCATGAGCCTATGCAGGTTGTTTTCAGGCGATATTATATTTGTTATTTTCTTTTATATTTCACGTCGGGAGAATAATTTCCAAGACACGAATGTGTTTTTACCTGTGCACTGCTGACTCTGTTCTACTGGTTCTTCGACCTCGTCCATTGTGCGACTGACGCCGCCAGCGTTAACATAATGTTTACATCGCTCTTACTGCGTGCGTTTTGTGTGGGTTTCCGGCAATGAGAGGAATTACCGAAATAAAAAAAAATTTATAAATGTGTTTTTGTGTGTGTGTGTAAAAAAAACAGGTTTTATTATAAAGCAACTCGCATACAGAAACACTAAAGTTAGAGATTAAAAATGAGATTAACGCGATTAAAAAACATAACGCGCTAAATATGACTGTAATTAATTAATCGCAATTAACGCGATAATTTGACACCCCTAATATTATTATTGCTGTTAAGTTATTTTTAAATAAATACTATACATGTTTGAAATTCAAGACATTTTAACTTATATTTATTCCTTTCTACAGTTTGAACTCACTTTGGTCACTTCAGTCAAGTCATCATTGCTGGCTGTCATCTCTTCTTTGTCCTCTCTCTCCTAAGGAAAAAAAACAAACAAAAAAACACAAAACATGTTTAAATAAGATCAAAATAACTAAAATTGTAATAATTTCAAGTACATTCGAAGTATAATTATAAAAATATTCACTGGTGAAGCTGCTCTTTCTTTTGGAGTCTTTGGTGTCTTTTTGAGAAGGCCACTGAACATCCCTTTGTCCTGAAACAAAAAAAACAAATACAGAACAGGATCAACACACACACTGTATTTATTATGAGGTAAATGTTGCAGTTTTGATTTTCAGACCTGTTTATTCTCTGATAGATTTTCATTGCTTGCTGAAAGTTCATCACCAGACTGTTCCTGTGAAGACAGAAATATACTTTGGGAGTTACTTCATCAGAATTCGCTACAAACCACACTTAGCGTTTTCAGGCCAACAGAGAACTGTGCCAGGTGCCGGTTCCTGCACCTAACCTTGAACCAACTGACATGTTCATACTGAAAATCAGGAACCGAAAAGTTGGATCTCAACGGCAACCAGGTAAAACTTGTTTTTTCTAAGCAAATCGCACATTAGACGTCAGCAGGTTCATCCGGGTCACACGCAGAAAAATAAACAAACAAAGAAAACGTGTGTGTGAAATATGGTGGAGAAATCAAGTGACAAGAAGATTGTGCAGTGGTCAGCGGAGGAGACCAAATATTTGCTGTATCCGTGTTCGCCTGGTAAGGTTTCATGTTTAGATTGGGCGTTGCTGCCGCCTTCTCCACAGCAGATGTTATAGTAGAGCTCGGCACAAATAAATTATGATTTATATGAGTACAAATGCTCACTGGGGTCGATGATGAGATCCATTATTGTTATTTTCCTTGCTGTGACATCGGCTTTCGTATGGCCTTGTTTTGTTCACTTAAGTGGTATGAATGCGGGTCACTCACTGGTACCACTTTGGTTCAAGATGTAACTGGTGTGGGCGGGAGTGGGTGCGGCAAAAGGTCTCAAAACTATTATGTACTTCTGTGTAACCCAAACTGCACTCACAAGACTTACCTTCTCAGCTGTGGCGCCCTCTGCTGGTTTCTGGGGTTTCTTAAAGAGGTTGGTGAATTTACTTTTCTCCTAAAATCAACAGAAAAATATTTTTCTTTCAATTTGAACAACTTTTTAATCTTGGTACATTTAGTCATTTAATATTTATATACATAAATTATTTTGCATGTATTTTCATATTTCAAGCTAAATTAAATACCTAATAGAATAGTTAAAGGGTGTAGAATAGAATTCTTAAAGGTTGTATAGAGGATTTTCCAAGGAAAGAGAAATACAGTGACTTTTTGTTCTTTTTCAAATGTGCATGACACCACCACCTTTCCTCCACAGCTTCCTAAGCTCGTGGATCAGTTACACTAGAAACGTACGGAGTTTGATTGACAACCTAACAGCCAATAGATAATGATTTAGCCTATGTTAATGTTTATCTGGCCCACCATGTCCACAGTTGATGGATTTTCACTCTTTTTTTTTTTTGGATCATCATAATTACAAGGCTGCTGCATCTCTATAATGCTATTTGACAATTTCAAAAAGAAAATTCCTCCATACAACCTTTAAAAGGACCCATATTATGTTGCTTGTTATTATTTTAAGTTTGACTTATTTTCTCCTGTTGTATGTAGACAGTTATGAAAAATGCAGAGATAAATTAAATGGTTTAGTGAAATGTATTGATTTAATCCAGACCTGTTTATTCTCAGACAGATTTTCATTACTTGCTGAAAGTTCATCCCCAGACTGTTCCTGTGAAGAGAAAAGATAATGCACTTTATAATAATACACATTTACATTAGACAGTATGCCACCTGCCTGTCTCCGTGGAGATGTTATTACTTCGCCTGGATGTCTCACAGTGTAGGCTTTTAACTTGTAATTTGTATTTATTCAATAACAGGTGTTTTAATTCCCAAATAAAACCTTGAAAAATGTGCATTCTTCTTGTGAGTGGTGGTCTTCAAGGATATAAACAAATTTCACTTCGTACTGTGGAAGAATCCAGGCAAAGCAGTAACATCTCCATGGAGACAAGCAGGTGGCGGCCTCTTCATCAAAAAAGTTACACCGTGCAACTTTAAATCCTTGTAAAATAGAGTTTTAATTTCTCCAAATGTATTTGAGCAATTATTTCAGTACAGACATATTATATAAGCCGCTCTTGAGGTCAAAATAAGTCTGCTGTGTGCTGTCTACATTTAATTGTAACACGTTATATTGTCCAATAATAATAAAGTGTTTAATAATAAAGTTTTACTGTGACGGCATAGATTTTCCTTACTTTCTCTGGCTCGGGGTCTTCCACTGTTTTCTGCCTCTTGAACATGTTGGTGAAAATATTTTTCTCCTAAAAACACAGAAACAAATGTTAAATCCAACACTAAAAGATGCCATAGAGGAAACTAAAGACTGCCACACACTTCAGGATTTTTCCTTCTTCAACGATTTTTAAACATGTGACAAAAATCGCACACTAGAGACACGAGGAGAATCTTATGAGACTTAAAATCTCTGATTGCAAAGACTGCAGCGAGATATGTCTGCGGACCACAGGCTGTAAAGCTGTGAGCGCGATCACGTCAGCTGTTTCCTGTCTACAGTAAAACCACTCACTTGGAGCCTCTTAAGTGTTTAAAGATCAGTTTAGATACAAGTTAAAACTGTGTTATTATTTGTGAAATGTGGTGCAATACTTCAGATACATGATTTTTAAAGCATAAAAGTTTGCCAATTAGGTACACAGAAAGTAGAGCCTCTATCACTAATCTGCAGCTTCAGCTCGATCCATGCGCTGAGTGGATGTAAACAGTCACATGTGAGGAACTACTCTGCCTTTTTACTTTCAAAGAACGCTTCAAACTGGATTAACAGCTGTGTTTTGTGGACTGGATGTCATTATTTGTGGAGGACAAATTGTATGGATAATGCAAATGAGATGTTGCAGTTTAAATTTACAACTTTTTGAGAGGTGAGAAATAATTAGTTTCGCTATTTCCAGAGTTTTCTATTTTGCATCTCAGTGTCCGTCACTCCGTTTGCCCCTGATGCTTTATTTTATTGGCTGTTACCATAGCCTTGGTGGTGTTTGGTGGTTATGATCTGACAGAGAAGCTCAGAGTCACACTGACACCACACATGAAGACACAAAGTCGGGTCACGCCTCTCCAAACTTGCAAATTGCAGCCAAAATCAGACAAATTCTCCTTATCTAGCTCCATGAAGACAAGCAAGTGACATCAGGCCAGGTTAACAGTAAGAATGCATGTTTTTCTATGTATTTTTATCAATGAAAACTACTGCCATTTAAATTAAGAAATTATATCTCTATAGAACTGATCAGGTGGAAGTACCCTCACCACAAAAGTTACACAGTGCATCTTTAATCACTGAAATAGAAAGTTTGTTTTCATGATGATAGAAAATCTTTATATTATATTTCGAGGCTTCTAACCTTCTTTTTCTCTAACAGATTTTCACTGCCGGTGGAAAGCTCTTTGTCCAAGTTCTCCTATAAGATAAATAAGATCACTATTAACATTTTAAAAACACAATATTGTTCAAATTTAATACACACTGAAATAATGTCTGTATAATTTATTTAAATTTCTATTTATTGTGTAGATAAAACAAAAAGTAAATATTTGAATGAATTATTGTAGACATTTTGGAAGTAATAATTTAAGATTAAATAAAGTATATCAAGTCTATTAACATTAGTATCAGACAATAAAAGAAATAAAATCTAAATAATCTGATTAAGGTGGTCACACAATATAGTCGTATTAACACTGCTAAATATTAGATAAAAGCATGAGTGGATATTTTCAAACCTCATCAGTTAGGGCTTCTTCTGTTGGTTTAGGGGCTTTCTTGAACATCCCACTGAAAATTCCTTTTTCCTAAAACAAACAAATAAAAAGCAAATATCAAGTAACAAGTGTGTATTTTGTTAGATAAATATTACCAGAGTTTATAATTTACCTTAGCACTCCCTTCAGAAGTTTCACCACTGCTCGTTGAAACGGCATCGTCGAGAGGTTGTTTCTCCTGTAAGAATTAAAATGTATGTCTTGAATGCTCCACTGTGTTTTTAAACCCCACACACCTTCACTAGAATCATTTGGAGAATTTTAGCCTTGGAATTGCCAATCTCTACTTAACATAAGTTAAAATGTAGCTGTTAACTTGAAAACTACCGCTACATGACATCACAAGTTGGAACAGAGGATTTTGAGCTTTGGAGATGTTGACAGACAAATAACAAAGTTAATCTAACATGTGTTAATGAAACAAAACACAAGTTTGGGTATCTTTTTGAGTCTAACATGACTTAAACTCATTAGAGTCACCTTTCATATCCTCACCTCGTCTGGCTGCTCCTCTTGTGGTTTGGGAGATTTCTTGAACATTCCACTGAAAACACCTCCCTTTTCCTGTAATAATAAAAATGAACAAACATCGGACATGTTTTTATGAGTTCAAGGAAAGAATGTAGTAATATCTAAAATTGTGTTTCATTTTCCTTACTTTGGCCTTGTTATTGTTCTCAGACACACTGTCTTCACTGGTCAAGGCCTCAGACTGGAAAAGAGCATGGACATTTGACTTATATTATTTAATGTTTTTAGGTATTAAGCAAGTTATAATGTTGTACTTTCATCAAAAAGCGCAGCTGTGCATGTTTCTGTATTTCTGTGTTTCTTGTAAAATTATTCAAGTTATAAATAAATAGTGCCCAAACTAGTTTTAAAAAGGTGCGGAGTTTGAAGTGTGGATACTTGTTCGACCAATCACACTGTTCCTTATACCCTTTAGTCCCACTTTAAGTTCATGTTCAATTGAAAAACTGAAACTTTTAACAAACTACAGCTAATAAAAATACATGCAAACACATATTCACCTCTTCATTCTGAGCCGTTTCTGTTGTTTTGGGAGACTTTCTGAACATCCCACTGAAAATTCCACCTTTTTCCTAAAGCAAAGATTACAAATGTTATGGAGCAGCCCTAAACCTGATGTAAAACTGATGTAAAACAGTGAAGAGAACTCACCTTGTTTTCAGACAGACTGTCAGAGCTGACAGAGAGCTCCTTTTTCTTGTCCTAAAACAGAAGCGAGACCAGAGAGATATCTTTATAATACTGTTTACCCAAAAACATATCTAGAGTTGTGCTTTGATTCATTCTGATCACTCCAGAACTGTAATTAAGACTTATACAAATAATCAATGTTACTAGCTAATAAATAAATAAATAAATATGATGGCTAAATAGAAATGATATCATGTTATACAACTAAAAGCAAATCAATAGGACTACAGTATAAAATAGGACCATTAAGCATAAGTATGATTTTTTTTTTTTTTTTCAGTTTGCATCACTCACACGCAGGTCTCATTAAAGGACCCATATTACACCATTTTCTGATCTGTTATAATGTTGTTTTTTCATCACAAACAGACCTGGAGTTGTCAGATTAAGGTGGAGAGGTAGAGTACTTCACATTTCATATGAACGGGGCCTTACTTCATATTGTAAAATGGGCAAGATGCAAACCGAAGCACACTGACTGAAAATATAGTATGTCCTTTAGTACATGCGCATGGACGATATAATGTGTTTCAACCAGCAAGATGGTCTTCGTTACAGCATGAGAATAAAAGTGGGCACACAAGTGTCCCTAAATACATTATATTACTTTATAATTCTTATTGCACTCCGTAAAGCACACTGTGAAAGGTGTTCTATAAATAAAGTCTTACTTACTTATGACTTATCAGAAAAAGAAGAAAGAAAAGACTGGCCAGCTAAAACTAGAGGAATGTATATGTGACCCACAAAAAGCATGTGCTGTGTTGACAAAAGGTAGAAGTGTCCATCACATATGCATCAATAACATGGCCAGAAAAGTCGCCATACTGGACTTATCAAATGGTTTGTTCATGGGTTTTCACTTTAATTTGGGAAGTAAAAGTTCAGAATCTCCAAAAAAATGATTCAACACTGATAATTAGCAAAGTTAATGCATGCTTATTGCTTTACATTGGCAACTATGATCAATACGATAACAGGTGACATCATAATAACAAATAAGTTATTATTATGGATCTGCTCTCACCAGTTTTGTTTCTGCCTCTTTGTGTTTTTCAGATTTCTCTTCTGTTGATGCTTCGACAGAGTTCGGGTCTGGACTGGGGTCTCTGCTCTGCTGGGACAAAAACATCACATGTTTTTAAATGCTAATAAGCAGTTACATCATGCAGTGTGAACATGGACTGTAATACTTTTTAAAGGGCCGATATGACACTATTTTCTGATCTGTTATAATGTTGTTTCCTCATCACAAACAGACCTGGAGTTGTGTTTTGTTTCATTCACACATGTTTAACACACACACCCTGCAGATTTAGGCTCAGTTCTTTTCTCAAACAGAAAACACTCTGTTCTACCTTGTGATGTCATATGGCAATACAGGAAGTGCTCCTTTGTGTTTTTAAACTCCTTTCAGTAGAATCATTTGGATAATGGCCACATTTACATGATGTTTTTTAATTCTTCTGAATTAAATTGTTCAGAATTAAAATATTCTCCATCAAGTTTACATGGAAATAATAATTCCGAATTGAGGTTTAGATGGAAAACACTTTAAATCGCTTTTATTTAATTCCGTTCAATGTCTGGGGATCGGAAAAGGTTCTGATTGGACAGGGACACAGAAGTATTTATGTTTCCTGGGGAAGAAAACACACATTTCAGATGCTACCAGCTTTTTTGTCATCTTGGTTTGTTGTTACTCCATGGACACAAACATGATCCACACTTTTTTCACAGTCTGAAATTCTCTCATCACACTTTACACCTGTCAGCTGAGGAGGAGAAGGGAAGAGTGTCGGAGAAGGGAGGAAGAAGACAAACTGAGTCTGCTCTACTTCAGCCCACTCCCACATCCTGCATGCAAATCCAAAGAGACGTGGATGAAAGTCCGAAGTGAGGACTGGTGGAGTGGGATCGTCCAGATCACGTCAGAAGGGCGACCTAACAAGCGTGCGCTGAATGACTGCAATTATTTTTAAGAAGAAAAAATGTTTACATGATCGGTTACACCCACTTACTTCGGAATCAAGTTGTTTTTTTCCCAAATAATCATTTTCATAAGGAATTAAGTGTTTACATGGTCTTTTTTAAAGTGGAATGCATTATTATTCAGAATTAAATTACTTTTATTCAGAATTAAAGTGAACATGTGAACGTGGCAAATGTCAGCCCTGGACTGCCAATCTCTACTGAATAAAAAGTAAAAGGAACTGTTAACTTGAAAATTACTACCATATGACATCACAAGGTGAAACAGAGCATTTTGAACACTGGAGATGTAGAAAGCCCAGTAATCCAGCATTACTTACACATGTGTGAAGGAACCAAAACACAATTAGGTGTGTTTTTGGTGAATTAAAAATCTGGTGATTAAAGCTCACAAGAGAATATTTTGCAAAATAAAGAACCTTTAAATATCTATATCATAAACATATATCTAATCACAATTACAATTATTATTTTTTGCTAGTTTTTTTTTTTTTTTGTGCAACCCTATCCCATACAGAAATATGCAGCCCCTTCCATCCATCTAAAATGTAAACTGTATATATGGTTTTAATCATATTATCTGCAGTTTCTAGTATTATTTTCTTCATTCCAGTGCAAAGTATGTATATTTAGAGCTTTCTGGTCAAAAACATATAAAACTGCGTGTGTGCTGCCCCCTGTTGCCACTGACATTTCAACTACTATGTGACATCACACAGTACTTCTCTGATTACATAACCTGGCTGTAACCACTTCACATATTTGAGATTGCCTCTTCCTCTGTACCTTTGTTATGGATTTGAACTGCAGACTCTTCATGACGGCCTTAAGTCCTCCCTGCGCAGACACATGTGAAAAAACAGGTTTAAGTCTCCTCCACACTGTGACTCAAACATGTAAACAAAGCCAGTCTGTTTAGATCTGAACCCTCCTCCTCTGTGCCTTCTGACACATGAGTCTGCAGAGGAAAAATACAACGGAAAAAAACTGATCAAAACATGAGGAATTACAAAATATGGACATTTATTTATGTTTATATTCATCACAAGCTCCTGAAAATGAGTTGTTTAAAACCATTTTCTTAAGTTTGATAACTTTTTGGTAGTAATTGCTAATGTGTGCATTGTGTCTCCATGGTTACTGGTCAAAATACAAAAGATAAACAGCTCAAAACATGTGGAAATACAAGATATGAAAATATTGCTTAAATGATTTTCATGTGCTTATTTTGCTAGTCTTTCCTTTTTCACACTTAAAGTTAAAAGGGCCCATATTACGTTATTTTTCTTTCTACTACTGTTGTTGCTGTTCTAATGTTGTTTCCTCATCACAAATGTGGAGTTGTGTTTTGTTTCATTCATACATGTTTAATCCACAAACTGGGCTGAGTTCTTTTCTCAAACAGAAAACACTCATGTCATGTGGTAATACAGGAAGTGTTCCATTGTGTTTTTAAACTCCATACACCTTCACTAGAATCACTGGGATAATGTCCGCCCTGGAATTTCCAAATTCTACTAAACAAAAAGGTACAAGGAGCTGTTAACATGAAAACTACCACCTCATCACATCACAACATGCTAAAACACGAACATTCACACAGACAGCGGCTCCCTCTTTTCTGCATCACTCACGGAAAAACAAAAACTAAAACACAAAACTACCCACGCTAGTCCATCTTACCGACAATCAGGGAATAATTTAGCTCCATAAAATGCTTCTTTATAAAAGAAGAATAGATATTTATATAACTATACACTGTATCTATACAGCATAAGATGGGGCACAATTTGAAGGGAAATCTCCAGATTTAGCCTCTGGCTGTAGCACCCATCTTCTTCAAATTCGTGGATCTGGATCCAGGATCCCACAGTCCAGTCCAGATCCAACAAAGGATTTTGAGCTTTAGAGGTAGACAGATTAAAGGGTTACTCAAACATGTATGAATGAAACTAAACACAAGTCCAGGTATGTATATAATATAATAATACCAGACAGGTATTATATAGGACCTAAAAAATTGTACCTACCTTGCCAGTGTTCACATGCACAGCTTTAGAGCTGCTTTATCATCCCAGTGTTATGTAAAACTTTTTTTCTGTTTACACTGTGTTTACTTCTCAAGCCAAATATGGCATGATCTTTTAATGTTTGTTTTTAACCAGTACAGCTCAAGATCATTCTAAAGCTATTCAGGAAAGACTCATTTTTGTTCTGTGAATGGTACTTTAGCTAAAATGAGTATCTAGTTTCTATACTAGTTTCAGTATTGATTAGTATTCTGTGTTTATAAAATTAAAGTCTGAGTCATACCTGTGTATTGTAATGGGACATGCTCGCTCCCACCCAGCCACCCACCCCACCACACCACCACACCCACCCACACACACACACACACACACACACACAAGCACACACACACACACACACACACACACACACACACACACACACACACACACACACACACACACCCACACACGCACACACACGCACACACGCACGCACACACGCACGCACACACGCACGCACACACGCACGCACGCACACACGCACGCACACACACAAGCACACACACAAGCACACACACACACACACACACACAAGCACACACACACAGGCTTTGTTTTCACTGTCGGGTTAGTTACAGGTCACACCCAAACACACCTGTTCAATCCAACACAGCAACATCAAACAGCTGCAAACAGATCTACTGTCAGATATTATGGTGCATTCAGTGAACGTCGGAAATTTCAGTTTTCCGTGACTGCTTCTGATTTCTCTGCAGCGGCAGCAGTAGTAGTATTAGTAGCAGCAGCAGTAGTAGTAATAGTAGCAGCAGCAGTAGTAGCAGCATCAGCAGTTGTATTGTTAGTAGCAGTAGCAGCAGTAGCAGCAGCAGTAGCAGCAGTATTAGTAGTAGCAGTAGCAGCAGTAGTAGCAGCAGCAGCAGTAGCAGCAGTATTAGTAGTATTAGTAGCAGTAGTAGTATCAGCAGCAGCAGTAGTAGTATTCGTAGTAGAAGAAATAGCAACAGCAGCAGCAGTATTAGTAGTAACAATAGTAGCAGTAGCAGTAGTGGTAGTACAGTAATAATTGTGGTTAATGAGGGAGTATTTTACTTCTCTCAGCACTATCACAACACAATCAGCATGCATCCCACTAATGAAACTACCGCACATCGCGTCAGGTTTGTGAAGTTGTAGTTTTGTATCTTATTTATGGCCTGGGAGAGATCACTAAATTACTTAAGCATGCATGGGTGACATCTAAAACCTCTTCAGGAATGTTTTGGATAAGTGAACAACTTTTTAATATGGAAGCTAAAAAAAATAATAATCAATGTTGCATAACACCCCTCTCTTGAATAAATTAATAGTTTTATTAATAGCAGAGTCATAATCTGATGTGAACTAAACTACTGTAGGTGGCTAAAATAACATGTTAATATGCAGCAAAAATGCAAAGGAGGGTGAATTCACAAGTTGAGACAGAAATGAGACCTTACATAAAAAGCAGGTTGGCAGGCCTCTCAAAGCACACTCATATGGGGAAAGCTGCATTGTAACTTTTCTGGTGAAGGGACCGGCAAACGCTTTTCTCCATGGAGACATTACAGAGGTACTTACAAAGGTAATTTTGAGCTACAAAACCACCTGTAATTGAATAAATGTAAAGCAGAGCTGTTTAATGTCATACTGTGGAATATTACAGGCAGAGCAATGGCGTATCCATAGAAGCAAGCGAGAAGTGAGAAAAGCAAGTACAGATGTCCCTATAATGAATTTTGAAGTATGATATACTGCTGAAGTAAATATAAATGATAAACAATAGAAGTGAAACTAATGTATGCCACTAACACAAAAACCCAAAAGAAGAAAAACTATTCTAAATGTACAATATGCTTATAAAAAAACAAAAAAAAAACAAAAAAAAAAAACACAAACTGTAATAAATAAATTGCAGAAAGAAGCACTTGAGTAGTTATAAGAGTTTAAATGTTATAGAAGATATTATAGAAAGCTACCTGTTTAAAATTGTATGACATGATTCTTTGTCAAAATAAAACAATTATTTTCCCTTTTTTTAAAAAAACAAAACATGATAAAAACACATCAACATATCGACTTTCTTTCTTTTGTAAACACAATATAAAAGATGTAAAAGTTTGTACCTGTGGCTCTGTGGCCTGGTCTCTACGGCACTGGCTTAACTGTCTGGGAGATTTCAGTTCCTTCAAAATAAGATTCAAAACAAAAGAAGAAACTTGACACCTTTTGTCTGACTGAAACTTTTCCCACACTGTGTGACAACAGACCTTCAGTTTAAACGGTCTCCAGAGGTCCAGAGCTACTCCTCACTCAATTCTTTAACCAAAATAGTCCCACTAAGAATCTCATTTTCAGCTGAAGATATTATAGTTTCTTTTTTTTTACAAGTTTTTAGTGCTAGGGGAAAGTGAAACCTATGCAAGCATAAGTAGAATATGCAAACTTCAAAAAGGCCCCATTATCAAACCCAGGACCTTCTTGCTGTGAGGTGAGAGGTTAGCGAGATGCTGTTGTAGCCACAGCTGCCCTGGGACAGACTGACAGAAGTAAAGCTGCTACTGTGTGCCGTACCTGCTCTGTGGGTCTGGGAGGAATCACTGGAGTTTCAGTCCGTTTTTCTTTGGGATCCACATTTGCACTGACCTAAAAATACATGACAAAATGATGAAACAAAAATGTTTAAGACAATCAAGTTTTACATTTGTTTTAAATGAAGAGGTTGGATATGTTTATCAGCTAAAAAATGTTTTTTTTACATTTGTTCTACCACAGACAATTTTACTACTGTTGAAAATGCCTTAATTTAACATGAGGGTGACTAACCTCTGCACTCTTCATCTACTTTATACTATACTATACTATACTATACTATACTATACTATACTATACTATACTATACTCAGAGGTGGAACTTCTATTTCTGAAGCCACATCTGCCTCGGGGCAGATATGAGCCACTGGGCGCTCTGACCACCACCAAGCACTTAACCCAGAGCTCTCATTTGTGGCTTCTTCATTTGCTCACTTATTTGTTCTAAACATGAAAAAAAATACACTTTTAAATGAAACGTTTTCATGAAAACATACAGATCAGAGACAGTACAAACAGCTCATACCTGGAGTCTCCTCTGATGGTACTGTGTGTAACTCAGCTCCTGCACGCACACACACACACACACACACACACGTGAGGTAATAGAGACAGTTCTGACCATGAAGTTTGAACTCCCAGAAGAATTGCATCTGAACTGGACTTACTGAGTCTGAGGGCCGCGGGGGAACCACTGGGGTCTTCCTCTGCACTGGCACTGGTTTCTGGACCTGGGTCTGGAATTGGGTCTGGACTGGGGTGGGTTTCTCTAGTAAACTGGACTCAATTGTATTTGTCTAGGAAAGAGTCAATTTCAGATGACAGTTTACATTAATGATAAATACAATATGTAAATTGTGGTGTAAGGTAGTTTGCATTACCTCAATGGGAGGCTTTGGAGGAGGGTTAGCCTGCGAAAAAGTAAAATGAATCAAAATTAACCATAGTCCTACCGTTAAAATACATCCTTCATTCTCTCCTCCTCTGACTTTCCTCTGCATACGTGTAATTTTCCTTCTTAGTCATGAGTATTTTAAGATTGTGATTTAAAAGTTGTGTTCTCACTGGTTTGGGTTTCTTCTTGACCTCTGGTTTCATCACACAGGCTTCCATCTCTGCTCCTGAACAGTGTAAACAAACATAAATTAAAACATATCAAAACTCCCTTTGCACCTCCTTTGTGACATAAACCAGAGAGGCCAAGACTAATGGAATTCACCTTTTAATCCAAAGCAAAGAAGAAGATACTAAAAATAACAAAAAAAGAATTACAAAAATAAACATAGCATTTAAAAAGAGAAAAGTGCAGATAAAATCCTTTGAGTTGTCACTGTGCACAGCTAAACATAACTGTTGTCAGTCTAATCATGATCAGTGTAACATTTAGAGAAATTTGGTAGTAAAAAAGTTACTTCTACAATCACAACTGCCCTGGGGCTGACTGATGGAAACATGGCTGCCAGTCTGTGCCAATGGCCTTAGTGACAAGCACATTTGACTTTGGGTTAAGGTTATTTTTAGATGAATTTGTATGCTTGACATAATAAAAAAAAATTATATCAATTAAAATGTGTTAATTAAAGATTTTGCTCTTTGTTTTTGTCAGAGTGAAAATAATTGAGAAAATCTTAAAATGTTCATGCTTTTAGGGTTTTTACACAGATATAAGATGTACTGCGATTTACTGTTGGAAATAACATTCTATTATTTTGTCTAAATAATGATCATCATGGTATTGGAATTGCTATTGAATATTGAGTCTGTTCCTTAGTGTTGAAGTCGAGGTTGAAATTTTAGTATCATGACGGCACTACTTCTAACACACAAATACAAGATAACACATATCTCATATGGACAAATATTTGGCATAAACCAGAGAGACTCCTGAATATTTAAATAATTTTAAAACGTTTTTTGTTCACATTCCAGTACAGACACAAACACAATGGCATTTCCTTCAGAAGACGGTAAAACCGCCATAGAATCCTGGGGTAATGGGCAGCAGCTGGAGCCTCTGTATGACCTGAAATCTCAAGTCTATCTGAGTTTAGCCACAATCACACACAAATACAAACAAACCAAAGTCAGGGCGATGTGAAAATGATAAGAACATTGCTAATTCAGTAAAATGTAGTATTTTGGATATAATTACAGAAATATTTTAACATATTAAGATAAATATTCTAAGCAACACAAGATATATATAATTTAAAGGTCCTATATTATACTAAATTGACTCTTGTGAGCTTTAAGCCATGTTAGAATATGTTGCCTCCACAAAAACAGATCTGAAGTTGTGTTTTATTCACACATGTTTGAGTAATCCTTTATTATTAGTCTGTCTACAGCACCAAAGCTCAGAATGCTCTGTTCCTCCTTGTGATGTCATGTAGTAGTAGTTTAAAACACAATGGAGCACTTCCTGTATTAGCACATGACAACACAAGATGGAACAGGGTTTTCTTTTGTGTGTGAGAGAAGAACACGTGAGAACACAACTCCAGGTCTGTTTGTGATGAGGAAACACCATTATAACAGATCGGAAAATAGCAAAATGCACCCTTAAATATAACTGAGCTCAAACTATATCCAGAATTTTGCCTGAATTTGTATTTATTTATTCATTTTTTATTTGTTTATTTCATTCATAAATTGTATAAAGACATTAACAGTGTCCTGACATTAAACATACAAGAAATGAATGAAAAGGAGCAGAAAGAAGAGTCATCTCATGTTATCTGCCCCCTCTTCCCTTTCCCAGAGAATACCCTAACACTAAGAGTTACTTTAAAATTAACTTGAGCTATCTTAAACTTGAAATTATGATTGGAACCAAACAGATTTTAAAATGTATAAAATGTGTACAGTCAGTGATAGAGCTATACTAAAATAAAATTTGAATATCAGCCTATTGTCTTTGTTAAAAAGTATTAAAAATACTACAAAACTTTTGCTCATTATAGTTTAGTTCATTCACTTTTTTTTCCAATGATACTGGAACCTTGACCAAGACATTTACCATGTTTTAGTATATATTTATATATTACTATAATACTACTTTTGTAATTGTCATTGGCTATAGCTTTGATACTGTGATCGAGTTAATAATAACAGAATGTCAATACCCCCACTTCTGCATTTATTTGTCTCTTGATTCTGTGTTTTGTGATTGGCTGAAACAGGGCACACACTCAAAAGCATCACTCACGTGTAACAAAGAAGGATTCCTGTTTTGATCACAGCATATCCAGACAAAATAAATAAATTATACATTACTTTCTGTCTTAAGTTTATAATATCTACTGCACCTCTTGTAACTTTTGAACTGAACTTTCATAAAAAAAAATATATAATAAAAAAAACCTGCACAACACTACAGAAACAAATACAATGCGTTATTTTGCTGTATCAAAGCACATTTTTGTGTTTTGTGTTTGCGTTACTTTTATTTTCAGTTGTATGGTTTTTTGTTTTGTTTTTTTGCAGAAGTGAGGACTAACAACAAGCATTTCTTACCGTTATAATGCAAATTCGTAAGACAGTTTACTTTTTCGTTAGTCCAATGACAGAAACAGTAGTTTGAAGCACTTTAACGCTGTCAAGTAAAGAAACAAGCCACGCACAAATAGTTTGTTCCGTAGAATAATACTGATATAATAATGTATTAACCCACCGATAGTCCACGGATAAGTTTAAATCCACTTTAGGTTCATGTCACGGAATTTTTTTCCGGTAATTTCCGTAATTTTTAGAGAACGGTGCTTTTTTTCTGCAGCACGAAAAACATCTGCACCGAGACACGTTCATGGACAATGAGAAATATGCCAACTAATTCCATATTAGCGCTAAATTACATGAAAAGAAACGGCCTATGTAGTGAATCTTAAAATATATTCGAGGAACAATAAAACGTAAGAATGAAATTAATTGTTTACAGCTGGCTGAATTTGGCTATGTCCATTTATATTTAATTACAGTCTAAGATTTAATACGATTGTAACTGACAACCATGTAATTACGACAATGCAGCCAAAACGATGACATAACTCACTTTACATGTAATAGACCTCAGCCCAACGAAGTAGCCGAAATTTGTACATAATGATCACTGTTACAATTGAAATCATGTAGCGTACTGTTTTTCTTTTCTTTGTTTTGCATCCAGAATGGGGAAAACTGACTTAGTATAAGACATGTGAACCTATATTTTTGAATATTTTGATTTAGGCCTGATATTTTCCTTAAACATCTATAGTTTACTTTAGATTAATGAACAGAAAAATCCTTCCTATGTTATTGTTTACCATTCAAAAGATATAATTTAAAGGACTATCTATAAGCTGGTACATTGTCATACTATTCAAATGTAACATGTGGTCTACAAAAACAGATAACAACAACATTACAACATTATTTTATATTAAAAACTTGAAAACTGTTGAAAGCAGGCAGGCAAGAGCTTTACAGTCTTTGGTATTTATTTATCATATGTTCAGTGTCCAATAGATCTCACTATAGAATCAATTTCCACAGCACAGAACAGCAATAAGTAGCCACAATAACGCCAGATTGCACACGGTGGCAAGATTTCCTACGCCTATAAAGGCAACACCAGCCTCAAACCGAACAAAGCAAAGCATCTCCAAACAAACAAACAAACAAAACGCTGTCATTCTGTTCTGAGACAAGCCAAAGTTGAAATGAAAAGATCCGTTACGAGACAACACTGCCTCTATGTCATCTATGTCATGAAAAATCTGTTATGAGTCCTGAAAAGTGGAGCTCACCTGGTCCAAGATGCACGAGCCTCTAGGGTGTACCTGGTCTGGCGTTCCCTGCGCGTGGCCTCACCTGGAGAGGGGCGTGTTTTCACCGGAAAGAGGGCGTGGTTTAGGGCTCGTATGACATAAACATGTTTGAGCCATACTAGCCATTTTTCTCATGTGTCAGAGTTCAATTTAAATGCAAGGAACATGGGTGGAGCAAAAATACAGGAAGCAGCGGATCATGCGCACAACCGGACCCAGAGTGTTGTTTGCACCACGCCCCTTTTACGGGTCCTCCTTTAACGATCCCTCAGAGCACGCCAAAAAGTGACGGTTGTTGTTCCCGATAGACATGCCGAAGAGTTGCTGTGTGGTTGGGTATATAAACAATAAAGCTAAGAAGCCTTCGCTAAAATTCATTCCCCTAGAGAGGCTGGCGCCACCTAGTGCCTCCGCTCAATTTAATTTTCCTCCAGCAACTATAGAAACCGGCTGATGAATCATCCCCCTGCTATGTCCACAAGAAAATCCTGTCAGAAGAAAAATATGGCTACAAGCGATACAAAGAGAAAAGCCCAACAGGGTGCTGTTATGCTAGCTGCACCTTAATGCAGGTAGCAGGTTACAGCTTTTGCTGGCAAATAAATATTAACCTAGTTATTAAAATCTTGATTTAATTGTGATATTGTTCATTAGTCTTAGGGTTAGGGTTAGGGTTAACAACTACACCAAAAATGAATCGGACCAAAGAAAACAGAAATCTGGGCTAACAGTATCGTATCGTAGTTATCGGCGCTGACAGAAATTATACCATTTCTAAATTCACTAGCTAACGTGCTTTAAATCTGAGCCTGTGAGTCAACTATACCGTAATAAAATTCAAATATAAAGGCAAAAATACAGGAAAACTATTTCTTACCTGGAGACTCAATGAGATACGAATAAATATCCGAGTATGACACTTCTAGCCACTGAGTGGGGTACACAGTACGTGGGACACTGAAGGGGCATGTTTTCATATTAATTGAATTCAGCTTTTGTACGTATCTTTCCCGGCCTCCGGCAAAGTGGTAATGTATTGAGTAGTCATACTGACTTGGTGTATTTTCTGTTATTATCTACACCTAGGAGTTCTGTATGAATTACATTTATTGACCCTGCATAAAAGTTCATGACGGGGTCGTTTGTTTTCCTCCAGAAAGGGGCGGGAACGTCTCTCACGAGTTAAGTTCCCGGATGTGCCGGTCTAACGTATTATAAAATAAAACACCTTTAAATGTCATCAAAACGATAAATTTCACAAAAATAAAAAATAGAAACAAACGTAAGATTTTTACTAAGAACTTAAATATAATTGTTCACTATATTTTAAAAGAAATTTATCTACCCTGTAATATGCATTTTAAGTGTTATACACAGAATGCATTGCATCTTAACTGTTACATTCTGAATCAGGGGTCTACTCAACCTTTTGCCTCTGGCAAGCTACCTTTACAAAACGAAAATGCTGGAGAGCAACTAATTTTTGCAGTCACAAGAAAGTGAGTGGATATAAGAGGGCAAGTCTTAAATGATATGCAGTTAGATACCTATAAAACATAAAAACATTATCCATTCATCAGTGCACAAAGTTCAAAATAACACTTTTAGAATGGTATTTAATCAAATTTGAGTTATTCAGCACAATATGTATAATTCAGAAATCCCTTTGCGAGCTCCTTGTAAAGGCGTGGAGAGCCACTGGTAACTCCCAAGCTAGAAGTTGGAGACCCCTGTTCTGAATAATATTTGCAATACACAAACAATTTCACAGCTCCACATAAAATGACAAAGGCTTTATTGAATAAGAGTCAATTGTTGCCATAATAATTAACTATTTAAAACAAAATGTACTATCTTATTAATGCTAAAACATCCTTTAGCACCTTTAACTACAAATCCCAAATTTCTTTTGAAGTAGTTCTGTAACTTTCAGTCATATCAGTGAATGAAACCCAGGCAGGTGTAGACTATTATCGCTAAAGTAAACATCTGAACACAGTAGCATGAAACTATATTGTTTGCACAAAATAACTCACCTTAATTACATACAATGACAAAGTGCTTTTTATTCAAAGTACTTTTATTGACAGTTTCACATGTACATTAATTACAGTGTCCTACATGTACAGTGTACCTGTTTTATTGCACTTACACAGAAATAAATAGTTAGCTCTATAAAGAAAATTGAAATAAATATAAGATTTGAAACTACAGCATAGAAACTGTCCAGTGTTATGTAACTTTTAACGGACAGCAAACAAAATGCAAAAAAAAACAAAAGAAAATGCATTCAAGTTATCGTAGCATTATCAAATATTTGTTCCTACTTAGCCCTGAAACCAAGAACACGCTTGTATCCATGGAGATGTCATTGCTTTGCCCAGAATGTTCCAAAGTATGGCATTAAACCAGGTAGGTACAGGTCAGATCTGTGGAGATGCGAACCCACTCACAGTAAGAATGTATGCTTTTCAAGGGATTTCTGAGCACTAAAAACATATGATTGAATAAATGGAAATAATAGATTGTAGATGCCATACTGTGGAACATTTCAAACAAAGCAACAACAACAACAACATATTATTATTATTATTATTATTATTATTATTATTATATGATAGATTATTATATATTAGATTACATATTAGTTATTAGATATGATCCTATTGGTCAAAAACACAAAAGAGTCTCAGTTAATGGCAGAAACGCAGAGACTGCTGCTGTGCAGACTGGTGCTGGTGGATATCATGTCTCTGTGAAGTTGTAGGTGCAGAAGTCACCAACTGGTACTTGAGCTGCAATGAAGAGGGTAGCTCAGGTTGTGGAGCATGTTGTGGAGGCTGACTTGGCTCAGTGATCTGTTGCTGGTTCACTGGCTCTGCAGTCAGAGTTTATGGAGGCTGGTGCACAGGCTGTAAGGACGGAACAGGAGTGGACTGCAGCTGGTGGTGCTGAGGCACATTAGGTGATGCCGTGGTTGACTGTAGATTTTGGAAAGGTGTGAGTGAAGCTTGGGGCTGATACACTGGTGCAGTCACAACTGGCATTGGTTGTTGCACGGGGAAGGCTGGGCCAACTGATGTGGCCTGGTACTGGACTGGCATAGATGCTGTGCATAGATGCCACCTTGCTCCTTACTCATAGTGGCAGGAACAAGCTGGATCACTTCAGGCTGGTAGAAGGCTGTCGTCGACACGTGGGGCATAATCACACTTGTTACCGCAAAGGCTTGGTATGGTTGTACATAACAAGAAGGACTGAAAGGTGCTGGAGCTGGTAGCATAGTAGGCAGCTGCTGATATACTGGACAATTAACTGGTTGAACCATGTAGGCTGCATGGTATGGTATGGAATGCTGTATCTACTTGTGGTAGGTGATGAGGACCCTCCACACATCACTGGAAAGCTAGGATGAGCACATCCAAATGCTGTGTTTCACTGGCTCACCTTATCGACTGCAGCTAAGGATAGAAAGCGAGAGAACCTGAGCGCTGTAGGTAGCTGGCCATCACAGACTCTGTTTGTTGGTGGTGTGACTGCAGCTGCTGAACGCTGGCTCTTGTGCTCTCATCCTGAGGAGAGGCAGTATTAAGGCATGAGGGAATGAGGAAGCCGGACCTGGTTGATCTGGAAGGTGTTGCAATCATCCTGTTGCTTCTCTCTCTGTTACTGTTCTTCTGTTGTCCATTTGGATGTTCGGGTGAAGTAATCCGACCAGTACTGGAGATATCTAGGACTGAACTATAGACTGTACGCGTTGTATACTGGGACATTTCATCCACAAACAATACTTCGTTCAGAGAGTGGAAACAGACACAAAAATGAATGAATGTATTTATGGAGCTTTAATGTCTTTTCTTGTATCTTGTTTGAAAAGATATGTCAAATGAAAGGATAGACAAAGATTCTGAAGATTCAAAAAGATAAAAAAAAAAAAAGCTTACTGTCAATTCTTCATATGAAACATATGAAGAATGGAAACTGTGTTCCTCACTCCCAAGCCTATAAATAAATAATAATAAATGGAAAAGTCCAGGTGTTCTTTGGGGAGATGCAGATTCCTAGCTCTCTGGCAGCCTGGTGGTTACCGAGGGGAGGAGGTTCATCTGAACTATTCTTTCATCTGATCTTTTCTTTCATTGGGCAATCTCTATCATAGATGCAGACTTAGATAGCTTAAAGGTAATGATCTGAAGCTACAACATAGGCCATAAGAAACAGTATTACCATGGTATCAGTACCAGCGTTACCATGGTACTCCCAAGGACCTGTGAGCTACCTAGGAATGCCTGAACTAAATAAACTGTTACTGATCTAGCAGCAGTTATACAGGGGAATTTACAACAGCTATAATTTTTTTAAATTAAAAAGTTATAGTCAATTATAGTAAAGTAATGCATTTAAAACATAGTAAGATGGAAATATATGAACTAAAATCTGTAGGTAAAACACAATTAAGCACAAAATTATAGCCATTATTAATATGCAGCAGCTTACAAGTCTGAATAGCAGGTTTAAACAAAAGTATATTTCCTGAAATGTCATACATGGTCCTATCTCTACACTGTCTATAAACACCACCCTCTCCTCTTGTAACCCTCATTGTCCAGTATCATATGTTATCCTGTAGTTTCACTCTTTGTTTGAGGCTACATCAGTATTTTTATTCCACTGGTTGAAGAAGTTTGTGTTGTGGCCAGTATATCTCTCCAAAACTTTGTGCAATAAAGTGGTAACTGGAGTAAAATGCACAATGACACCAAAACTGCCCCCAAAAAGAGTAAAATATATATTGAGACAGAGCAGGGTAAATGTGGTTAAATTTGCTCAATACAATGTGATTAAAGCCACAGTATGTCATTTTTAACCAAAAACTAAACTTAAAATAAAATCATGCTTTTTCATTGGTTTATTGAACTGAAAAAAATAAAATAAAATAAATAATAATAATAAATGCTTGCTTTTCCACAAACATGACTCTTATTTGACTCTCTCTCTCTGTAACAGAAAATGGAAAAACATGTGAGTTCTTTAAAAATTGCATTATTTTGACTTGAGGGGTCCCCCAAGGTTCAATAGTGGGTCCAGTAGTATTGTATTTCATTGACAGCTCATCACAATTTTATCACATAATAGGACAAAAATAAATAGCTTCAAAAAGCGTGCAAAAAGTCCTATTTTATTAATGTAATTTATACAAAGGTAATGAAAGTATGTTACACAAATACACCTGCTTTCGATATATACCTGCTTTCCATATATAAATAATTTCCCCTACAAAAGCCAAACAGGAAAATAGTAAATAAATAAGCTAAATAATAAAATATCTAGGTCATGATGTACATTCAAACCTTTTGGACACAATTCTCTATGCCAGTGGTTTACCATTTAAAGATCAACTGTGTAACTTCTTGGTTTAGCCTTGTATTAAAAAAAAAAAATAAAAAAAAAATTGGTTCAATTTGTCATTTTAGTTTTTTGAAAAGCCAAAAATGTACGTAATTAAGAGAACTCTAAACATTTGACTGATACTGTCCAGTTTAAAGTGCTCTGAATGAATTTATTGTCATAAAAAGTAAAATGTATCTCCAGTTTTTTGTAACAGTTTAGATTCAGTTCTCATGTTGCATAAGTGGTTTAGAAAATGTTAATTACAAACAATATATACACATACAGATCTTTTACAAAATTATATTAATTACACCACAGACATAACACAGTACAAAAAGGAGTGTTTTTGGTAACAAAATGTGAAAACTGATGCATTATGGCCTATTCTTTCCCTATCTTTCAATATACAGGATGTCCCAAAAAATTTTACATAATTTCGTGGGCCAATAATTTTGGCAATTCTTGTTGAAATAATCTCAAATTTTCACAGAATGTATAGAAACAGATCAAGATTTTATATTTAATGTTTTATTTTTGTTCTGTTTTCAGGTTGGGCCATGCCGTTCACTCCCAAAGAGAAGTGATTTTGCATCTTGGAATATGTTCGCACACAGTCACTCAAGACTGTGCATCCATAATAAACTTACGATGTGCAATACTTATACCAGGGGAATTCAACTAAACTTTGAGGAGGTTCGCTGAAAGAAAATCTCCTCAAGCAGAGGTCCAGAACATCATAATGTCTAACTTGCGTTATGATTGTGATACAGAAGTAGCCTAGTTTTATGAATGCCTGACTGTATGAACAATAGACGAATCAATGAAAATACAAGTTTAAAAACATTTCAACAAAATGTATTGTTAACACTGAAACACACAGTAGGCCTACATTAGATATAGGGCTGCAATTTGAAATGAATTTGAGGAAAAAAAATAAAACGGCAAAATCTTAAAACAAAGTGCTTAATTTCAGAAAAAAGCAGCAGCTTGAGTTTCCCTTTTTCTTTAGCTTTCACATCTCAACTTAACAGTCTCAATACATTTTTAAACAGATATCTCAAAACCTCTTTCCTTTGTGTCTGCATTCAGAGTTGTGATCGGCTTGAATGCACAGATTTGATTGGCTAAGTAGCATCAAGATTGGTTTGTATGTTACTTGGTCCATTAATACAGTGGTGTAAAGTTTAGACTCTAAACTGAATAGGCCCTGTTCAGTTGATTCAATTTATAAAATGAAATGCATTTGGCCTAATGCAGAAATTCTACAGTCAGACTAGATCCAAACCCAGAGTCCTTGACCCAGCAGGAGCAGCTCTGGTTCAGGCCGGACTCAGATGAACTGGAGCGGGGAGTGATGTTAGGCCTGAGAAGCACTTTCTCCGGGAAGAACCAAGTGTGCAGAGGACGGACTGCTCAGAGCAATATAACTAACCAAACGGGATTTGCGCTTATATCCGGATGCTTTGCGCCACCTGAGAACAAGCCGCAGTCCTCGAGCACAGAGGACAGGAGTAGCCCACACGGCTTCACTTGCTCACCCCCGTCTGGAACCAGCACATAGAGGACGGAGTCCTCCGGACCAATCTGACCAGCGTGCTTGGAGGACGGCACAAGACCAAGGACCAGACCCCCAAACACGTTCTGAGGGGCTGAGCGCTACAGTGAGTGCGCCTGTGTCTTTAGTGCTGTTAGTTCATGAGTTCATGATGATAACTTGAGATGAGGATGGCCCATGGTGTTAACGGGGAACATCGGCACCTTTCGCAATTGGAGGTAAAGCTGTTCCCCTGAGGAACATAGGCACCAAGAAACAGAGGTATGGGGAACAACAGGCTGACCCTGTCCAAGTCTGTATGAGATGGTGTCCGGGTCCAGACTCTGACTGTTCAATTTCACTGAGCTAGACTTAGTAGTTTTAAGATAATTGCCTTTAAAATTATGTCAAATTTTTTTAGACACCCTGTTTAATAGTTCAGGCCCATCAAAGTAGCACACAGCACATTGTTTTAGAATTACATTTATGTTTATGGATTTTTAAAACAGCTCAGATTAAAAATACATTTTGTTAACTACAGTTTGATGAGTTCCTGCACTATGCTTTCCTGGACAATAAAGTGTACCTAACCCCTTATGTTCCGCAATATGGCTTTAACTTTTTGTGCTAAATGTTCAGTCCATCATCAAGCAGAGCATTAGACCTTGGTCGTGATCCACCGTGCTCTCGCCGTCTCTCACTATCTTTGTGGCTCCTCCTACTTTCTCTTTCCCCTTTATTATGATCTCTATGGCTCCTCCCACTTTCCCTGTAGTCACTCCTAATTTCTGCATCAATGTCCAAGTCTCTGTGGCTCCCCCTGGTGTCTTTATAGCCACTTGCAGGATCTTTAGCTCCATGATTACTTCTAGAACTCCTCCCACTCTCCCTGTGGCCACTCCTACTTTCTACGTCAACATCCTTCTCTCTGTGGCTCCTCCTACTTTCCCTATCTCCTGCCTTTTCATGATCTCTATGGCTCCTCCCACTTTCAGCATGACTCCGCACATCACCCCCATGACTCCTCCCACTTTCTCTATGGCTCCTCCTGCTCCCTCTCTCCACCTCTTCGCCTCTTTCAAAATGTCCGCTTTGTTTGTCCTCTTTCAGTTCCTTCCTAGAATGATGCTCCGGCTCCACCCAGCTGCACCATCCCTCTCTGTCCAAGCGCTCCCTCCTCTCTCCATCGCCATGGTGATGTTCTAATTTACTCCCATCAGTTCTAAAACTACTACTACTACTACTACTACTATGGCTACTACTATGAAGGCTTTTTGAAGTACTTTCTAGTTTCCTACTTGACAAACTTGGACTGTCAACCTTTAATTTTTCCTCTTGTACCTTATAACTTTCTTTAGGAATCGCAATTTTTTCATCATTTTTAGTCTTGACATCTTCTTTTGCCATCCAGCTCTCTCTAAGACTCTTAACTTTTTGATCTACATTTGTCTCAAATTTAGGAATGTCTTTCACACTTTTGGAATAAACTTTTTCCTCAGCATTTTCCTGTTTGGCCAACCAGCTTTCTCGTAAGCTTTTGAAATTTGATTTTTCCTCAGCTTTAGTCACATCATCTTTAATTTCTTCCTGATTTTTGACTGAAACTTTTGGATTAACCTTAGCTGTTACCTCCTGTTTAGTCAAGGAACCTTTCTCCTCCTCTCCTTTACTAATATTTTTCTCATCAGTTTTTGAATCTTGCTTAGCTGTCTGACCCTCTTTCTGACTCTTAACCTTCATTTTATCGTCTTGTTTTTTACTTTTAGTTTTTTCCAGTTTTTCCTCTTCTTCCTTACCTTCTAATAACTCTTTTCCAGACAAACTAGCTTCCTTCTTGTGCGATTTCTTTCCCAATATTGATTTATCCTTCTCACCTTTCTCCTTATCTGCTGTAATTTTGTTTTCCAATTCTTTGTCTTTCTTGGTAACTTTCAAAATAGGATCTTTAAAAAATTCCTTAATGGACTCTTTGACGCTGTAAACGCTTTCCGATTTCTCCTCATCTAATTTCTTAGGTTCTTTTTCACTTTTTAACTTAATATCAGATTTTACTTTTTTAAGATCGCCATCTCCATCCTCTGTATCCTCAGACTCTTCGAAGCAACTTTTCTTTTGCTGCTTTTGCTTCTTCCTCCTCCTTCCTTTTCCTCTCCTCCTCCTCTTTCTTTTTCCTTCTCTCCTCCTCTTCTTTCCTCTTCTTCTCCTCCTCAACTTTTTTATCCAACTTTTCCTCCATGAGATCCAACTCTTGCTCCAGTTCGGCTAATTTCACCGGATCACATTCAAACTCATCCTCTACTTCCTCCTCTACTTCCTGTATTTCCTCATATTCCTCCACCTCGATTCCATCCATTGTTTTTTGCAGTTGAGTCTTCACTTTGTTCAGCTCCAAAAGCCCGTCTTGTAGATCTTTGCACACGTCTCGAATTTTGGACGCAAATTTGGTTTTGGCACCTTTCCGAAGTTCATGTGAATCTCTGGCTAAGAAGAAAACGTCCAGTGCGAGAAACAGAGCGGACATGACTCCAGTGGTTACGCTTATGGCCTGGACAGCCTTAGCGGCGCCCCCCGCTGCCCCGAGCACCTGCACTGTGCTGATCAGTTTGTCTGTGTTTATCATTAAGGCCTTCCCCGCACGACCGCCCTCCTTCACCACATGCTTGATGTTGTGGTTTAAAGCTTTTTTAGCAGCGCTCTCAGAGAATTTCTCAAAGTCCCACTCCTGCAGGGTGTCTATACCTTCCTGTGGAGAGAAGAGGAAACAGAGCACAGTTAAAAGCAGGGGTAGGCACTTATTTTTTCCATGGGGATACATGAGAAACAGAAAATATTGTGGGAGGTCAGGCCAAAACGCTAAACTTAATTCTGCATAATCTGACTTGTATTTCTTTATAAAAAGCAGTAAACTACTAAACTCGTTTAGTCTTAGTTTAGACTTGATTTAACAACTCCATGTCTGTTTATGAGGAGGTAACAACATTAGAACACAGCTTATAGCTCACAGGAATCCATTTGGTGTAATACAGGACCTTTAATGAAAACATACAGTATAATACAATATGATTACAATCGTCTCCTCAAAATGATGCATATAACAGGAAGCTGAAACTCATGAATAGGTTAGTTCTCACCTGAACGAACTCGAGGCACTCTCGTATGTCCTTGATCTCCTCCTGGTATCCCTGGATCATCTTCTCCATGTTCTTTCGGTCCATGTTGGAGTGGACAGTGTCTGTGATATTGGCCGTTGCTGAGGTGATGCTTCCGGCTGTGGCCACTCCAATCCCCACAGCTGTGACGATGATGGACGCTCCAAATGTGAAGGGAGCCAAGATCAGACCTGTGCGACAAGGGGGCAATGAGAAAGGTAATGTTATGGTATTAGGTTTTTATGTTTGATGCAAGTCACGTTTGTTGATTCCATTGTCCCAGTATACAAATGTCTCATCTGTATTTTACCCATCAACGACAGCCAGTGTAGAGATCTGGACAAAGGGACTGTGATGTCACCCATAGTGTTTGGCTCCAGCCAAATGAAGCTCATCAAGGCTGGCTGTAGAGGCAAATATGGAGCAGAGTTCCATATTTGGAATTCTGAGCAAGCGTACCATAGTAAACAAAGAGCCAATCAGGTGTAAGGCTTCCCACCTTCTCGCCGTACTGCTGTCTTGCAGGGGGTGGGCACTTAGCGCTGTTAATCAAACATGTTGCTAATTCTAGAGGGAGTGACCACAGGGGAACAAAGCATCTGATTTGTCTGGTATTAATGTTCATATGTCTTGATATATGGAAATAAATTGTAAAAAAAAAAAAAGATCATGGATCATCAGGATCATGTAGAGTGGGTAAAAATGAAAATTTAAAAGTCAGAATGACGAGGCTGGCAGCAGCAATTACAGAGAGAGCGTGATTTTTCTTTTCAAAGATAATAAGTCGATGGAGCTAAATCAAGTCCTTGCTCACTTTCTATTTGGAACATGCCGGCTAGATGCCTATCAGTGTCCCCTTATACTGAAACTACATGAAAATCTGAAAATGGGTGCCAGTGTACCTTAACCTTAAACTTAAATTTTATACTTTACCTGTGATGGTGGCAATGCTCCCGGCGACACTGGCCACGCCCCCTCCCACCGCTGCAGAAACCGTCTTCTTGTGAAACTGGTCCGCAGCGTCGGCTAATGCCAAAAGCTCCAGGATTTTGTGCTGCAGTGATGCTCCCCGCTGGTTAAAGAGATGAACGAACAGACGCGCTGCCATGTACACACGATCGGCAGCTTCCTCCATCACTCTACACACACACGGACATTAGACATTATTATTTAGATTTCAGTGGAAGTTACAGCTCATGAAATGTACAATTCATTACAAGGTGGCTATGTAACTTTTCTGTTTGAGCGTCCGCCACTTGCTCGTCTCCATGGAGAAGTTATTGCTCTGTAATTAAACTTATCTCTCTACATAGAGACAAACAGGTGGCAAACCCTACACCAGAAAAGTTATGTAGTGTATCTTTAATTTTTATATATATAAATATAGATTTAAATTTTAGTAGAAGACTATATTACTTACTCTTGTTCATTTTCCTCCTGATTAGAAGTCTCATTCCACTCCGCCCAACCTGAGAATCAAAAACATAACATTTGAAGTTAAGATTATAAGCATTTAAAGGTGCACTGCACAACTTTTCTAGTCATTTTTCTGCTCCCTTCTTCTTACTGTTTTGCCTGGAATGTTCCAAGGTATGACTTTAAACATCTCCATCTAGCATTTATTCATTACAGGCGTTTCTATTGCTCAAAAATACAATGTGAAGGGGCGACTCTCTACAGATCTGAACTGTATCGTAGCGTAGTGCTGTAACCTCCTTGTCCCCCTTGTGATAGAAAGGTTTAATCTGTACTGTGGAACATTCTAGACAAAGAAATACAATTTCCATGGAGAGATCAGGTGGTGGACCCTTCACTAGAAATGATACAAGTACACCTTTGATACCAACAATTTCATAAAAAAAAAAACCGTGTCTTACCTGCGACTGTTTTCCACCACTCCATCAGTTCGTCATTCTCCTACAATGAAGCAAAAATTAGGTTTTCCTTCTCAAATTTCTGGCCTAAAATCACATGATAACAGTCTTTAGTCTCACCTCTTCTGTCTCCATGGGGGATTCTTCAGTCGGATAAGCAGCCATCTCCACATTCTCCACCTCCACTGCCTCCTCCTGGACACACACATAATAATAATCATCTTTATTTATAAAGCACTTTTAGAAACAAGGTTTACAAAGTGCTGTACAGACAACAAAAAACAGTACGAAAGCATCAAATAGCATATAGAAAGTGTACAAAAACAAAGAGGCAGATCAGTTAACCCAATGATCAAAAACAGGACCAAACAATTCAATAAATTATAATAAATAAATTAATGAAATTGAATAAAAATAAATAATTCAAGTTAAAACCAGTTAAAGGAAGGCAAATCGGTAAAAAATTTTTTTAGGAAGTGATTTAAAACACGGTACTGATGCTGCAGCCTTATCTCCTCAGGCAGGTCATTCCAAAGCCCAGGCGCCCGGACTGAAAAGGCTCCATCAGCCTTCATCTGGAGTCTGGACTTTCAACAGCCACAGGGACCTGCCTGAGGATCTAAAGCTGTGGAAGGGCTTGTACAGGGTTAAAAGTTCTGAAATGTAACTTGGTGCAAGATCTAAACGAGCTTTAAAAGTGATCAGTAAAATCTTCAAATCAATTCTACAACATGTATGAATATGTAGTTTATTTGCACTTGTCATAGGCACTTTAAGTTGCAGTTTAAATGCACAAACCTGCTCTGGGTTCAGTTCCTGCATTTCCACTGCTTCCTCAATCATCGGCATTTTGTCTGCTTCCTTTTAGGAAAGTAAAATACATCACATTTTTACTCAAGATTTAACTACAATTAACAAAAAACTATAACTTAAATTAATTGCTCAATGTTCTTAACTACCAATCAGGAATCTATTAAATTATACTAATTGATTAACTGATAGATAAAACCAATCATTACCTGTGCAGTGAGTTTTGGTAATCTAGGGAGGGTCTTTTTTATTCTGAATGACACAACCTGAATGAAACAGATTAAAGTCATGCAGTACTTTGAATTGACCTGGATTAAACATGTATTCAATTATCTTTGTAAAGTCTCACTCTTTTTTTCTTCGTAATTGTCCTTCTCCGTTTTATTCCCAGGCCTGTTGCTGGCTGCTCATCTTCACCGTCCTGCAAATCAAAATACAAACATATTAAAGAGGGAGTATTGTACTTCTATGAGGTATTACCTGCTAACACATAAACACACATAACATTTTTAGTTCACCATGTTACCTTTTATTGTTTTGAAAATGCTATATTCACCAAAAACAACATGTTAACACATTTCAGCTTTGTTTTTGACACTATGCTCTCCGTGCTATGTCATTCCCTCTTCAGAGCATTATCACATTACAATTGGTGTGCATCCCACTAATGAAACTACTGCACATCGCATCAGGTTTTTGAAGTTCTAGTGTATTGTTTTGTATCATTCTTTTGTATGTTTGTACAGAATCTTACAATTAACAGCAAAGAGGGTTTGAACAGGGCCCGGGAGAGATCACTAGATTACTCAGACATGCGTGTATGACATCTAAAATCTCTTCATGTGTGTTTTTAATGACGGAACAATGTTATAACATGATATAAAGCGCCAAAAAGTCAATTTGGCATAATACTGCCTCTTTTATTAAGAGTAAATCATATATAATCTCAAATAGCATCTCATTAGAATAATCAACATTCAAAATATAAATGTCAATGTTTTTAAGAGGAAAAAAATGACCTTTGGTTCAACAATCTTGGGCGTCCTCCTAAATAAACCAGCAAACCCCGATTTCTTCTCCTGTGGACAAAAGAGTCATTCATTTTATAACATAACAATTAAACACTACACAACAAAAAATATTTATAACTATAACTCTTTATTACGTATTTATATTGCACATTACATAAATAAAGGATTAGGCCTACCTTTGCTAACAGGTCCTCATTACTGGCTGACAGATTCTCCTCCTAAAAAAAGGAAGACAAAAATTGGCAACAAATCAAATATACAATACAGCCACCTCCAATGTCTTCCAACCATCTCCACAATAGTCTTCAACATTTTTCAGGCCAGGGACCCCCCAAACTAATGGAGAGCTGGAGCAGGGACTCCCTACTATATACATATAATTGGGCCTAGTGTTGCGTATAAACAGCTACTCTGTTATTACATATTCAGTACTAGGGGATATTCCATCCAAGTCCAGGCTTATCCTGAAACCTTGAGCTGAATTTAGCTACATCTCCAGTTTAAGCCTCAAGTGGTACCATGATATTAAGCCTTAATCTGACCAAAGCTAATTCAGGCCTGAAGTTTAAGATGAACTTTGAGCACTCACAGTGACTTTGAGAAGGCCAGATCAGTGGAGCAACAACATACCAGAAAATGGGCTCAAAGTGTGACTTTTTTTAATGATCTGATTAAATGAGAGCAGAGCCACAGCACACATGGACAAGAGATTGATATGGACCACGGAACTTTTCTGGTCATTCTGATATAAGGAGCGAGAGGAAAGACATGACTCCCCTCTCCTCTCCTGTTCGCTCCCCCTCCTTTCCCAGTTGCTCTGTGGACAGAGAGGAGGCTGTGGAGTGCGGAGCCTGGTTAATGCACCCGGGGAATGAAGTGCCTGATCCCTTCCTGATGCGTGGTAGTACATGCGGAGCCTTAAGTTCCACTGTGCATAAAAGTGAAGCTGTAACAGAACTCTTAACTGGAAGAAACGATAAAATTCGATAAAATTAAATTCGGGCTGACATGTTTGCAGTTTGACAGGGAGCGAAAGACGAGGGAATGAAGAGAGACAGACGTGATGAAGGAGCAAACAGACAGAACCACTGAAAACCAGTTCATCCTCATCCTCATAGAAAAAAAAAATAATGGAGAAAGTATAATCAACCAAAGATTTCACAACCCTAGACCTCTGGTCTAAAACAAGCTGCACATTACATTGGTTAAACAGGTAAAAGACACTTTAGGCTTTTATATAGAGTAGTCCCTCCCTGTGTATAAAATTACTAGATTTACAGTACTACAGTATAATTTTGTCTGTTTAATAGGGATGGGACAAGACATGAGATTACAAGGACAAAACAATGCAAGATTTTAATACTGTAATAAAAAATTATACAGTTCAGTTCACAATTTTGGCAATTTTGTATTTGCTTTATTTAATATTTTTGCTGTCATTGTCGGACTGCTTTTTGGAACTGTAGCTTCTTAAGAAATGGAACTTGCCGACCCTTAACCCTGTTTTTACCCAATCCCAATGTAAACACATGCAAAACAAATGTTATAGATGTTAGCCGAGCCTTACCTGCACCATCATGTCTGGGATACTGTCACAGCTCCCAAACTCAAACTGTGCATCACTCAGAGGATCCTGAAAAATACATGAAGGTTAAATTATTTGACCATTATTTTATGGTGCATGTTTTGGCGCCCAAATGAATCGAAACAAACATGGGCAAAATGACTGATGTGCTGTGGTAGAGATAGACAGATATATGAGGCTGATATTTGCACTTTTAGCTCATCTTGTTTTCTAATTTTGACTTAAGTTGGTAGGATTCTGTCTGTTGTAAATATAAATTAGAACTGTACACCAATGAAGAAGCAATTTGTGAAGAAAAGTTTAAAAATATGTTGAAAATCACAAGAAGCAGAAAATTACAATTACATCACACAAAGAATTCTGTCCAAAAGTTAGACACAATTTACACAAGAAGCACATTTTTGTGATATAAAAGTGCATTGTGTAAGTTTTCTGGTGGAGGGTCTGTCAAATGCTTTTCTCCATGGAGATATTATTGCTTTGTCTGGAATTTTTCACAGTATGGCATTAAACATTTCTATCTCCCTGGAGACCAAACCAGACCAAGTTCCAGGTCAGGTCTTGTGGAGAGGTGACCCTTTTTGAGCTCTAAAATCAGCTGTAATTGAATAAGTAGAAGGTAGATATGTTTGATGTCATATTGTGGAATATTCCAGACAGGGGAATGACATATCCGTAGAAACAAGCTGGTGACAGAACCCTCCACCTACAGTGAAACAATATACATTTTTTAACATCTGACTTAGGAAACAGAGTTTCAGACAGAGCGGTGTCTACAGTTAGCGTCACACCTTCAGGGAGTGTCGATTATATCAGTTGCAAAGTATCAACTATACTTATTTTTAAAACAAAATTGACTTTTAGTTTGTTTGTGGGCTTAAACAGGTTCAGTGAGTTAAAATCATTACCTCATCAGTGGTCAGTCGTGGAGAAGGTTTTGGTGACTTTTTGAACATCCCTGCAAAGCCTCCAGACTTTTCCTGAGAAATTTAAAGTGACAAATTTGAGTCACTAATGAAATGAGAAAATGTTTAACTGTAAGCACAAAAAAACACCCAATTATTTGGTTTTGGACCTTCGTTTTGGAGCCTTCAGACAAATTTTCACAACTTGCAGAAAGTGGTGTGTCTCCAACAGAATCCTACAAACAATAGAAAAGTTAGATATAAGTTAGCTGTATAAAAGTTATTATTATTGTTGTTGTTGTTGTTAATAATAATAGGGTTGTCAAAAGTATAGAAAATCAGACACTAATCGATACTAAAACTAATATTGAAACTAGATACTCATCTGATCAGATATCAATACTGAAAAAGTTCCATTCACAGGACAGAAATGAAGCCTTCCTGAATAGGTTTAGAATGATCTTAAGGCGTATCAGAACAAGTACAAGTGCACATAGAAAAGAAAGTACTATAATTTAATGTTGAAAATCGCATTCTAAAGAGTATTTTTTATCTCCTGGTGGTATCGGAATCTGTATTGAGCATCAAGTCTGTTCCTTAATAATATTAATATTAATACCGTGACAAAACCATTTTAAATAAACTCACCTCATCTGCAGATTTCGCCTCTGTATTTTTATTAGGCTTTTTGAACATGCCAGTGAAGATATTGTCCTGAAAACACATGAGAAGTAACTTAAGTGAAGGTTCTATTGAATGTTTAACTTTTACTTCTTATTAATACTCAAATGAATGCAATGATGTAAAAAACAAAACAAAAAAAAAAACACACTTGCCACATTTACATGAGAGCTTTAATTCTGAATACAAATAACTTAATTCTGAATAAAAATGAATTTCACTTTTAAAAGACCATGTCAACACTTAATTCCTAATGAAAATTATTATTAAGTAAGTGGTTGGTTTATTCCGATTTTAAAGCTGAATTAATTTATTCTGTTTTAATTCAGAACTATATAATTCAGAACAATTAATGTGGAATTAAAAACATCATGCAAATATGGCCACTATGCCATCTCTTACCTCACTGTCAAAAAGGTTGTCAATACTTGAAGATCGTTTGAACATTCCTGCAAATCCTCCTTTCTTTTCCTAAAATCAAGAAAGCAAAATTAAATTAAATATGAATTTAAATTTGTGCATACAACTTAAAGAGGGGGGATTTGATATTCAGATCACCATATTACCTTTTATTGTTTTGAAAATGCTATATTTGCTAAAAACTATTTATTAACGTTTTGAAAGTTTCACGTTCTTTTTTGACAATCTGAGTTTGATCTCCCTTTGCTCACTGCACTAACCCACTCCCCCTTCAGAGTGCTGTTACATTACAATCGATGTGCATTTTGCCGATGAAACTACTGCTCATTGCATCAGGTTTGTGAAGTTGTAATGTACAGTTTTGTATCATGTTTTTGTATATTTATGGAGAATTGTCGTGAGGGATAATGGGTGACGTAGGCATTTGGGGGCGGAGCTTTGGACGGAATCTTACGGGGAGTGTTTGAACAGGGCCTGGGAGAGATCGCTACATTACTCAAGCATGCATGGATGACGTCTAAAACCTCTTCAAGCATGTTTCTAATAAAGGAAAGTTGTAACATGATCAAAAGCAAACATTATTATACTTACTTTGGGAGCTGTGGAGGCAAACAGACTGTCACTGCTTTCAGACAGATCTTCACTGTTCTCATCCTGTATTTAGCCATAAAATATAATGTAAATATCTTATCAATCATCAGCTAATACATCGATGAATATCTGCTCATCTGAAATGTGTTAGGGAAACTGTTCAAATGATCACAGTGGTTTACCTTCTCAGCTGTGGCGCCCTCTGCTTGTTTCTGGGGCTTCTTAAAGAGGTTGGTGAATACACTTTTCTCCTAAAATACAATAAAAAAAAATGAGTAAACTTTACAAAAAAGAAATATCTATTTTTAATTTTTAACAAAGTATTTATCTTACATTTTGCCATTTTAATCTTATATATCTGCATGGTATTTTACATACATTATCTTCTTATTTCTAAATTAATTAACATTTTCTTCTATGGCAAAAAAAACAAAACAAAACATAAAAATTAAAAAAATTTAAAATAGAGATATAAATCAAATACATATCTAAAAAGTATAGATATTATACATTAATTATAAATACCAAATTTTAACTTTATTCCTATTTTAGTTTTAATTTTTAACAAAGTATTAATATAATATCATACATGTAGCCATTTTAGATTTAAATACCTACATTATTTTATGAAATTCAAGACATTTTAACTCATATTTATTCCATTCTACAGTTTGAACTCACTTTGGTCACTTCAGTCAAGTCATCATTGCTGGCCGTCATCTCTTCTTTGTCCTCCCTCTCCTAAGAAAAACACAAAACATGTTTAAATACGATCAAAACAGCTAAGATTGCAATATTATCAAGTAAAGTCAAAGTATAATAATAAAAATATTCACTGGTGAAGCTGCTCTTTCTTTTGGAGTCTTTGGTGTCTTTTTGAGAAGGCCACTGAACATCCCTTTGTCCTGAAACAAACAAAACAAATACAGAACAGGATCAACACACACACTGTATTTATTATGAGGTCAATGTCACAGTTTTGATTTTCAGACCTGTTTATTCTCTGATAGATTTTCATTGCTTGCTGAAAGTTCATCACCAGACTGTTCCTGTGAAGATAGAAATATACATTGGGAGTTACTTCAGAAGAATTTGCTACAGACCACACTGAACATCTGTGAGTGAATGTGGTGTGTGCTTGTTTAAGGGACGGATGGTGCAGCTTTTCCAATAAATTCTTGATCGATTAAAGACACACGCTATTGATCCATTAGTCGACCAAAAGGGGGCGTGGCAAAAGCTCTCGAAACTATTATGTACCTCTGTGTATCTGACCCAAACTGTGCTCACAAGACTTACTTTCTCAGCTGTGGCGCCCTCTGTTGGTTTCTGAGGTTTCTTAAAGAGGTTGGTGAATATACTTTTCTCCTAAAATAAAATTTAAAAAAAGTGAGTAAACATTACAAAAAAGAAATATCTAGTTATAGTTTTAATTTTTGACAAAGTATTAATCTTACATTTTGCCATATTAGTCTTATATACCTGCTTTATATTTTACATGCTTTACATTTTCATCTTACTTCTAAATTAATTTACTATTTAAATAAATAAATGAATAATTAAAAAGAAAACAAAAATATAAAAAATAGCAATATAAATTAAATAAAAATGATCAGACAATAAATAAAAAATGCATAGATATTATAAATGAACTATAAATACCCAGTTTTAAGTGTATTCCTATTTTTAACAAAGTATTAATATAATATTGTACATGTAGCCATTTTACATTGAAATACCTACATTATTTTACATATATTTTCTTCTTATTTAAAGATAAATTGTGTTATATTATTATTGTTGTGAAGTTATTTTTAAATAAATATTATACATGTTTGAAATTCAAGACATTTTAACTCATATTTATTCCGTTCTACAGTTTGAACTCACTTTGGTCACTTCAGTCAAGTCATCATTGCTGGCTGTCATCCCTTCTTTGTCCTCCCTCTCCTAAAAAAAACACAAAACATGTTTAAATAAGGTTAAAATAACATAAAATGCAGTATGCAGTATCAAGTAAATTTGAGGTATAATTATAAAAATATTCACTGGTGAAGCTGCTCTTTCTTTTAGAGTCTTTGGTGTCTTTTTGAGAAGGCCACTGAACATCCCTTTGTCCTGAAACAAACAAAACAAATAGAGAACAGGTTCAACACACACACTGTATTTATTATGAGGTCAATGTCACAGTTTTGATTTTCAGACCTGTTTATTCTCTGATAGATTTTCATTGCTCGCTGAAAGTTCATCACCAGACTGTTCCTGTGAAGACAGAAATATACATTGGGAGTTACTTCATAAGAATTTGCTATAGTCCACACTGAACATCTGTGAGCGATTGTGGTGTGTGCTGGTTTGAGGGTCGAATAGTCCAGACGGGATGCTTTTAGCACGTTTTCTAATAAATTCTTAGTCAGTTAAAGACATATGCTGCTGATTAATTAGTTGACTAAAAGGGTGCATGGCAAAACTTCTCAAAACTATTATGTACCTCTGTGTTTCTGACCCAAACTATGCTCACAAGACTTACCTTCTCGGCTGTGGCGCCCTCTGCTGGTTTCTGGGGTTTCTTAAAGAGGTTGGTGAATATACTTTTCTCCTAAAATAAAATTTTAAAAAAGTGAGTAAACATTACAAAAAATAAATATCTAGTTTTAATTTTTGACAAAGTATTAATCTTACATTTTGCCATATTAGTCTTATATACCTGCTTTATATTTTACATGCTTTACATTTTCATCTTACTTCTAAATTAATTTACTATTTAAATAAATGAATTAAAAAGAAAACAAAAATATAAAAAATAGCAATATAAATTAAATAAAAATTATCAGACAATAAATAAAAAATGAATAGATATTATAAATGAACTATAAATACCCAGTTTTAAGTGTATTCCTATTTTTAACAAAGTATTAATATAATATTGTACATGTAGCCATTTTACATTGAAATACCTACATTATTTTATATATATTTTCTTCTTATTTAAAGCTAAATTGTGTTATATTATTATTGTTGTGAAGTTATTTTTAAATAAATATTATACATGTTTGAAATTCAAGACATTTTAACTCATATTTATTCCGTTCTACAGTTTGAACTCACTTTGGTCACTTCAGTCAAGTCATCATTGCTGGCTGTCATCTCTTCTTTGTCCTCTCTCTCCTAAGGAAAAAAAACAACAAAAAAACACAAAACATGTTTAAATAAGATCAAAATAACTAAAATTGTAATAATTTCAAGTACATTCGAAGTATAATTATAAAAATATTCACTGGTGAAGCTGCTCTTTCTTTTGGAGTCTTTGGCGTCTTTTTGAGAAGGCCACTGAACATCCCTTTGTCCTGAAACAAACAAAACAAATAGAGAACAGGTTCAACACACACACTGTATTTATTATGAGGTCAATGTCACAGTTTTTCAGACCTGTTTATTCTCTGATAGATTGTCATTGTTCGCTGAAAGTTCATCACCAGACTGTTCCTGTGGAAATAGAAATATACATTGGGAGTTACTTCATAAGAATTTGCTACAGACCACACTGAACATCTGTGAGTGAATGTGGTGTGTGCTTGTTTAAGGGCTGGATGGTGCAGACAGGAACCTTTTCCAATAAATTCTTGGTCAATTAAAGACATGTGCTGCTGATCCATTAGTCGACTAAAAGGGGGCGTGGCAAAAGCTCTCAAAACTATTACGTAGCTCTGTGTATCTAACCCAAACTGTGCTCACAAGACTTACCTTCTCAGCTGTGGCGCCCTCTGCTGGTTTCTGGTTTTTTTTAAAGCGGCTGGTGAATTTACTTTTCTCCTAAAATCAATAAAAATATATATTTGTTTTAATTTTAACAACTTTTTAATCTTGATACAACTGAACACATATTTAGTCATTTAAGATTTATATACACAGATTATTTTGCATGTATTTTCATATTTTGGGAGTTTGATTGACAACCTAACAGCTTTTTTTTGATCATTATAATTTCATCATAACATCATAATCTTTGAACATTCATTGACAATTTGAAACAAAAAAAATTCTCTATACAACCTTTAAAGGGCCCATATTATGTTACTTTCTGATCAATGTTCTAATGTAGTTTCCTCAACACAAACAGACCTGCAGTTGTGTTTTGTTTCATTCACACATGTTTAACACACAACCCCTGCATATTTAGGCACAGCTCTTCTCTCAAACTGTGTCATGTGGTAATAAAGGAAGAGCTCCACTGTGTTTTCCAACTCCGTACACCTTCACTAAATCGAGTTTAAGATAGTTGTATTGTGATAACACTACCTCCCACCACCCTCTAACCTCTCATCATCAAATCCTACCTCTCCCCTTCAAAAAGTTTGTCTCATTATTTTCTCCTGTTATATGTAGACAGACAGGCAGAAATAAACGTTTAAAATGTTTTATAAATGTTTTAGAGAAATGTATTGATTTGATCCAGACCTGTTTATTCTCAGACAGATTTTCATTGCTTGCCGAAAGTTCATCCCCAGACTGTTCCTGTGAAGAGAAAAGATAATGCACTTCATAATAATTCACCAGGAATTACATTAGACAGGATGCCACCTGCCTGTCTCCATGGATGTCTCACAATGTAGCTTTTAACTTGTAATTTGTATTTATTTAATTATAGTAAGGCCAGATTATCCATATGGGCCAGTGGCACAGCGCACCACATTGGCTTAAAACAGTTCTGATTGTAGGTGTTTTAATTCCCAAATAAAACCTTAAAAAATGTGCATTCTTCTTGTGAGTGGTGGTCTTCAGGGATATAAACAAATTTCATTTCATACTGTGGAAGAATCCAGGCAAAGCAGTATCATCTCCATGGAGATAAGCAGGTGGCAGCCCCTTCATCAAAAAAGTTACACAGTGCACCTTTAAATCCCTGTAAAATAAAGTTTTAAAGTCTCCTGATGCATTTGAGTAATTATTTCAGTACAGATATATGATATAAACTGCTCTTGGGGACAAAATAAGTCTGCTGTGTGCTGTCTACATTTAATTGTAACACATTCTATTGTCCAATAATAAGAAAGTGCACTGTTAGCCTGTTAGTTGTCGTAAGCTTTACTGTGACTATTACCTTCTCTGGCTCGGGGTCTTCCACTGTTTTCTGCCTCTTGAACATGTTGGTGAAAATATTCTTCTCCTAAAAACACAGAAACAAATGTTAAATCCAACACTAAAAGATGCCATAGAGGAAACTACACTGTAAAGGCTGCCACACACTTCAGGCTTTTTCCGTCTTCAACGATTTTTAAACATGCGACAAAAAGCGTACACTACAGACACAAGGAGAATCTTATGAGACTTAAAATCCTAGATCGCAAAGACTGCAGCGAGATATGTCTGCAGACCACTGGCTGTAAAGCTGTGAGCGCGATCACATCAGCTGTTTCCTGTCTACAGTAAAACCACTCACTTGGAGACTCAAGTGTTCAAAAGATCAAGTCAACACTGAGTTTTTTGAAACTCTTTTTGAAACTAATTTTTATTTGTGAAATGTGGTGCAATACTTCAGATACATGATTTTTAAAGCATAAAAGTTTGCCAATAAAGTACACAGAAAGTAGAGTCTCTATCACTAATCTGCAGCTTCAGCTCGATCAGTGCGCTGAATGGATGTAAACAGTCACATGTGAGGAACTACTCTGCCTTTTTACTTTCAAAGAACACTTCAAACTGGATTAACAGCTGTGTATTGTGGACTGGATGTCATTATTTGTGGAGGACAAACTGTATGGATAATGTGGATGAGAAGTTGCACTTTAAATTTACAACTTTTCGAGAGGTGAGGAATAATTAGTTTTACTATTTCCCGAATTTGTATCTTGCGTCTCTGTGTCTGTCACTTCGTCTGCCCCTGACACTCTGTTTTATTTGTTGTTACCATAGCGTTGCTAGTGTTTGGTGATTACAATTTCACAAAGCAGCTCAGAGTCACACTGACACCACACATGAAGACGCAAAGTCGGGTCATGCCTCTCCAAACTCGCAAATTGCAGCCAAAATCAGACAAATTCTCCTGTAGTGTGTGGCGGCCTTTTGATTAACATATAGTACCTACTTTATTTGTGCTACGTTCAGACAGGTCATCAGTGCTGCCTTGTGGTTCTTTCTTCTCATCTCCCTCCTAAAAAGTATGAAAATTCAGATACTAATACTCATTTGAGCAAGTACCGATACTAAAAAAATCCCATTGAGAGGACAGAGTCTTTCCTGAATGTCTTTTGAATGATCTTGAGCTGTATAGTATAAGAGGACATAAACTAGTATATGCCCATGGACCACTATGAAACCTACCTGAACCACTGAGAAGACCACATGAGAATAGAATTATGATTTAATGTTGAAAGTCACACTCTATTGTCTAAAGAAAGAGTGTTTTTTAATCATAGTGTTATCAGAATCAGTATTGAGTATTGAATCTATTCATTAGTATTGAAAACAAATTTGAAATTTTAGAATTGTGAAACACTACTCCTAAAACAGTAATATGTTCACTTCAAAATTCATAATATTGTCCTAATGCAGGTAGATTTATTTGATTTGATTTCACATACCGGCATCTCAGTCTTTTCTGAAGTTTTTGGAGTCTTTTTGAGCAGGCCGCTGAACATCCCTTTGTCCTAAATAGACAACAGACAAAAATCAGCCATTTTGTGCACATTTTGTATGTAACTTCTCTGTGGAGGGTCGCCACCTGATTGTCCTCCTGGAGATGGTATTGTTTGGCCTGGCATGTTCCACAGTATGGCATTAAACTTATCTAGCTCCATGAAGAAAAGCAAGTGACATCAGGCCAGGTTAACAGTAAGAATGCATGTTTTTCTATGTATTTTTATCAATGAAAACTACTGCCATTTAAATTAAGAAATTACATCTCCATAGAACCGATCAGGTGGAAGTACCCTCACCACAAAAGTTACACAGTGCATCTTTAATCACTGAAATAGAAAGTTTGTTTTCATGATGATAGAAAATCTTTATATTATATTTCGTGGCTTCTAACCTTCTTTTTCTCTGACAGATTTTCACTGCTGGTGGAAAGCTCTTTGTCCAAGTTCTCCTATTAGATAAACAAGATCATTATTATCATTTTAAAACACAATGTTGTTTGAATTTAAGACACACTGAAATAATAATGTCAGTGTAATTTATTATAATTTGTATTTATTGTGCAGATAATAATATAATAATTTAAGATTAAATAATGTATATTAAGTACTATAACATTAGCATTAGACAATAAAGAGATAAAAATCTAGATGGTCACACAATATAGTCGTATTAACACTGCTAAATATTAGATAAAAGCATGAGATATTTTCAAACCTCATCAGTTAGGGCTTCTTCTGTTGGTTTAGGGGCTTTCTTGAACATCCCACTGAAAATTCCTCCTTTTTCCTAAAACAAACAAATAAAAAGCAAATATCAAGTAACAAGTGTGTATTTTGTTAGATAAATATTACCAGAGTTTATAATTTACCTTAGCACTCCCTTCAGAAGTTTCACCACTGCTCGTTGAAACGGTATCATCGAGAGGTTGTTTCTCCTGTAAGAATTAAAATGTATGTCTTGAATGCTCCACTGTGTTTTTAAACCCCACACACCTTCACTAGAATCATTTGGAGAATTTCAGCCCTGGAATTGCCAATCTCGATTTAACATAGGTTAAAAGGCAGCTGTTGACTTGAAAACTACCGCTTCATGACATCACAAGGTGGAACTAAGGTTGTCGCAATAACCTCAGAAATGAATCACCATGGTACTAAAAGGCCCATCACGGTGCATGTTGGGCCACCACAATCACTGCACGTGACCACGTGACACAATGCAGAGTCCTGCATGGGTCAATTTTTAGAGACCCGCACCCGCCCAGACCTGTTAACATTCCACCCATTACCGCCCGTGCCCGTGATAACCCAAGACTAACCCAGGACTAACCCAGGACTAAAAGTGCGCTTGTGAAGACAGTCAGGTGACCACAGGCGAAAGGACTACAGCAGCTCCGTGCCGCACGGAGGTAAATGCAGCCGTCACCCGATTGCGCTTTGCGGACACCTGCCCCGTGTGCACTTAAGTCCGTGGGTACCCGAGCCGGTGCAGGACTCTGACCCGAGCTACCACATTGAGAGCTGGAGAGATGCAGTGGCACTTGTTCCAAAGCCAAATGTTACTTCGCCCACGCTACACGCGCTATCCACACGACAACCAAGGTACATGTGTATGTGCACAACAAGCGCATCATCGGAGAGTTTTCAGTGTCACTGGAAACATTATAACTCCGGGGGATGGGGGGTGGGTGAGGGGCTGCGATATCATCGCATATAGCGCTGTTGAGCCGCTATACCGCACCACAGGAGAAATTCCCTAATGGCGACTAGGTGGCACAGAGCATTTTGAGCTTTGAAGATGTAGACAAACTAATAATAAAGTTAATCAAACATGTGTGAATGAAACAAAAAACTACTCCTGGTATTTTTTTGAGTGACTTATAGCTCACTAGATTCAACTTTCATATCCTCACCTCCTCTGGCTGCTGCTCCACTTGTGGTTTGGGAGATTTCTTGAACATTCCACTGAAAACACCTCCCTTTTCCTGTAAAAATAAAAATAAAAATGAACAAACATCAGACATGTTTTTATGACTAAAAGGAAAGAATGTCGTAATATCTAAAATAGTGTTTAAATTTCCTTACTTTGGCCTTGTTGTTGTTTTCAGAGACACTGTCTTCACTGGTCAAGGCCTCAGACTGGAATAGTGCATGGACATTTGACTTATTATTTAATGTTTTTAGGTTTTAAACCAGTTATAATGTTATACTCTCATCAAAACAGTTGTGCATGTTTATATATTTCTGTATAGTAAAATTATTCAAGTTATAAATAAATAGTGTCCAAAACTAGTTTTAAAAAGGTGCATTTAACTTTAAAGGTGCATGTATCTTTTTTGGTGGAGGTTTGGCCAAATGCTTTTCTTCATGGAGATGTTATTGCTTTTTCTGGAATATTTCACAGTATGGCATTAAATCTTTCTATCTTCAGGAAGCCTAAACCAAACCAAGTTACAGGTCAGATCTGCGGAAAGGCGACCCCACTTACAGTCAGAATGCTTGTTTTTCTAGGGATGTGACATCACTAAACACTGCCCTGATCACAGTCAGGTGTTTCTGATACAAACGCCTGTCTGCAGGGGGCGGAGCTTGAAGTGTGGATACCTGTTCGACCAATCACACTGTTCTTTATACCTCCAGATCCTGCCCCCTCCTCCCACCTCACTCTCCCCTTTAGTCCTTCAGACACCCCCTCACTCTTCCCTTTAGTCCTACAGATCCCCCCTCACTCTCCCCTTTAGTCCTTCAGACCCCCCCTCACATTCTCCTTTAGTCCTCCGCCTTTAGTCCCACTTTAAGTTCATGTTCAATTGAAAAACTGAAACTTTTAACAAACTAGAGCTAATAAAAATACATGCAAACACATATTCACCTCTTCATTCTGAGCCGTTTCTGTTGTTTTGGGAGACTTTCTGAACATCCCACTGAAAATTCCACCTTTTTCCTAAAGCAAAGATGACAAATGTTATGGAGCAGCCCTAAACCTGATGTAAAACTGATGTAAAACAGTGAAGAGGACTCACCTTGTTTTCAGACAGACTGTCAGAACTGGCAGAGAGCTCCTTTTTCTTGTCCTAAAACAGAAGAGAGACCAGAGAGATATCTTTATAATACTGTTTACTCAAAAACATATCCAGAGTTGTGTTTTGATTCATTCTGGTCACTCCAGAACTGTAATTAAATAATCAATGTTACCAGCTAATAAATAAATAAAAATTATGGCTAAATAGAACTGATATAATGTTATACAACTAAAAGTAAACCAAAAAGATTAAAGCATAAAATAGGACCATTAACAACATGTATGATTTTTTGTCAGTTTGCATCACACACATGCAGGTCTCATTAAAGGACCCATATTACACTATTTTCTGATCTATGTTATAATGTTGTTTTTTTCATCACAAACAGACCTGGAGTTGTCAGATTAAGGGGAGAGGTAGAGTACTTCACTGGGTCATAAAAATATCTCTAAAATTCACAGTACAGGTACTCTAGCATTTTTGTGTCTGGAAAAATCTAATAAGTTATTATTATGGATCTGTTCTCACCAGTTTTGTTTCTGCCTCTTTGTGTTTTTCAGATTTCTCTTCTGTTGATGCTTCGACTGAGTTCGGGTCTGGGGTCTCTGCTCGCCTGGGACAAAAACATCACATGTTTTTAAATGCTAATAAGCAATTACATCACGCAGTGTGAACATGGACTGTAATACTTTTTAAAGGGCCGATATGACACTATTTTCTGATCTATGTTATAATGTTGTTTCCTCATCACAAACAGACCTGGAGTTGGGTTTTGTTTCATTCACACATGTTTAACACACAAACCCTGCAGATTTAGACTCAGTTCTTTTCTCAAACAGAAAACGCTCTGCTCTACCTTGTGATGTCCTGTGATAATACAGGAAGTGCTCCTTTTTGTTTTCGATAATGGCCACGTTTACATTATTTTTTTTAATTCTCCTGAATTAAATAGTTCGTAATTCAAATATTCTCTATCAAGTTTACATGGAAATAATAATCCTGAATTGAGGTTTACATGTGAAAACACGTTAAATTGTCTTTATTTAATTCCGCTCAATGTCTGGGGGTCGGGAAAAGTTCTCATTGGACAGGGACAGGGAGATGTAGACAGACCAGTAATCCAAGATTACTCAAACATGTGTGAAGAAACCACATTCTCACACGGATTAAATCTCACAAGAGTACATTTTGCATTATATAGAATCTTTAAATGTCTATATCATAAACATATATCTAATCGCAATTATTATTATTTTTTCTGTTTTTTTCCCAAAATTGCACAACCCTATCCCATACAGAAATATACAGACTCTTGCCATCCATCGAAAATGTAAACTGTGTATGTAAACTGTGTCTAGTATTATTTTGTAAATTTCAGTGCAAAGTATGAATATTTAGAGCTTTCTGGTCAAGAACATATAAAACTGCGTGTATGTTGTCTCCAGTTCCCTCTGACATTTCAAGTACTATGTGACATCACGCAGTACTGCACTGATTATTTACACCTGGCTGTAACCACTTCACATATTTGAGATTGCTTCTTCCTCTGTACCTTCGTTGTGGGTTTAAACTGCAGACTCTTCATGACGGCCTTAAGCCCTCCCTGCTCAGACACATGTGAAAAAACAGGTTTAAGTCTTTTCCGCACCATGACTCACACATGTAAACAAACAGACAGATAACAAAGAGACGAACCTGTTTGGAGCCGGGAGCCAGTCTGTTCACGTCCGAGCCCTCCTCCTCTGTGCCTTCTGACACATGAGTCTGCAGAGGAAAAATACAACGGAGAAAAAAAAAAGATCAAAACATGTGGAATTACAAGATATGGAAATTTATTTATGTTTGTATTCATCACAAGCTTCTGAAAAGGAGTTTGTTTAAAACCATTTTCTTGAGTTTTGAAACTTTTTGGTATTGCTAATGTGTGCATTGTGTCTCCATGGTTACTGGTCAAAATACAAAAGATAAACAGCTCAAAACATGTGTAATTACAAGATACGACAATGCCATTCAGAAAATATTGATTAAATTATTTGCATGTGCTTATTTTGCTAGTCTTTCCTTTTTCAGACTTAAAGTTAAAAGGGCTCATATTACATTATTTTTCTTTCTACTAGTCGGTTCTAATGTTGTTTCCTCCTCACAAACGTGGAGTTGTTTTTTGTTTCATTCACACATTTAACACACAAACTGCAGATTCAGGCTGAGTTCTTTTCTCAAACAGAAAACACTCATGTCATGTGGTAATACAGGAAGTGCTCCATAAAACTCCATACACCTCCACTAGAATCAGTTAGATCATTTCTGCCTTGGAATTTCCAAATTTTACTCAACAAAAAGGTAAAAGGAGCTGATAACTTGAAAACTACCACCTCATAAAATTATAACATGCTAACGTACATGAACATTCATTTGAAGGAAAATCTCCAGCTTTACACTTTGGCACCCGTCTCCATCAAACTTGTGGATCTGGATCCAGGGTCCCACAGCCTGGTCTGGACCGAACAGAGCATTTTGAGCTTTAGAGATAGACAGACTAAAGGGTTACTCAAATGTGTAAATGAAACAAAACACAAGTACAGGTATGTTTTTGATGGGGTAACAGTATAACACGGTTTAAAGCTCACAAGAATCCATTTTGAGTAATTAAGGGGCTTTAAATTGTTCCTGCCTTGCCCGTAGTTTTTGTTTAAACTTAGTTTTTTTCTCAAGCCAAGTATGACATAATCTTTTAATGTTTGTTTTTAACCTGTATAGTTCAAGATCAGTCTAAAGCTAATCAGGAAAGGCTCATTTTTGTTCTGTGAATGGGACTTTAGCTAAAATGAGTATCTGGGTACAATACTAGTTTCAGTAGTGATTAGTATTTTATAATGCATTTTTATAATTAAAGTTTGACTCATACATGTGCATTGTAATGGGACATGCTCTCACACACATAGGCTTTGTTTTGACTTTCGGATTAGTTACAGGTCACACCCAAACACACCTGTTCAGTTCAACACAGCAAAATCTGTATAGAGATCTACTGTCAGATATTATGGCGCGTTCAGAGGACATAGGAAATTTCTGTTTTCCATGACTATTTTTGTTTTCTCCTTGTGTAATGTTTAATGTAACTCAACAAATGAATCTGCAGTCTAATGTAAGGATGCTAGATTATGGAAAAATAAGAGCTATGAATAAGACCAGCCCTGAAGACTATCTCTATAAAACCACTTTTTAGTCACTTTCGCATTTCGTTTGTTTGCCTTCGTTTGTCTCTTCATGTAAAGAGTCTTTGAATATCATGAAAAGCATTATACAAGTGTTATTTTTAGTAGTAGTAGTAGTAGTAGTAGTAGCTATAGCAGCAACAGCAGTTTTAGCATTAGTAGTAGCAGTAGCAGTATTAGAAGTAGTAGTATCAGCAGCAGCAGAAGCAGCAGTAGTAAAAGTAGCAGTAGCATTAGTAGTAGCAGCAGACACAGTAGTAGCAGCAGTAGTAGTAGCAGTAGTAGCAGCAGCAGAAGAATTAGCAGCAGTAGTAGTAGCAGTAGGAGCAGCAGCAGTAGTAATAGTACAGTAATAATTGTGGTTAAAGAGGGAGTATTTTACTTCTGTTTGGTATTACCCGCTAACACATAACACATTTACATCACCTTGTCGTCTTCTATTGTTTTGAAAATGCTGTACTTTTTTATACTTCAGAACACAACACAATCAGCGTGCATCCCCCTAATGAAACTACTGCACATCGCATCAGGTTTGTGAAGTTGTACTGGACAGAATAGACATAGACATTGCCTTAATGCTAATTGTAAAGAGGGTTTCAATAGGTTCCTGGAGAGATCGTTAAGTTACTCGAACATGCATGGATGTCACTCATAAATGTTTTCGATGAGGGAGCGTTTTTAACATGGAAGCTAAAAAATAAATAAATACATTTTGCATAATACCCCCTCTCTTGAATCAATTAATAGTTTTATTTAATTTGCACAGTCATAATCTGATGTGAACTAAGTCCAGCTATAGCAATTCTCTGACTTGTTTGGCTGTAGGTTTCTAAAATAATGTTAGAATGCAGCAAAAATGCAAACAAGGGTGAATTCACAAGTTGCATAAAACAATAATTTTCCCTCTTTTTTAAACAAAACATGATAAAAAAAAAATTAATAACGTTCTTTCTTTTTTTTTTTGGAAACACAGTACAAAAGAAGTAAAAGTTTGTACCTGTGGCTCTGTGACCTGGTCTCTGCGACGTAGGCTGAATTGTCTGGGAGATTTCAGCTCCTTCAAAATAAAATAAAGATTCAAAACAAAAGAAGAACTCGACACCTTTTGTCTGACTGTGAATTTTTTCCCACACTGTGTGACAATAGACCTCAGACAACCCACTGTAATCTGTTTACTCTGAAGGGGAGACTGAACACTGGAAAATGGGTATGTAAGAGGTAATATAACTAAAATTAAAGGTGCTCTACCTGTGTTTTTGAATTAAAAATGTAAAAAACAGAACTAGTTCATTTTAAACGGTCTGCAGAGGTCCAGAGTTATTCCTCAGTCACTCAGTTCTTTAACCAGAATAGTCCCGCTAAGGATCTCATTTTCAGTTGATAGTTCAACTTAATGTTTTTAGTGCTAGGGGAAACTGGAGCACCCAGAAGAAACCTATGCAGGCATAACCAGAACATGCAAGCTCCACAGAGAAAGGCCCCAGAATCAAACCCAGGACCTTTTTACTGTGAGGTAAGGGCACTAACTGCTGTGCCATTGTGCCGCATGCTGCCTTACATGAAAATCATCTTAGAAATTCTCTCAAAGCACGACAATTTAGTCCCTATTCATTCACTCTTTGATTAGCGAGATACTGTTGTAATCACAGCTGCCCTGGGACAGACTGACAGAAGTGAGGCTGTTAGAGTGTGCTGTACCTCCTCTGTGGGTCTGGGAGGAATCACTGGAGTTTCAGTCTGTTTTTCTTTGGGATTCACATTTGCACTGACCTAAAGATACATGACAAAAAGATGAAACAAAAATGTTTAGACAATCAAGTTTTACATTTGTTTTAAATGAAGAGGTTGGATATGTTCATCAGCTAAAAAATGTTTTTTTACATTTGTTCTACCACAGACTATTTTACTACTGTTGAAAATGCCTTATATTTAACATGAGGGTGACTAACCTCTGCACTCTTCATCTACTTTATACTATACTATACTATACTCAGAGGTGGTACTTCTATTTCTGAAGCCACATCTGCCTCGGGGCAGATATGAGCCACTGGCCGCTCTGACCACCACCAAGCACTTAACCCAGATCTCTCATTTATGGCTTCTTCATTTGCTCACTTATTTGTTTTTTTAATTTCTAAACATGAAATAGATGCATTTAAGTGAAATGTTTTCATTAAAACACAAAGATCAGAGACAAACGACTAATACCTGGAGTCTCCTTTGATGGCTCTGTGTGTAACTCAGCTCCTGCACAAACACACACATATGTGAGGTAATAGAGACAGTTCAGACCATGAAGTTTGAACTCCCAGAAGAATTGCATCTGAACTGGACTTACTGAGTCTGAGGGCCGCGGGGGAACCACTGGGGTCTTCCTCTGCACTGGGACTGGTCTCTGGACCTGGGTCTGGAATTGGGTCTGGACTGGGGTGGGTTTCTCTAGTAAACTGGACTCAATTGTATTTGTCTAGGAAAGAGTCAATTTCAGATGACAGTTTACTTTAATGATAAATACAATATGTAAGTTGCGGTGTAAGGTAGTTTGCATTACCTCAATGGGAGGCCTTGGAGGAGGTTTAGGCTGCGAAAAGTAAAATGAATCAAAATTAACCATAGTCCATCCTTCATTCTCTCCTTCTCTGACTTTCCTCTGCATTATAATATGGGTAATTTTCCTTCTTAGTCATGAGTATTTTAAGATTGTGATTTAAAAGTTGTGTTCTCACTGGTTTGGGTTTCTTCTTGACCTCTGGTTTCATCACACAGGCCTCCATCTCTGCTCCTGAACAGTGTAAACAAACATAAATTAAAACATATCAAAACTCCCTTTGCACCTCCTTTGTGACATAAACCAGTGAGGCCAAGACTAATGGAATTCACCATTTAAACCAAGGCAGAGAAGAAAATACTAAAAATGACCAAAAAAAAAAGAATTACAAAAATAAACATAGCATTTAAAAGAGAAAAGTGCAGTAAAAAAAATCCTTTGAGTTGTCACCGTGCACAGCTAAACATAATTGTTGTCAGTCTAATCATGATCAGTGTAACATTTAGATTGACATTAATTATGTTTAGCTGTGCACACTGACAACTCAAAGGATTTTATTTGCACAGCTAAACATAACCGCTGTCAGTCTAATCATGATCAGTGTAACATTTAGAGAAATTTGGTAGTAAAAAAGTTATTTCTACAGTCACAGCTGCCCTGGGGCTGACTGATGGAAACATGGCTGCCAATCTGTGCCAATGGCCTTAGTAACAAGCACATTCAACTTTGGGTTAAGGTTATGTTAAGATGAATTTTTATGCTTAACACAATAAAAAATATTATAAATTAAAATGTGTTAATTAAAGATTTTGCTCTTTGTTTTTGTCAGAGTGAAAATAATTGAGAAAATCTTAAAATGTTCATGCTTTTAGGGTTTTTACACAGATATAAGATGTACTGCGATTTACTGTTGGAAATAACATTCTATTATTTTGTCTAAATAAAGATCATCACGGTATTGGAATTGCTATTGAATATTGAGTCTGTTCCTTAGTGTTGAAGTCGAGGTTGAAATTTTAGTATCATGACGGCACTACTTCTAACACACAAATACAAGATAACACATATCTCATATGGCAAATATTTGGCATAAACCAGAGAGACTCCTGAACATTTAATTAATTTTAAAACTGTTTTTGTTCACATTCCAGTACAGACACAAACAGAATGGCATTTCCTTCAGAAGACGGTAAAATCGCCATAGAATCCTGGGGTAATGGGCAGCAGCTGGAGCCTCTGTATGATCTGAAATCTCAAGTCTATCTGAGTTTAGCCACAATCACACACAAATACAAACAAACCAAAGCCAGGGCAATGTGAAAATGATAAGAACACTGCTAATTCAGACAATTACCAGAATAGAAACACTTTAACTAACTATTCTAATCAACACAAGATATAATTTAAAGGTCCTATATTATACTAAATTGACTCTTGTGAGCTTTAAGCCATGTTAGAATATGTTGCCTCCACAAAAACAGATCTGAAGTTGTGTTTTACTCACACATGTTTGAGTAATCCTTTATTATTAGTCTGTCTACAGCACCAAAGCTCAAAATGCTCTGTTCCACCTTGTGATGTCATGTAGTAGTAGTTTAAAACACAATGGAGCACTTCCTGTATTAGCACATGACAACACAAGACGGAACAGGGTTTTCTTTTATGTTTGAGAGAAGAACATGAGTGACGGAAACAAAACACAACTCCAGGTCTGTTTGTGATGAGGAAACACCATTATAACAGATCAGAAAATAGCAAAATGTGCCCTTAAAATAACTGATTTATTTTTTATTTGTTTATTGCAGTCATAAAGTGTATAAAGACATTAATAGTGTCCTAATATTAAACATACAAGAAATGAATGAAAAGGAGCAAAAGAAGAGTCGTCTTATGTTATCTGCCCCCTCTTCCCTTTCCCAGACAATATGTTAACACCAAGAGTTACTTTAAAACTAACTTGAACTAACTTAAACTTGAAATTATGTTTGAAAAAAATAAAAAAAATAAGAAACAGAGGAACCAAATAGATTTTAAAATGTATAATATTGTTATGTATACAATCAGTAATAGAGCTATATGCAAGATTTGAATATCGATATATTGTCTTTGTTAAAAAGTATTAAAAATGCTACAAAACTTTTGCTCGTTATTGATTTAGTTCACTCAGTTTTTTCCAATGATACTGGAAACTCGACCATGACATTTACCATGTTTTAGTATATATTTCTACTGTAATACTGCTGTTTTAATTGCCGTACGCTATATATAGTTTTGATACTATGATTGAGTTAATAATAATAGAATAATACATCGATAACAATATATTTTTGGCAATACTGCCACTTCTGCATTTATTTGTCTCTTGGTTCTGTGTTTTGTGATTGGCTGAAACAGTGCACACACTCAAAAGCATCACTCACGTGTAACAAAGAAGGATTCCTATTTCATATTTTAACCAGACAAAATATAAATACTCCATTACTTTTTGTCTTAAGTATAATAATAATAGCTCCTATATATGCACCTATACATAAATATGTACCTCTTGTAACTTTAACTGAAAATCTTTCATCAAAAACAGCTGCACAACACTACAGAAACAAACGCAATGCGTTATTTTGCTATATCAAAGCACATTTTTTTGCTTTGCGTTTAAGTTACTTTTATTTTCAGTTTTATGTTTTTTGCAGAAGTGACAACAAGCATTTCTTACCGTTATAATGCAAATTGGTAAGACAATTATTCTTCAAAACGTAGTACGTTTTCATCAAATAGATAGATAACTGCGTTAGTCCAATCACAGTAGTTTGAAACAGTAGCTTGAAGCACTTTAACGCTAACAAATAAAAAAACAAACCACGCACAAATAGTTTGTTCCGTTATTACTAATATAATACTATATTAACCCACCGATAGTCCGGATGAGTTTAAATCCATTTTGTGGTCGTCTCACAGAGTTTTTTCCGGTAATTTCTCTGGAATTTTTAGAGAACGGTGCTTTTTTTCTGCAGCACGAAAAACATCTGCACCGAGACACGTTCATGGACAATGAGAAATATGACAACTCCTTCCATATTAGCGCTAAATTACATGAAAATAACGGACTGTAATAAAATTGAAAATATATTTGAGAAAAAATAAAATGTAAAAATGCAATGAACTGTTTACAGCTGACTGAATTTGGCAATGTCCATTTATATCTAATTACAGTCTATGATATTAATATGAGTGTAACTGACAACCATGTCATCACAAAAATGCAGCCAAAACAATGACATAACTCACTTTATATGTAACAGACCGCAGCCCAATGAAGTAGCCCAAATTTGTACATAATGCTCACAGTTACAATTCAAATCATGTAGCATACTGTTTTTCTTTTTTCGTTTCTTTCCTTTTGTTTCTTCTTTAGTTTGTTTTGCATGCAGATTGGTGAAAGCTGACTTAGTATAAAACATGTGAATCTATATTTTTTTATATTTTGATTTAGGCCTAATATTTTCCTCATACATCTGTAGTTTTCTTTAGATTAATGTACAGAAAAATCCTTCCTATGTTACTGTTTACCATGCAAAAGATCTAATTTGAAGGACTATCTATAAACTGGTACTGTGTCATACTATTCAAAAGTAACATGTGGTCTACAAGAACAGATTACAACAACATTACAACATTATTTTGTATTAAAAACTTGAAAACGGTTTAAAGTAGGCAGGCTAGAAAAGCTTTATAGACTGTGGTACTTATTCATCATATGTTAAGTGTCCACAATGTCTAATAAACAGTCTAGTTGTCACTATAGAGCCAATTTCCACAGCACAGAACAGCAGTAAGTAGTGACAATAACGCCAGATGGCACACAGTAGCAAGATTTCCTACGCCTATAAACGCAACAGCAGTATCAAACCCAAGAAACTTAAGCATCTCCAAAAAAATAAAAATAAATAAATAAATAAATTTTTTTTTAAAAATCACGCTGTCAGAAATGAAAAGTTCTGTTACGAGACAACACTGCCTCTATGTCATCTATGTCATGAAAAATCTGTTATGAGTCCTGAAAAGTGGAGCTCACCTGGTCCAAGACGCACGAGCCTCTGGGGTGTACCTGGTCTGGCGCTCCCTGCGCGTGGCCTCACCTGGAGAAGGGCGTGTTTTCACCTGAAAGCGGGCGTGGTTTGGGGCCTGTATGGTTTAGACATGTTTGGGCCATACTAGTCAATTTTCTCATGTGTCAGAGTTCAATTTAAATGCAAGGAAGATGGGTGGAGCAAAAATACAGGAAGTAGCGTGTCATTATAAAATAAAACACCTCTAACTATGTCATCAACATAACAAACTTCACAATTTTTTTTTATATAAACAAACCGAAGATTTATAGTAAGAGCTTAAATATAATTGTTCACTATATTTTAAAGAAATTTATCTACCCTGTACTATGCATTTTAAGTGTTATACACAGAATGCATTGCATCTTAACTGTTACATTCTGAATCAGGGGTCTACTCAACCTTTTGCCTCTGGCAAGCTACCTTTACAAAACGAAAATGCTGGAGAGCAACTATTTTTTGCAGTCACAAGAAACTGAATGGATATAAGAGGGCAAGTCTTAAATGATATGCAGTTAGATACCTATAAAACATAAAAACATTATCCATTCATCAGTGCACAAAGTTCAAAGTAACACTTTTACAATGGTACTTAATCAAATTTGAGTTATTCAGCACAATATGTATAATTCAGAAATCCCTTTGCGAGCTGCTTGTAAAGGCGTGGAGAGCCACTGGTAACTCCCAAGCTAGAAGTTGGAGACCCCTGTTCTGAATAATATTTGCAATACACAATTTCATAGCTCCACATAAAGTGATAAAAGCTTTATTGAATAAGAGTCAATTGTTACCATAGTAATTCTGAAGTAGTTCTGTAACTTTCAGTCATATCAGTGAATGAAACCCAGGCAGGTGTAGACTATTATCGCCAAAGTAAATATCTGAACACAGTAGCATGAAACTATATTGTTTGCACAAAATTACATACAATGACAAAGTGCTTTTTATTCAAAGTACTTTTATTGACAATTTCACATGTACATTAATTACAGTGTCCTACATGTACAGTGTACCTGTTTTATTGCACTTACACAGAAATAAATAGATAGCTCTATAAAGAAAGTTGAAATAAATATAAGATTTGAAATTACAGCATAGAAACTGTCCAGTGTTATGTAACTTTTAACAGTTGGACAGCAAACAAAATGCAAAAAAAAAGAAAAAAAGAAAATGCGTTCAGGTTATCGTAGCATTTAGCCTTGAAACCAAGAAAACGCTTGTATCCACAGAGATGTTATTGCTTTGCCCAGAATGTTTCAGACTCAGAGTATGGCATTAAACCAGGTAGATACAGGTCAGATCTGTGGAGATGCGACCCCACTCACAGTAAAATTTATGCTTTTCAAGGGATTTTTGAGCGCTAAAAACACATGATTGAATAAATGGTAATACTAGATAAGTTAATGTCATACTGTGGAACATTTCAGACAAAGGAACAGCATATACACGGACACAAGCAGGTATCAAATAGTCAGAAAAGTTACATAGTACATATTGAAGGCATCAAAATAAAGGCAATGTACCACAGTTGTTCAATATAAACCTATAGTATAAAACAATTCTATAAAAATTCATTATGTAAAGATACCTATTAGATACGATCCTACTGGTCAAAAATACAAAAGCGTTTCAGTTAATGGCAGCAACGTTTTTGGGAAAGTACACAATACATTATTTCAGGAAGTAAAAGTAGCTTGGAGTATTTGTGTTGAGTGTTTTGTCACAGTAGCAGCAACGTTTACAAAAGAAATGAACTATTTTTGATGGATAGAATTAGGAGTGAGTACACCGGAGTAGTGTTGTCATGGTACTAAAATTTCCAACTTGATTTTGATACTAAAAGAATAGATACTCAATACCGATTCTGATACCACAGTGATAATATAAAACATATAAAACACTCTTTATTTAGACCTGGGATGCGCAAAATGGGGCCCATCTCTGGGTCAAATTTGGCCCACGAAATATCTATATTGACTCAATTTTGCATTGAAAAACCAAAAAAGGGATGAAAGAAAGCTCATAGCAGTTTATCTCCCTAAAAACATAATATCTGAAGACAGTTTAATCTTCCCAGAATGACTTTTTACATAGAAAACATGAATAGGTTTGACCCTTGGCACGCAAATACAAAATTTTGGTCTGCCAAGAAAAAAAGTTGAGATACTGCTTTAGATAATGTCATTTTCAGCATTAAAAAGGGCAGTAAAATTAAATGTGTTTTGATTGCTATGTGGCTCCAACTATTTGCTGAATGTCTCTCTACACTCTTCACCCCCTTTCAAACTATCCATTAAAATCTATTATCTAAAAAGTACAATACAAAATAGCAATAGCAAATCCTAGTCTACCCCACTCCCGTCTTCCTGTTAGTGTGCTCAGACCCACTCTCTGTTCTCATAGTCTTTCTTTATTTGTTTCTTGATGCGGTCGATCTCGTCTTCCTCCTCTTCATCGTCATACTCATCTTTCTTCTTCTCCTCGCTCTCTCCTTTCTCTTCGCCCTCTCCTCCGCCTCCTTCTTCTTCGTTCTTTGGCGCTGTAGTCGACTGCAGCTCCTCTCTGATCGTATTCAACTCCACCAGACCGTCGTGTAACTGCTGAGCGACTTCTCGGATTTTCGCCGCAAACTCAGATTTCGCTCCTTTTTTCAATTCTTTCGAGTCTTTCGCCACAAAATAGATATCCATACCCACAAAAAGTCCGGTGAGCACTCCCGTCGCCATGCTGGCAATTTGTACCGCTCTAGCCGCCGTGCTACCAGCTACGTTAGCTATCTGCACCACTCTCATGATTTCGTTTGCGTTGATCAGTATAGCTTTACCCGCCATAGCTCCATCTTCGTAAAATCGACTATTCAAAACAGGGAAGTCGCGATTATATGCTTGTTTTTTCATTTTTATCAAGTCAAAACGCCGCAAATGCTCGATTCCTTGCTTGATAAACATTAGCGCTTTGTTCAAATCCACCATTTTTTCCTGGTAATCCTCCACGATCTTTTCCACTTTCTTCCTATCCATCGAATTGTTGACTTGATTTGAGATTCCCGCTCCGGCCGACGTCAACCCGCCCGCCGTAGCTACTCCTAAGCCCACCGCGGTCACGATGAGAGAGGTTCCCATGGTAACAGGCGCTAACGCTAGCCCAGCGATGGTCAGCACGCCGCCGGTAGCGCTGGTGGATCCTCCGGTGATTTGGGCGATCTTGGTTTTCTTGTTGAATTTGTCGAGTCCGTCTGCGATGCCGTTCAGGTCGATGACATGCTGCCACAGGCTTTCGGCGCGCTCCGAAAACAGTTTGTTGAAAACGCGGATTCCCTTTTGGATCTTATCCGCCGTCACCGCAAAGGCCCTGAAGAAGAAAATATATAGAGATCAGATTATTATGGCAACATGGAGAGTCCTGGTTAGTTTCAGAATCAAAATAAAAGTGTAGTACAAAAAAAAATCAAAGTTAAACATTTTTTAAAGAAGACCTATTCTGCTCACGTGTGCTATATAGCTATAATCAATGACAGCCATGGATCATTTTGCTATAATTTGTAAATTTTCAATCTTAATATTTATCTAAAAGGGCTTAAGAGAGAGTGAGCAGCACTAAATTCCTGGGGGTGAACATCAGTGAGGACCTCTCCTGGACCAACATTGCATCACTGGTGAAGAAAGCCCAGCCATGCCTCTACTTCCTGCAGAAACTCAAGAGGGCAAGTGCCTCACCACCAGCATGACCACATTCTACAGATTAAACACTGAGAATATCCTTTCAGCTGCATCACTGTGTAGGGCGGAAGCTGCACTGACAACGACAGGAGAGCCCTACAACGTATAGTGAACACAGCCAGGAAGATCACTGGTGCACCACTTCCCTCTCTGCAAGACCTATACACCACCCGCCTTACCCACATATATACACCACCTGCCTCAACCGGAAAGCCATCACAATTATGAGTGATGCAAGTCCCCCCACACAATCTGTTCAGCCTCCGTTCCCGCAGTAGACTCACTAACAGCATCATCAACCAGGCTGTTAGGATGCTGAACTCTCTCCTCTCTCTACCCAGCAGGCTGCCAGGAAGCAAAAATCTGCATCTCCCCAAAGAAAACTTGAACTTTTCCATTTATTATTATTTATACGCTTGTGAGTAAGAAACACAATTTCAATTCTTCATATGTTTCATAAGAAGAAAACTTTTCTGAACTTGAACTGTGAACCTGACATCCGCGTTTGAAAACTGAGGTGCCCAACGGGAGCTGATCGTAATCACAACTGTAGATCTTTTTTCATTTATACCAAAATGACGATGGGACGCTGTCAAATCCTACTAGTGATTACTAGTGAGGTACCAAAGGATGAGTGAGAGCCAGGGACAAGTTAGACAGATTTAAACCAACTCACTCCATTCATGGTTTGAAAATCAGGGACCCAGCTTTATGTATGTATCTATAATTAATTAAATATTTGACAAATTACTGAAAAGTCGGGCCAGGATCAAAATTTCACTGGTGCAAAAGTTGTAAGTAGTTTTTGACATGTTTTTTGTTTGACATGTTTTACTTACTTCGCCTCCTCTTTGGGCGTCATGTCTTCAGTTTGAGGAGTGTCTTCCCAATCTGGAATTTACATAGAGATAAAAGTGAATGTTTGTTACACACTTCAGTTTTATTTTGAAATTTCATTGAGACACTAAATTCCCGAAAGGCCTGTTTTTGCTCATGGTTTAAATTATATTGTGAAACAGGAAGGAGGAGATTCAAATATGCAGCAGTCATGAGACCAACACCTGCACATATTCTAGATTACAGGTAATGTTCACATGACATCATAACATTCAAAAGAGACTATAGTTTAAAACTGTTTGTTTCAAACATTTTGATACTAAAAACAGATTTCTTGACCTGGTTTATGGTTAAATATCTCTGTAATTACTGGGCCTATCAACATGAAACAAAAACTGGGATAAAGTTAAATGCATTTTCTGTCAGTATAGATAATTTAAAGGTAAATTGTGTCACTTTCTGGGGGCGGCACATCACCTGCATGATTCCATCAAAATAGAAAGTTAAACCTATACTATTTTACATCCTACATTTTTAAACCTATTTTTTATCAATACTCTGGAATATTATAGCCAAATGGACAACATTTCCATGGAAACAGACAGGAAGAGACCCTCTTCCAGGCTAAATAAGAGTCAGGTTTGTGGAGACGCAAGCCCACTCACACTACGGACACATGTTTTTCATAGCATAATACATGAAACCAAAATAAAAGATTATTACAATTTATTTTAGTCTATTTTTTGGGCTTTACATTGTGGTTTTAATTGAAATATGTGTTTTTTGCTATCAAATTATTCTAATCCTAAAGATTGTTAATTACTCAGTCCTAAAGATGTCACTGTTGTTTTATTTTTGTTAATTTTACTTATAAAAGAAAAATAGTAATACATATTTATTCATAAGTGATAAAAAATAAGGATTTCTTTCAAAAACAGTATCTGCAAACATGACAAATAATTATAGTAGATAATTTTTGACTTACTTTCCACAGTGTTCCACCACTCCATGAGATTATCCGCATCCTGAAGACAGAAGTACATTTGTTAATATTGGTCATTCACAGTAAACACAGCAAATAGGCAATAATATGTGTATGATATACTTTAACATAATGTACCCACCTCGCTGGATTCAGGCTGCGAAGGTTCAAATCTGAACTCTTCCAGTTGGTCAAAGAGACATCTGTTTTCACCTTCATTCTGAAAATAAGAAATAAGAAAATGTTTAGAAATTTGTCATTTGTTGCAATAGCAGTGTTTGCTAATTAAAACCTTCCCTAAATGGACTTTTCTCCAGGTTTTAAAGGTCCTGTATTAAACACAATTGACTTTGTGAGCTTTAAGCCATGCTATAATGTTGTTACCTCATTAAAAGTCACACATGTTTGAGTAATCCTGGACCAAAGCTCAAAATGCTCAGTTTCACCTTGTGATGTCATGAAGCTGTAGTTTTCAAGTTAATAGTTAACTTTGACTGTTAGTTCAAGTGGAGATTAACAACTCCAGAGCTGAAATCATCCAAATTATTCCAGTGAAGGTGTATAGATTTTAAAAACACAGTGGAGCACTTCCTGTATTACCACATGACAACATAATTTTCTAATTGAGAGAAGAACTAAATATGTGGGGTTTGTGTGTTAAACATGTGTGAATGAAACAAAACACAACTCCACGTCTGTTCGTGATGAGGAAATAACATTAGAACAGACCAGAATATAATGTAATATGGGCCCTTTAAAACAACCACCCCTGCCAGGTAAGGGTTCAAACTGTTGCAAATCAGTTTTAAAATAAATCATTGTATAAAATTACATTGAGTAACAAAGAAACTTAAAAAGTGAAATTGTCTGAAAAAAGTACACATTTGTAATTTGAATATAATTGTTTATATATAGTTATCAAGATCAAAATTAAAACTGGATTAATTGCGCTGCACAATCTTGGTAACATTTGACTTTCTATCCCGGTATCACAGAGGAAGTATCACCTCTCCTTTGAGTTTCTTTAGAGAAGCCTGAATGCTCACATGTGCCAAAGGGAACTTCAGAAACAGGTTTGGCCACATTTCAGGTTAATCTGCCTGCCATACGAACAACATGAGAATACACAGCCAGGACAGTTCAGCCTGAGAGGGGGAGGGGAGAGAACTGCTAAAACAACTACCGCAAATTTTTGTTCAGTAGAGTTTGTCAATTCTGAAATCATCCAAATGATTCTAGTGAAGGCGTATGGTGTGGAACAGAACACAACTCCAGGTATGTTTATGATGATGAAATAACATTATAACAGAGATTAAAAAATAATGTGATGTTGGTCCTTTCATTTCCGTATACAGCACACCACTTTTGTTGTATTTTGCATTGTGTAGTGGGGGAGGGTTGTCATTAAATAAAGGAAAAAAATAAATAAAGGGGGAGGGCGTAACAGCAATGTTAGACTATAATAGCGTCCTTTGGGAGTGAAACCCTGTGGAGTCTTAAAGATGGGAGGAGACATGACTGAAACATGTCTCTATAACACAGCCTCTGACTCACAGGGCTTGTCTCAACACGTCACATACAGGTAAACAAGGAAGGACACATACAAGCCACGCAGGGAACATTCTAGAACTTAAAGAGCCCGTATCACGCCATTTTTCTGATGTAGTTTCCTCATTAAAAACTGAGTTGTGTTTTGTTTCATTCACACACGTTAACACACATATTTAGGTTCATCATTAGAGTTCTTCTCTCAAATAAAAAACACTGTTCCACCTTGTGATGTCATGTGGTAATACAGGAAGTGCTCCACTGTGTTTTTAAATTCCATAGACTTCACTAGAGTCATTTGGATGATTTCAGCTGTGGAATTACCAATCAACACAGAACAAAAACTAAAGGGTAGCTGTTGACTTGAAAACTACCACTATGTGACATCACAGGGTGGAACCATAGACTGTATATAACACGCACTAACTGCCATGTTCCATGAGCACACTTCTAGCTCCTTCTGACCCTGGTTCTTGTTGACTTACATTAGAATATTGTGGCTCCTCTCTCGGTAACTGCTGCTATGAGCCTTGTCATTTTGGTCTTAAAATGTTCATAATAACCCCCTCTACATGATCCTGTTTTGTTTTTTTTTCGCTATTTTGTCCGTTAAAAAATTGTGAGCTTCATTTGAGTGGAGCTGAACGCTGTGGGTCACACTCAGTTCACTTCTTTATACAGTCTATGGGTGGAACAGAGCATTTTGAGCTTTGGAGATGTACACAGACAAACGTGTGAAAAAACAAAATACAACTCTAGGCATGTTTTTGATGAGCAAACATTTGTTTAAAGCTCACAAGTATCCACTTAGTGTAATACAGGACGTTTTACGAGTTGAGTTGTGTTTACCTCTGTTTCTTCGGCTGCTCTTCTTTGTCCAACTTTATTCTGAATAAAACATAAACACATGGATTAGACTGGGGCTACTTAAAGGGGTGGAAGTTATGGCACTCTTTCAACTATCTGTAAAAAGCGTATTATACAACATTAATAATCCAGATTCCACAGAATTTTACTATTATTAAAGTGACAGTATGTAACTGTCAAGTGGTGGAGAATCAACTGCATGATTTCACTGAAACAGAAAGTTAAAATCATACTTCAGAACATTTTCCATGTTCCTCCATTTATACCATACTGGGAATACTTCACCAACGTTAGCATGGAAACAAACAGGAAGAGACCCTTTGTTTGTTTTTCAGTGCAAATCAAAATGGGGAAAAAAATGCTTTTATTTTTTTCTATTTTTTTGGCCAAAAAGCTTTAACCAAGGACCATTTTCCCCATTGGTCCAATACTAGAAAAACACAGTGTGTGTGGATCATTTTGATTTTAATACTGTAGGGGCACGGTTTAAAAATGTACACTCTGGTGCATATCTGAGCCTTACCTTGACCTGAGGCATGAAGGGATTTCGTCTTTTTGGTTTCTTGGCTTTTTCCTGAAACAGTGAAAAAATATCACTTGTTAATAACTGTGTGTGAACTGACAATAAAAAAAGAACATTACAGTTTACATTTGCACATTAAATCTTAAAAATCTAGAATTATAATCTCTCAGAATATGTGGTTCACCTCTGCTTTGTCGGTGCCCTCCTCGTCCTTGTTTTCATCTTCTTGGGTTGAAGTTTGTACATTTTCTTCTTCTTGTGCCTCTTCTGCTGTTTCCACTGCTGCGAGCTAAACGTCAAATACAGTGAAACAGGAAATATTTACAAACAGTTGGAATGCATAAGATGAACAGACTTGACGACAGTAGCTCAGTAAGTAGAGCGGCTTGTCCATTGATCTGAAGGTCAGCGGTTCACGTCTCACTATCAACATAAACATAATTGGTTGAGCAGTCAGAGTCACAGATTGTCAGGTTGATGGTGTGATTCTACCTCCCACAGATGAATGCTGTCATTGTGTCCTTGGGCAAGACACTTAACCTACCTTGCCCCCAGTGTCTGTGTACACTGGTGTATGAGTGTGTGTGTGAATTGGTGAGTGGTCCCTGATGTAAATCGCTTTGAGTGCCTTGAAGGTGGAAAAGTGCTGTATAAAAATGTGACCATATATTTGTGACTGTTTTCAGCAGCAACTTTTTTCAGCAGAATAGCTCTCTATAGCCTCATTTGCAGTGGTTCACTCTAGAGCAGATTGCTACAAGTGACAGTTCCAGTGCATAAGTCAGCCTTATGATTAAAAGTGTAAATCAGTAAATTTAATTTATTAAGGAAACATTTGTAATGTTCAGGTAACGTCAGTGTCTCACAAAGCAGAGCCCTGCCCCTGGACCCGAAGCTGAGTTTGGAGTGTGGAAAGATAAATGGGATGGATGGAGCCACACCAAACAGACTAAACTTTTCAGTTGAGTTTGCTACTTGCTCATCTCAATGGAGAAGCTAAAGCTTTGCCTGGAATGATCCACAGTATGGCTTTAAACTGATCTATGGCATTTATTTTAGTGCATTAAATGAATGAATAAAATGCATTCATACTATGAGCAGGGTTTTTTCTCTACAGATATGACATGTAACTTGGCCTGATGGCACCTTAAACATAGTAATACATGAAATACAAAAGCCAGAGTGTTTAAAAGGGATTTAAAAGCATGAATAATAAATAATCCAGGAGTGTATACAGCTGTCCTGAACACTGTTTCAGTTCTTTACCTTTACTCCAGTTCGGGGCATGAAGGGATTGTGATGTTTGGGTCTTCTCACTTTGACCTAAAAACAAACATGTGATAAATGACATGAGACAAAACTGGATGAACGGCATTGTTCAGCTGCAGAAACATGAGACACCCACATACGACATTAGCTTAGGAAAACAAGAAGCAAAATGGAGGAACTGCTCTGCTAAATGTGAATCAAAGTGGTAAATTTATCACACCAAATTTTTTATTTGTGGTGTAACATTCTACAAACTAAGCTAACATTTAAAGAAGGCACACTGTGCTTGTGTTTACTATATAGTTATAATCTATGATACCCCTGGATCATTATGTTACAATTTCATTATTTCAAATATTCATCTAAAACAGCTTCATAAAAGAAGCAAGTCTGCTGGCTTCCACCTTAGAAAAATGGGCGCTGATATCACTGTACAGGTCGTCACCACAAAGAGCTGTGGAGCTGTCAGCCCCTCCTATGGATAACTGCAGATTAAAATAGCAACTATACAAACACGAATCACGCTAAATACAATTTTAAGAACGTAAATGAGAAGGAGAAACAACTATAAAATGGTTAAAAGCTCTAAAAAGCTGATTTTGAATAATACGTCTGCTTTAAAGCTGCAGTATGTAACTTTCCTCGTAGAAGATCCTCCTACTTGTCTCCATGGAAATATTATTGCTTTTCAATTCACAAACATCTTGTTTGGTTCTTGTTTTCGATGCTAAGTCATATTGCTTCATCTGGAATGTTTCACAGTGTGGCATTAGATGGTCTATATTGTGTTTATTCAATTGCAAAAAAAAGTTGAAAAATATTTGCATTGGGAGTGAGGTCATCTCTCCATAGAACTTGAACATAGTGGTGTCACCTGAGCCAAAGCAAAAACATCTCCATGGAAACAAACAGGTAGGAGATCCTACACAAATGTTACACAGTGCACCGTAATAAATGTTTCAAATATCTATAGTTTTTGAGTAGGAGTCACAAAACTGTAGACTTTAGAGAAGTCATTCACTCGAACTGCTGAAAATACCATTCAAGTAGCATGTAAAAATGTGGAACTCATGTGGAAGTCAGATTCATGTTCAGGTATTAACAGAGGGAATTTATAAGGAACTCAATTAGCATGTTAGAGACATGTTACAATGTGGAGGAAGAGACAGAAGCAGGAAGTACATCTGTAGATCCTGTCTAGAGAAAGAGAGAACGCTATTGTGTTTTAAATGTTTGGCTATTTTAAATACAATGAAACAAAAGTCTTCACCAAACAACAGGAACACATGTAAATAACGTTGTACTTAAAGGTCCTATATTACATAAATGGACTCTTGTGAGATTTAAGGCATGTTATAATGTTGTTACCTCCTCAAAAACAGACCTGGAGTTGTGTTTTGTTTCACTCACACATGTTTGAGTAATCCTGCGTTATTAGTCTGCCTACATCTCTAAAGTTCAAAATGATCTGTTCCACCTTGTGATATATGTAGCCGTAGTTTTCAAGCTGCTCTTTACTTTGAGTTCAGTAGAGATTGGAAATTCCAGAAGTGAAATGATCCAAATGAAAGGTGTATGGAGTTTAAAAACACAATGCAGCACTTCCTGTATTACCACTTAATGACATCACAAGGAGGAACAGTTTTTTTCAGTTTGAGAGAAGAACTCAGCCTAAATATGCAGGGTTTGTGTGATAAACATGTGTGAATGAAACAAAACACAACTCCAGGCCTGTTTTGATGAGGAAACATTAGACATTAGAGAATGGAACAGAAAACAGTGTAATATGGGCCCTTTATTTGTTTGACTATTTTAAATACAATGAAACAAATGTGTAAATAATGCCATATATGAACTTACTGGTTTCTTTTCTCCTCCGTTGTCTTCATTTGCTTTATCTGCATTCAGAGCTTCATCCTCGGACTTGTTAGGCTGGAAAAATATAAATTAAAATAAAATAACATTAGATAAAAGTAGAGTTCAAAAATCAGAGACTACATTCTGTTGTCTAAAGAAAGACTGTTTTTATTATCATTGTGGTATTGGGAGTATCAAGTCTATTCCTTAGTATCAGAAAATTAGATAAGAGTGTACATTTAAGTTATTACAATATCAATACCATGTTTTTAGTAATTGGTCACTCTTACCAGAGTTGGGTACAGTCCCCCATGTTTTGCCATAGTTTCCTCAGGATTCTGTTGAAAAATAAGAAAAGTATAATGAATTATGAGTATTATTAATTATTAGTGAAAAATTAGTGCATCCACACTGTACATGACATTATGAATGTAGCTGAACCTTTGCCCATACAAAACTTTTATACTAAAATGAAACCAAGTTCTATGTAAGTTTATTTTTACTCATCCAGGTGTGAAAATACTCAAAACAATATTATTGGACCAAGTTTTTTTTTTTCTTGTACATTTTCAGAGTAAAAATGAAAAAAAATAAACAAAATCTGACCTAATAATACTGGTTTAACTATTGATACTTTGCAGTGACATCATGTTGGGGGAGTTCTACATGTATCACTATGGTAGAATGTTGCAGTTATCATGGAGACACAATGCACACATTAGCAAACATCGTCACAAAAAAATTTAAATTATAGATTAGATGAGGAAAAAATACAAAATGGATTTAAGAGCACATTTTCAGGAGCCTGTGATCGATATGAGCGTTGATGGTCCTGTTCAGGAGTTTTATTTTCAACAAAGATAGTAAGAGTGACCAGCTGAAAAACTGTTTGATTGTGTTAAATTAAAGCTCAGATTGAAGTCTAACAAGCTTTAGACAGCTCAGTGCTCTCAGTTAGCATCGCACCCCCAGGAAGTTGATGACATCTGCTGCAAAGTATCAATAACTAAGGTAAATTATTTCTTAATACCACTTTTTTCATCAGTGTTTGCCCAAAATCATTCAATTACATAACAATGACTTGGCAGATTTGTGTCTTGCTCAGGTACACAACAACTGACCATTTAACCAGCAACACCCCAGTTCTCAGACAAACACTTAAACCACTGGGAACAGGACCTCCATCAGTCGCGATTAGCAACAGAACAAACGGACAATCCCATGTGTAACAGTATTATTATTCCCCGTAGACCACCACAGTAATCACTAAGACAGGTCCAAAGAAAAGATCATTTAACTAAAAATGACAAGGTACTTTAAAGATAATTACTGTAACATGTGCTACCTGACATTGCATTTTACTGCTTTATCTGTAATGTTCCAGACTATGGCATTAAACCTACCCATCGTGCTTTTATTCAAGCAAAGGTGTTTTTATTTCTCTGTACATTGAAAATTACTGTGAGCAGCTCGCCACTTCGCAGATCTGACCTGTAACTTGGCCTTTTGCCATCAACAGCTTGATTCACTTGAGACAGATACCTTTAATGCCATACAGTGGAACATTTCAGGCAAAGCAGTAACATCTCCATGGAAACAAGCAAGAAAATATATACTTAAGACTACGTTAGCTTTTCCATGCAGTTTACACATTTACATACCAGACTGGCCTCGTTCGCTTTGTCCATTTCCTAAAGTCAAAACACATTATTATTAATAAGCTAAACATGTATTAAAATGTTATTAAATATTTCGATTTCAGACTTTCTCTGTACCTCTTGTGTGGGTCGAGGAGGAACCAGTGGAGTTTCTGCAGTTTGTCTCTTTTCCCTGTTCACCTAAAAGTCAAATTCACAGTCAAATCTGAAACCAAGGTCATTTCACTCTTAAAGGGCCAGGCCTCTACTGTAATTTACGGTAAGATAAGTTAGAGATATGATATTTAGAGTATCTATCAAAATTAAATCAGTGTGCATTGTGTAACTTTTCTGGTGGAGGGTCTGTCAAATGCTTTTCTCCATGGAGATGTTATTGCTTTGTCTGGAATGTTTCACAGTATGACATTTAACCTTTCTATCTTCATGGAAACTAAACCAGACCAGTTACCGGTCAGGTCTGTGGAGCGACCCCGCCTATAGTCAGAATGTCTGTTTTTCTAGATATTTTTGACCTGTAATTGGTTAAATGTAAAGTAGAGCTGTTTAATGTCATACTGTGGAAAATTCCAGGCAGAGCAATGACATATCCATAAATAGAAACAAGTAGGTGATGGACCCCCAACAGATTTTGATACTAAGGAATAGACGCGATACTCAATACCGATACTGATGATAAGGTGATGACCACAATGATAAAACACTGTGATTTTCAATATTAAATGGTAGTACTTTCTTTTCTATTCCCATGTGGTCTTGTATCTGTGTAATCCCTCAGTGGTCCAGGTTCTATGTGCTCTTATACTTGTTTTGATACAGCTCAAGATCATTCTACAGACATTCAGGAAAGGTTTGTTTCTGTCCTATGAATGGGACATTTTTAGTATCAACACCTGTGAAAAATTAGGATCTAATTTCGATATTACTTTTAGTATAGATTAGTATCTGTCTGATTTTTGATATTTTCCCACTGCAGGCATACTTTCACTTAGTTTTAATTCGTTTCAGAATCTATAAAGGTTCACTGTGTAACTTTTTGGTTGGAGGTCCGTCGCCTGTTTGTTTCTATAGATATGTCATTGCTCTGCCTGGAATGTTCCACAGTGTGACATTAAACAGCTCTACCTTACATTTATCCAATCACAGATGATTTTATAGCTAAAAAAAAACCCTAGAAAAATAGGCATTCTGACCGTGAGCAGCAACGCCTCTCCACAGATCTGACCTGTAACTTGGTCTGATTTGGTCTCTGTGAAGATAGAAAGGTTTAATGTCATACTGTGAAACATTCCAGGCAAAGCATTTGACGGATCCTCCACCAGAAAAGTTACACAATGCACCTTTAATCCAAAAGATCTATCTTACATTTATTTAATTACAGGTGGTTTTATAGCTCAGAAAAACCTAGAAAAACAGACATTCTGACTGTGAGTGGGGTCGCCTCTCCACAGAGTTGACCTGTAACTTGGTCTGGTTTGGTCTCCATAAACATAGAAAGGTTTAAAACCATACTGTGAAACATTCCAGGCAAAGCAATAACATCTCCATGGAGAAAAGCATTTTACAGATCCTCCACCAAAAAAATTACACAGTCTGGCTTTAAATGAAAACATAGATCTGCTACCTACCTCGTCTTTGGCTCGGTTTGTTCGATTCGGCATTATGATAGTTTCACTTCTTTCTCTCTGCTCAAATTGCATCACTTTGTTTCTGACCTAAAATAAAAGGAAACAATCAAAAAAGCTGAATATTTTGAATGTTTTGTGTTCAGAAAAAGAAGCAAAAATTGTTCCAGCTGAACACTTGAATCCTGAGTACCGTTTTCGGTTTCTCTTCCTCTTGCTTGTCATTGGTTTGTGCCATTTCTTGTTTTTCTTCGATCTCTTTCTAAATTAAGCAAATCAAAAGAAACAGCTCAGTAAAGGTTTTATATTACGCTAAATTGACTCTTGTGAGCTTTAAGCCATGTCATAATGCTGTTAATTACCCAAAAACAGACCTGGAGTTGTGTTTTATTTCATTCACACATGTTTAAGTAAATGGAGTTAATATGATTCACTGAAATTCAGGAGCTGAACCACGCCTCTCTTGCCAACCCCAGCTTATCTCAACCACGCCCAAAAGCCCTACATATACAGTCTATCCTGACAACACCACCCATGTCAGGGCTCTCTACCCCCTCCCTTCAACTCCTTGTCTCTCGTCCATCCTTCAGCCCAAAGAAATCAAGGAGGGGGGTTCCGAATCAGCTGGGTGACCATTTTGGATTGGAGACGGAGCCCCCACCCTGAGTCTCTCCCCAGTCATCACATCTATCCACCAATAAATATCTTTATCATATTCCACTGTTTTGGCGTGGTTCTTGCTCTTATTAGTCTGTCTACATCGCCAAAGCTCAAAATCTGTTCCACCTCGTGATGTTATGAAGTTTTCAAGTAAACAGCTCCTTTTATCTTAAGTTCAGTAGTAGTAATTCCAGAAGTGAAATTATCCAAATGATTCCAGTGACGATGTATTGAGTTTAAAAACACAGTGGAGCACTTCCTGTATTAGCACATGACCTCACAAGGTGGAATAGTGTTTTCTGTTTGAGAGAAGAACTCAACCTAAATATGCAGGGCTTGTTTGTTAAACATGTGAATGAAACAAAACAACTCCAAGCATTATAACATAATGTAATATGGGCCCTTTAAGAAAACAGTATCATATTCAAACCATCTTTTCACATGACCGCACCCTTAGAAATATATCTGGAGTTGTGTTTTGTTTCAGTACATCTTTTATCCAGGCATGACTATGTAATGTTTCATGTGGAGGGTTCACCACCTGCTTGTGTCCATGGATATGTAATTGCTTGGCTTTGAATATTCCATGGTATATTGGTACATAATTTTTTTCTAATTCTTACAAACACAACTCCAGATATGTTTTTGATGAGAGAATATAATAAATCTTTTTCACAATATTGCCCCTTTAAATGGTAAAAAAAAAAAAAAGTTTAAACATCTTATAGACCCTTTAATTCTTAAAAATGGAAAGGACTACATTTCTATATTTGCTTGTGACCCAGGTTCATTGACAACAATACACATGGTTATAAGTCTGGAAAATTATTGTAGTTCTAATTATGCAGTCAATTGACTTTTATAGTTTGCTTAAGGTTTTTGCCAAATTACCAATGTAGTTCAAATCATCAATAAGAAAATAAAGGATCTAGAGAACAAATATGCAAATTCCATAAGAAATGTTCACTTTTTTCAAAAACAACACTTACAGCATTTAAAGGCAAATTTTGGAATAATCATTTAGTTTAGTGTCCATAAATGCATTAATCTGCTGTTTTTGAGGAATAACACTAAAGAGTTTTTAGCTCCTGATTCTCCCTTCACCAGCCTCACAAAGTCTTAGATGTAAAACATAAGGAGGAGAACTTTTACATGATGATGGTGACTGGTCCAGAATGGTTTTGTTTTGCCCGTGGCTCCAACTACACCATTCTGACACAAAAATATACAGTATATAAAACAAAAAAATCACACCGCTGTCAAACAATAGAACAGCTCGAGTCAAGTGTACACTTCACTGTGTGTCCAGCAGTCCATCTGTACATAGGTTTTAATAAATAAACAAAATAATTAAATGCAAGAATGTAAATGTGATACCTGTTTTTGCTCTTTGGGTTTGTCGATTTCTTCTTTTTCCTCCTCATCGCTCATGTCTAGAGATTTCTCATACTGAAAAAAAAGATATTAAAAATTAGCAAATAAAAAGGAAAGTGTGGTATAATTGATTTATCCTCTGCATTTGACCCATCCTAAAATGTCTTTGGGGTTAAACTGGTCAGGAACAGTTAACTAGTCAGTAATTAACATTTTTTTCTGATTAGTCTAGCACACGGCTGTACTTTTTACTAAACATTGTAAGTACTTCAACAACTATAACAGCAAAAATAAAACATTGCATTTTGTGTGTGAATGCTCCATGTTTTACTGATACTTTGAAGCTGACGTCATCAACATTCCCTTAATTATCTTTATATTAGTTATCTTTATACGTAAAGCACTTTGGAAATGGTCTTGTTTATAAAATGTGATACATAAATAAAGTGGATTTGGACTTGGTAGCAAATCATTATAATTTTTGGTTAAAAGCTCCTAAAAGTAATTTTTACACAACATGTCTCCTTTAAGCAGACACCGAAAGAACATGCAAATAGAGAACATGCAAACTCCACACAGAAGCCTCTCCCTCTTCAGCTTCTGTGACTCACGTGAGTTTAATATGACACATGTGTTTACCTTGTGTCCAGTTCTGAACGGGTTGAGCTTCGTCATGGCCCCTGCAAATTTACTCTGTACCACAAAACAAACACATGAAATAAAAGATACAATAGAAAAGTATTTAACTGTATTTAAACTGTAATTTAACAGTTATTTAACAGTAAATATATAACTAAAGTACTCACCGGTTTACTACTCTGCTGGGTCTCTCCGTTCCCCACCATCTCCTCTGAGTCTGAATCAGAGCCCTTCTCCTGAAATAAATGAAGTTATTATATTTAAATAGTGTATCAAAACACTGGTGATAATTTATTCAACTAAAGTTGCACTATGTAACTTTTCTGGTGGAGAATATCCATGGAGACAAGCAGGTTATCTAACCTCCCCACCAGAAAACTAAGACTGTACTTTTTGTACTTCAGAAATAAGACAATACGCTGGTGTAATATTATCACTTGTTATCATTATATTTAAAGCCACAGTATGTAACTTTCTGGAGGTGGCCTGTCACCTGCACGATTCCATGTAAATCGAAAGATAAAACCACAAACTGGAACATTCTCCATGGAAGATATAGACAAAGGAACAACATCTATAGAAACAAGCCAAAGAAGGAGGTTTGTGGAGATGTAAGCCTGCTCACAGTAAGGATACATTTTTCTTTGTCTTTGTGTGCAATAAACACATGCAAAATGAAACAAAAAAAAAACTGCTGACATTTTAGTTTATTTTTAGGCTAAAAGTTTCACACTGTGGGTTTAATTAGAATATATGAAGAATTCAAGAGTGGGATGTTTCTTTTACCCATTTGGTCTTTGATTTCTCTGAGGAGGCGGCGCTGTTTTTGGGTTCATTTTTGTCACTCTTTTGCACTTTGTCTTCCTTCTAAATTAGAACAAAACAGTATTGTGTATTTTTAACAATCGCTAAAAGCATTCATGTCTAGACTGAGTTTGATTCTGTGTTCCTGATTCTCACCTGAGCTGAATAGCCGAACGGATTTTTTAAGAAGTTTGACACTCCACCCTGAAGAAAAGTTTAGTTACAAGGTTTAGAATCTTAAATCTTACACTTGTATGTTAGCAGTTATAATACTCCATGGAACATATGTAGAATACCATGCTTTGAAAATGTTATATTCGCCAAAAACCACACGCAAGTTTCTGTTTTGTTTGACTCCCACCTCCCTTTGCTCCCTGCGCTAAGTCACGCTGCGTTCAGAAAAAAATAATCAAAATCATTCTTTTAATTCAGGAAAAAAAACATTCTGATAGAGACAGGTAGTTTCCTGCATTATTAAGACCATAAATATACCATTACATGTCAATTTAAACACGTTAAGCTATTTTCTGATCTATGTTCTAGTTCTTCTCTCAAAGAATATTTTTAAACTCCATACAGTTTCACTAGAATATTTTGGATAATTTCAGCCCTGGAATTGCCAATCTCTACCAAACAAAAGGTCAAAGGAGCAATTAACTTCAAAACATTTCAAGCTTTAGACATGTAAATAGACTAATAATAAAGAATTACTCAAACATGTGTGAATGAAACAAAACACAACTCCAGGTCTGTTTGTGAGGAGGTAACAACATTATAGCCCAGCTTAAAACTCACAACAATCAATTTTGCGTAATATAAGACTTTTGCATAATCAATTAATTTTCTGGCCCTGTTTTTACATTATTTTCAGTCAGAATTTCACTCTTGCTCCACACACATGTTCGCGCTTCAAGCATTTTATTATGTTTTGCGTGTCCAACTTGAAGAAAAACATGGAAGCCACCCGGGAAGCTGTTATTTTTGTTGTTTATCTTCTGTTAACAACCCTCAGGATGTTTAGCAACATCTGTTTAAAAACAAGCCTGTGTTCAATATTAGCCTCACCCCAACACTGACTACCATCCCCACAGGCAGTGATATGGACACAGTAAGGTATTGCAGTACTAATACAAGTAACTGTCATTTAAACCAAGCAATGCGTCCAAACCCAACGAAAACAGTTCATACTTAAAAGTGACACTGGGCACAGCCATCTTGAATTCTATCTCAGAATCCTTGCTCAGTCTCCTTCGAGCTTTAACGAGTTCCGGAGGAAAAGGGGCATGTCAGTGCACGTCACTAGGCAATGTCCTCGGACCTCCGAGTCAAATGGACAATTGAACGCACCATTATATTAAAATATCATTTAGTATAAAACAAGCTTACCTTGGAGGGCTTCTCTGTTAGATTTTCAGTGCTGCCAGAAAGTTCTGTGTTTTCAGACAAATCATCCTGAAACAGAAAAGTTAAATAGTAAAACAATATACATGCATGCAATTTTTCTGGTGGAGGGACCGTCATCTGCTTTTTTTGGCTTGAAAGTCCCATTGTGAGCGTTCCATTCTCTCAGCAGGAACATCCCCCTCCTCCCTCTGGGCGGCACACAGGTAACTGCTGTGCCCGGGAGAGGGGAGACATTCTCACCGGATTTTAGTCGGCCAGGTCATGCACTGTGGTGTATTGAGTTAGAAAGTCAACATTCTATATCATAATCCAATGATGTCATTTTACTGATCTCCCCGAAGCGGCACACATTTTTTCATTATGTAATATCAATATAATCCTCATTTGCTCACAGAAGTTTACTATGAAATTGTATTTTAAATATTTTTTTCTTGTTCCCCATGTTCTATATCATCTGTCCTATATCATGAAGCAGCTTCATCAGTTAATGAACTGAAGAAGCAGCTTGGATGAGCTGCAAAATGTATTCAACCAAATAAACTTTGTCCAGTCGACAAATTGAATTTTTCCTTTGCCATGGATTCTACTTGGATGACAGGGATTTTTCGCATATATTGTAACTTGTATATTGTAAATTAAGTGTGTGATTAATACAATATAGAAAATATTTTCTTTTTTTTTCATTTATATGTATATAGATGAACTAACTTAGTTTCATAAAGGGTACACTTTAGGGGGACTTTCCAGCCGATTTCCTTTGTCTGAGATGTTTCACATTAAACCTTTCTATCTTCTCGCAGGCCAAACCAGATCAAGTTACAGGTCAGATCTATGGAGAGGTGACCCCGCTCAGAGTCAGAATGCCTGTTGAGGTATTTTTGAGCTATAAAACCAACTATAATAGAATAAATGTAAAGTAGAGCTAAAGTAGAGCTGTTTAAATGCCATACCATGGAACAGGTAGAGCAATGACATATCCATGAAAATGAGCAGGTGACGGACCCCCAACCAAAAAGCTACCTTTAAATGATGTTAAAGAAAAGATTCTTACTTGAGACTGAGATTTAGAACCAAGCCCCTTCTGCTTTTTAAACACACCCCCAAAAAGCCCAGATTTCTCCTGAAAATACAATTCACATTTTTATATTAAATTGTAAAACATGAATAAAGAAAAACTTATATCAAGATACTTTTGGTGAAGAGTTGATATGACAGGCTAATTGCGCAATTTACCTGGAGTTGTGTGTCACTCATGTTTAACACATAAATCTTGCATATTTAGGGCCGAGTTTTTCTCTCAAACAAAATACACTCTGTTGCACCTTGTGATGTCATTGTTTGTTGATACAGGAAGTGCTCCACTGTATTTTCAAACTACACACACCTTCACTAGTCTACTTCACTCCTCGGTGCACCAGAAGATATTGTGTACTTTGTGTGTCAATCTCAACTGAACAAAAAGTGAAACAAAAATATTTTACACTGTATTGTACAGTAAATCCATTCAATTTTGATGAAAAATAACTGTTAACTACCTTTAAAGGGACGGTTCAGAATTTCCATCCAGTCCTTGTATTTGCAGAGGTCGCTAGTGCTAGGCTAGTGCATGTCAATGGCCATAGTTAGCCTGCCACTAAAAACAGTCTTACCCACTCCACAAAACACCTGAGGCAAAACAATTATAACACCAGAGTGAATGTCTGTGTTGATAGAATAATTTTAGAAGTAAAACCAAGGATTTATGTCTGAGCAGCAGCAGCAAGTTGTACTTCCTGATAGAAAGTTTGGCGGACTGATATATGAGAAAATAGTGCCTCAACATGCAACGATTCATGCGATGCAAGGTTCGTTTTATTTCAAACATTATTCTATCAACACAGACATTCACATGGACAGTCTGGCGTAATAATAGATTTGCTTTGGGTGTTTTGTGGAGTGGGTAAGACTGTTTTTAGTGGCAGGCTAACTATGGCCATTGACATGCACTAGCCTAGCACCAGCGACCTCTGCAAATACAAGGACTGGGTGGAATATTTAAAAAAAGTGTCTCCACACGTCTCCAACACTCTGGCTCACTAGGAAATCAGGGTCTATATCCAAAATTCTGAACTGCCCCTTTAAAACAACCACTTTATGACATCACAAGGTGGAACGAAGAATTTTGTGCTTTGGAGATGTAGACAGTCTAATAAGGCAGGACTACTCAAACGTGTGTGAAACAAAACACAACTCCAGGTCTGTTTTTGAGGAAGCAAAAAGTGAAAAAGTACCTTAGTGTTATTCTCTGTCAGGTTTTCTTGGCTGTTTGAGAGTTCACCATCTGCAGTCAGGTCATCCTTTGAACAAAGAAATCAAAATCAATATAAACAATTATTTCATTATCAGAATGGTGACAGTCAATCTAAAATCAGTCACCTTTAGCCACATATTTAGATACTACATGAATATTACCTACCTTTGATTGTGATCTGGCAAATTTTGGCTTCTTAAAAACTCCACTCAAAAAATCCCACTTTTTTCCTGTCAAACACAATAGATAATTCATATTTTATTGCAAATATTGGTAGAGCAAGGAAGAGGAGTCAACATTTACAGCAGAGGTTAGAAAAAGCGCGCTGAAAAGACTTACCTTAGTGTTACTGTCTGCCAGGTTTTCTTGGCTCTTTGAGAGTTCACCGTCTGAACTTAAATTATCCTACAAACAAAAAAATTTAATCAAAATCAAATGAAATCAAACATTATTTAATTACCAGTAAGTAGAGTCATTCACTTCTAAATTTCAATGTTTATGTATGAATATTACCTACCTTTGATTGTGATCTGGCAAACTTTGGCTTCTTAAAAACTCCACTCAACATTCCACTCTTTTCCTGTAAAACATACTAGTTAATTAATATTTTACTGCAAATATTGGTAGACCAAAGGCAGAGGAGTAAATATTTATAGTAGAGGTTAGAAAAAGTGTTGAAAAGACTTACCTTAGTGTTACTGTCTGCCAGGTTTTCTTGGCTCTTTGAGAGTTCTCCATCTGCACTTAAATCATCCTACAAACAAAAAGTGTAATCAAAATCAAATACATTATGTAATTATCAGTCAGCAGTAGTAGTATTTTGATATTTATGTATGATTATTACCTACCTTTGATTGTGATCTGGCAAATTTTGTTTTTTTAAAAACTCCACTCAAAATCCCACTCTTCTCCTATGAAACATATGGACACAATATTAGCGATTTTTAGTTCATTTGTATTTTATCTCTATTATTGGTAGGGAAATAGGACCAAACAATGACAGCAGATGTGAGAAAAGCCTTTGAAAAGACTTACTTTAGTGTTATCCTCAGTCAGGTTTTCTTGGCTGTTTGAAAGTTCACTGTCTGCAGTTAAATCATCCTAAAAGAGGCATAAAAAACATTAGTAATTGATGATTATTTGGTCCAATTTTTAAAGGTGGACCGTGTAACAGCTGGAATTTTCTGCATTATGGAATTAAAAGGTTCTGTATAAATAAACTCTTTGAGCTTTAAGTCGTGTTTTAATGTTGTTACCTCCTCAAAAACAGATCTGGAGTTGTGTTTAGTTTCATTCACACATGTTTGAGTAACTCTTTATTGTTAGTTTGTTTACATCTCCAAAGCTCAAACTGGTCTGGTCCACCTTGTGATGTCATGTGGAGGTAGTTTTCAGCTACTTTTGACCTTTTGTTCAGTAGAGGTCAGCGATTCCAGGGCTCAAATTATCCAGTGAAGGTGTATGGAGTTTTAAAACACACTAGAGCACTTCCTGTATCACCACATGACATCACAAGGTAGAACAGAGTTTTTTCAGTTTGAGACCTGAACCTCAGCCTAAATCTGCAGGTTTGTGTGTTAAACAAAATGTGTGAATGAAACAAAACACAACCCCAGGTTTGTTTGTGATGAAGAAACTACATTAGAACATAAATCAGGCCAAATTACAGGTCAGATCTGTGGAGAGGCAAAAACCCACTTATGTTTTAAAGTATTTTTGAACATGTTTTGAACAGTAAAGACATCTGTAATTGAATAGATACAGGCGAGATACTGTAGGTTTAATGCCAGACTGTGGAAAATTCCAGACAATACTATGACATTGCCATAGAGACAAGCAGGTGGCAGACCATCCACTAGAAAAGTTACATAGTGAAGCTTTACAAATAGGTATATGCATAGATCTTTTTTTTTTTACTTTATGACTTTTTATTGTTCCTTACTTTAGATTGTGATCTTGCTCCCATTTTTGGCTTTTTGAAAACTCCACTTAAAAGTCCACTCTTTTCCTGTAAAACACAAACACAGAACTCAAAATGGCATCCAGCAACATTACTTGAAACCTATGAAGTTAACTTTGTATTGGTTTTTCAACTGATGCACAAACAACTATTCACTCACATTTTTAAAATTTTAATATAGTACTATAAACCTTACTTTTGATTTTATTTTATTTAACCTTTATTTAACCAGGACACACACACACACAAACATAACAATAAAATGGCATGGATCACAGATTAGGAAAAAGAAGTGCACATTATTGACACACATTTACCTTTGTGTTATTATTGTCTGATAGTTCCTCTTTGCTGCCTGAGAGGTCACCAGTGAGATCCTCCTGAAAAATAAAAACAGAATTTGAGACTTACATAGGTTTACAGAAAAATATTTGTAAAGAAAAAACACTGTAAATTGTCAAACGTTAGCAACGCAACCACAAAAAGTTAGTATATTGAAATTGTCTTACCTGGGAGTGACTTTTGGCTCCTTTTGGCTTTTTAAACACACCGCTGAAGAGTCCTCCTTTTTCCTACAAAAACAGTTTTAAAATATAAGAAAATGTGTATTGCAAATTTTTAAAAAAATCATTTTTATAGCAGTTACAATTAAGTTAAAAATGATTTTAGACGCCACCTCACCTTAGTGTTTTCAGACTGACTGACTTCTGTGGATTCAGTGGAATCAGACAAATCATCCTGGGAGAGAGAAAAAAAATTAATATTTTCACATTTTAAGGGCCCATGCGATGCCATTCTTTGATCTGATCTCACTGTCAGAAAGTCTGTTTTTCTAGGTATTTTTGAGCTGTAAAACCACTTGTAATTAAATGAATGTAAGGTAGAGCTGTTTAATGTCATACTGTGGAACATTCCAGAAAGAGCAATGGCATATCCATTGAAACAAGGAGGTGACAGACCCCCAACCAAAAAGTTACACAATGCACCTTTAAAGCTCACAAGAGTAAATTTTGTGTAATACAGCAGCTCAAAATGTATTATTTCTTTTTTTGCTATTGCCCAAGTCACTTGTGGTTCAGACCAGTCACAGAGCAGCATTGTGGTTTGGGGTGGGGCCAAAGTTGAAGTGAAGTCAAATAAACAAAGAAAGATGTACTTCAGTCAATTTTAGCAGAAGTACAGGCTATTTTGTTTGTGAAATTGTGAAAAGGGCTTTGAGCATTTGTGGAAAGGGAAGATATCTGTGGTTTTCTCTGTTTGTTCTGCTGCTCTGACGCTTTGATCAATCAGATTCAACTATTCATCATGATGCTCCATCTTTACTGCTGTTCCAGATAAATGTGAAGAACTCAACTCAGAGGGATGCAGAGTTAACCAAGATTTTAAAACTGGGGAGCTACCTGTAAGTCTCCACCTCTTTCCAAGTAGCTCACCAAAGGATTTCTGAATTATATGTATTGTGCTGAATAAGTAAAATTTGATTAATTAAATGCCTATTTCCATGGTAAATATATTATTTTGCCTAACTTTGTGGACTCATAACTGAATAATGGTTTATGTTTAAGAGGCATCTAACTCTATCCCATCTACGGCTTGCCATGGCTCTTATATTTGCTCAGTTTTTGATGAACACTAAAACAAGTAGCTCACTGGAATTTTCGTTTTACAAGAAGTAGCTCACAGGAGGAAAAAGGTTGGAGACCCCTGCATAAAAAGCTCTACAAATACTAAACCAGGATTAAAACATAAAAATATTGAATCTGTTCTCACCTGAGACTGTGTTCGAGTGAAAATCTTTGGGGACTTTTTAAACATTCCACCGAATACTCCTCCTCCCTCCTGAAAAATGCAAATAAAGAAAAAATATTTTATTCACTAGACCAGTGTTTCTCAAACTGTGGTACACAAGCTCCTTCATGTACTTGGACAGCTGTTCAGTTTGTGTTTTTGCCTAATTTAATGTTCAATTTATCCACTTTTTGTCCACATTTTGGTCATTTCTTGTTTAGAAGTACAGTGGAGATGATGTGGTCCATTTTTAGACCTGGTTTAGTCCTAGATTAGACCTGGAAAAGTCCTGTTATGGACCTGGTGGGACTAGTAGACAAACACTGTTAAAGCAGTCATTTTCTCAGTAGCTGTAGTTCAATCCATTGTAAAATACTGTATAGTTATTTTCCCATAGGCCTGGTCTGTTTAAACTGCTGATGTGGGCACACTCTTCTCCCATTCAAAACAATGAGACACAATGGAGCTGATGCCAGAATCCACCAAAGCTTTTACACCCTTCAGTGAACGTCAGTCAATGATTCACTGTGAATAATTCATATTTAATTTATTTTTATTTAAACTGGCTGCCTCTGGGTATTTTTTATGCTGCTGCACCCTGGCACCCATCTCCAGATCTTGAGCTTGTCTTGGTCAGGACCAGTGGTGGAAGGTTAAGGTCAGTATAAAAGTAAAAGTACAATACTTAAGTACAAATTTGAGGTATTTGTACTTTGTACATTTTATAGTGGATAATTTTTTCTTTTACTTCACTACATTAGACAGCAGATATCGGCACTTTCTACTACAATATATTTTATATCTGAACTGAAAAGTAAAAATGTATTTTTCTTTATGGTGCTGAAATAGGGAGCACATTAAATTTGAGTTAAAGTCCCAACTTTTGAGCAAACCAAATACACAAAAGCATCTAGAAAAAAATAAGAAATAAATACATGCTGGAGGATTTTACTTATTAGTATTGTTCACGGGGTAATTAAGAGGAGGGGGAAAAAGAGGGCTGTTGTCCCAGGCCCCAGGGTCTTAGGAGTCCAGAGTTAGACCCTTTTCTTATAAATTTATATTAGGGGGGGCCCCAAATTTCTGTTGACGGCCCTGATTGTGCATGTTTTGGATTGATTCAGTTTCTCTGTTGTTTCTTTAATGTCATCATTTTGTCTTACACTACTTCTGATATAAATAAAGACCATTCTGAAACTATTGAGGTTATGTAGCTCAGTTGGTAGAGCATTTGTCAACTGATCAGATGGCTGACAGTTTGAATCTCGCTCTTGACATAAACATCACTGGTTGAGTGGTTTGTTGACTGGTGTGATTCCAGCTCCCACAGATGAATGCTGTTGTTGTGTCCTTGGGCAAAACACTTTCTTGCTGTGATGTGAGAATAAAAGCCACTCAGACAACGTATCCCTCATTTTTTACATATTTTCAAAACCAGGTCCAGTTGACTTACTTTTAGCTTGTATTTTAAATGTGATTGTAAAGCACTTTTGCCGTTATGTTTACTTTGCTTTTCTCACCTTAGTGTCCTGGCTGCCATCACTGGAAGTCGATAGGTTATCCTGAAAGATGATAAATAAAAATATATAATAATAATAGTTTAAAGTTTAAAGTTGTTAAGATGTAAAACAGACCGTACCTGAGAAGGCCTTCTAGTGGGTTTAGGAGACTTTTTAAACATCCCAAACATACCACTGGACTCCTGAGGGACAGATTAAAATAGTCAATTAAATACATGCAGATTTGTTACATAAATTATAACATTTGTAAATTATACTCATTGTTATATAGTTGTTATCACTCACTTTGGTCGCTGTATTTTCTGTCACATTATCGGTGTTGGAGTTGGGGTCACAATTCAAATTGTCCTGAAACAAACCAAAAAAATTATAATAATTTAAAAATAAACAAATACAGATTGATCTTGAGCTGCAATTTTATTTGGATTTCAATGGAGACAATTAGATTTCATTACTAAAGCTACACAATGCACCTTTAAGTACAGGGTTGCATTTCTGGTCCCATTGTAAATACATTTCTATTGACTTCAGTTTCCAGGCATTCCCCCATTACGACACGCTCTTTTCCCTTTTAGGACAAGCCCAGAGATAAAAATCAAATCTAGTCAAATTACGACATTTGTGCAAAAATGGCTCTCCATGCTAAGTCAGGAGGGAGGAGGGGGGAGGGAGGAGGAGGGGCAGGGTCTGGAGGACTAAAGGCAGGAGTGTCAAACTTAAATTCACAGACGGCCAAAATTAAAACTGGGACTAAGTCTTGGGCCAAACTAAATATTTATTGAAAAATGTCAACAACATCTCTTTTCTCTTCTTTCGTGATATGCAATGGTAAACCTTTTCTTATTAAAATAAATGTTTAATAATAGTTTTGCTTAAACATTCAATCCAGCAGAAGAAGCACAAGAATAACCACAATTTATATAAATAATGTCTCTATAGTCTATCTGTAGCAGGCAGGCAGCTCTAATACATATTTGATATGATCTCACGGGCTAAATACAATTATATCGCGGGCCAGGAGGGGCGGGGTCTGGAGGACTAAAGGGGAGAGCAGGGTGGGAAAAGGGGTGAGTTCTGGAGGACTAAAGGGGAGAGGAGGAGGGGGTGGGCAGAGCAGGATGGGCAAGGTCTGGAGGACTAAAGGGGAGAGTGAGGGGGGTGAAGGGGCGGGGTCTGGAGGTATAAGGAACAGTGTTATTGGCTGAACAGGAATCAACAAACTCTGACCCTTCAGGTGTTTGAATCAGAAAAACCTGGCTGTGATCAGGGCAGTGTTTAGTGATGTCACATAGTACTTGAAATTGCAAATTTTGATTTAGACTTAGATTTAGGTGTTTTTGACCAGAGATGATCTAGTTTACACTAAAATTATCAAAAGAGGATTAGGAAGAGTAGATAATACTACTCAAACACCATATACACGGTTTAGAAGCACAAAAAGTGGATGTAGTCTTTAGTTCCCCTTTACGTTTACACCCATGAGACACTTTTTGTTTGATCAGATAAAACACACAGAAACTGACACAGAAACAGCTGAAAAAGAGGTTGTTTTCCCACCTGTGAAGCCCGGCCGAGGTGCTCCGGTCTGGGGGGAAGCCGGGGAGGCGCACCCATGGCTCCAGTTTTGTCCTGGAGAAAGAGAGGATTCAATTTCAACAACAAGAACTGGAAAAATACAAGCTCCACACTGCAAAAACACGATAAAAGGACTTCCTACGGGTGAAAGAAATAAAAAAAAGTTATGCTTGATGACTATGTTTTGTATCCCGATAACTATTTTGTTGGAATATTTAAAAATAATACGTTCAGATAAATAAAATATAAATCTAGTTACATTACTAGTCAAACATAAAAACCTAACACAAAATAAACCAAGACTACATCAAGACTCTAACCAAAACTGCAAGCAATGTCAATATTTTTGCAATTTATTTTCACCAGGTCTTCAGAAAATGTTGCTTTATTAATGTGTTTTTCCCTGCCAATTGCTAAATGCTACAACTCAATAAATGTCAGATTTTTTGTCATAAATATTTCTTGTGTGTATCTTTTTTTTTTTTTTCCCTGATGTAAGATAAATTAGCTTGAAAGCCAACCAGTGAAAACTCATAAGTCAAAGAATCTACATAGAAATTATAGAAAACTTAAAGTATCACATTATTTTGAATTCCAGTCATTTTTCTCAAATACTTAAATACTTAATAACTTTAACTTTAAGTATATGGGATTATTTTACATTTTGAAAAGTTTGATACCTTTGATGGTTTGTTTTCGGTTGAACTGTCCGTGCTGTTGGAGAGCTTGGGGCTTGTGACTGAGAGAGAAGTCTGTGAGAATTAAGAAACACATTACTATTAAAAAAATCTATAATAACGTATTGAACTGCACATTGAAAAAGTGACAGAAATCAAACCTGTGCCATGTCCTTGGATGATTTAGACTTTTTAAACATGTCTTTAAAACCACTTGACTTGTCCTGAAATAAAAAATATATATATTATAAGCTATTCATCTCAATACACTGAAGTACAGGTGATACGACTAAATGAGTTGTTCTGTTGAAGAAGAAACTACATAGACCATGATCCTTTGCTCCAACATGAAAAAATATAATATAATGTAATGTAATGTAATATAATATAATATAATATATAATTTAAAGGATCCAGGCCATAAATTATAATGATTAACACTGAGGACATATGGAGAGATTTAATAAGGTATTGTAAAGAGTGTAATTTGTATTCTACATTATATAATTTTACTGTCGGTTAGATGTCAGTCCCAGAATGCTTTGCGTGTGTGGACCCACCTTGTAGTTGTTGTTGTCCGTCAAACTGTCATTACTGTTTGATAGTTCACTGTTCATGGTGAGACTGTCCTGAAAATGAAATACAAAAATACACATTGAAGTTTGATTATTTTATGGATGTGTTTACTGCACAGAAAATGTGTGAGTGGTCTTGCATGTCCACAAACTTGGCTCTTGAATTATTTGGCCTGGAAGAGAACCTCCTCCTGCTGGTTTCCATGGAAATGTAGTTCCTCTGACTTACATTCCACAATAAGACATAAAATTAATCTTACAGAACGTTCCCAAGTATGGTTTTAACTTTCTATTTCCATGGAAACATGCAGGCGATGTGCCACCTCCAGAAAGTGACAGACTGTAGCTTTAGGCTACGTTTATATGATGACAAGCTGAACAGAAGAAACAAAAGTGGCGTCGCGTCTTCACTTTTTATTTCGCATTTAGACAAGCGTTTTCGGGGTGAAATCTGCGTGCATACGGTGACGCAAAAGTGTGTAGAATTCGATTGGGTATGCATGCCGTCCGACATGTTTGTTTCTGTGTACTGTATGTATGTACTGTATGATGTAAACGTGTACACGACGTGAGCAGATCTGACCGGAGTTTTGCGTCTTAGGCAGTGTAGAGGGAAACACTATGGTGGAGCGTATTCAACTTTTCCACTCTGGAGGATGGTTTCAGATTTTTTTATTTTTAAGCCCCAAAAACGCCATCACCGTTTAAACAAAAGGCACTTCCTATAAAATATTCTGTCATTTTTACCGGCAAGAGTTCTCGTGTAAACAGGCTCTCAAGTAGACTTTGATCAGTAAAATAGTAAAGTAAATGAGCCTCACCTGTGAGTGGACAGAGAGAGAATGCTCTGTGTTGGACTTGGTCGATTTCTTAAACATTCCTCCAAACAATGAAGCTCGGTGCTGCAAAGAAAGAAGAAGTGTGTTATACAATGTATTCTAATGGTTTTATATACCGGTATACATATATTTGACCTTTTTCAGTTTGGTGTTTTATTCAGAGGATCTAAAAAGTGGAACATTCTGCTCTTCTCCTTTACAAAGCCTACACAATGTCATCTTAAAAACACTTGAATCACTGCACTTTTCCAGATGGTGTTTTCTATTAAACTTGTATAATTCTTTGTTTGTATTGATGTATTTCATGACCTTACTTCCGCTAAATTATGAATTTTGCACTGTTTTTTTAGAGACTTGTGTATTTTATATACACGTTATCACATATTTGGTATTTGAGAATCATAACTCACATTCTATTGTATAAATTATGTTTATGTACTGTTTCCAGATAAAAATAAATAAAACTAAACATAATCAAATATCACCCTAAAGCAGAATATAAGCATATATAAATTATCACTGGTGGTTTTGCAATGAATGCTCAAAATCAGTTCAGTTCACAGTGCATATTTTAAAAGGCACACACATTTTCTTATGAATCAATGAAGTGTCTATCTATCTATGTATGTTATTGGTTGGCCTGTAATGTCCCACAGTATGGCTCAAAAATACTTTAAAAAAACATTAATTCTTACAAAGAGCAGGCTTGTCTCTCCATAGATATGACCTGTAACTTGGCCTGGTAGTGTCACCTGCTTCTTTTCATGGCACTAGACGCGTTTAATGCCATACTGTGGAAAATTCAAAGCTGAACAATAACATCTCCATGGAGACGAGCACGTGTAAAGGAGATTTGTAATACATGAACCACTGTCACCTTCTGGATATAAATAGCGCTTTATTGCACAACATGAGAATGAGTCAGAGCTCCATGTGTCATTATTGCCTCTTATTATGTAAAAATCGAAATCAGTTTGATCTAATTAAAAGTTTCGCTGTTTTCGTCACAGATTTCATGTTCAGACTTGACTGCGCCCCTCTTGTCTAGACTCAAATTTTGAAGTTTTAACAGAAACTAATAAAAATGTCAAGTTGTAGAAATGTCTGTGGAGTAAAGTGGTCAAAAATCTACAAAAACAAAACTAAACAAAAACTAGATCCTCATTTGAGCTGGTATCGATACTAAAAAAAAGTCACATTCACAGGACAGAAATGAAGCTTTCATGAATGTCTTTAGAATGATCTTGAGCTGGATTAGAACAAGGACCACTGAGGGATTAAGCCACATGGGAACAGAAGAGAAAGTACTATTATTTAACGCTGAAAATCACATTTTGTTGTCAAATATTAAATCTTGTTTGAATCTTACTAAAATCTTGAAATGGTGCAAGACTTAACGGAGCTTAAAATAGCTTAGCATCAGATATATTATTAAGACTGTATTAAGTATTAAGCATTAAATAAACAAACCTAAGAAAGTGATTTGGCTGGAAACAGATAATTCTTTAAACTGGGCATACACTGTGCAATTTTTGTCCCTTTTGGAGACAATTTTTCACTTGTACTGTGTCGTGCTTCGTGTAGTAAACATGAGGTAACAAGAATAGATTAATACCTCAGGACCAGCTCAATCAAACCTGTTTGAAATCCAGACGCCTCTTGTGAGGGTTTCAGACTTAAAGTAGTTGCACGAGCTGTGAACTTTTAAACCCTGTGATTTGGTCATAAAGTTTGAGCTGGGGCTAAGTAAAACGATCGATAATATTGCACAGTATATGTCCGGCATTAAAGGTGCTCGTTTCCATGCAGATCCAATCCAATCCACTTTATTTCTATAGCACATTTCAAGAACAAAACAGTTTCCAAAATGCTGCACAAAACAGATAAATCATATCCAGTAGAAATATAAATTAAAGCTCTATTTAACTCCACTAGTCCTCATTAAGACAATAAAACTAGTTTATTCAAATAAGAGCGCAAATACCAATAAAAAGGTAAAAAAATAAAAATAAATAAATAAAACACACAGAGGACCGCTCAACTCACGCAGTGTTAAAAGCCAGAGAATAAAAGTAGGTCTTAAGACATGTTATTGGTTTGGAATGTTCCACAACATGGCATTACATTAAACAATCTTCATGTAAACAAACAGGTGACGTCACTAGGCCAAGTTACAGGTCATATCTGCGGAGACGCGGCGCTGCTTACAATAACAACACATGTTTTACAAGATAAATTTGAGTCAAAACACAAACAAAAAACACTTGACCGAATAAACTGCTAGATACATTTAACACCATACTGCGGAACATTTTAAGTGACATAGAAAACCACGAGCAGGTGACAGGAAAGTTACACAGTGCACCTTTAACAGCAAGTATGTTATCTCTATTAAATCAACAACAAAAGAATACATAAATTATAAAAATATAGTTGAAGCGTATTGAAATAAACTACCATCTGTACTGCTTTATCCTTGATTATTCTTAATATGTCAAATCACAAAGACGCAAAGCTTTATTTTTTAAGACATGTCTAAAGAAATAACCACACAAAGCAGAACTGTACACACCTCTCTCATACATAGAGTAGGTTTGTGGTAAAATAGGACTGTGGGTGAGTTTTTAGTCAATTTAAATGTCATAATGTGGATAAAATAATCCAAATTGGCCCAGAAATATTGGCAGACTTTATTGGCCACCGGTTGCTCTGAATTCTAAACACCAAGTTGAATGTGTAGTTAGGATAATATCTGAAAATGTCTCTTGAATGATTTAAGCAGTGAATGAGCTGTTAGAATTCTAGATTTAATATCCTTTGAGTGTTTCTGCTTCACACGTCCCATTCAAAAGTTCACGTTCACTTTGTCATTACTGATAATAGCCCCGAGCTACACTGCCGCTTCAGTACACAGCACAAAGAAACATGAGCTTCAGTCTGTAAGAAGGTTAACCAACTGTTTTTGTACCTCCAGAAGAAAATCCAGGTCTAAACCAGGACTAATAAAAAAACAAACCACAACTGTACCAGGATCAAATATGTCAAAATCAAATTAAAGAAAATCTCAGTTGTGTATGGTTATAGAGAATAAAAAAAGTTGCACTGTGTAACTTTTCTGTTTATAGCTTGGCCTGGAATGTTCCATGGTATCATCGTGTGGCATTAAACATGTCTATCTCCATGGAGACAAGCACGTGACGCCAACAGGTCAGGTTACCGGTTAGATTTGTGGAGAGGCGAACATCATAGCAAGAATGTATGTTTTTCAGTATGACATGAAAAACATCTGAATAGAATAAATGCAAGATACAAAACTAAAGCCACACAGCGGAAAATTCCAGTCAAAGCAGTAAGACTAGAAAAATTACATAACGCTTTTTTAAGTAGTAGTGACCTTGGACGATTTAGCTTTAAGAAACACTAAACCAGGACTAAACCAGGACTAAAACTACTCTAGTGAACATTTAAACGTGAAATTAAAATACTACACAGACAAGTTACAGTTACTTACAGCGACACCTCCTCCTCCTCCTCCTCCATCGCACTCCAAATCCAGCTCCAGATTGTCGTATCGGTCCTGCGTAAAGACGCACGATTTAAGCGAGTTTTACAGACTTTTACAACAGCTAGCATACTCAAAACGTACTCATTTTACACACTGAAATACATTTAAGTGAATATAAAATGTTCCTTGTATTGTTAGCCCACCATTATTTCGTAAAATTTGCTAAATCCAGTTGAAAGTTTGTCTTGAATTCAAAAGCGTAAAGATTACTCCGCGTCTTGACAGCTTCGTGAAAGTGTGTTTTTCGCAGCGGTAAAGTCCAGAAAAGTGTCCGAGGAAAGCGTTCGGACCCCGGGGACACAGGTCTCACAGACGGGCGGGTGGAGAGCGGATTTCTCGGTGTAATAACTGGACTGGCCCGTTTTTTTCTGAGCGCTTTCTGTCGCGTTACCTGGTCATGTTTTTGGGGAGGCGTGTTCAGACCAGAGTGAGTTCAAGGACCACTCGGAAATACAGACTTCGACTCAAATAAACAATTAAAATCACTGAAAAGTATCAAATGTGATTAAAAATACGCGGTTAAAGTGATAGTTAATGTCTTTATCTATTTAAAGGTTCTGTGGTCCTTAAGAGCTTTAAGTCATGCTTATATTTTTTACTTCCTCAAAAGCAGACCTGGAGGTGTGTGTTTTTTTTTTCATTCACACGTTATAACCCTTTATTATTATCTCCAAAGCTCAAAATACTTTGTTCTATCTTGTGATGTCATGAAGTGGCATGACATCTACCTGTTGTTTAGTAAAGATGAGCAATTCCAAGCCTGAAATTATCCAAATGATTCTAGTGAAGGTGTATAGGAGTTTAAAAACACAGTGGAGCACTTCCTGTATTACCACATGACATCAAAAGACGGAACAGAGGGAAGAACTCAGCCTAAATTTACAGGGTTTGTGTGTTAAACATGTGTGAATGAACAAAATTAAACTCCAGGTCTGTTTGTGATGAGGAAACAATACGACGTACATCAGAAAAAGTACTGGTGCACAGTGACCTCTGCTGGCTAAAATTGGAACTCCAATAGCTAGAAAAAGAGACAAAGTGATGACTGTCGCACAGGACAAGTCAGGCATAAAAATGAACACACTTTTTAGATATAGATCTGATTCACTACAGAAATCAGATACTCAAGTCAAGTATTTCTGACACTCAGCAGAAGGGCTGTCATCCGGGGAAAAGAAAATTAAGTTTTGTTTGGTTAGCTAACGTTAGTTGTTGTTAAAAGTTGGGCCTTATTATTACGTGTTATTGTATTAACTCAACATCCTCGCCACGAAAAATACCGTTCAAAATGAAACAAGCAATAAGATGATCTCAATTCTTACCAAGGCGATTGCAAACCTCTCTTCTAGCTCTCCCATAGGTCAGGGACATTGTGTGTGCTACAAACACTTAAATTCAGCTGACAAAATTCTGATACAAACAAAACTATATACAACCCTGCACAGTAATGTCTAAACTATAACCAGTTTGGCATTATTTAAATTCACCTCACTGAATCTATAAGATTATCTTGGAGTGAATGAAAAAATATAAAATAAATAAAAACAGATCTGTGTACTGGTACATGAATGTATATTGTATATGAACAAAAGGTTCATTTTGTTTTGATGGCAGTCAGTATAATCTGCTTGTGTATTATTGGTCAAGGACTGTTTCACTTCTATTAATTAGTTCTATCAGTTGAGTTCTTCTCTCAAATTGAAAAACTCGTGATGTTATGTGGATACAGGAAGTGCTCCATTTGAATGGACTTTTGTCCAGTTGACAAATTGACTCCTTTGCTCCTGGACGACTGAGGGATTTTACACACACCCATTTGGATGATTTCAGCCCTGGAATTGCTGAAAGGTAGAAGGAGCTGTTCACATGAAAACTAGACTTTCATGACATCACAAGGTGGAACAGAGCATTTTGAGTTTTGGAAATGTAGCGAGACTAATGTTTTTGTTTTTTTCCAAACATGCTTAAGTTTTCATTTTTAGCAGTTTCATTTATGAGCAATGCAGTTTATTAATTTATAAACAGACTGATCAGTGCAGGTAGCCCTAAAACAATTCATAAATAGTGTGTGAAACAAGAAACAAAAGCTACAGGCAATAAACCAGTAAAAGCAATTCAACTAGAAGCAAGATCTTTTTTATATATTATTTTTATTTTGCATTTTTAAAAATTATACAAACAAAAAGAGTTTCAAACAGTTCAGAGCAATTTTCAATTTTTTTTAAATGATTATATTTGCCATTGAGACAGCATCTTAACCAGTCATCATCTCAGACATTAAATTATTCCACATTTGGACAGAAGGGGCATCATTACTTATCCATTTTTGCAAACAAGATTATTAAAATTTCATTGGTATTTCATTAAAAATCCCTTTTCACGATTTGCTACAGGTGCAATATTAACTAAAGGCACTTGTTATTTTCTAACGAGAACTACTTAAAATAACGCAGTATATAAGAATACACGGTGTTTCTTTGGTAAAGTTACTTGATATGTAGACTAGTGCACTGCTTAACTTCTGATACCACAATTATAATAAAAAAAAAAAAAACTCTCTTTAGACAATAGAATGTGATTTTCAACATTAAATTAGAAAAGGAAGTACTATCTTTTCCATGTAGTCTATGTGTGTAATCCTTTTGTGGTCCAGGTAGGTCCCATAGTGCTTCGTGTGTATACTAGTCTATGTGCTCTTATACTTGGTCTGATCCAGCTCAAGATCATTCTAAAGACATTCAGAAAAGCTTCATTTCTGATCTGTCACCTCATCTGAGGTGAAACACAGTACAGTATCACACGGGGAGACTAGACATGGACCAGACTGGAAGACAGGGAGCAAACAGGAATAAACCATGCAGCATAACATGAGAATAGGGTGAGGAGAAAAAAAAAGAAGTGCCCCCAGACCATGCTCCTATCGTGTGCTATGAGTACACAAGAAAACAGCACCTCCTCGATATCAGCACAGTCAAAACACAATACAAACATTTCCACAACTGGGTAGGGTAGGGGTGTGGAGTTAACCCAACGTAGGTAAGCAGCCATCTGGATCCCGCAGCCATTGGTGGTGGATACAACAGACCCGCTCACCAGGCGGGGGGTGCAAATCTGCGAGGGGTTGGGTACAGGGGAGACTCTCTGTGTCTATTGTAATCTCCGAGTTGACTCCAGCTGGCCTTGACTGTGACCATTCCTGACTTGGGGACGTCAATAATTCAGTTTTGGAGAGTAGAGTGGAGAGAGTCTCTTGGTATAAGATACTAGACACTAGACTAGACAAGACAAAGAAGCAAAGCACGGAAGATAAGGGGAAGGAGAGGAGAGAAACTGCATCGGCCCTCACTAAGAGCCATGTAGGTTGTGTTCTAGTTTTAGTCTTATCTGATTTTCCATATTGTTGTGCAAATTATTTAAGGAGTTACTTAAGGAAGCAGGGTTACTCCGTTTATGAACAGTGTAAACAAAACAGTTAACAGCTTTCAGTCGCTCTTCATTTCTGTTCAAATGTAGGAAGATGAGCTCTATGATCTAGTTCCACAACAGTCCCGTATACACACACAAGTAAATTCTCCATTCATTTTTCCCATAAACCTCTAGTGAAAAAGCGAAATAAAAACCACAGGATCATCTAGTAGGGGTTAATGCGATTACATTTTTCAATAGGAAGTGAACTAGAGAGTTGACGGCACCACTTCCTGTTTGGAACGTTCAATATCCATTATATACACCGCCTATACTCACGATTCATTCAGGCAGGTTTAACTAAATCAGAGTTGTTTTTGTAGTGTTTAAACTAGTGATTGTTGTGCAGAGGGTTAAGATCTTTATTGTGTCCACGAGAGGAAGTAGATGTTTCCAAGACGGTCTCCACACACAAATTTAGTTTGGTCTTCAGGGTCGATCTCCAAAAGGACAACCGGAGCTCCACACACGAACATCCCCAACTGACACAGAGGGAGAGGGAGAAAGAGAAAGCGAGAGGGGAGAGAGAGGGAGGGAGAGAGGGGCAGAAGGAGAGAGAAAGAGAGAGAAGAGGGAGAGAGAGAGAATGAAGGAGGGACGATGAGAGACAGAGAGAGGGAGAGAAAGAGAGAAGCGGGAGGGAGAGGGAGAGTCAGAAAGAGAGAGAGAAAGAGAGAGGAGGAGAGAGAGGAGAGAAGATGGGAGCAAGAGAGACAGAGAGAGGGAGAAAAAGGGAGAGAAGGAGGGGCAAGGTAGACAGAGAGAGGGAGAGAAAGAGAAAGAAGCGGGAGGAAGAGATATACAGAGAACGAGGGAGGAAAAGAGAGAGAAGAGGGAGGGAGGGAGGGAGGGAGAGAGAGAAGGAGAAAGTAAAAGAGACAGAGAGAGGGAGAGAAAGAGAAAGCATGAGAGGGAGAAAGCCAGAAAGAGAGAGAGGAGGAGAGAGAGAGAGAGAAGATGGGAGCAAGAGAGACAGAAAGAGGGAGAGAAGGAGAGAGAAGAGGGGGAGGGAGGGAGGGAGGGAGAGAGAAAGGGAGGAGGAGAGAGGGAGGGAGAGAGAAAGAAAGAGGAGGAGAGAGAGGGAGAAAGAGAGAGAAGGAGAGAGAGGGAGAGAGAGAATGGGGTACAAGTTTAGATATTTCACTCAAGTAAAGGGAAGAGGGAGTTATCCAAACATTCCTTTCAAACTTAAACTTAAACTTTTTCTGGTGGGGGTGTGGAGATGTTAATGCTTAAAACATTCAGACTAGTTTTAGCAGTACCACGCATCCAAAAGTAAACAGACTAAGACTAAATATGTCTCTTGAATGTTCTATCATTTTGATGTAGTTTGTCCGTAACAGTAGATGGGGTCTGACCTGTTTCTTGGTTCCTCTGTCCCAGATTTTCACCGATTTTGTCATGAGAAGCTGAGATGATGGTGTCTTTAGTCAGTCTCAGCACCGTAATCCTGTCAGTGTGTGCCTGAAATAAAAAAACAAACTGTTGTTTAAGGGAAATATGATGTCAAATTAACTTTAATGACTTTTTAACAATGTTGATGTTGATGATTCATTTGAACAGGAACTCAATGAACCAGTTTCTATTATTTAAAGTGATAGTGTGTAATCTGTGTGATTCCATGGAAATAGAAAGTTAAAACCATACTTGGGAAACATTCTTAAAGTGGATTTTTTTGCCATACGATTAGACACAGTATCTCACTCATCACAATATAATCTAATAACAAAGAGAAAAAAATATTAAAATGGTCATAATAAATTCTAAGTAGCAATAAAAATAGCAATTATTATGGTCAAAGGTATAACATGAAAATGCAAGCTTGCTCAGAGTAAGGATGCAAGCTTTTCTAAGTTTTTTAATGCAATAAACACACCCAAAAGGAGAAAAAACCAAAAACAACAAACTTTTGGACGTCCACTCGAGTATCCTAGTTATGATTTGTTTTTTTGAGTATCCTGGTTTTGTTATTGTCCATGTAAACTGAGTCTCCTGATTTCAGTGTCCCGGATGTACCAGTCTCCAGGATATGAAAAACAAGGAGACTCTCACTGGGTTTTCCTGAGAGTATCCAGGATACTGTGGCCTGTACTTAACTGAGCATGTGAAAACTGAAGTAAATGATATAGTAGGAGAAGGACCAAAATTACTCAAACTTCTACCAGGACTGTTTAAGTAAGAATATTTTATACCTATAAACAAAATAAAGCAGTCTACTGTTTTAATACAACCACATTTTAACAGCAGCCTCACCTCTGTGGCTGTTTGTGATGCTCTTGGACTAAACTGACACTGTGAGTCGTATTTTTCAACTGTTAAAAACACCTTTTACTGAAACCGTGACAGTGCTCTACAGTCTAATGTTCGTACTTGAATGTATTTATATTTTTTGGTTGCCTTAAATTAGCAAAGATCTACATGTTTACATCCTTGTCATATCTGTGCCATAGTCACCATAGCAACCAGTCTACATATCCAGGATGCTCTAGGATACTCTGGTTGAACTCACTGGTTTTCGGTTGCTCCAGGAGGAAGTGTCTGGAGGAAGATTAAACCACATGTTTCCCTTAACATCTCCACAAACGATGAAATCTGAACGACAGAAAAACATCATAAAATGACATAGTTATGAAGGAGTCTAAAACTAAACCACTGTGTGATATGAGCAGTACAGATATACATGTGTAGTACCATTGAGGACAGTGGCTGCAGTGATGAGGGCTCCTTTGTCTGAAAAGAGTTGCAGGTTTTCAAAGGCCTGGGTGTGCTCACACTTTGGGCCCAGAGAGAACTGTGACAGAGCAGAGAGGGAGAGTGGTTAGACCTTCACTTTTGAGAGACAGAGAGAGACAGAGAGCAGAGAGGAAGAGAGCAGAGACATTGTACTCTGCTGTTCAGGATAAAATCTAAAATACCCACAACACTCACCACAATCCCCAGTTTCAGTGCTCCCTCCTCTTCTCCCAACAACCAGGCACTTTTCTCATCGTTTGGAGTCAAACTCAAGAAACGTGTGCTAGTGTGCCAACTGCAAAAACACAAAAGAATCATGAAAAAATACTTAAAAAGTCCTAGATTACACTAAATTGACTGTTGTGAGCTTTAAGCTATGTTAGAATGCTGTAACCTCCTCAAACGCATATCTGGAATTGTGCTCTGTTTGGAGATGCAGAGAGTCTAATAATAAAGGATTACCCAAAACTCAAAATGTTTGTGATGTCATCAAGTGATGGTAAAATGTAGCTGTTAACTTGAACTACCACTACTACTTTTTGTTTAGCAGAAATAGTCAATTCCAGGGCTGAAATTATACAAATGATACTAGTGAAGGTGTGTGGAGTTTAAAATCCAGTGGAGCACTTCCTGTATTACCACGTGACATCACCAGGTGGAAAAGAGTGTTTTCATTTTAAGAGAAGAACTCCTAAGAAGCATAAATCTGCAGGGTTTATGTGTTAAACGTCTGAATGAAACAAAACACAACTACAGGTCTGTTTGTGATGAGGAAACCACATTAGAATAAAGAGGAAATAATGTGATATGGGCCCTTAAATTAAACAGAATCTAAACCTTATACAAACTAATACAAATACATGTTGTTATAATGTTTGGTTTGGTACTGACTATGTGATCCTGGATGACCAGGGGTCATTCTTGTCTCGACAACACACATTTAGAATATATCCATTTTGAGAGACGCCCAGAAGTGAACAGCAGAAGTTCAGGCAGATCACACACTCTTCTACATCATAAGACTTCACCTTCACCAGGCTGCGAAGAGAAAAAACAAAACAAAACACAAAACATCCTCCACATGTCCATAATATTACTCAAATATTGATACTTTGCAGCTGATGTCATCAACATTCACTGGGGGAGTCATGTTAACCGAAGGCACTGCTCTGTCTCAGGCTTTGTTAGACAGTAATATGAGCTTTATTTCAACACAATCTGACCAGAAAGAACTGATTTAGCTGGAACTATGACAGATGACCTGATTTGTGCTGTTAAACAAGGCTAGGGTGATTTTCAAAATAAAAAAACTGGGACACCCCCAGTTTGGGGTGGGTGGATTGGTAATAATAAAATTGTGAAATGAATGAGTAATTAAGGAAAACTGTTCTGCACTCGGCCCATTCATGACTAACGTGCGTCAGTATGGTCACATTTTCTTTGTGTTTTGGTCATTTTTAAGCAACTTTTCTGTATTTTACCTAAACAAATGACACTTTATGCCCCTCTTTACTGCTGACATGTAGCAAATTGGTCAAAAATAGGGAAACCTGGGACATTTCTTGTATAAAACTGGGACAAAACAGTGTTTTTTAGATAAATCTGCTGGAACAGGGGACACAGAGCTCAAAGCTGGGAGTGTCCCAGGTAAATAGGTACGTCTGGTCACCCTAAACAAGTCTCTCACACATAACATTACAGTCACAAGCTAGCTAGCATTCGCCAACAGTTTTTCAGTTAGTCACTGTCACCTTTTTGTTGAAAGAAACACCTAAACCAGGACCATGGACGCTTCACAGACTCCTGAAAATGTGTAGTTTAAATCTATTTAGTTTTTTTTGGCTGTGTTTGCTTATGGGTGCATGATGTCACCATGGGAGCTGTTGAATATTACGCCATAAATATAAATGCAGAACACCCCCAGTGTGATGTCACGGCAAAGCATCAATAAGTAAAATGTATAGACAAGAAAAAGTCAAAAACCTTTAAGGCCAAAATACCACAGAGCAAAAACATTTGACTAATAATCAAATAAATAATACACACATTTTCTTTATAATCTTATCTGAAGGTACAACAAACACACACATTTTCTTTATCAACTCATAATTATTGTGAGCTTTGTTTACTTCTAAATACTGTATGCCACAAGTGTTCCCTAGATGGTCATATAAACTTAAATAAAGTAAAGAACATAATAGAGCATTTTTTCAAACATATTTTCAGTTTACCTCACAGAGCTGCTTTGGGTCCACACCAGTTTGAACACATCCACACGAGGCTCTCTGTATCCCACAGCAACCAGTCCATCCGGCATCGAGCACAGAGCCGTCACTGGCCCTTTAGAAACCTGGAGCCAAATAATACTAATAAATAATACTGAAAAAGGCTCTACAGTAATTTAAAAAAGTCACTGAACATTCACAACATTTAAAAATGCAAACGTTGTGATAAAATCCTAAAGCCCATACTCAGATAATTTTCCCAGTCTCTCCTGACCTGCTTGTGTCCGACCAGGCGACTGTTGAACCAAAACTCGAGTAAACCGCTCTCAAACCCGGAGATGAGCAGTGCGTTTCTCTGATAGAAGCACAGAGCAGTGACGGTGCCTTTTCGGAATGGAGGAGATTCTGAAAAGAAGAAAATAAATACACTTAATACTGTATTTGGATACACTTGGTTATGTTGTATTAAACTCAGCTTATGGACACCTTAGCGTTGATCTTTTATATTTTCATATTAAAGACCTATTGTGTTTGTGTCTACCGTATAGTGGATCACTTGAAATCCCAATATTCATCTAAAACAACTTTATTTATGCGTTACAAAGGTAGACATGGTTTAGAAAGAATTTACTCAGGTCATAATAGGGATGTAACGTTATCCACATCTCTCGATACGATATTTTCACCACATGCATCTCACGGTACGAGATTTATTGCAATATTTTGTGGAGGCTAACAAAATTGTAAATACACTACTTTTCTCTCATCAAAATCCAAATAATTAAGACTTAAAAGTGCTTAATAACAGTTATTTCAACATGTCAATTGGACTGAAACAGAGCAGGATCACGGTCTATGTAGTTCTCTCTGTTTTTTGTATTGCTGTAACAATTAATTTAAGCAAAGAAACATGTAATTCTATATATTGTGACGGTCCATGATATTACTGTGAGACTTTTGACGATGTGATGTCAGGATATTTCGGTTATTGTCACATCTGTAGGTCATAATGCTTTAGGATTATTATACCAATCATTTTCTTCAGTTTCAGTTTCATTTTTCACAAGGTATCACACTTGAATGTGTATTTTTTACCCATGTTCCAGTCCCAGCAGCGCACAGAGCCATCCTCAGACACCGTGAGCAGCTCAGCAGACGCCATCTTTGGGACCACTCCTCGAATGGTTCCAGTGTGACCCAGGAATGAGCTGCAGTGCTCCACCTGGAAGTGTAAAGGTTAACGCATCTATAATGAAAATAAAGTAACATAGTATGGCTTTTAAACAAACTTTGGCACATTAGCTATGAGAATAGTATTTTATGTTTGTGAAATTTGTCCATCAAAAAAGTTAAGTAGGAATGTTCAGTTTGAGTGCATATATTCTCACAAAACTTGTTTTATCTTCACCTGCCATGAGATAATGAATACTTTTAAATCATTTTGAACTTTTTGAGTGTGTCAGTTTTTTCACCTATTTGAGCTCTAAAAAGGACAATTTTGCACAACCTCTTCACACCCAAGCAGCATTGCAGCATTATAAAGTTCTGCTTAACCAAACCTGCAGTGGTTTCCAGACTTTAGCTGTTCCATCTTCTGAAGCTGTCACCACAGTCAGATCCTCTGGGTTTGACTCTTTGGCATCTATAAAAATATTTAAAGAAACATTGTGCTTTTGGGTCATTATGTTAAAATGTGCACATGTTAAATCACAATACTGATCTAAAATAACTTCATGAAAGAACAGAGGAAAGTGTCATTTTTTGCTTAAACCTGGTACATGATATATATATATTTTTTTAAAGGTTGATGTCAATATGTGCATTGTCCCTGATCAAATAAAAGAACAAGACCTCTGACTTCTGCGTTAAAAATACTGCAGTACCCAGTGGGAGCAAACATCACCATAAATGTCACCTCAAAATCACAAAGTCTTTGTAATATTGATATTCACCAGTGATGAGAGCACAGTGGTGGATGGACAGGTTATGAGCTGAGATGTGGCATATTTCTACAGCAGAGTCCCACTTCCAAACATGGAGTCCTCCCTCTGAGCAGCCCGCCACCACATACGGACCCTGGGGATAACAGAAGAACAATAATTTAGATTAAAAATTATTATTAAATTAGATATTATATTATACCCAGAGCTATTAGACTTTATAATGCATGCATGTAAAATAGAAGCTAATCAAAGGAGAAGTATTGTACTGCATTTATCTTAGCACTATACAACTGTAAAGGAAACTTACAATGTTAAAAAAATAAAATTGTTTACTTTATTCAATTCAATTAAAACAAGCTGTTGAACGTAATTACATGAGACAGAGGATGCAAACTCCACATGAAATAGCCATATCTAGTCTGGGAATTCAATCAGCTTGGAGGCAAGAGCATGTGACCTTATTTCACTTGAACTCACCTGGCAGCAGACGGAGGTGAGGGGATTCTTCCAGGAGATTTCTTTGATGCTTTTCCCAGTTTCTAAATCCCAAAAACAAAGTCGACCATCGTTTGAGGAGCTCACCTGAAAATGAAGAGCTCATGTTTAAATATAAAGTCTGTAAGCATCATTATAACATCAGAACATGGGTGAATCTGTCGTACCACACAGTCTTTAGTCCAGGCACAACCGGTGATCCAGTCTCTGTGGCAGTGAAAGAGAGACTTCGACAAAACAGGAGTCGAACTCACATCCCATAATATCAAAGCCTAAAGAAATCACAGGGTTTTAAATCATGGTTATGTTTAGTTTAACATGAAATAAAATGTAGAGCATTTTTCCATAACTGAGTTGAAAATAACAATACAGCTAAGCAAAGTTAAACAATGTTGGGCCAATGGTCTCCCATCACTGAGAAAACCAGGAGACACAGTGGGGCATCTGTGATATACTAGTGTATATTGCTGTTGTGTCTTTAGGCAAGACACTTCTTCCACATTGCCTAGGCAATGACCTCCAGCTCTTCTGGGAGATCCTGAGGTGTTCCCAGGCCAGCCCAGAGACATAGTCCCTCCAGTATTCCCCAGGGCATTCCCCAGGGAATTTCACCATAACAGTCTGAAATAAAATAATATAATAAAATGAACCAGAGAATATTGTGATGTGGCTGACCTGGTCCTTTCCTCCAGACAGCAGCTGGTCTCCCTCTGGACTGAAGGAGAGGCAGGTGACCCCTCTGCTGTGAGCTCTGAGGATGGAGTGAGGAGGGACGGAGGAGAGGAGAGAGGAGAGCAGCCACAGAGCCACCGAGCAGTCATCTGAAGAAGAGAAAGAAACATTTACACCGCAAATTTCTTTGATCTGGCCAAGATTTTAAAACTTATATCAGGTTATTCATCTTGTTTTCAAATTTATTATCTACTTACTGGTTCTGAATTGGTTGTATAATCTTAAAAATTATCACAAATATTTCTTCTGTGACTCAAATGTTTCAAAGAAGCTGCAATCCACTTACCATAGTTTTCCCCTGCAACACTTAACTTGTTTTTAGATTCAGTGATACAGATTTGATCAGGCCATGAACACTAATCATGAACTGGTTTTAAGTATGTTTATCTAAAACTTAGCATCTATAAAATTATTTCCAGCCCATGAACAGTTATCTGAGACTGATTAATTCTAATCTAGGTAGTTTATTTTAAGATAACTTCAAGTCAAGTAAAATTATCTTGCTGCATGGACAGATCATTTCACTACTTTTAAGTAATTTTCTGAAAGGTTTAAGTGTTTATATCTTAAATTTGACCAAGCTTTTTTGCAGTGTAGGGTAGTAGTTATTATGCTACTTTTGTATTTAGTATAAAACTATAACATATATAGATCATTGTTTTATATTTTGTTCATTGTAGCTTTGTTACTCCATCCAAAAAGGAAACAAAAAAACAGTGGCCTTATATGGTCAAAACCCTCTATATAAATTAGCTTGTTTTCTTACCTGAGGCAGTTGCCAGGTAAGTGTCATTTTTAGCCAAAGCAAGCACTGGACCCTGGTGAGAATCCAACATAGCCGCCACCTCCAGACCTCCCATCAGCCCCTGTTCTTCATCACATTCTCTCCAGACCCGCACTAGCCGGTCCTGTCCTCCTGAGACCAGCAGCTCGGACTTAGACCTGGGGTTCTGATCCTGGTTCTGATCCTGGTTCTGATCCTGGTTCTGATCCTGGTTCTGATCCTGGTCAAGACCCAAGTTAACAGAGACCCAGAGTAAACAGTGGACAGAGGAGGGGAGGTCATCAGACGTCCAGATCTTTTCTCCTACAATAAAAATAACACATACTTCATTGTCCAAACTTAAATTATGGCTATTTGGTCTTTTATTTAGTGTTATATATTTAAGAAAATGAGCAACAATGCTTCAAACTAGAACTAGAATTCTGAATGATTATTTCAAAAGTCTGATTAATCTGATTATTTTGTATTGATTGATAGCACTAAATACAGTGTTTTGTTTTTTTAATTTAGTTTGTAATGCTCATATTTAGTTGCCTGGGATCTGGAATTACAAAATAAACTAGTGACTGAAAAACATTTTCTGCAAATTCTATGGGCAAAGCACTAAATTTTGTTATTCTGAGGTAAGCGAAGTATAATTTTGTTTGTAAATAACCTGTGACCAGTGAGCTTCTTTCATCATCAAAGTCATTGAAAAAAACATTGTGCTGAAGTGTCTTGCCCAAGGACACTACTATAGTATGGACACAGACCTGAGTCCACAGTGAAGAGTTTGATGCTTTCTTTGGTTCCCACAGCTGCAGTGTCTCCTCTCACAGACACACACAAAGCAGGGTCTGTGTCGGGCGCTTTCCTCCGCTTCTGAGGCGGCTCACAAAGAAACTGAGGAGAGAATACAACATTAAAATTCAGGTTTAAATATTTGCACACATTTGTATTTAGCAAACTTTACCTTTTCAGTTTTCAGAGTACTGACTGATCGTCCAAGTCCCCCAGACCAGAGCTGGATCTGAGGAGAGATTTAAAGAAAGTGAAGCCACTGAATTTTACATGAACATATTAGATTTGATAGTGTTTCTTAAAATAATTTGGCACCAGTGCAATACAGTGGAACAGGATTTCTAAATGTATGTCACTCTCTCTTATTTAACATGTGGCTGTTCTAAAGTGCTGCTGTAATCACTGTTCTCGTCTTTGTTTGCCTGTCCTGTCTAACTGTTTATAATCTCTGTAAATAGTGTGGGTTTACATTTAGTTTTTTTGTAACATCAGCCTGGAAGGGGTCTGCAGAATGAAAGTAGCCCAAGACTATCTTCATTAAAGGGACAGTTCGGAATTTTGGACATAGGGCCTCATTTCCTAGTTAGCCAGAGTGTTGGAGACGTGTGGAGACACTTTTTTAAATATTCCATCCAGTCCTTGTATTTGCAGAGGTCGCTGGTGCTAGACTAGTGCATGTCAATGGTCATAGTTATCCTGCCAATAAAAACAGTCTTACCCACTCCACAAAACACTTGAGGCAAAACAATTATAACTGTCGATGTTTGCAGAATAATTTTAGAAGTAAAACCAACCTTGCATTTGAATGATTTATGTCTGAGCAGCAGCAGCAGCGAGTTGTACTTCTTGATAGAAAGCTTGGGAGCGGCAGACTAATACTGTATATGAGAAAATAGTCCCTCAACATGCGACGATTCATGAGATGAGAGGTTAGTTTTATTTCAAACATTATTCTATCAACACAGACATTCACATCGATAGTCTGGCGTAATAATATATTTGCTTCGGGTGTTTTGTGGAGTGGGTAAGACTGTTTTTAGTGGCAGGATAACTATGGCCATTGACATGCACTAGCCTAGCACCAGTGACCTCTGCACATACGAGGACTGGACGTCTCCAACACTCTGGCTAACTAGGAAATGAGGTCCTATGTCCAAAATTCAGGACTGTCCCTTTAATATGCACTTTTCTCAAATAAATAAAATAAACTGGAGCTCATTAGTCTCACCAACCTTGAAGGCTGCAGCAGTTTCAGAAGTAAATTTCCTATTCGTTTTCCCATAAACTGTTAGAAACAAGGCTAACCAGCTATGAGGAAACTAATGTCCATTAATTAATTAATTAAATACATTTATGTATATTATGATTTCTTTTAGTCTCCATGGGCCAGGTTACAGGTCAAATCAGTGGAGAGGTGACCCGCTCACGACAAGAATGAAAATGAAATTAATACATGTTGTGTTTAATGCTATTGTATGTTTAATGCTATTCATGGGTTTCTGCTTCATATTCTATGCAACATTTAATTATTCATATCTTAATTCTAAAGATATAATATTTGAAATTATGAATGGCTATGGCAGCAGTGCTAATTTTTCATCATTTTGAAATCCATGCATAGTGCAGAAATTCTCTACAAAGCAATAAAAGCTCCATGGAGGCAAGCAGGTGGTGGAGCGTTTATAAAAAGTGCCATAGCGCTCCTTTAAGCGTCCTCTCTCACCATGTGGTCAGCCCCAGCGGTCAACAGCTTCCTCCCGTTGTCGATGAAGGTCAGAGCTTCCGTGGAGCCGGTGTGAGCCTGAAAACATCCCACACACGAAGCACTGAACACGGACCAGACCCGGACCTCCCCAGAGACTGACCCCGAGCAGAGCAGAGAGGAGGAGGAGAAGGCCACACTGTGCACCGAGCGCCCATGACCAACCAGGGACTGAGGAGAGAGGAGGACATAAAATACTTACTTACTTTCACAATAATTACAGTATTTTATTATAACTGGGCACATATTATGCTTTTTTGATTAATGTTCTAATGTTGTTTCCTCATCACAAACAGACCTGGACTTGTGTTTTGTTTCATTCACACATATTTAACACACAAACCTTGCAGATTTTGGCTGAGTAATTCTCTCAAACAGAAAACACTCTGTTCAACCTTGTGATGCCATGTGGTAATGCAGGAAGTGTTCTACTGTTTTTAAACTTTATACACCTTCACTAGAATCATTTGGATCATTTCAGGACTGCAATTGCCAATCTCTACTGAACTAAATGAAAAAGGTAGCTGAAACCACTGTGCAGTGAGGGGCCATGACCAACCAAGGACTGAGGAGAAAGAAACCATCAGATTAAATATGAAGAGTGGTGTATAAGAAATTCAACCGTAGCTAAAAATCTGGCTCTTGCCCCCCCATTTGGGAGAGTGAAGTCAGCATATTCAAGTCTGAAAACCACCTATTCACCTTTTATTTGTTTTACTTTTTGAACACATCCAAAAGCATTAGAGAGGATATATTATGCAAAATTGACTTTTTGGAGCTTTCTACCATGTTGCAATGTTGTTCCCTCATCAAAAACATGCCTGAAGAGGTTTTAGATGGCATCCATGCACGTGTGAGCAATCTATTGATCTTTCTGACTGTAATGTGTTAGTGCTCTGAAGGGGGCTCAGTGAGGGGGGACTCATAGCATCAAAAACGAAATGTAAATATAGCATATTAATATATTGTTTTCCGCAAATATAGCATTTTAAAAACACTAAAAGGTAACACAGTGATCTAAATAGGTTATGTAGCAGTTAATATCCCATAGATGTGTAATCATATTTGATAAAAGACTGAAATATGAACAGATAAACTAAGAAAATAATGAATCATATGCATTTTAGAATGCCAGAACACCATTTTAAGAACTGTACTTTAATTCATGCCGTTTAGCAATGGTGTTTCACTCACTGCGATGGTTGTGTTCTGGAGCCAATTCCACACGGTGACGTTGCCGTTCCAACAGCCGACGGCGAGGGCGTGTCCTTCCGGGTCAAAGGTCACGCAGTTCATGGGGCAGGTGCTGTGCATAAAGGCCACCTGCTCCCCTTTAGAGGCACTCCACACCTGGATACAGACAGGGACATGAGGAATAAGTCTGGCCCACTTTATCCTACACTATATTTATATCTTTCAACCATTTACTTTCAAGCCAGTTCATTTAAAGTAGATTTTTAATTGTTTTAGCAAGATCATCGACATTAGGGCTGCAAATAGTGATTACTCTGGTTTAAATTAAGATATAGGACTAACTTTTAACATGGAGTCCAGAGACACAGTAGCAAGGTGCTTCTTGTCTGTAGAGAGGTCACTTCCTGTTATAGCATTCTTGTGTCCATCAACAACAGCCGTCCTATACAGTATAAGATATAAACATACATTGTACATACTATAAAGATTGAGAATTTTATTATTTTAAAATCAGTTCTTTTCAAACCTGCATCCATTCTCCACGTCCCACATTTCTATTTTCCCGTCGAAGGAGGTGGAAGCCAAACGTCCGTCTTTTACAAAAACACAACTGGAGACACCATCACAGCTGCTCACCAGAGAACGCACCTCCTGGAAATGCAAAAATTTAAATATTTACAATAGTCCCAAATTTATCAGATTGGCAGTGATTAATAATGATAATGTTATGGCTTGTAATATTTTAGTTCATGTTAATGTTAATGTCAGGTTGCTTTATAATTTAGTGAAGTTACTTTGTGGTAGTACCTCAGAAGCCACAGCTGCTTGAACATACATGGCTTATTCACTTTATATTTATCTTGCATATTTTAAGATGTATATATCGTTAAAGTTAAGGTGCAGTTAACCTTTAAGTTGTCATAGAAATCTTAAAAAGTCTACTAACTTTATTGAACCCCATAGGGAATTTCATCTCTTCTCTGCCTTAAAAAGAGACAGGTCTTATACAATATACTGATCACTATATTGTAGATATTTCTAAATGTTGGATTTTTTTCCTCCTCTGCATTTGAGCTATCTTAATTAAATCTACACACATAAGTCCCCATAGTTCCTACCTGTCCAGTTTGTGTGTGGACGAAGTGCAGACTCCCACGTCCTGTCCCCACCACCATCATCTGTCCATCAGGACTCAGGACCAAGCAGGAGAGTTCAGAGGAGAACGAAGACACCAGCGCACTGACAGAGAATATAAAAGAGATTCATTTACAGAATATGATCAACTTTTAATCCAGTTTCCAGACAGATATTTTTTTTCTGTGGGGTAAACTGTTTTTGTGTCTGTGATGCTGTATTTTACCTGAATGCAGCCCCAGAGTCACATGCTCACCAGAAATCTAAGCTGGTATCTTCTTGTTCCTAACCACCTTTTGTCACTGCAAAGTATCAACACCACTATACCTATAACTATGCAACTATATGATGTTCCTCACCCCATGTCCTGGTTACTTTCAGTGTTGTTGAGCCACTTCACAGCCCGGACTCCTCCTTTTCCCATCATGCTTTGGGCCCAGATGTGTGCAGAGGATTCAGGCTTCTCGTTCAGAGCTTGTTGAACAAAAAGCGCCGGCCAAGATGAGAGCAAAGAGGAGTGACGTTCCAGAAACATCAGGCAATCCATCACAACCTCATCTGAAGAGTCTAGAGACCAGAGATACACAAGTACTACAATTAGTCCATTTGTTTTTGAAAAGTCTGAAATACAGCTCGAGTGGTTATACTAATCTAGATATTAAAGCCAAACATCTCTGGCTCTGGATGTGCAGGACTCTGAATTGAGTCCTACACATTTATCAATCTGGAATGACTCCTAGTGAAAGTGATCAGCAAAAGAGTGAAAGCTGAGAGAAATATTTGAATTTGATTGGTTGGAGCATTACAACAGCAGAAGAAGCCAAAAAAATTGAGCATTTGTTAAATCCATCGTTCTCTCCACAAATGTAATCTTTTTCAAATACAAAATAGTTTGTGTTTCTGCTGAAATAGGCTAAAATTTGTCAGTCGGTGGCACTATGTTTGTTTTGGTTGTTTTTTGATTAGCCTGAATCACCGGTTAACCGGGCAATAGCAACAGGATTCAGACCAGACAGTGCAGTGATAAGATTTATTAATTAATTGATAAATTTATTTATTTCATAAAGTATAAAAAGACATCAACAGTGTCACAACATGAAACATACAAGAAATGAATGAAAAGGAGCAGAAAGAAGAGCCATCTTATGTTATCTGCCCCCTTTTCCCTTTTCAAGATAATACATATCAGCACCGATAGTTACTTTAAAATATTTCAAAGATTTCAAAGATACTTCTGTAGTCACAGCTGCCCTGGGGCAGATTGACAGAAGTGTGGCTGCTAAATGCATTACTCACTGAATGAGTTGTAGATCTTGAGGACGTGATGCAGAAGTCCATGGCGCACGTTGGCAAAGATGAAGTAGTAACTGGAGAGAAGGGACTTTAAAGGGTCCTTCTGATTACACTGCATCTAAAGAAACAAACACAAATCAATGGGCGGTCTCTACAAATGTATTCTTAATGTGAAGAGGCTCGCATCTCCACACATCTGAAATGCAACTTGGCCTGGATGCGAGACACACTTGTCTCCATGGAGATGCATAATGTTCAGTGCCTTACATAGAACATTCCAGGCAAAGTTATAGACTCTGCATGTAGACAAGCAAATGGTGGACTCTCCACCAAATAAGATACATAGTACACCTTTAACTGATATCTAGAGACATAAGTAGGTAATGTTTAAGAAAGAGCTAGACTTAAAAGCCAGACCATTTTAAATATTTGACAAACCAGGCAGTGTGGGAGCTGCATGACAGCAGAGGCCTCACAGTGAAGGAAAGTGTCAGCCCCCATCGGATCAGCTGAGGTCCACAGATGAGCTGCAGAAACATCCAAATTTTTAAAAACAGCTTAAAATATACAGACATTTTTACATGTGACAAATTTTTACTGTTTAAAAAATAACCCTGTGTTTTATACCAGCAAGTACGAGGTTGGCTCTGCGGCGGTCAGTTTCTGTCGGGAGGAAAAACTCTTCAAAAGCTCGTCTCACTTCAGGGTTGGACAGAACCACAAGGTCATTTGTGTCAGAGCAGTTTGAGGAGCCAATCAGACTGAAAAAAGAAATAATTATATGCACTAAAAATACTATATAATCTATAAAGGCTCACAATATAATCAATAATTGCTGCCTTGTAAGGAGGGTTTGAATAGGGCCCAGGAGAGATCACTACATTACTCAGACATGCACGGATGATATATGAAACCTCTTCAGGCATGTTTTTGTTGAGATATTATGGTTATATTTATGGCTGTACCTATGCAGACTGTGAACTATGCGAGTGAAATTGGCCAGTGGGACTCTTCCTCTGGGTTTCCTGCTCAGGTCCAGAGCACTGTCCCAGGAGAGCGTCCCCTGTGTTGTATAAAGGTCATTACAGATGTTCAGGACAGCATACAGCTCTCTCTCCTTCAGTCCTGTGAAGAAGGTAGAATTCATGTCATTGATAATATTAAAAAATCTACCACTCAAAATCTGAATCTAATAAACATCTTGAAAATTTAAATGTCTGGCCTTTTCACTGTTTTAAGAATACAGAGCTAGTGCCTGTCGCCCTCTGCTGGTAACAAAGGTGAATTCAAAATGTTGAAATTTCTAATTATCAGCGCAGCTACAAGAAGATAGCTTCTGAGTGAAGGTCAAATTAAATTATAAGAACTACTAGTACCATGGACTACTGGTCTGCATGGAATGGATGCATGGAATGGATGCATGGAGTATAGCATTAAATGCATCTATCTCCATGGAGACAAGCAGGCGACATGAGACACCACGGCAAGTTACAAGTCAGATCTGTGCATATGGCCCCAATCATAGCAGTAATCCATGTTTTTTAAGGTATTTTTGAGCAATAAACACAAACCAACTCAATGACATACTCTGGAACATTCCACAAAAAGCAATTACATCTCCATGGAGACAAGTGGATAGCAGACTCCCCACCAGGAAGGTTAAATAGGAGACAAAATAACTAGCAAAAAGACTACTGCTTTTGGGTGAAAAAATAATTATAGTATAATTTGAAAGCAGATTAAACATTTTGAGCTTGTACCAATGGAGCTGAGGGTGAGAGCAGCCAAAGCCCAGGGCAGCCCCTGGATCCCTCTGAACTCGGAGCAGAGTCGATCCAAACTGAACTGGACCAACTGAGGCAGAGACTGAGGCAACATCTGCAGGCTGTCCTTCAACTAAAACAGGAGAATATGAGAAGGGAAAAACACAAAATATGCATCAATAGACAATCATTTAAAAATGATGTTGTTTGAGGACATAGAAGAAGAAGTTAAGCTGTACTTTATCAAATGAAGCAAAGTTCCTGAGGTCTTCACAGGCCAAGTGCAGGTACAGAGGGCTCACCGCTCCCTTCTTCATGATCAGAGTCTGGACCTAGCGCACACAATTATCATGTTACAATAAAGGATAATAATAATGAGACAACATGGAGTGAGCTGGTAGCTGAATCTAACTTTTCACTTTACTATTTCTTGGTAAATTGATACTTTGCAGTGACATCAGGCTGGGTGTGCTCTGCCTGTATGTTTAAGATGGAATTTTGAGCAGTGACACAATGCACACATTAGAAAACACTGCCAAAAAGTTTTAAAATGGTCTGAAAAATGAAAAAAAATACAAAATGGATTTAAACAACACATTTTCTGGAGTGTTCATGGTCCTGTTGTGGTGTTTCATTTTCTGCAAAAAGGTAACAGTGACTAAGTGAAAAACCTTTGGCTTATGCTAGCTAGTTTGTGACTGTACTTTTATTTGAGAGAGACTTGTTTAACACCACAAATCAGCTCTGTTGTAGCTCCAGTTTAGATTAAAGTCTAACTTGAGTACCAGAGCTTCAGATAGAGCAGTGTCTACAGTTAGCATCACAGTCTGAGGGAAGGTTGATGACATCAGCAGCAAAGTATTAATTCTGCATCCCAGGCAAGCACTAGCCTCTACGTTTAGTTAAGACCAGTTTTTCTCTTGCAGTTTACATTAGTAGTAGAATAGACCTTGTACCTGGTTGTTGAAGGCAGAGTCGCTCAGTTTCTTCCCAAAGGTGTCGAGTCGTTTCTGGACGATCTGTTTGCGGTCGTCCATGGTGAGAGGAGCCAGAGTGAACAGCAGAGAGGCCTTTTTCTTCACCAGAGTCTGAAGGAGTGAAGAGGAGGTCGGGACGCTAAGAACCAGACACACTCCCTGAAAATACACAATACAGACGAGGGACATCAACTTTATAAATCAGACTGTGAGTAATGAAGTAATATACTTTACCATTACAGCTTAAAGAATTTTAGCAGTCAAGATTCTTTTTTATTAATTTGTGAGCATGTTAGTGTTAGTGATAAAACATTTCAAACTTAAATACTTGAGTCTTAATACTAAGCACTAGACCTGATACTCAATATCAATTCCGATCCCACAATAATCATTTAAAAAACACAGTGAAACTGCCCTGCCTTTACCTTTGTTTCACTCTAAAACTTCCCTATTTAGAGATGGACTCAGCTCAGGTTAGGACAAAATTCCCAGTGTTCCATCAAATTGAAATGGCTACTGGATGGAGTTGAAACATCTGGATCGCGTGTCCAGATGATCATCAATGAAATAGTCTCTATATTGAACCACTCCTGAAGGAATGAGGGACTACAGCGTCTACTCGACTAATACAAATTTTGGTCAAATAAGACTCCATCAACATACGATACTGGTATCAGATATCGACAATGATACTGAATATTTTGGTGGATCGGATATCGGGCTCCAAGATACTGGTCCAGCCAATATCCCATTTTAGTCTATATGGTGTAAGAAGACAATTTACCAGCCAGTGTTGGCCTAAAACGTTTCATAATATTAAACTTGTATTTTTACAAGGCTGTTCTTTAATATTGTACTTTAAATTATAAATAACAGCTACAAAACATATTTCGATATTTTTTTTTACCTTATGCAGTTTGTGTTTAATGGAAATAAATTATATTTTCAGACTCTGCCCTGGTAGCAGCTCATATCAGGTATCAGTAGATACTTAAAGCCAAAGTATCCTCCTCAGTATCAGAACAGAAAAACCCAAATTAGTGCATCCCTACCATCGATCGCTTAATTGACTTAACAACTTAAAAACTACAGCCCTAAAACAGTACATGGTTGCAACCTGTGGGAGGTGCTGTGGGATCCAGTCAGAGATGATGTGACCGCTGCCGTCCTGAAGAAGATCGACTCCATCCACGAGAATCACCAAAGGAGAGTTTTTCTGAATCTGACTTAAAACTGAGTGAAACTGAGTCACCAGCTCCCTGAAATAAAACAAAGGACATTTTATTATTTACTGGAGTCTGAAGAGTCATATTTTAAAGAGCACCGTGTAACTTTTCTGGTGGAGGGTGCACCATCTGCCTCTCTATGAAGTAGGTATTGAAAATCTGATATTATTGATACTAAAACTAGTACTGAAACTAGATACTCATTCGAACAGGTATTGATACTAAAAAAAGCCACATTCACAGGACAGATGGACCACTATGGAACCTGCATGTACGAGTGAGGCATTACACAGATATAAGACCTGGTAATATAAAAGAAAGTACAATTTAATATGGAAAGTATTAGGATCTAATTTTTGATACATTTGACAACCCTACTCCATGGATGCTTCCATCGGAAAAGTTACACAGGAAAGCTTTAATATACCTAAAATGAAACAGTACCAAAACAGAAACAGTATCCACACTTACTCGTACGATTGGGGCAATGGCATTTCATCCTCAGTTTCGTTACTTTTCCTCAAACCTTTAATGAGGAATCGAAGCAGGTTTTCCACGGAGCAAGCTGACTGGCTGGCGGAGGTCGAGTAGGAGATGACATCACGTGTTGTTTTGTCCACGGAGCGAGCTGATTTGTTGGCTGCCGCAGAGTAGGAACTGACCTCATGCTTTGGCTTCATCTTTGTAGTTTTCAGAGCATGTCCCAATGCGGCCTGAGAAAAATATATATGGTATGTCTACAATATATTTAAGTACTACTAAAACTACTAGTTATTCCTTATTTCTAATTCACGTGAGGTATAAATTATTATACAGTATTCCCATTCCTGGACAATTTATCAACCTTATGTACTTTCCTTTTTTAACTTAAAGATCTTATATTGCTCAAAATGGACTCTTGTGAGCTTTAAGTCAAGTTAGAATGTTGTGGGGGGAAAAACATTATAACATAGATCAGAAAATAGCACAATATGGGCTCTTTTAAAGTGTTTGTAATGCATTTTTCGGGCTTTTTCTTACTTTTGGTATTTAACATTGTATACTTATAACTTTGACTAACTTTACAACTTTCCAAAAACTTTCTTGCACAATAAGAGATTTTAAAAAGAAATACACTAGGCCTCTCACGATAATTGCTACAGCATATACTTATCGGTCAATATAAGAAAGCTGGAACAATATTTTTTTCTATCAGTATTTATCATGTGTACAGTTTCTTTGCACTACTGGGTAATTGTTGGTTCTTTTTTTGGCTATATTAAAACATTTAAGCCATAAAAGATTGAATTAATAACTTCTATGACTCAATACAGATGCAAACTAAGTGCTAGAGTGTTTCATTCTGCTGTTTATTTATTGCAACTCATGACTTTTTAACAGTACGATAGATTTAGAACAGTTTTTGTGGTTTAAATCTGCTCTTACATCATTGTGTCAGTCAGTGGTATGAATTAGTTTCAGTATATTATCAATTATCGTCCATGTTTATTTCAACCATGTATCGAACTTCAAAACAGCATTCTATGGGACTATTAATTCTATGGGAATATTAATGAATACAGTTGAAAGAAGAAATGAGTTTTAGGGTTTAGTCACTAGTTGAAAATACCCGTTTCAACATTGGTGAATTTACCTTTTGGATATTTTATTGTAAAGCGCAATGTAATCAATTGGGAAATTTGGCCCTTGCCCTCCTATCCCCCAATTTGGGAGTATGGCATCATCACATTCTAGAACTTGGGTCCCCAACCTGTAGCTCGGCATCTATCAGTAGCTCTCTACCTCTTTCAAAGTAGCTTGCCAAGGGATTTCTAAACTCTACGTATTGTGCTGAATGTCTAAAAGTTGAAGAATTACCATTGTAAATCTGTCTTTTTTTTTTTTTTTTTACTTCTGTTGCCACAAATAAGAAGGCAGTTCATATCAACAGTGTCCTGAGACTGGGCCTTCATACAATTTACATATTTACTTTTTTTTCCTAAATAGAATAAGGCATGTTAGGGTATAAGTGTCTCATTTGAAAAAGTCAGTAATAGGACTCTACTTCTTTTCAAAAATTGGCCCATGTAGCTGTAGTTAACAAACAGTAAACAGTTCCATTGTATAAATATGTCTGATTTTTGATACCAACTGATCAATGGTAGGTGTCTCAGGTTTCAGACAGTAGATCGTGATCATTTTTCTTGCAGTCATCAGAAAAAAATGAAGCAGAAAGCACTGATCATGAGAGAGACTTTCAGAAAATATATCAAGCAAAAGGTCAGTGGGTCCAGCGAGAGGTCAGCAGCCAATATATTTTGTAAAATGTTTTAACATTAATCGAGAGACGTTGTATAGTAAATCTGTCATTTTAATGCCTGAGTTTGTGCACTAATAAATCGACAATGGTTTATGTTTTATAGGCAGTTAAGGCATCTAAAGCTTACAGTGGCTTTTCTATGCATTCAGATTCTTGTGACCATTAAAACAAGTAGCTCTCTGGCATTTTTGTTTTGTACAGGACCTCACTGGAGGAAAAAGGTTGGAGACCCCTGTTCTAGAACATTAAAACTACAAATACACTAAAATACTAAATAAAAGAAGTTACCATGAAGACGGTTTTCCCCTCTCCGGCCCCTCCCTCCAGCACCAGCAGCCCTCCTTTGGTCTGAGCCCGTTCTACCAGAGTCACAGCAGAGGAGAGAAGTTTGGATCGCCCGAAAAACTGACGACACAAAAGCTCCTGATGCGCTTCCTGTTCAGACTCTTCAGACAACACCGTGGACTCGTCTGCAGGCTGCAAATACAAGGACAGGAAGAATCAATCCATTAAACTTTATTCATAGAGCCCTTTACAACACTCAAGGTGACCAACGTGCTTTCTTATAAAACCAACACAATATTAAGAAAAAACATTCAACAATGAAATAATAATAAATAAAAAAGTGTGCAAAGTGCCACTGTATCACTGAGTTTTAAAAGACACTCTGAATAGATTGGGCAAAACACATAGAATAAACAAAATGAGATAATAAAAAGACACTATTTATTTACTGTATATTTGAATAGGGACAGATATAACAAACATACTAGTAGATTAACAATTAAAGGTAACATTTTGGTTGGGGGTTTGTCACTTGGTTGTTTCTGTGGATATGTCATTGTTCCACGGTATGACAGGTGGTTTTATAGCTCAGAAATACCTAGACAAACAGGCATTGTGACTGTGAGCGAGGTCGCCTCTCTACAGATCTGACCTGGAACTAGGTCTGATTTGATCTCCACGAAGATAGAAAAGTTTAATGCCATACTGTGAAACATTCCAGGCAAACTAATAACAGCATTTGACGGACTCTTCACCAGAAAAGTTACACAGTGCACCCTAAAGTAATCTGATCCAGGTATCACAGTGTTTTTTAACAGAAAAAAGCAGTGGGGGTTATTTGTAGAAAAAGCAATAAATACAGTGAATTTGTCAAGAGAATCGAACAGCATCAAAAGTATCCACTCTAGTACTTAACTCATTTCCAGACAGAGGTGGTAGAGTAGAGAGTAACGTTCATGAGCTAAATTGTGAAAGAAACATTTACCTCAATGAACTGCTCCTTCACAGCAGTCCATAACTCCTCCAGGACCGTCTTACGGAAAAACTCCAGGTTTTTCAAATACGGTTTTCCATCAACAACTCCTCCCCATTCACTTGGATAACTAACACACAAATAGATTATATATATTATTGTTTCTTTTTTTATTGATTATGTATTTCAAAATCATTGTTTAAATGTATTTTTAAACTTACTCCTCAGTGACTCTGGCTGCACTCTCCCTCAGTCGATCCTTCAGGGCGGCCATTTTGGATTCTGCTTCTCTGGATTCAGGAGCGAAGTCGCCTCTCCAGGCCACAGGCACCGATCTGAAAGTGAAACTAAAGCATTATTATCTGTTCAATGAAGAGTGCAGATCAGGCCCTCCAAACCCTCCTGGTTTGGTCCTAGTTTGATTCTGGGACAGTCCTGGCTCAGATCCGGTTGGTAATACTAGTCCTAGATCGATGCTAGTTTAGTACTGCATTGGCAGTTTCATAGAGCAATGTTGGTATAGCCTCTGCATTTATTTATTTTTCTACTAATCTAATATAAGTTGACTAATACGAATTTTGGTCGACTAACACACCATTGACTGATGAATCCACTAACCGAGGCCTACAGCTCTAATAAATTCAGATACATTATGACATATATTATGACATATATATATATATATGTATAGGTTATAATCTGTCATATTTACACTGTAACAGTTAACAAACAGGTTCATACTTGGTGATGTTGGGGTCTCTAAAGTAGCAGAACATTCTCTCTGCAGCGTTTGGATAAAGAGCCTCAAACTGTCGAATCTCCATCTCTGTGACAGAGAGGCCTTCAGGGGCGGACGATAACTGCAGCAAAACAAGGAACATTAGTAGATTCAATTTTTAACTGTATTTATACACAAAAACATGTTTATGCATGCATTCATATAATTCTAAACCAAAGTGACATTTTCTTTTCAAATGCAGGGACAAGTATTATAACAAAATCACAGAAGATTTGTTGGGTCCGTCTTGCTCGCATGCACCGCACCACGTGAGTCCTTCAGCTGATAGCCAAACATATTTCCATGACAACGTGCTTCAAGTGGACAGAGCCGTAAATGTCTGAGAAATACTTTTGTTATACATCTTCAAAGCTCAAAATGCTCTGTTCCACCTTGAGTTGTCATGAAGTGGTAGTTTTCATGTTAACAACTACCTTTTACCGTTATTCAGTAGAGATTGGTAATTCCCGGGTCAGAAATCATTCAAATGATTCTAGTGAAGATGTATGAAGTTTAAAACACAGTGGAGAACTTCTTGTATTACAACATCAAATCACAGTGTGTTTTCTGTTTGAGAGAAGAAGCCTAAATCTGCAGGGTTTGTGTGTTAAATGTGTGAATGAAACAAACACAACTCCACGTCTGTTTGTAATGAGGAAACTACATTCTAACACAGATCAGAAAATGGCGTAATATGGTCCCTTTAACAAAAAGCTTTGCATGTAAAAGCTGTGAGACTGTCAGTACAGTACAGTGCAGTGGATACTTACCCAGCTGTACTGTGGCAGCTCTGGTAGTTGAGGTTTGGGGGGCGTGAGTCCGTACCTCTCCCCCAGAAGCAGCACCATCACCTGGCTGCGGCACACCTCGTTCAGGCAGAGCTCTACGGTTCTGCCTGACTCCTCCTCTGTCACGCCCCAGCGCAGTTCCACCTCCTGCAGGTAGAGGCAGTGTGGAGCAGCCCTGCGCCTCAGCTCAGGGAACACCGAGCGAACCAGGAGGTCCCGCTCCGAGTGCATGTCCCTGAACGTGGAGGAGATGAAGACACGCACGCCCCGCCACCTAGAGGACAAACACAGAAATACACAGGAAAGTAGTATTAAAGACTTATTGTGGTTGTGTCTGCAGTGTAGTTAAAATCTATGACACCCGTGAATCATAATCTTCAAGGTTGTCAAGCTCATCTGTCATCATGCATGTGTAATGTATAATGTAGTAAAAACACACAATGTAAGATTCTTCCAACTCATTCCCATAACATTGCCTACTCTCCAACATAAAACAACAAGCATGAACTAAAGTGTACAAGTCTGTAGGGTGATGTATGGGAAAATATGAAATTATCACTTGTCTGGGGCCTCTTTTATAAGCTAAGGTAGGTTCTGGGGAGTTCCCTTTTATAAGACTTCCATAGACTTGTATGAACTATTCTAAATGTTTGTATATGCTTTGTGAATAATAAATAAATAGAAATCAATATTGTTCTAAAACAGCTTAATAAAAGAAACAAATCCACTGACTTGTGAGTGAGAAAACTGAGGTGCCCAATGGGAGCTGACGTCACTGTAAACGTCATCACAACAAAAAGTCGGCACCTCTGATAGATAGCTGCAATTAGCAGCGATTAGCAGGCAGTGTTTTTTTTTCCATTTGTACCAAAATGATGCAACACAGCCGAATCCTACGTGTATCACCAGAAAATAAAATTGGAGTAGAAAATAAGTACGTCACAGTAGGCATGTACCGGGGACGGTGAAAACAGGAGTTGATCGGCAAAATGGCGTCTTGAAAATAAGCACAAATCACTCCAAATACAACTTTGAGAGTGTAAATGGTCAAAGAAAACAACTACAACATGGTTAAAGGCTCTAAATTTATGATTCTGCATAATAGGTCTGCTTTAAAAAAGGTCTATTATGCAAATTCATCTTTGTTACTTGGTTCATGCACATTTGAGTATTCCTGTATTGTCCTGAATTTGGGACAGAATAATGCATGAAATCACATTGTTCTGATGTAACAGTGACCAATATACCTCATGCTGGGACTGGATGGTATGGACACTGCAGTACTGTCCCTCAGAGCCTCTTTAGCGCCCTCTGGTGGTGGAATATTGTAAACTTTGTCCAAATGCTCCACGTGATCCAACAGTCGGGATGAACCACGCTCTGCTACAAACCTGGTCAAAAAAAGAAAAGTTATTATTTTCTTTAATACATTTACAAATATATTTATGCTGAAAAATGTCACTTAGTTAGGATACAGTTTGATTTATGTTTTGGAGAAATACTGGTGTAGCCCTGTTGCTGGCTGCTTTTACACTTGCACACGCACCATAACAAAATTGGGACTAATGTAGAATCTGGTATTACACCATAAATAAACTAGAAATAGAACAGGACCAAACCAAGTCTACATCAGGACTAAACCAGGATGAAAGTGAACAGAGTTTAGTCCCAGTTTAGATCTAGTTTGGTCCCAGTTTAGTCGTGATTTAGTCCTAGTTTTGTCCCATAATATTCTTCATAATGCTCTTTTTCCCTTATACTGATCAATCATAATTTTATCTTGTCTTATTAAAACATGTTTTTCTATATCCCTGAAGATAAACAACACAGACTTTTCATTGCCACTTAACAAAAAATAAGCAAATACAAAATTATTCCACCACAGTCTTTCTTCTACTTCTGACAACCCTAATATGTGAAAATATGCATAGAAAAAAACTTACCTGAGTATTTGGTCACTGAATCCTGTCAGTAATACACAGTTTCTATCTGTGTTGTATTCAGCATTACTAAAACAAACACAGAAATTGGCAGTTATTAAAAGTTCCATTATGTAACTTTTCTGGTGGAGGGTCTCCCACCTGCTTGTCTCTATGGAGATATTATTGCTTTGGCTGGAATATTCCACAGTAAGATATTAAATGCAAGTTTCTTTATGAAGAGAAGCAGGTGACTCACTCAATTGGGCCAATTTTGCAGATCAGATCTGTAAACTTGGCTATAAATAAATATTTTATAGGGGACTATCTTCTGATCTGTTATAATGTTGTTTCTCATCAAAAACAAACCTGGAGTTGTGTTTTCTTTCATTCACACATGTTTAACACACAAACCCTGCAATGAAAAAAAAAAACAAAAAAAAAACTTTGCTCCACCTTGCAATGTCATGTGGTAATACAGGAAGTGCTCCACTGTGTTTTTAAACTCCATACAAGAAACATTTTGCTCATTTCAGCCCTAAAATTCCCAAATCCATCGGACTAAATGTAAAATGTAGCTGCTAACTCAAAAATGGCTGCTTCATGACATCATAAGGTGGAACAAACATTTTAATCTTTGACAGACTAATAATCCATGTGCGAATGAAATAAAACACAACTCCAGGTCTATTTTTGAGGAGGTAACAACATGCTAATATGGCTTGAAGCTCACAAGAGTCAATTTTGTGCAATATAGGACCTTTAAGGGGGAAAGCAGACAAAGCAATAACATCTCCATGGAAACAAGCAGGTAGTGGCAAATCCCCCACCAGAAAAGTTACCTAGAGCACTTTAATATATTTTATAGCAATGAACTATGACTTAATTAAACATAAAAATCATAATTTACTTAGAGCTGAGGAGTATTTTAATGTGAAGGGCTTTGGTGTTGATGTCTTTCCTGTACTTGCTCATGGCCCATTCAATGTCACTGTTAAACCAGGAGTCGCTTACTGCAATGATGTTATCCACCTGAAACAAAATATAACTTTTAATATAAGTTTTTGAAAATTTTTTATAAAGAAGGGGTATTTTCGTTCTACGGTGCATTATCACGATTTATATATTTTTTTCTCTTTGTTATTATGATGTGATGTGTGAGCTACTGTGTCCAAGTTGTTTCCCTTGTGGATCAATAACATTTCTCTAAGTCTAAGTCTATTAACTCCTAACATGTAACATATTAAGATCAACATGTTACATTTTTGACTGACTGATTGACTTGTTTTTATTTTGAGTTTGTGTCAAGAGAGAAAAAAATAATCAAATACATACTACAAATATTATTGGAGACAGCTAGGACTGTAGACTGTATGCAATGTACTGGGACACACAACAGCGTTACCATGGTGCTTCCAAGGACTCCTGAGCTGCCTAAGAATGCCTGAACTAAATAAACAATTATTGAGCTAACAGTTATACTAGGGAATTTACAGCATATATATTGTAAACAACAGGAGAGCATATTTCTTGAAAAGGAGTGGGAAGAAGAAAACTTATATTAACCCACCCTTATTCATTACATAGTTTCAAAAAATACGGGGTTGCTAATGTACATTGATCACGAAACTTTACAAATATTAAGATATAGCAAAATATAGTTCAATTGTTATTATGGGGAGCAGGGAACATATGTATGATGTAACTAATGGAATAACACCATGTTTGACAAATGTATAAAACTTGTTAGAATCAATATTAATGGCTTGCATAGTCCAGTTAAAAGATGGAAAGCACTGTCTAAACTCAAAAGAGATAAAGTAGAAATTGCATTGATGCAGGAGACGCATCTCTCAGATGAGGAACATTCCAAATTGAACAAACTGGGTTTCAAGCATGTGTTTTATTCTTCTCATGGTTCAGGGCGCCGGAGAGGAGTGGCGATTCTGATATCCGGGGTACTGAACTATGAGCATATATCAGAGCACAAAGACAAGGAAGGCAGATATGTCCTGATAACAGGAAAGATTGAAGATACCCTTGTAACTCTTGTCAATGTGTATGTCCCTCCTGGTAGCGATTGGTCCCTTTATAAACATGTTTTTGAACTAATTACTATTAAAAGTCAGGGAATCTTAATATGTGGGGGAGATTTCAACATTGTGTTAAATGGTTCACTTGACTCTTCAAATGGGAAAGGTCACACTAAAAAGATAGGGAAAAAGATGCTACATCTTATGGAAGAAATTGGAATAATTGATGTATGGAGAGATAATAATCCATCCAGGAGGGAGTATACTCACTATTCACACCCCCATAACATCTATTCTCGTCTAGATTATTTTTTTATGTTCAAAAATGACCTCCTCCGAGTCAAAACCAGTGAAATTGGGCCCTGTACAATCTCTGACCATAACCCAGTCTATGTGAATGTTTGCTTAGCAAGTAAGAAAATATTTACTTTTTGGAGGCTAAACAGTAATATTCTTAACTACCCAAATATTAAAGAAGATCTAAAAGATGCGTTAGAGGAGTACCTTGTGCATAATGACAATGATGAGGTCTCCCCAGTGATTCTTTGGGATACTCTTAAGGCAGTAATGAGAGGTAGAATTATAAGTATCTCCTCTTATCAAAAGAAAACCAACCAATACAAACTTGTATGCTTGGAAAACAAATTGTTAAAACTTCAGCGTGTGCACTCTAAAACTATGAAAAACGAAATTAAATCTGAAATTATAAAATTGAAAAAAGAAATTGATGATATCAATACGTTGGCGGTACAGAAAAAGCTTGTTTTTACAAAACAACAGTACTATGAATCAGGTGGGAGATCTCTAAAACGTCTATCTTATATACTGAAGAAACAACAAGCAGAGAGAACAATACATAAAATAAAAAATCCCTTAAATAACAAATTAGAAACTGAACAGGAGAAAATTCAGCAATGTTTTCAATACTATTATAAAAATCTTTACTCTCAAATTTGCTCAAATAATGGTGGGCAGATTGATACATTCTTGACCCAATTAGATTTACCAACCTTGTCAGAAGAACAAAATAAGAAACTTCTTGCTGCAATAACTAAAGAAGAAATTCATTTAGCAATTAGGAGACTGAAAAGAGGAAAGATGGCGGGAGCGGATGGTTATGGGCCAGAGTGGTACAAAACAATGGAGGATCACTTGATTCCAACCTTATTGAAGACTTTTAATTGGGTGATGGAGAGGAAAGAAATACCAAAATCTTGGAATGAAGCAATAATTTCCATTATACCTAAGGAGGGAAAGGATAGACTAGAGTGTAGTAATTACCGCCCAATTAGTGTTTTAAACATTGACTACAAATTATTCACATCAATAATATCAAAGCGATTGGAAACGATCCTGCCACAGTTGATCCATAAAGATCAAACCGGGTTTATCAAACAAAGACAAACACGGGACAGCATCAGAAGAGTTCTGCACATAATGCAGCAGGTCGTTCAACAAAAGCAGGAGACATTAGTGATCAGCCTTGATGCTGAAAAAGCGTTTGACTCAGTGAGGTGGACCTTCTTGTACAAAGTACTTGGCAAGTTTGGCTTTCATAAATCAATAATTGAGACAATTTCAGGGTTATACAACAAACCGACCGCTAGAATTAAAATTAATGGGGACCTTACTGAGCCAATTGCTCTAGAAAGAGGGACTAGACAGGGTTGTAATATGTCCGCACTATTATTTGCTTTGTATATTGAACCACTTGGTCAATGGATAAGGCAAAGAAAAGATATCAAAGGGGTAACAGTTGCAGGAGAGGAGCAAAAACTGGCGTTATTTGCTGATGATTTATTATTGACCATATCTCACCCAACGCAGACCCTACCCATAGTGATCAGAACACTTGAAGAATACGGTGCTTTTTCAGGGTACAAAATTAACGTAAACAAGACTCGGATATTAACTTTAAATTATGACCCACCTCAAAATATTAAAAATGATTATAAATGGAAATGGGATGCAGATTGTATTAAATATTTAGGAATTGTACTACATACAGATTTCACTAAGATGTATGAAGTAAATTATGGACCTCTTAACATTAAATTGCACACGGATATACAAAGATGGAATACTATACCATTTCTGGATTTACATTCGAGGATCGACTCTATCAGAATGAATGTTCTTCCTCGAATGCTATATCTGTTTCAGTGTCTGCCATTTACTATACTACATAAACAGTTTGCAGAATGGGATAAGATGATATCAAGGTACATATGGAAAGGTAAAAAGCTAGAATTAAGTATAAAACCTTACAGTTAAAGAAAGATAAAGGTGGTAGGAACCTTCCATGCTTAAGGGAATATTTCTATGCTGCCCAACTGAGGCCTCTTGTGTGCATGTGCTCTCCTGCTTACGGGGCGGGATGGAAAGATCTGGGGAGGAAATCAATTGAGGGGATACCATTGAAAGCTCTAACTGCAGATACAAAACTGCAGGGTAAAATTAATATACAAGATGACCACTTATTAAATACGATGATTATGGCCTGGAATGAAACCCTTAAATTATGTCATCTAGAGAGGGACTCGCACATTTTAAGATGGTGTGCATACGATTCTGAGTTTACCCCCAATAAATATGATGATAGGTTCAAAGTTTGGATTTCAAAAGGATTAACTGATTATAAATCATTTGTCCACAAGGGGGCATTCCAGGCTTTTGACACTTTAAAACAGAAGCATGGACTGCGCTCTGAGGATTTCTTCAGGTACCTGCAAATAAGGCACTACTTCACTCAGAAAATTACAATTCCCTCAGGTTTTCTTACAAATATTTATGTCGCTAATAAAATCATCATCTCCCACAAAAATAGTTTCAAAATTGTATAATGGCATCCTGTTGGGTAAGGAGGGGAGCACATATTATATCAAAGAAAAGTGGGAAAGAGAGGGAAAGTTTCCAGTGGATCTCAACAGGGTCAAATACATGGCGTGAATTTTGTTGGAAAAACCTAATGAGATTTTTCATTACACGAGTACAAAAGAGACACCAAGGAATAGGTGATGCCTGCTGGAGATGTGGGAATGATGGGGCTAATCACTTCCATATTTTTTGGGAATGTGGGGTCATCCAAGAATACTGGTCAGAGATTCATCAACATCTGCAGGGTGTTTTTTCATGTGTTTTCCCCCTGTCATTTATAACTTTGTACCTTGGTAACTTAGTGTTAGACGGCTTTAGCAACACAAATAAGATTACTCTATATTCTACTGGCAGCAAGTAAAAAGGCAATAACAAGGAAATGGCTTAAACCTGAGCGACCAACAATTGAGAACTGGATTGACATTGTGCAAGAGATGTACATGATGGAAAAGATTTCATTTTTACTGAAAGTGCAGCTGGACTCTTTTTACAAGATATGGACTAGGTGGACAGAATATGTAAAGTCAGTGAGATCAGACTTCATATAACACTACCTCACAGTTGCAATATTTTGTTAAATTGTGAAAGAGGTTCCCTGGCTCCCCAACCTGTTCTGAGTTTGTATATGTTTTAAAAGATTTGTAAGAGCAGGAACATGTGATTTAATTTTACACACTGCAAAATGTAATCTCCTTTTTCAATAAAAAGTTAATTTGAAAAAGATATAGCAAAATAAACGACATACTATACATACTAAAAGTGTTAATAAATTTAACAATAATTTTAACCCATGTCATTGTTCTGAAATGTGATCTTTAGCAAAAACTATGAATTATATTGTTTTATAAATTTCATTTTCATTTTTGATGCTCTGCGTCTCCCCTCCCTTTGCTCTCCATGCAAAGTCACTCCAACTTCAGAGTGCTATCACAACCAATGAGTATGCATCCCAGTAATAAAAACAACTGCACATCGCATCAGGTTTGTGAAGTTGTATTGTATTATTTTGTATCATGTTTTTGTATATTTATGGGGAATTGTCATCAGCTTGTAGGATGAACCTTGGACAGAATCTTACAGCTAACTGCAATGAGAATTTGAATAGGGCCTGGGAGAGATCGCTAAATTACTCAAACATGCGTGGGAAGGTTTTGAAGAGGGAACAACATTTTAACAAGGTAGAAGGCAAAAAAAATATACTAGATATTATAAATAAATATAATCTAGGTCAAAAATTTACCCTGTTTTGCTCTGACAAACTGAAGGTTCCTGACTTCTTCTTGTCTTCTTCTCTTTCTTCATGAATATGCATATCTTTCAGTTGCTACAACAATAAAAGGTCAGGAAATCATGATTAAAATCCTTATAAAATTTTAAAACATGCAACATCCTACACATTCATAAGTGTCTTGCCCAAGGATATAAATACAGTACTGCCCTGAACAGGATTAGACCGTTGATCTCTGGGTTGGAGGACAATGGCTCTACCCAATACCCAAGCCACTTTCACCCCAATACAGAGCTCAGGATTGTGCAGCCAGGAATCATTGAATTTTCAGTGACTTTAATGTTAAACCAATGGAGATTTTAAAGGTGTACTGTGTAACATTTTTGGTGGAGGGTATGACACCTGCTCTGAGCATTAACGATAGCATTGGTCACAGAGTCAACAGAGGCTGCTCATATCTAGGGATCCTCATTCACAAAAATACAGAGTGGTATCGGATCGGTGATTTGGTCTCATATCGGAGCTTTTGCCGATACCAGTATCTGTATCAGAACAACCTTATATCATACTGAGAGATTTGGATACCGTTCCATCCCTACCATTTCCCTTCTGAACAACCCTGGCTGGTACAGCTTATATTAAATGTTCACAGACCTTGACTCTGTTGGTGATGACTCGTATATTTTCGAGCAAGACATCCGACTCCAGTTTGACTGGTCTCCATCCGTCGAAGGTGGTAAGGACCAAACTGAAGTCCTCTGCACTGCTTCCGATCATCAGAGACAACAGCGCCCCCATCTCCAAAAGCTGCAGGAAGAAGACAGATGACGTAAAATAAATGATCAAGCTCCAGAGATTGCTGTGGGTCCCTAGAACTTTGGGGGTATTCTGTGAAATAAGATTAAGTAAGGCCCATATGATGCTGTTTTCTGACCTTTGTTATAATGCTGCTTTGTCATCACAAACAGGCCTGGACATGTATTCTGTTTCAATCATACATGTTTAACACACAAAACCTGCATATTTAGTTCTTCTCTCAAACACAAATCACACTGGTCTACCTTCTGATGTCATGTGGGAATACAGGAAGTGCTACACTGTGCTTTTAAACTCCATCCACCTTCAACAGTTTGATAATTTCAGCACTGGAATAAAAGTAAAAATAAACTGTTAACTTGAAAACTACTGGTTCATGACACCATAAGGTGGAACAGAGCATTCTGAACTTTGGAGATGTAGACAGACAAATAATCAAGTGTTACTCAAACATGTGTGAATGAAACAAAACACAACTCCAGGTCTCTTTTTTAGGAGGAAACAACATTATAACATGGCTTAAAACTAAGTTTTCTGTGATATAGGACCTTCAAACTATAGATTGATTGTATCACTCACAGTTGGGGAGAGTGAATCGTCTGGAGTCTGTTCTCTCCCACGCCTCTTTCTTCGAGCTCTCATCTCTTCCTCCTCTCCCTCCTCTCTCTGGAGCGCGTTGGGGTCTGGGGGGAGGCAAAAGTCTTGGGGGGGAGCAGGGGTAATGCATGTCTGGGTTGAGGAGGACCACAGTTTTCCCGGGTAGAGGGGGGATGTTGTAACGAGCAGAGATCTGAACTGCCTTCTCCAGGGCGCTGCGGTAACGTTGCAGTAACGCCACAGAGTATGTCTTCTTACTGTGAGGACACACAGAAAACATAACATTTAAAAAGGGGATATATTATGCAAAATTTACTCTTGTGAGCTTTAAGCCATGTTATAATGTTGTTACTACACCAAAAACATACATGGAGTTGTTTTTTTTTCATTCACACATGTTTGAGTGACCCTTTATTTTATTCTGTCTACATCTACATCTGTCTACATCATAAACATATGAATGACACAAAACATAACTCCAGGTCTGTTTGTGATGAGGAAATAAGATTAGAACAGAAATCAGAAAATCCCAGTACTGGTACCTGGCGGCAGACAGCAGCTGGGCCCTCTTGGTCTTGTAGAGTCTGTAGACCAGAGGTACAGACAAAGTACAGCGCAGACGGCTCTTTGGGCTCTTGTCCCACTCCTGATTCTTAAACCTCATACTTTTAGGAATCTTCTTAAGGACTTCTTTTAGGATGTTCTGTCTCGATGGAACGGCCTCAGCTGTAGCTGTGGCTACAAGGAGAGAATGGGTTTATTGTGTAAAGTGCTCATTTTAAACTTGATTTCAATACTAAGGAATAGACTCTATACTTAATAGTGATTCAGATACCATGATGAAAAAAAACAAAAAAAAAATTAGACAATAGAATGTGATTTTCAACATTAAATCATCATACTTTATTTTCTATTCCCATGTGGCCTTATATCTGTGTAATCCCTCAGTGGTCCAGGTAGGTTCCATAATGGTCCATAGGTGTATAAGGTACTAGTCTATGTGCTCTTATTCTTTTTCAGATACAGCTCAAGATCATTTTATAGACAGTCAGGAAAGGTTCATTTTTGTCCTATCAATGTGACTTTTTTTTTAGTATCGATACCTGCTCAAATAAGTATTAGTATCAGATTTTTTTTATACGTTTGACAACTCTACTACATATAGTAAACAGTATATTCTGCATGGGGTTTTCTGTCTGTCTCTAGATATTTTCCTTACTCTAGAAATCAAGTTTTGCACATTTGTATCATCTTCCGAAAACATTACATTAAGTATTTATTATATATGTTATATGTTAGTCTCACCTAAAGTCTGCAGCTCCAAGATGACTTTATAAGCTGCAAGGAACCGAATGGGAAACTGACGACTCTGAATCACAGCTTTCTGTAAAAACAAGAACATTTGTCTCTATTCACGCAAGAAACAATTAAAGACAACCAAATATGCTAATGCCCATAATGGTAGTATAATAAGGTACTATTCTGACCTTATTGGTGAGTTTGCCGAGTATCTGTCTGTGGTGGGCTTCACTTATTCCGGTCGTGATCATGTTTCTCAGGTTTCTCAGCATCGCCATAAAAGGAAGAGAGTTGTTGTCTGTAGAAAAAATTAGGAATTTTAAAAAGACATATTGTGCTTGTGACTGCCGTTATAATATACTCTATGGGTCATTAGGGTATATTTTGGAAATTTTAAATCACAATATTAATCTAAAACAACAAGTGTGCTGATTTCCATTGTGGTCTCAATTGTGGTGCCCAAAAGTCATCACCACGTAGACTTGGCACCTCCTGTGGATAGCTGCAGATGACGCTAGCGAGTGGCAGATTTTTTTCATTTACACGAAAATGACTTTGCGATGCTGCTGACTCCTACGTGTATCACCAGTTTTAAAAATACAATTTGAGAAGGAAGTAAATACAGAGCAGTGGGCGAGTACCAGTGGTGGTGAAAATGGAGGTAGATTGGAGCAATGACTTCTTGAGAATAAAGATGACTCAAAAATGCATAAATCACTCTAAATACAACTTCAAAAAGGTAAATGAGAAGAGAAAACTATAACTATAACATGACTAAAAGGTGTTTATTGTCACATTTTGTAAAATATAGATTGAAACAGTACCTATGAGTTTCTCCCATGTAGCGGCCTTGTTTCCCTCCTGACACAGCAGGCGCTCCCAGGTTTCTGGTTCTTTAAGTTTCATCCTTTTCCCGGCTCTGTCTCGGTCCCACGTCCCTTTAATCCCACTGCGAGTGAACATCTTCGCATCAGAAGGGTACCTATGGGTGATATAAGAATTACTGCATTAGATAATTAAGAGTTTGTTCACACTTGAGCTGTTTGTTCCTGGTCTGAGCCCAGTTTAATCCTGATGTAGACCTGGTTTAGTCCTGATCTAGTCCAGGTTTAGTTTCAGGTTTAATTTCAGGTTTAGGTCTGGGTTAAGGCCATCACACACTACAGCATTTTTTCGGTCTTAAATAATTTTTAAATATGTGACAAAAAGTGCACACCACAGACACGAGAAAAATCTTATGAGAGTTAAAATCTCCAATTGCAAAGATTGCAAAGATTGCAGCGTTATATGTCTACGGACCACAGGATATAAAGTTATGTGCTCGATCGAGTCAACTGTTTCCTGTCTAGAGTAAAACCACTTGCTTTGAGAATCTTAAGTGTTCAAAAGATCAAAGCACTGCACTTTTAGTTTAGATGCAAGACAAAACTGTGTTATTATCATTTGTGAAAAGTGGTGCAATACTTCAGATACATGATTGTTAATGTATAAAACATTCGCAATAAACTCCACAGGAAGCAGAGTCGCTCATCTGCAGCTTCACCTCATTCGATGTAAACAGACACACATGAGGAACTAGTCTCGCCTTTTTACTTTTAAAGAATGCGTCAAACTGGAGTAACAGCACGGTTATGTGGAGCTGATGTCATTATTTGAGGAGAACAGTTTCTAAGAATAATGTGGATGAGATGCTGCAGGTTAAATCTTTAAGAGCGGTGAAGAATAAAGTCTTCTCATTATTTGCGCTATATCCCAAGTTTGTATGTTGCATCTCTGTGTCCGTCACTCCATCTGTACCTGACGCTCTGTTTTACTGGCTGTTGGCGTAGCGTTGCTGCTGTTTGTTGGTTATGATCTGACAGAGCAGCTCAGAGTCACACTGACACCATGCACATGAGGAGAGCAGTGGCTTCATAATCACATACGAAGACCACCACACACTTCAGGAGAATTTGCTCGATTTTGGCAGTGATTCGCTTCTCTCTGAGTTCGAGGAGGCGTGACCCGACTTTGTGTCTTCGTATGTGATTATGAAGCCGCTGCGCTCTGTTTTACTGGCACTGCTGTTTGTTGGTTATGATCTCAGAGTCACTCTGACACCACACACGAGGAGCGCAGCGGCTTCATAATCACATACGAAGACACAAAGTCGGGTCACGCCTCCTCGAACTCAGAGAGAAGCAAATTACCGCCAAAATCGAGCAAATTCTCCTGAAGTGTGTGGTGGTCTTTAGCGTTTAATTTCTTTTTTTTGTGGTGAATGTGCAAGTGTGAATTCACCTGCAGATTGTATGTTGTATGTTAATAATTAAAGGAAGGCTATGTAACTTTTCTGATGTAGGGTTAACTTAGCTTGTATCTATGGACATGTTATTGCTGTCCTTAGAATGTTCCACAGCCTGGCATTAAAATTCTTCCTATCTCAAATCAAACAAGCAGGTAACACGATCAGTCAGAATGCACCTTTTCAAGATATCTTTAGCAACAAACACCTGTCTGTCTTACACTTATTAAGTTACAAGTTTAATGTCACAGTGTGGAACGTTCCATGGTGCAGTAAAAATATCTCCGTGAAGCCAAGAAAGTTACACATTGCAACTTTAAGATTGAATACTACCACGAAGAAGAACTAAAGGGAATTGAGTGAGTTCACGTTGTAAATTTCAGATCATATTTTCAAATGGATATAGAGATCTGTGTTATCTTTTAAGCAAAAAAAAAAAGCATTAGTAAAATAATAATAATTTTCACATAATAATTTTACACCAACAACGAACTTTGAGCTTTGTGCCAGTTTTACTATCATAACCATAAACCAGGTCAACAAATCTGCAATCTCACAGTTACATAGCAAACTCCACCTGAGAATTCCCTTCAGCTCAGCCCAACTATGGGCCTTCTGCATTATTACGACAGATTTGAGATGTGTTATAAGGATCTTACTTGCGTCCCAAAATGGCCATCACATATTCGGCTGGTTCTTTAATGTGAAGTCTTTTGATCATTTTCTTCAAACTAAACTCACTCTGTTTTTTATCCACCACCTGTTTTTTGGGACTGCCCATCATCTGAAAAAACACAATTATAAAACATTAGAATGGATTTTAATTGAAGCACATTCGGAATGTAACAAAGTGTGTGGCCGTACAAGTTTTCGGATCACAGCTGGTTCTGTTCTGACCAGGTTTGCCCAGCGTGTCAGCTCTCGTTCCGAAGGATTCTGCTAATAAAGTAGAAAAAAAACACGTTAATGCGAAAAGTGAAAATCTGCTTTTGTGGATCTCAGGTCTGGGCTTTTTCTTTCCTTATACTGATCCTTCATGATTTTCACGTATTATTGAAATTCTACATTACATATTTTACTTTGCAATAGCAAGATAAAAATGTCTGTCAGTATTGATTTCAAGAGCATAAACAAAACAGTAGTTTTAATCATTGCCATTTAACACAAAATTTCTTCCTTTGAAGTCTTCCATCAAAACATACAAGGAGTTGTGTTCTGTTCCATTCACACGTTTTAACACACAAGTATATTTAGACTTCTCTCTAACAGAAAACACAACTCCAGGTATGTCTTTGAGGAGGAAACATTTTAACAGGTCTCAAAGCTCTCAAGAGTCCATTTTGTGTAAAATAGGACCTTTAAAAACTTCCAAACATATTAGTGGCAATTAGAAATGGCATGGAGAAATTCAGTTTGTCGACTGGACAAAAGTTAGTCAGTCCTGAACTGAAGACGCAGCTTCTTGCTTGGATGAGCTGCAAAACGTCTTCAACCAAATTAACTTTTGTCCAGTCGACAAACTGAATTTCTCCTTGCCATGGATTCTACCTGAACGACTGAGGGATTCTTCACGCAATTAGAAAGAGTAACTGAACCTTAATTTTGATTCAGATTGATTCAATTTGGAGACCCCTGCCAAAAACTGTATAAGGAAGTGTTTTAAATGAGTGTTGTGTCACCCACAGCATTTGACTCCAGTCAAACAAAGTTCACTGAGGTTGCGGTTATCGGAGCTAATTTAATTCCATATTAAGAATAGGAATTAATTTACGGAGAAAATAGCACAAGGATCATGTAGAGTTAATATGAACATTTGTCAAAAATAAGGACTCTGACAGCACCAGTTTACGATAAAATTTTGTCAATAGAAATTGAATTGGAACCGAGGTCAATGGAGCCAGAAACGAGCCCATAAATATAAATATTCACATTTGATCAAATGCCTTGTCTTAATCCCAGGTTTGTTTTAACCTTCCTCTTGTGTTAGGGTCCCACCGACCCGTTTTAGGTGTAAAATGTATAAAAGAACCACACAGGGTTAGTTTATTGCATCAAGGCTTTTTGACTTTGTCAGGAATCTCTATTTCAACAAAATAGTCCTTGGTCCTTGATATGAATACTGGACTGCAGGGTCACAATATCACTTGTGACAACTTTTTTACCAGCTATGACCTTGGACAAGAGGTTCTTAGGAGGAAACTTACCATAGTGGGCATGGTAAAGAAAATATACCTGAGCTGCCTGCTGAAATCTCACAGGTGAAAGGCAGGGCTTCACTTTCCTCAAGATTTACTTTTACAGACACCACCAGTGTTGTCTCCTATTGTCCAAAGAAAATACTGAGTGTGGTACTTTTGTCTACTCTCCAAAAAGATGCAGCCGTGTCATCAGGAAAGCCCACAGTTATCCTTGACTATAACAAAAACAAAGGCAGATTGGACAACCTGGATAAGCTGAGTGTCACCTACACTTGCCAGCAAATTACCAGAAGATGGCCATAGTTGTGGTCAGCAATATGGTTGATGTGTCTGTATATAATGCATTTGTGTTGTGGACCCACATCGACCGAGGGTGGAACTCAAACAAAAAATACAAGCAGAGAATTTTTCTTCAGGACCTGGGAAATTCAGGGTGCATGCTGAGCAAAGAGAGAGGGTGTCCTGAGATCCAGAAGGCCTTCAGGCCTTGGTCAGACAACTGTGGAGCTTCCCTAGCTCCATCCACGCTACAAAGACCATCCACACCAGCATCCTCCTCAGCCAGCCGTGCCTCAACACCAGCCACAACAACCACAGCCACAACCCCACTCAATTCACCTGCCTGTAAAAGGAAGGTGTGTCAGGTTTGCTCAAGTAGTAATAGCAGCTGATAATGAAGTTCAATTGTTAAAAAAAACAACCCTTTTAGCCTCTTTCTCATTGTAAATATATACAGGTCGAAATCGACCCATAACACCATAGATGTTACTATAGTTAAGAACATCAAAATTAAAAAAAAATAAAACAAATTTACTTTAGAGATGCGTTCTAATACCCCTCAGTAAAAGTCAAGTAACACTAAAAAACTTTTATGTAGTTAAATTATTCTCTTGAGGTTCATTTTACCATTTTCTTTGTATCAAAAAAGAGGGGTATACTGACAAAAATAGGAGCTGAAGCCCCCACCAAAGACATTAAAACCAACATTTTCATGGAAAAGGAAGCCTAACAAGGTAACCAAGAGATGAGAAACAAATTTGATGATAGATAATTACTTTAAGTGTATTTCACAGCTGATTTAGAACACGGGTCAAAACCGACCCGTTAACACAATAGATGGTGATGGAAAGCTAACACAGGAGGAAGGTTAAATGAGGAAACAACATAATAATATGGTTAAAATCTTTAAACTACTACTTATTAAAATGCACCAAACAAAATAAAGAAGCCTAACTGGACATACCTTTGCGTTGGACCTCTTTTTGTTGTGTTTACAGCGATGTTTTCGAGTGTTGTATTTTGCGAGCTGATATTCACTGAACTGTTTGAATTTGTCCGTTAGTCCCTTCTTCAGACACATGGGCAGAGAGCGACTGAAACACTGCACAAGAAATATAAAAAAACATGTTTAGAATACATTAATATATGCTTATTAGTGTTTTTAGAGTTAATTCCCTATCAATTTATACACAAAATGTTTAAAGGTGCACTATCTAACTTTTCTAGTGAACATTCGCTATCTGTTTGTCTCCATGGAGATGTCATTGCTTTGACTGGAATGTTTCATAGTATAGCATTAAATATGCCTAGCTTGCATTTCTTCAATTACACATTTAATTGCTCAAAAACGACTTGAGCATGCATTCTTACTGTGAGTGGGGTTGTCTTTTCACAGATCTGACCGGTGACTGTGACTTGTCTCCATGGAGATGGATATGTTTTATGCCATATTACAGAATATTATAGCCAAGGGAATAACATTTCCATGGAGACAAACAGGAGTAGGCCCTTCTCCAGGCCAAATAAGAGTCAGGTTTGTGGAGATGTAAGCAAGCTCACAGAAAGGATGTTTCTTTCTCTACTTTAAAACAATAAAAACATCCAAAATTAAAATAGGTTTTTATTTATGATTTTTTTTGCTACAAAGTTACACAGTAGGGCTTTAAGTCAATGTGGGAACTATCCACCTTATTCCGGATGTTTCTGTGTGCACTGCCATCATCATTCGGGTTGTATTAATTTGTATGGGGCTGCCGATCTTGAAGTTTGAAAAAAGACCCCAGAGAATCAGTGCAATATGACTTATTAGTCACATGAACACTGAAAATTTTACACAAATGAACCGACTATATGTTATGTTCGAAATGCAAAACGTTTCTCAAATTCTCCATTGACATGAATGGGATCCCCGTTTAACCGGAAGTGACATCACAAAAAAGTGCGGTTTAGGAGCATTTAGAGACTAAAGTGGGAAGGGGAGAATAAAGTGGATAGCATCCAGAGGAAAACCCACCCAGGTGAAAATTGATAAAGTACTACTGTTTATTTATACCAGTAATAAAACGCTTTTGATATGCTTGAAGTAATGTTGGAATGAAATTTACTCTTTGGAATGTTTTTACTCACAGTGCTGTAGATCCTGACCACCTCAAGCCAGTCTGAGGGGAGCTGAACCGCGGCGCAGAAATACCGCCGGAAGTGGCACTTTGTAGAGGTGAGGTTAGCCGCTATAGCTAACAGGAAGTTAGCTGTGATCCTGATGTTCAGCTCCTGGCGAGTGTAAACGGCCACCTGCGTCATGACAGCAAGGACACGTTTTCAATAAGGCACTGTTAATGAAATGATCTCAGTTTTAGCCATAAAAGTGATATTGTGTTTGCGTGCTTCGGTGTGTAAACTCAACTATGATTGTGAATAATTGTTAGTAGGAAGGTCGTCTCACTGTAACGTATCCATTGCAATACTGAGGAGAGGCTAACAGATTTGTAGACATTAGGGATGCAATGATGAACGTTTTCCCACGATTCAATACGCATCTTGATACAGGGGTCAATTTTGATATGTTTTAAGACGCGAAAAAGAAAAATCTCATGGCATTTTTTTCTGCTAATGAGTATAATATAATAAAATGATATTAATGAATACAACAATACAAACATAGCATGCAATACATTACAGTACACTACTGTAAAATTGTAGTTTATATGTGAAGCGTTTGTTCATTTGGTTCAGTGATTTACAGCTTAGAATATGTGTTTAATAAAAATAAGAATAGTGCCGTTTTATATTTTATAAAATAGTCTACTCTTAATATAGAATGCTAGGGGAGTTAAACTATCAGACTTTTCGGGGGCGTACGTATATGAGAGCATTTGATTAAAGTCAATGTAAAGCCAAAAGCAATTCTAAAGTATTAAAAAGTTAATATCTTTGTCATTTCTGGGTCTACCATCATAAAATTAAAAGTGACTGAAAGATAAAATCCACTTCTGTTAGAATATTTCAGCTGTAAGTCCATATGGAGCCGTTTTCTTGCTGCATCTGAGGAGGATGCTGCGATAACGGTTTTCTTTTCAGACCAAAATAAATTACAATACAGTGTGCATGGAGGGACACGTACATATCGACCAGACAAGTGTACTGAACCATGTCACCAGTATCTAATGATTCAATATTATATTGAATATAGTTGCATCCCTAGTAGACATGCTATTTTTTCCATTTAAAATGTCTTGACAAGTCTTGGGTGCTAAACATAGACTGTATAAAGAAGTGTATTAGAGGAATGTGATGTCACCCACCACGTTCAGCTCCAGTCAAATGAAGCTCACTGAGGCTGGGAGCCAAATTCCATATTAAGAATAGGAATTTACCGAAAAAATACCGAAATAAAAACACTAGGATCATGTAGAGTGGATTAATATGAACATTTGACCAAAATGAGGAGTCTGACAGCAGCAGTTACGGTAAAATTTTTTCAATAGAACGTGAATTAGAACCGAAGTCAAAGGAACTAGAAGCGAGCCAATAAATACAAACATTTCTTATTTTGAACACGACATCTAGCAAGTTAGCTATGCTATCATAATATTATGGTTATTGTTGCATGCTTAAAAAGATTTAAATAAATAGGTAAGGTTTTATAGTAAGATGACATGGACTTCTAGCCAGGCTGTCGCCACCTAGTGCATCTGCTCAATTTCATTTCTCTCCAGCAACTAGGTCAGGAATCAAAATATACTAGACGGTTCGCAAGGACCCTGGAAGTGTAAGTTCAGCCACCAGCCAGTCAGCGAAGAGTCATATATTCAGTGTTGTCAATGATTCCCGAGATCGAGGTTTGTAAAAAGCTGGAATAAAGAGAATGTTTGCTGAATTTCATCAAGGGGAAAGACCTTATCACCCTTCTTCCAATGGGATTTGGAAAAAGCTTAATATACCAGTTAGCCCCATTAGCGGCGCATTATGTACGTCACAACCAAAATAGCAGCGATTGGTTAAATGAAAAAAAGTACCTGTCTACGGTCAAGTGGAAGAATTCTAACACTGCAAGGTCAGACGGTTTCTCTGAAGTAAAACCAGCCGATGAATCAGGCTAGTGGACTTCACTATGAACTCAGGATGGACTCACCTTTAGCAGAAACTCAGGGTCTTGTTCTGAAATTTCTTTGCTGAGGTTAATGAGTTTAGTCCAGACCGAGTCCTCGCTGTTCCAGTCCTCCTGACCCGGAGACTTGGACTTATTCACCAACGAACAGCACACCAGGTTCAGCAGAAGGTACTGATGGGAAACAATAACAAATATATAAAGATATATAAGGACAAAACTCACTGTCAGAGCCCAAACTGATCTTGGAAGCTAAGCAGGGTTGGGCCTGGTTAGCACTTGGATGGGAGACCACTGGACATAACAGGTGCTGCTCATTGTGTCCTTAGGCAAGACATTTCACATATTTAGGCTGAACTCTTCTCTCAAATTGAAAACACTCTGTTCCACCTTGTGATGTCATGTGATAATAAACTCCATACACTTTCACTAGATTCATTTGGATAATTTCAGCCCTGGGATGGTCAACCTCTACTCAACAAAAGTCAGTGGGTAAGTGTTAACTTGAAAACTACCACTACATGACATCACAAGGTGGAATAGAGCATTTTGAGCTTTGGAGATGTAGACAGACTAATAAACCAGGTATACTCTTTATTTTTGATGAGATAACAAAATGGCTTAAAGATCACAAAAGTCAGGTTTGTGTAATATAGGACCTTTAACCCAGTGAGATTATAGTTTGATCAATAACAAAACAACAACAACAAATAATTAGATATTCCATCCATCCATCCATTTTCGTCCGCTTATCCGGGGCCGGGTCGCGGGGGCAGCAGCCTAAGCAGGGACTCCCAGACTTCCTTCACCCCAGACACGTCCTCCAGCTCCTCCGAGGCGTTCCCAGGCCAGCCGAGAGACATAGTCCCTCCAGCGTCTCCTGGGTCTTCCCCGGGGCCTCCTCCCGGTGGGACATGCCCGGAACACCTCCCGAGGGAGGCGCCCAGGAGGCATCCGAAACAGATGCCCGAGCCACCTCAACTGGCTCCTCTCGACGTGGAGGAGCAGCGGCTCTACTCCGAGCTCCTCCCGTGTGACTGAGCTCCTCACCCTATCTCTAAGGGAGCGCCCAGCCACCCTGCGGAGGAAACCCATTTCAAGCACTTGTATCCGCGATCTCGTCCTTTCGGTCACTACCCAGAGCTCATGACCATAGGTGAGAGTAGGAACGAAGACTGACCGGTAAATCGAGAGCTTCGCCTTTCGGCTCAGCTCCCTCTTCACCACAACGGTCCGATACAGCGAGCGCATCACTGCCGAAGCTGCACCAATCCGCCTGTCAATCTCACGTTCTGTCCTTCCCTCACTCGTGAACAAGACCCCGAGATACTTGAACTCCTCCACTTGAGGCAAAGACTCCCCACCCACCCGGAGAGGGCAAGCCACCTTTTTCTGGTCGAGAACCATGGCCTCAGACTTAGAAGAGCTGATCTTCATCCCAGCCGCTTCACACTCGGCTGCAAACCGCCCCAGTGCACATTGCAGGTCCTGGTTCGATGAAGCTAACAGGACAACATCATCCACAAACAGCAGAGATGAAATCCTGTGGTCCCCAAATCGGACCCCCTCCGGCCCCTGACTGCGACTAGAAATTCTGTCCATAAACACAATGAACAGAACCGGTGACAAAGGGCAGCCCTGGCGGAGTCCAACATGCACCGGGAACAGGTCTGACTTACTGCTGGCAATGCGAACACAGCTCCTGCTCCGGTCATACAGGGACCGGACAGCCCTTAGCAAAGGGCCCCCGAACCACCCCCCACAGGACACCACGAGGGACACGGTCGAATGCCTTCTCCAGATCCACAAAACACATGTGGACTGGTTGGGCAAACTCCCATGAACCCTCGAGCACCCTATGGAGAGTGTAGAGCTGGTCCAGTGTTCCACGGCCAGGACGAAAAACCACACTGCTCTTCCTGGATCTGAGGTTCGACTATCGGCCGGATTCTCCTCTCCAGTACCCTGGCATAGACCTTACCGGGAAGGCTGAGGAGTGTGATCCCCCTATAGTTGGAGCACACCCTCCGGTCCCCCTTCTTATACAGAGGAACCACCACCCCGGTTTGCCAGTCCAGAGGTACTGTCCCCGACCGCCACGCGATGTTGAAGAGGCGTGTCAGCCAAGACAGCCCCACAACATCCAGAGACTTAAGGTACTCAGGACGGATCTCATCCAACCCCGGAGCCTTGCCACCAAGGAGCTTTCCAACCACCTCAGTGACTTCAGCCTGGGTGATGGACGAGTCCGCCTCCGAGTCCCCAGCCTCGGCCTCCTCCTCGGAAGACGTGACGGTGGGACTGAGGAGATCCTCAAAGTATTCCTTCCACCGCCGGACAACGTCCCCAGTCGAGGTCAGCAGCTCTCCCCCCGCACTGTAAACAGTGTTGGCGAAGAACTTCTTCTCCCTCCTGAGGCGCCGGACGGTTTGCCAGAATCTCTTTGAGGCCGTCCGATAGTCCTTCTCCATGGCCTCCCCGAACTCCTCCCAGCTCCGAGTTTTTGCCTCCGCAACCGCACGGGCTGCAGCACGCTTGGCCCGCCGGTACCCGTCAGCTGCTTCAGAAGTCCCCCGAGCCAGCAAGGCCCGATAGGACTCCTTCTTCAGCTTGACGGCATCCCTTACTTCCGGTGTCCACCACCGGGTTCGGGGATTGCCGCCGCGACAGGCACCACAGACCTTACGCCCACAGCTCCGAGCAGCCGCATCGACAATAGAGGCCGAGAATGAAGCCCACTCGGACTCCATATCTGCAGCCTCCCCCGGAATCTGGGAGAAGTCCTCCCGGAGGTGCGAGTTGAAAGTCCCTCTGACAGAGGGCTCCGCCAGACGTTCCCAACAGACCCTCACTACACGCTTGGGCCTGCCAGGTCTTTCCGGCTTCCTCCTCCGCCTGCGAACCCAACTCACAACCAGGTGGTGATCAGTTGACAGCTCAGCCCCTCTCTTCACCCGAGTGTCCAAGACACGTGGCCGGAGATCAGATGACACGACTACAAAGTCGATCATCGACCTCCGGCCTAGGGTGTCCTGGTGCCATGTGCACTTATGGACACCCTTGTGCTCGAACATGGTGTTCGTTATGGACAAACCGTGACTAGCACAGAAGTCCAATAACAAAACACTGCTCGGGTTCAGATCAGGGAGGCCGTTCCTCCCAATCACCCCTCTCCAAGTGTCACTGTCGTTGCCCACGTGGGCGTTGAAGTCCCCCAGGAGAACAACGGAGTCCCCGGTCGGTGCACTGTCTAGTACCCCTCCCAAGGACTCCAAGAAGGCCGGGAACTCAGCACTGCTGTTCGGCCCGTAGGCCGACACCACAGTGAGAGACCTGTCCCCGACCCGAAGGCGCAGGGACGCGACCCTCTCGTTCACCGGGGTGAACTCCAACACACAGCAGCTGAGCTGTGGGGCAATGAGCAGGCCCACACCAGCCCGCCGCCGCTCCCCGCGGCCAACGCCAGAGAAATGGAGAGTCCAGCCCCTCTCAAGGAGTTGGGTTCCAGAGCCCAAACTGTGCGTGGAGGTGAGGCCGACTATATCTAGTCGGTAACGCTCAACCTCCCGCACAAGCTCAGGCTCCTTCCCCCCCAGCGAGGTGACATTCCATGTCCCCAGAGCTAGTCTCCATGTCTGGAGATCCGGTCGTCGAGGCCCCCGCCGTCGACTGCCGCCCAGATCTCCCTCCAGGAGCCATATGGGGCCGGTGCAGAGAGATAATTAGATATTATATATATAAAATGTATGTTATATAATTATGTATGGATTCTATCTCACCTTGTTGTCCTTGATCCTCTCCTCTCTGTCCTTCTCATCTCTCTTCAGCTCCTCAAACTCCTGTGTTATGACTTTACGCTCCTCTGGGGCCACTTCCTCTTCCTCCATATCAGGGGATTCAAAGATAGCCGACGTGCTCTCTTCTTCCTCCACAAACAGGGAGGACTCTTCTTCAGACATGTCCGCTTCATCCTCAGAGTAATGCTACAGAACAAAAGGAAAATATATGTACGTTATTTGTTTATTTATTTAGATACCTGTTGCCTGTATTCTGCATCACAGGATCTGTTAGTGTTCTCACTTTGCCTGGAATGTTCCACAGTATGGCATTAATACGTGGAGACACTCAGGTGAATCTACATGCCAAGTTACAAGTCAGATTTGTGAAGAGGTGAGCCCGTTCACAGTACGAATGTATATGGGCTTAATGCTGTACTGTGAAGCATTCTAGGTAAAGCTTTGCAGGTTTAGCATCTCTTTCCATGTAAAATGTTCCAAAGTTTGGGTTTTACTTTTTGTCTCCATTGAAACATACAGGTGGAGGGCGTGCCACAGTGATCTTTATGTTTGTGCTGCTTTAATAAAACCTTCAGACTTACCACAGTGGTGTCTTCCCCAGCACAGCACATGGGACTGGGTGTGTCTCTGCTCTGGGCCCCTCCATCTGTCTCCTTCACTGCACTATGTGCAAACCTGTTCAACAGAGAGCTCCCAGGCAGAGCCGTGGACACTACTGAGGGCTGAGGGGCTGATGTGAGAGGAGAGTCTGTGTTTAACAGCTTATTCTGGGTACAGAGAAGAGAGGAGGAGGACGGGAACGTTTGAGACAGGAGTTTAGAGGTGGTGGAGGAGAGGAGGGAGGGCTGGAGAGAGGGGCAGAGGAGAGACAGAGATGACAAAGTATTACTACTATTTGGGGGTTTGAGTAAAGTGGACGTTTGGGAGAGCAGCTTGTTTTCCAGATTTGGAGCGGTGCAGGTGTATGACAGACTCCGCCCATCTCCAGAAGCCCCCGTAGATAAACTCAAGGTCTTCATGTCTACAAAGAGAAATACACGAGTTAAGTGAAGGGCGTCTCAGAGATATTGCAAAAGCTGTACTAGTGCTGTCAAGTAAATTCAAAATAGTGATACCAAATTAAAAGTAATAGAATTTTTTTTCTTTTTTTATGATAACAAACCCTTAAATCTACCATCTGTAAGTGTATTTAATTTGTTCAGTAGATGGCAGATATGACACCTGTTCTCCTCACCTGGCCTTTGTTTAGACTCACCTGTGCTCTGCTCTTCTGTCAGGCTAAAACTGGAACACTATCAGACAGTAGTAACGCAGATGGCATCTAGTGGTGATATGTGAGAATGCTAAAGAGCTGGGTTGGCCAATCTTATTACAAATGGTAGCTTTAAATCCAAAAGCTTTTATTTACAAGTATTTGAAACATTTCTGAATTTTGAAACTATTGCAACAATAAAAAAAATGGGCTGGATGATATAACAAATGCATCCCAATTTCTATAAGGGCGCTAAATGACATTTGTACATCCTAGATTTGGATTTTCTCCATCTTGATCAAAAAATGTATCTAATTTAATTTACAGTATAGATTTTTAAATCTCTCCCTTCTTATACTGTGGAAACTTTCAATATCTTCCACCAGTCTGGGTCCCTACAGCTCCCAGTGTGCAAATGGTCTGTTGATTACATCAGCATTAATCAAAGTTTCTGCAAACACGCAAAACCCTTCCAACGCTATCTACAAGGGCCGAACGATTTGGGGAAAATGTCAAAACTTTCTGTCAGACGTGGTAATTACAATTAGCTTTAAAACATATGTATAAATAATAAAAAAATAAAATAAAAGATTCTGTTCAAAGTTCACATTTTAAACACTTCCAGAAGAATGGACAAAAAGACTGAAACATGAACAGACAAACTAATATAAGGATCTTTTCAACTGTCTAATTGCATCCATTAATTGGGTCAAATGTATTGCACTTCCCTACAGAGACAATAAAGTGTACCATAACTTAAAACTGCATTCAGTCCAATTGTGATTAATGTTGCATCTAAAAAAATGACTTTTATTCATCTACAAGGGGCATTAATTTAGTTAAGGACTTGAAGGATGAAATAGAAAAAAAAATCCTTAAAACTGCATGTTCTTTCTTTAGTCTTTAGTCCCACATGTAGTTTAGCAGCATTCTTTCAGCTGTTTGAACAAGGGGGATTGTACGTATACATATATATAGTACAGTGGGTGTGTGTGAGAGCCAAGGTCTATTCATTCAGATTAAGAAGAGCAAAGTCTAAAAAGAGATTAAAATAAAACCACTGTCTTAGGAAATAAAAGTAAGTAGAAGCTTGTTCAAAATGAGAGAGAGAACACATCATTTAAGAGGGTATGGAAATTTCAAATTGCCCAAAGTTCGAACTACCCGTAAAAGTTTCCATGTCTATATGTGGTGTAAAACTTAGTAACAGTCTGGATACACATATCAAGCAATGCCAAAATACTTGATACATACGTACAATCTTGATACATAGGCCACAATACGATATTACTGTATCAGCACAATATACCTATATTTTTTATATTTTTACACACCCCTATTATTATTATTATTAGAAGGGGGGTGGAATTAAATCAATAAATAATAATTTCTCTTCTTCCTACTCCTTTTTTTGTTGTTGCTTTGTTGTTGCTTTGTTGTTGCTGTTTTTGTTTTGTTCTGATGATATGACTGTAGTAATGTCAGAAAATTTTATGAATGAAAATAAATAAGTAGAATTACACAGAATACATTGACACAGCTGTCTGGAGAGTTAATGTTCAATAGGTTATCAGTAAATTACCATAAAATGTAACTGTATGATCATTCCAATGACAGTGGTAGTACAGACACTACTGGCTAGCTGGCTATAACAACTTTTTAGTCATTGATCGAGATATAAAACTTCCCTAACTGGATAGCTTTAGGTACATTGTAATTAAACATACATCTACAGATTTAAAGCAATATTATACTTTATCAAATGATTTAAGCTGTTTCCGTATTGACTAATGAGCACCCCCGTGACTGGCATAAAACTCACCACCAAGTACCGTAAATTTGAACATGTAAAACTAGCAGCGGTGGTAGAGTAAGATCAAGACTTCTCGCGGTTAGAGTTTTGTGGTAAAGATTTGGACTTCTTCTCGCTGGTTTCCCATACCTGGACGAGTCTGCGGCTGCGTTTCGCTTACAGGAAACCCACTCGCGTCGTGACAACTGCTGCACTGACACACGCCGCGGATTGGCCCAGTGAGTGTGTTGGTTTTCTACCGTAAAGACTATAGTAGAGGCGCATACATATCGAATATGATTTAGATTTAGACAAACTTTATTGATCTAAAAGGGAAATTATTTTGACAAAGTAGCTCACACATCACAATATAATATAATAACAAAGAGTAAAAAATATAAATGGTAATAATAAATTCTAAATAAGCAATAGCAAAAAGACAGAAAGGGAAGGGTGTGAATTAAATAACACATAATTATATAAATGTGTATGTACAAGTCAAAATAAAATAGAAAAATAAGTAATAAAATATAAAATCTCAGCTTTATACAAGACGTCATAGGAAGACAGTGCAACAATGATATGATGATTGACATAGACATAGGATTATTTGTTACGTAAGAGTGAGTTGTACAGTTGTAGGGAGTATTATTTGTGACATAAGGGTGAGTTGTTGTACAGTTGGAGGGAGTATTATCTGTTACATAAGGGTGAATTGTTGTACAGTTGTAGGGAGTGTTTTCTCTTCCATAAGGGTGGGTTGTTGTACAGTTGTAGGGAGTATTTTCTGTTACATAAGAGTAAGTTGTTTTACAGTTGCAGGGACTATTTTCTGTTACATAAGGGTAAGTTGTTTTACAGTTGTAGGGAGTATTGTCTGTTCCATAAATGTGAGTTGTTGTACAGTTGCAGGGAGTATTATCTGTCCCTCTATATTCTGGTGCAGTTTGTGAGTTGTTGTACAGTTGTGAAAAAAATTTATGCAAACTATTGTAATAATCTTGTAAGAAATAAAGAAATAAGCATGCAAGCAAATTATATTAAGGATGAATTAAAATAATATAGGTTATTTAATTATATGCGTTTTTTTCCACTCTACAAACATTTATATAATTTACTGTTATTACTTTTACTGTTAGTGTAATATAATGTGATGTGTGAGCTACTGTGTCCAAGTAATTTCTCCTGTGGATCAATAAAGTCTGTCTAAATGTAAGTCTAATAAAGCATAAAAGGGGAGTTTCCAGTTACATTTTTAGAGACATTTTATTGACCCAAAAAAAACTTGGATACAGACGCTTACACATCACAATATAATAACATAGAGGAAACATTAAATAAATTAAATAAATGCCAATACAATTAAAGCTAAATAAAGTAGCAAAAAGAAGGTAAAATAAAAATAAGGTACAATCATAAGGATGTGTATATAAATAGAATAAAATAAGAATTAACACAGTAATAAAGTTATGTATGAAATAATGGAGACAAAATGTACAGATTATTCTAGATTTATCCTTGGTCTTCAAACTTTAAATATTTACTTAACTACTATATTTTAGGGGGGTGAAATGAAAAAAAAAATAAAATAAAATAAATAAATGAAAAATAAATAAATGCACTACATGCAAGGTATACTATTTATTTTATTGTGCTTTGTTTTATTTTTATTATCCTGTTATTTTTATTGTATGTGTTATTTATTTATTCAGAGCGCACAAATTCTAAAATATTAGTTGCAATAACATTTTTATTTTTAATTTAAACTTTTGAGAGACGTTTTGTTACCGTAATGTTTGTAAAGCGAGTTCATAAGAGGAAGCGCTATGTTCTACTTCCGCTGCAGCAACCAGAAAAAGAAAGGAAAATGTGGACCGAAAGGACAAACTGAGGCCGATCCGGGAGAGTGGAACTGCGGGTTAAACTTATTCCACTGTTCGCCCGGTTACTAGGCTATTATTATTGTTAAATTTCACGCCGGACAAGCCAGATCCACCGTTAGCTTCGCGGCTGTAGTTGCCCCTTCCATCCGTTTTTGGGAAGCCCTCGGCCCGCTAGAGATGGGGACCAGAGCGAGTCGCCTCCAGGAAGACCCAGTCCTCCCCGCAGCCTTCGGGAAAGACGGCTCCAAGCGGGAATCGTACCGCCGACCCCGCTGCTCCAGACCCACCAGCCTCATGGTCGACTTCTCCGGGAGTTTCGAAGACACAGAAGCCAACCGGAGTCGATCGGAGGAGGGCAGCGACTCGGACTTGGGTCAACACGGGGCGAGCGCAGACGGCAGCCCCGCGGAGCTCCACAATCACAGCGGTAGCATTCCCTCCGGCCAGGCCTCCCCGTCCTCTCCGGCAGGGGATAGCGAGGGGAAGGCGGAGGAGGACGGTAACATAACCCCGGAGGCCCCAGTCGAAGCGGAACATCAGCCCGGTATAGAGGCACAGGCCGCACGCCGCACCGCACTTTCTCAGAGAGGCTCCCCGGGACAAGGCACTCGTCCGCCCGCAGTGTCGGCGCACGGTCCGCCCGGGTCAGGAGCGCACATCCCCGGCCAGTGTCAGAGGCTTGGATCGGGCTTTATCGAGTAAACAACCGCCATGGCAGTAAGTTAACACATATTAGGTTAATCTAAGATACATTACATCCAATCTGAAAGCTTGTGTTGGCTGTCAAATTTGATATTTTTAGCAATAATTAAGTAACAAGTTTTCAGACTGGCAGTCCTATGACACAGCAATGATGTAACGTTATGTACCTAAAACCAGTTACAGTTAGTATTGCATTTTAAGACAGGTTTAATTTTAACATGCATTGTATTCAGTTTAAAAGCCTGTTTTGGTTGTTAAATTTGATCTTTTTGGTAATAATTAAAAGTTATGAGACTAATTGTCCTTTTGACAGCTAATTGAGAAATTCTTTTTGTTTACTTGTTAATTGTTCTTTAGCTTGGCCTGCAGAACTTGTGAAATCATTAGGCTAGTTGGGCTATAGATTGATAATTTGCAATATACCATTCTATAGTTGTTATTCTGCATATTTATAAAGAGTTACAATCTCAATTTGAATGAGATTAGATTCCATGTTGGATGACACTTTTTGAGGACCTTTTCCATTTAATAGAGAACATGTTTTATTTAGAATAGTTGACCGTTATGACAACAGTGCTAGATTTCCATCATTTTGCTAATATCTTGAATATATTAGGATCTATTTTAGGTCAGACTGACTAACTGATCTGAACTTGCTGCCAAATTAGGCTCATAATTATTTAACATCTTTACAAAGGGAGTGATTGAATGGCAGTGGATATTCTTATCAGATAGCATTCTGAGAAACTGAGATATCTGGGTTACTTGGGAAATAGGCTAGTTTGGTCTACTCTAGACAATGTGGGCAATAAATTAATGTATTAATTACGCAAGTGTTCTTTTGAAGATACAAAATTTGAAGAATGTAGTAAGTTAGAAAGAATAGGGAGAAAGTATGTAATAAACATCCAGGTATCTTAAGTGATATTTTTATACTTTTATATTTTTGTGGACAGTTTAACATCATCGTCATTTCACATTTGTGAAATACGTAATATTGCACTGTACCTGATCGTAAAAACATCTAAACCAGTTAATTTGAAACTGTTTGCAGTGGGCCAAAGTTATTCCTCACTTTATTCCTCACCTTCAAGCATTCCAAGTATCCTAATTATTCACTGCAGTGAGTTTATAAGAGCTTTTCACACCAGACCAGAGTGGAGTTTTTCCATCACAGTAATGCTAACAACAATTTGCATGTTAACACACACTTCCTGTTTATTGGACAATAAAATAACACTTTATAATTAAATGCAGACAGCATCTATTTTGACTTCAAGAACTGCTTGTACAATACGCCTGTACTGGGGCAAAACTAATTTTGCTCAGATACATGAGGAAAATCAGGCCCTTTAAACCTCAACCAGTACATTTCAAATGGCAGAAGCGCTTTACATTTTCATTCTTGTTATATGAGATTATTTAACAAATAGTTAATAGTAGTTAAATCACCTTAAAATATATTTGTGTAGATATCTAATTGTACTGCACAATGACTGTGCTTTGGAAGTAAGAAACAGAAGTAAATGTTTCATGTTTTCAAAATCTCGATCATTAGTCAAATTAATTTGATTAATTGCCCAGCCCTAGTTGAACTAACATAATATTGTTATTAATAATGTAGTATTGTTAGTGGGATAAACATGGTGACAATAATGCCCTGCCCAGTTACTTTAACATGAGTTTAATCTGAGGAGGAGCAGTCGTCTGATGGAGCAGACAGCAGTGATGACACATGGTCTCACGTGTGTCTGTCTGATCCAGTGGAAAATACTTTTATAATAACAGAGCCTCCAGCATTTTGAATACCACTGATTATACATGCTGTGTATCATGGCTTCCTTCTAACACTTTACTTTCCTTTTGTAAATTTGCTTTTCCCCAGGCATCTCTAAACATTGAGTAATTTGTATTATTCATCATCATATAAAGTTAGTCTTTTAAATCCATTCACAAATCATTTTGGCCTAGTACCTGGCAGCCTTTCATTATAGAGTATAGATCTACAGAGCGGTGTACCTGGGTGGTCCACACTGGGTTTGCTTACAAGCACAAAAATCTGATTATTATTATCTGATGTCTAGACCTTTAGCATTATTTAAATGTTATGTTATGTTTGATGTGAGTAACCAGAGGAAACATTTTTAGAAAGAAAAGTGATTATTTTGCTTTTTACATGTAATTTTATTTGTCTTGTAACTCCAGCATTCATGTTACTGTTTAGGAGTTTGATTTTGAGAGTGACTAACTGAAAATGTTGGTTAATGCTAGCTTGTTGTAGCTTGTTATGGTTCCAACTAAGTATATTCTTTCTGTTCAGACTGTGTTGAAATGAAACACAGATTTATTCTAACCTGAGTAATGGAGCTTCTGACCGATTAGTGCTTTCAGTTAGCTTCACACCCCCAGGGACTGTCGATGACAGTAATTTACCAATTGGATAAATCAATGGATCAAATACTTTTTGCAGTTAATCTTAAATGTGTTAAACATGCCTGGGTGAAGGTTCAAATATTGCACAAGTCTGTCATGAAGGTTGTGAAATGAGTCACATTGACTTTGGGTTTTAGAAGTGGGCCTTGTATTGTCTGCAATAAGATCATTCTGATATCCAAATAATTTCCCTTGTTAATCAGTAAAGTTTGTCTATATATCCATCGACTAAATACAATGCCATTGATATACATGATAAAATATGCCTATAAGTGTGTGTTGGTTGAGATTATCAGGTGTAAATAGACAGTAAAATGACCCACATTATAATAGTTTGACCTTTAGGGCTGCCTGCAAGATTAATTATGGTCAAATTGAAAACGCAATTTGAATGGACGCAATTAGTAAATCACAAAAGGTGCCATTTCAAAACAAAACCCCCTGTCTTATTCTATAAAACTAAACAGCTAACCCTGTACCAACATGTTATGAAATGTTATTTCAATCATGTTCAGTTCTTCTCACTTCCTGGAAATCTAAAATAGGAAATAGGAGTAGATAGGAGTTAGGTCTTTTTTCCAATTTGTTTATGTGCCTCATTGACCATCAGTTTGGAAACCCTGCATTAAACACACACGGGATTAACCAAGTACTATGACTAAAGCACAGCCACTATGTTACTTCATCATTTTTGTTTTGTAATCGTGACTCATTTAGATTTAAAGAATTGATGAAGTGGGTGGTTGGTGTATAAGAAGCATAAATAAACATGCATAGATGTGAAACTTGCTTCAACAACATGAATATAGCACAATGTTACTGAGAACACATGCAGCACTGTGTGGTTTCTAGCAGTCTATTATTAGTATCCAAAAGAAGAGATGGTACAATATAAAAATGTAATGTTATAATTAGGACAGAAACTAAATTTTTAAAAAGTGCATGGCAAATCCAGACTGATATCTCTCTGTATTTTTACAACAGTCTGGTCCTGGCTCCCTTCGTTGTCTCAAACCAGGTCAAGCAAGATCGTCCAATCAGATTATTTTTCCAGTGATGCATGTGAAATGAAGGGGCTCATTGGTCACATATACTTTATAAATAAAATCACATTTAGCTAAACTCAGATTAAGAGTTTAGTTTAGTGTTTTTCAGTTCCCTGTGATATTTTTTTCCGATACAGTTGGACCATGCCTGTCCCTGATTGTCTAATCCATCTGTCAGTCTCGTCCTTCTGAAAACTCTGTGTACTCTGCATCCCAGGCAATAAACAATAGTAAATGAGCACAAAACTTTTCAAAAAATGGAATGTTCATTTTGGTGTCTGCTAATAATAATTTTAAAAAATGTCTGCGTTTACTGTAAGTCAGTTGAAAAACATGCATTTTTATTGTGAGAGGAGTTGACTCTCCACAGATCTAACATGGTGGTATCTGTCTCCGTGGAACGTTACAGGTGAAAACATCTGCAAGGAGACTAGCAGGTGCCAAGGTTACATAATGCATCTTTTGACCCGTGAAATTAAGCTCAGCATTATTTTTGTCCAAACCTTATTTAACGTAATAGAAGTTTCATATTGGGATGGTGCAATATAGGTATAATTCTGCCAATATCAAGATTTAAAAAATAACAGCAGCCTGCAAATTTATTTCAAAAGTGCACTGTGTAACTTTTCTGATGGAATATTGACATTAAACAGATCTACCTTAATTTTTTTTCAATTACAGGTGGTTTTATAGCTCAAAAATACCTAGAAAAACAGACATTCTGACAGAGAGCGGGGTCGGCTCACAGATCTGACCTGTAACTTGGTCTGGTTTGGTCTCCGTGAAGATGAAAAGGTTTAATACCATACTGTGAAACATTTCAGACAAAAGCAATAAGACCTCCATGGAGAAAAGCATATGACGGACCCGCCACCAGAAAAATTACACAGTGCACCTTTAGGTTATAGTAAAGTTTGCAAATTAATTTTCTTTTTTGTAAATAAAATGTATGGAATTGGGTCATAAAATTCTTTGTTGTGTTAACTAGGGATGTAACAATAATCAAAATATCGTACTGTCAAAGTTTTCACAATAATATTGTGGGTTGTCACAATATATCATATAATAATACAGTTCTTTGCTTAAATGCATTGTTTTATTGCAGTAACAGCTAAAAAATGGAGAAAACTACACAGACAGTGATCTTTTTGTCCATTTCAATGCAGAAAACATGAAAATAAGTTATAAAGAACCTTTCTATCTTCATTTTTTGAACAATGACACCAATATAGCCCCAAGTCAATACAATAATTGAACCTCATAGGTTTATTGTACTGTGAGATTTACATATTGTAACATATAGGGGTGTGCAAAAATATTTAAATATCGATGTGATGATACAGTACTGATATCGTGGTCTGCGTTATTGATATATCGAGTATATTTTACTAAATTATTTTGTTACAGTGCTACAGTTTTGTTGCTCCGTCGGAAGAAGGAAACATTTCTTAATGCAAGACATTTGACATTTTCACTTTTTTGATGATTAAAATGAGTGGGTTTCATATTAACTTTATGTAAGAAGTGGTTTTACAAAGATGACCATGAGTTAGGCTTTATTTTTTATTGAATCGTATCAAACTGAAAGCTCACTATATTGGGATATGTATCATATCATGGCCTATGTATTGAGATATGTACCGTATTGACAACTTCTTAATGATAACCAGTCCTAGTTGCATATTCCTAGTGTAAACAGACATGTGTTAAGTTATTCACTCTCCACTCTTGATAGTACCCGGCCATAGCCATATTTCACCCGGTTTTGAAGTTATAACAGCATGTTTGGGTATCTGGGGCATGTACATTCCTGAACAGATGATCTCCTCTCGTGCTCAGAGGCTGCTGACGAAAACTTTGAAACAGGGCCATTGTGTAAAGCAGGGGATGGCATAAAATGCGGAAGTCTGGTGTAACTTCACTGGAGTTTTTCTGTAGATTCAAAACCCAGAAGTGAGAGACGGTGGTTTGACATTAATAAAATAACAGGAAACATATAAACATTCACCTATTACCTTGTTCAAGATGATATTTGCAAAGCATACAATACAATATACAATACCTGGGAATATGTTTTATATAACGGCGCATAGCTTTCCAACCATAAAAGACAGAAAATTACTTTTCCTTGAAAAGCTGAGAATTGCGGCTTTCCAAGCATATTTCCATCATTATCCTATGTCACATGCTCGCTGCGTGATGACGTAGGGAAAACTAGTGTTTTTCACCCAAACACGTGCTCCATCCATTTTGATTGGCCCAAATTTTTCCAAAGAGCATAGTGAGTCAAAATGGTCAACTGCTCTGAGCGTCTATGTTCATAACAATTGAAAAAGCCGCTCTAAATGCAGTTATTTCTCAAATAAATGGCAAATTATACGTCTTGGTCTGCGTTATTGCACATCCCTTGCTATTTTTATTTGAAAGGTTTCAGCCCAAATGTACAAATCCAAATGTAATGAACACCATGGAAATGCAGGAATTGATGTTGCTCTGTGCACTGGACCTGACACGAGCTGTTTCTATGACTGACACCAAGAAAGTCATAAGGTCATTGCACTTTTTTTGTTTTGAGGCAATAGGGATATTTTTAGTTTGCTTACAGACTTGATATAGCTTGATATAACTTGATAGCTATCAATCAATCAATCAAACTTTATTTATAAAGCGCTTTTCATACAAAAATGTAACTGAGCTAAAGCCCCAAATTAAGAATTTCTGATGTCCAAAATGTTGTTTACAGTATACATGTTTGCTGTGTGTTTTGCATGAAAGAGTGTGAATTTTTATTTATTTATTTATTTTTATTTATTATTTATTTATTTATTTTATTTTATTTATTTTTTTCATTTTTTGTGCACCTTTAAACAGCACAATCATCTCACCTGTTGTGGTTTCAACAAAGTCAGTTCTTTCTGGTCAGACTGTGTAAAAATAAACTTCAGATTAAAGTGTAACTTGAGGAAGAGCTTCAGACAGAGCCGAGCCCGGCAAACCTGTTTTTTGTAAATGATTGATTGATGATTCCCTGCTTCATCAATACCAGCTTCCCTTTGACTGGAAACAAAATTGAGTTTCCCAGCAGACATGAGCAGATTTGACAGAGAGCAGGTCTGTTTGGACAGCACTATGCTCTGGCCACCGTTAGAACACTCCATAGATGGAGGAGAGAAACACTGGCCTAGATTTCTCTCCTCCTGTGCCGATCTGACCCACTTCCCCAGTGACGCTACAGGGCTTTCCCCAGAAAACCTCATCATGAGACGGGCAAGAGCCAAGGGAGACCGGGGGGCTGTCTCTGGAGCTTTCAGGGCATTGGACAAATTAGCATTTTATTATTTAGTTCTGCTGGGGCTATGTAGTTTATTATTAAAGAGGGAGTGTTACGCAAAATCGACCATGTTATAATGCTTTTCCCTCATCAAAAACCTGCCGGAAGAGGTTTTAGATGGCTTCCATGAATTTTTGCAATCTCTCCCAGGCCCTATTTGAACTCTCCTCACAGTTAGTTATAAGACTCTTTTGAAATGCTCTGCCCGTAAGACTACGTCACCCATGCTCCCACAGGACAGCTCTCCATAAATATAAAAACATGATACATGATATGGGGAGCAACTGGAGGGGAAACTCAGAGCGTCAAAACTGAAAGTGAAACTTATTAAACATGTTAATACATTGTTTTTAGCATAAATACCAGCTACCTCATAGATGTATAATACCCCCATTTTAAAATGATTTTGGGTATGTTAACACCAGGTCAAAATTGTGATATAACATGGAATTAAACACTAAATCAACTTTTCTGTTACTGAAGTGTATGGTGTGTACAATGGGCAGCACGGTGGCAAAGCAGTTAGTGCTATTGCTTCACAACAACCTGGGTTTGATTCTGGGGCGGTGCAGGGGTTTTCTGTGTTTTCTTCTCTGTGCCTGTGTAGGTTTCCTCTGGGTGCTCTGATTTCTCCTACCACTAAAAAACATTTACAACAGGATCTCCTATGGGGCCAGGACTCCCCTGAAAAAGAGATTCTTAATCTATCCTGGTTAAATATAGATCAATAAAATCAAAATAATAGCAAAATATAGTATTATCCACAGTTCCTAGTCCTTTTCAGCAGTTCTGTGTGTGCTGCCTCCAGTGGTCTCTGCAATTTCAAGTACTATGTGACATCACCCAGGACTGCCCCAATCATACTGTTCCTTTTACATCCAGATGTCTCCCTTTTAGTCCTTCATGTACTGCCCAGTTTAGCAGCTCTGTTTGAAATGTGGTTTTGGGCAGAGTTTAGTTGTTTAGTCCCACTTTAACTGGGACCAAACTCTGACCTCGGACTCTAGGCCCCAGACCCTAGGCCCAGGACTGTATTGTTAATGGTCCCCCTGTATCAGACACTCACCTCTCTCTGTGTCTGTCTGTCACAGGTATCCGCTGTCCGTTCTGCTCCAAACCATTTCCTGGAGGTCGAATCGAGGACCACCTGCTCAGCTGCCTCACCTCTCCCCCTCTGCCCTACAACAGTAAGTATAGTCATAAACATCTACACACAATAGAAGTTCAAGTAAATAAAGGTACACTATGCAAGGCTCCATCCGAATTGGGTTAAATGAGCTTTTGAAGCTCCTTTCCTCATCGAACTGGACAAGGACAATTCAAACTGATGAGTGAAGTTAGGAAGGAGTAAGGAAAGGAGACATTATGCTGATCCATCACAGCAGATATTAATTAAAATCTTCTGCATAAATAAGATTAATTTTCACAACACATGAAGCATGACTACTATAGAGCCACATCAGCCTGCTTGATATTATGTTTTTTGTACATTTTTTAGAAATCATATGTGTGCAGCTCTTTATTTAGCAGCAGTAATTTCACTCATGAATGGTCACTTTAGTTATTTTTGTGATGAAAAGGCTTAAATAGGCTTAAATAATTCTCATAATCTGGATCCGGATCTAACAAAAGCAGCGGTAGCTCCTTCTCCTCGCTGCTTGGTTCTTATAGTTGACCACATGCCGTAGCTCTTAAAGGTCCAGGCAAAGGAGAAGGAAGTACTAAAAGTATTTTTGCCATTTCGGATTGGGCCAAACTTTTGATGAGAGATTATTTAGCTGTTTACCTCTGTGGAAATGTCGTGACTTTGCCTGGAACATTCCACTATTTCCTTGTAAACTGTCAACAACCATATTACACATTACCAAAAACTGTTACTTAAAATATCAAAAACAGACAAACCTAACAGCTCAAAGGTACAGTGTGTAACTTTCTGGAGGTAGCACGTCACCTGCAGGATTCCATGGTAATGGAAAGTTAAAGCTTACTTTGGAACCTGCTTGCTGATGGATATGTTTTATGTCATACTCTGGAAGATTATCACCAAAGGAGCAACAGTTGTAGAGATGCAAGCCTGCTCACTGAATACGGACACATGTTTTTAAAAGTTCTTCAAAGAAAAAATACATACTGTTTTAGTTTATTTTTAGGCTAAATGTTACATACTGTGGCTTTAACTAGCCCTAATCTAAAGCATATTACATGAATGCTCTAACTTGGTGTTTGTGTGTGCGTAGCGGATGTGCTCAGTAAAGACAGCGGTGAGTGCTCCATCTGTTTGGAGGAGCTGGTCCAAGGGGAAACCATTGCCCGCCTCGCCTGCCTCTGCGTCTACCACAAGAGGTTAGTATTTTTTTTTTTTTGTACCATCTTATTTAATGTGTGCCTTTTATTTCATTATAGTTTGTATTGTACTATTGTTGTTCATTGTTTTATGTTGCACCATAGCACCAAAGCACTTTTCTGGTTTGTGAATTTTGCTCGACACTCGCCATAAACCCTTGTCTGAGTCTGACGCACACAATACATCGCACATATGATGCGTGTAGACCAGTGGTTCTTAAAGGGAGACATATTGCTGGGTTTCAGATGACATCACAGCATTCTATAGGCCTATACACAGATGGGGGTCAGCTAAAATGAATATTCTTCAACTGCAGATTTCTCTTGTAACCTAGCATGGTCTTGGGTCTAGTCAGTAATAGACATGCTCAGGTTCCATATTTGGAAATGTACCTTTCCTATATTTCATGGCAAAGTACAATGTCATTATAATAGGAAAAACTGGCTCTTGTCTCTCATCTGGAAGTATGACATCATCCTTTTGTAGAATCTGAAAAACACCAATTCTGAAAAATTGACTTTTCTGAGCTTTTAACAATGTTATAGTTGTTTCCTTTTCTCATTTACCCTCTCGAAGTTGTATTTGGAGTGATTCCTGCATGTTTGAGCAATCTTAAGCACAATAGGTCTTCTTTAAAGGTGCTGTTTGTTCACACATACTTTCTGTGTGGAGTCTGCAAGTTCTCCCTCTGTCTGAGTGGGTTCCCTCGGGCACTCTGGTTTCCCCGATCAACTCAGAACATGCACAACAGGTCAATCTGTCAGCTGAAGTAGTCCTGACCAAGACTAACTTGAGATCTGGAGATTGGTCCCACTGCTCCTGACAGGCTTAACCCAGAGAGGCTGAAGGATGGGTCAAATGCAGAGGACAGTTTATACAGGGATTCAAAGTAGTAGTACACTTGAACCTGAACTTTGATCACAGATGAAATGTCCAAACCTACATATTTGCCATCTCCATTCACACACACTCTGAGTATTTGCATATGAATGGCTGGTGTGCAACAGACAGACACCAACAAAAGAGAGGGGTTAATATGCAAATGAACTGCAGTGATAAGAAAAGAAAAGGTTTGTACTGGGGCTGAACAAAGCTGTGGGCCTGTGAAGCAAAATGAATGTAATGCAGTTGTTTTTAAATAATTCCTACATTTTACATTTTAGAGTTTGTGCACCTTTAAAGCAATAAATGAATATTACTATGTAACTTTTCAGTAGGGAGTCCATCACCTGCTTGTTTCTATGCAGATATCTTTGTACTGCTTGGAATGTTCCACAGTATGATGTTAAACAGCTCTATTTTACATTTATTCAATCACAGGTGGTTTTACAGCTCAAAAATACCTAGAAAAACTGGCTTTCTGACTGTGAGCAAGGTCCCCTCTTCAGAGATCTGACCTGTAATATTGTCTGGTTTGGTCTCCATGATGATAGAAAAGTTTAATGCCATACTGTGGACCATTCCAAACAAAGTAATCTCAAAAAACATCTCCATGGAGAAAAACATTTGACAGACCCAAGCTGTTTCTTGTGGGTGGAGCGTTGAACAGAATTGTACTGCTTAACTGTAAGGAGGGTTTGAATAGCGCCCAGGAGAGATTGCTAGATTACTCAAACATGCATGGATGACATCTAAAACATCTTCAGGCATGTTTCAAGATGAGGGAACAATATTATAACAAGGTAGAAAGCTCAAAAAAGTGGATTTTGCAGAATACCCCCTCTTGTACTGCTGTATTTTTTTATTCAAAACCGCAAAAAGAAAAACATATTTTTTCATGTGTAGTACTGTCGTAGTATTTTAAGAGCAATTAATCACTAAACCAGTGAATCATGGTTGCTGTTAAAGGTGCACTGTGTAACTTTCCGGGTAGAGGGTCCACCACCATCAAGATATTGTTGCTTTGCTTGGAACTTTTCACAATATGATATTAAACTTATCGGTTTCTATGGAGACCAAGCTCTGATCTATGGAGAGATGGGCATATGCTATATATTGGAATGCATCTTTTTCAAGGTATAGTTTTTTATTGTAAAAGCACCAATATTAAATCATCAAGTATAATGCCATACTGTGGTAAATTCCAGGGAAAGCAATCTCCCAAGCATATCTCCATGGATACAACGAGTGCACATTTAAAAGAAAAGGGAAATAGTGTGTGAGAAAGTGTATTTTAGAACAGTTATTTTCTGAGAGTGATGTTTATAATAATCCCAGTGTAATCCTCTCATGTCCGTAACAGTTCACTTCATTGTCTCATAGTAATTACAAGCGTCTGGTTTCACACTTTATGGAGCCCCGGGGCCCCACAGCACAGCTCCTCTTCTGTCCCCCATTAGTTCTGGGTGTTTGCGTTCATTAGCATTAACATTAGCACATGAGCTGGTCACATGTCTCCACGACCCTCTGACCTACACCCCATGTGATTCCCCCATTTGAATCTGAATCGAATTTGCGTCAAAATGAAATCTGAACAAATTTTGGTCACTATGCCATACATATATCTGGCATACATTCATGGACAGACTATTCATTTCTATTACGTCTCTTTCTAAAAATAAACATGAAACATCCTTTGCGAGCTCTATTTAACTTGAATGAATGGAGAACTAAGGCTATACCTGACGGATAACACTTTAAACCATTTTCAGAGAGTAAAGGCCGCCACACACTACTGGAGAATTTGCCCCATTTTGGCTGTGATTTCTTCTCCCTGAGTTTGAGGAGGCATGACCCAACTTCTTGTCTGCGTGTGTGATTTTGAAGCAGTTGCACTCCTCGTGTGTGTGTTGTCACTATCAGATCGTAACCAAACATCAGCAATGCTACGGCATCAGCAAACAAAACAAAGTGTCAGGGGCAGAGGAGTGACGGACACAGAGACGCAAGATACAAACTCACGATATTGCAAAAATAATGACTTTATTCCTCACCTCTCGTAAAGTGGAAAATTTAAAGTGCAGCATCTCGTCCATATTATCCATAGAATTTTTCCTCCGCAAATGACATCCAGTTCACAAAACAGTGCTATTAATCTAGTTTGAGGTGTTCTTTGTAAGTAAAAAGGTGAAAATAGTTTCTCATGTGCGTTTGTTTACATCCACACAGAGCATGTATCGAGGTGAAGCTGCAGATTAGCAATAGTGACTCTACTTCCTGTGGACTTTATCGCCAATCTTTTATGCATTAAAAATGATGTATCTGAAGTATTGCACCACATTTCATAAATAACACAGTTTTGACTTGTATCTAAACTAGAAGTGCAGTGCTCTGATCTTTTGAAAACTTAAGAATCTCAAAGCGAGTGGTTTTACTGAAGACAGGAAACAGCAGACGCGATCTAGCTCACAGCTTTATAACCTGTGGTCCGCAGACGTGTCTCACGGCAGTCTTTGCGATTGGAGATTTTAAGTCTCATAAGATTCTCCTCGTGTCTGTGGTGTGCGCTTTTTGTCACACATTTAAAAGTGGTTTAAGACCAAAAAATCCTGTAGTGTGTGGTGGCTTTGAGATAATAAAAATATACTCAAGTTAACAGCTGACATAATCAACGCAATGTGAATGACTCATATTGGGGAATGACGCTGTTAAGTATAATTTGAAATTTTAGTATCGCACTACATGTGACACGGCTCCTTCATTCTGCTTTCTTGTTTTCCAGCTGCATTGACTCCTGGGCCAAGGTGAAGCCATGCTGCCCGGAGCATCCCTTCGACTGACCTGTGTCACATGATCTGTCATGTGACCAACAACTCAGGTACCAACCAGGAAGTCACTGGCTGCGTCTGAATGTCCACAATATTCCCCACAGAGGGCATTAAATAGGGGTGAGTGCTGTTTGCAGTAGCTCAAAAAGCTGTCTGCGCAAAAATTTCCCACAGTGCACCTTGAAAAGTGGCATCCAGCGATGGTCACTAGATAAAGACCACTCAATATAGATCACCGTGCTTAGCAAGATGATGTGGCCATTGACAGTTTGTCTTCTTCCTCTCTTCTCCTCCCCAGCTGACTGATGTAAAGTGTGATAGAATTCTCGAGCCGCTGCTTAATTATCATGAGAACGACTGTGGAAAAATTTTATATCATGTTTGTGTCTGTGGCGTAACAACAAACAAAGATGACAAAAAAGCCAGTAGCAGCTGAAGTGTGTGTTTTCTTTCGGTCAACGTAAATATGCTTGTGTCCCTGTCCAATCAGACCCCTTCCTGACCCCAGATGTTGAGTGGACTTAAATAAAAGTGATTTAACATGTTTTCCATGTAAACCTCAATTCAGAATTATTATTTCCATGTAAAACTGAAGGTGAATATTTTAATTACAAACTAATTCAGAACAATTAATTCAAAATTCAAAAATGTGACCAATGAGTACTCTAGAGTCTGATCTATAGCACTATTTAAAATGATACATAAAAATACACTAAACATAACATTATTGGAGATGCAGTTAGGAGTTAGGAGACAGGGTGGACGTTCAGTTGTATGTTTAGTGATTGATTTTGTGTTCTAATACAAAACACCGCCACATCATAAAAAGTTATCAATGGTTCTGAACCTTCTTTTCTTCAGTGGCTGCAGTTATACTCACTAATTTATTATTATTATGAAGATTATTTATTATGGCATGTAATCGGCTAAATCTAATTCTTTCTGATCATGGTCCCTCTGAATACTCTCATCAGATTTTGCAATTTAATAGTTCATAAATAATGTTAAAGGTCCAGAAATCAGATTATAATCAGATTTTGGTGTGCATGTGAGCATAGCCATTTAGCCCTGGAGCCTTTTGTTCATACTTGGGGAAACCCTCTTGTTTATTTGTTTAGGAAAAATAGCCATGACTGTTGCACATAATTTATAGTTAATAATATAAATAATTTCACTGTTTCAACAGTTGTAGTTCTAGCAACTCCCTTGTTTTAATGTTTGTTTATTCTCAGGATAAAAATGGGCTAAATAAATCATATTGACATCTCAACACATTCCTTTTTTAGTGTCTGTCACATGACCTTTAATGACATAAGTGTTTCATGTGACTTTTCTTTGAGGTCTTCAAACATCCGTCAGTGTCATTTAAACACATGAGTTACAGCCTGAAAAGAGTAAAGGGTTCGTCATGTGCTCCTTCCCTTTAAAGGTTCTTTATGATGCAAAACGGACTCTTTAAGCTTTAAGACATGCTATAATCTTGTTACCTCATCAAAAACATACCTGGAGTTGTTTCAGCAACACGTTGAGTAATCGTTTCATGTGGATGCAAAACAACTTTCTCCAGCTAAACTCCTTCTAAAGTCTTTGGGCCACAGAAACAAAGAGACAGTGTCAGCAGTCACCCCCAGTCTCTCTCTCTGAAACCTTCAAATCAGGCAAGAAGTCTAGGGTAATAATGGACTCAAACTTGAACTTTAACAGCCACATCAAATCAATAACATCTGCAGTCTTTTACCATCTAAAAAAACATAGCAAAAATCAAAGGTATCCTGTCTAAAGCAGAGTTTGAGATCCCTGCGTTTGTCTCCAGTAGGTTAGACTACTGTAATGGCCTGCTCTCTGTACGAGCACATGCTTCCTGTGCTCAGTTCTCTGCGCTGCCCTGTGGCTAAGAGAATAGACTTTAAAGTGGCTCTGCTTGTGTACAAGTCTCTCCATGGCCAAGCACTAAAGTACAAAGTACATCTCTGACATGTTAGTGCCTTATCCTCTTGGGACCCAAAGAAAAAAAGTGGTTTGCAATATATATATTTTTTGATTTTCTGTCTATATGGAACACTATCTATATGGAATTTAGGTTTTGTTAATTTTATTTTAATTTTTTATTTCATAACTTGTCCTCTGTAATACACCCCGGGGACATTTTGTCATTTTTGTCATTTTAAATCCATGTAAAGTTAACAACCTAACAAAAACAACTTTTCTGATGACATTTCTGACAAGCTTCTTCAGTCATCGCAAAACCTTTTTAGACTTCAGTTTAATTTCTTACATTATTTTTATCATAGTGCAGCCACAAACTAACATTTTTTTTTATCCTGGACATAATAGTACTCTTATAATCCACCAGCCTCACTTAGTTAGATGAACCTATTGCGACACTCATGCACACAGCCAGCTGACTCACTTCTTTAAAACTGGTAACTAGATTGCTTTGTGGTGGACCTGGTACTTTCCTCCATCTATAGAGTATGAGGAACAGGGGAACATGGGTAACCCCACCTTGCTGGTTTAATATTTAATTAAGTGGGGAGTATGGGAAAAAATGTATTTAATTCCTTCACCAAACAGTAGGATATATTAAAAAATCCCCCAAACAGTGGTTCCATAGTTCCTCCCTATACAACTATTTAGTTACCTTTGTACATCTGAGCAGCACAGTCCATGCAGCGCTTTAAAAGCTCTGTTCAAACTTGTGATGTTATGAAGCGGTAGTTTTTAGGTTAACGGCTACCTTTTACCTTTAGTTCAGAAGAGACTGGCAATTCCAGGGCTGAAATCATCCAAATAATTCTAGTGAACACATGACATCACAAGGTGGAACAGAGTGCTTTCTGTTTCAGAGAAGAACTCAGTCTAAATATACAGGATTTTTGTGTTAAACATGTGTGACACAACTCCAGGTCTGTTTGTGAGGAGGAAACATTATAACATAGATCAGATAACAACGTAACATGGGCCTTTTAATGAAAAATAATTAGTCCACCTCAATTTTAACAAACCTTTCTTGTGATGTTTACTTTGTCTAAAATAGTTCTCTTCTCTTTTGCAGGAGACTACACTGAACACCATTTAAAACCCCAATAAAAAAACTTGATTGAACGAAAACAAGAGCTGTCCCTTTGAGCTGTACATTCAAGCGGACGCCAGCTTTTCAACTTCCAGACTTCAGTGACATCCCCCGGGAGGACGCAGCCCATTTCAAGCCAAAAAGGAAAATGATTTAACTTCTCATTTTGTGTCGGAATGTCATCGGAGCCTTGACCGTTATTTCCGAGTTCACGAAAATGGCTTGAACGCGCCGAACGTCGTTGGGGGGGGAAAAAAATGACAAATTTATAAGTAAACAAGAAGAACCTTTACATTTTGGTGAAATCTTGAACTTCAGATGGAGATGTTACTGTGAGGACGGACGTTTTACCCTGTGTATTTTTCTCTCTCGAAGAACAGGACTTGCTTGGTCATTCTAGTACAGTATTTTTACGAAAGTATTGCAAATACGTCATGCTTCGGGTGTTGGCTAGCTTTTCTGTCGGCGAAATCCCCCCAAAATCAAATTGTAGAGCTGCGCAATATAAAATAACAATATATAGTAACAAATGAAAAGGTATTTAAACTTGAAAATGCAATCTTTGATAACTTATCAAGAGGTGTTGTTGCCTTGTTTCTATGGATATGTCATTACTCTGCCTGGAATGTTCCACAGTATGACATTAAACAGCGCTACTTGACAGTTGTCAATTACAAGTGGTGTTATAGTTCAAAATTACCCAGAAAAACAGGCATTTTGACTGTGAGCGACATCGCCTCTCCACAGATCTGCCCTGTAACTTTGTCTGATTTGATCTCCACGAAGAAAGGTTTAATGCCATACTGTGAAACATTCCAGACAAAGCAATAAAATCTCCATGGAGGAAAGTAAAGTTACACAATGCATCTTTGATACACATCGAGTTAAATTGAAAAAAATTTGAAACTTATTGTGACTAAAACTGCGCTTTTTGAAGATTCTCGCAGTTTTCTTTTACACTATTACGATTTGAAATTCTTCCCACAAATGTTTGGAAAAATTCTAATACCAAGAGTTAAAACGTTAATGTAGACTATAGATCATCTAAACCAAAAATATTCTTTAAAAACTGGCATAAAATGTACCAAATGTTGCTTCTTTGATTGAATTTCAGAATTTCAGTCTAGAATGATCTCTGTAATTTTTATACAAAGGGATGTCAGTCTGGTCACTTGGTCCAATCAGATTTGCTTATTTCAGTGACACATGTAAGGTCTGCTACTTGCTTGTCTCCATGGAGATGTTGTTCGTTTGCATGAAATGTTTCACAGTATGGCATTAAACTTATCTGCCTTGCATGTATTCAATTGCAAGTGTTTTATAGCTCGAAAATACTTTGAAAAACATGAATACTGACAATGTGAAGGCTTGACTTGTCTCCAACGTGATCACCTACTTTATTCCCATACTTTCAAAGCAAAGCAATTACATCTCCATGGAAACGAGCAGAAAAGTTGCACAGTGCACCTTTAGTGCTTCACTCATTGATTCTGCAGAAATTTGGCTTTTTTTTTCAGTCCTTGGTGATATTTTTTCCTTTTCTTTCCTCCAATCTAAGCAGCCATATTTGTTTTGACACAGATGAAGCTTGCTTGTCCGTGATTGGTTAATCCACCTGTCAATCACGCCCATCTGAAAAAGTATGAGAGAAGTGTTATTTTTTGATAACATATAGCTGCATTATTGGACATTGACCATTAGTTTACCTTTAATCTCTTGGTGTTTCCATTTTCAAACGTTTATGGCGAAGTTAATTAAAGAATCTTACTTCAAGAACAAGTAATTCGTAGCTTTAAATATGTTGTATTAATTAATTTTCATGCTAATCTCGTGTTATATCGTGCAGCTCTACAAAACTTCTAACCGCCAACTCCAAAATACCGCTCCAAAAAAATACAAGGTGTCTTCTTTTCCATCGTAGTTTGTGCTGTAAACATTTCACGGGAAAGGGGGGATTTCAAGGTTTTTCTTTTCTCTCTTGGACTTTTATTTTGAAGAGGTCAGTTGTGGCGGATAGGTTAGCGCTGATTTAAACGTGCTGCTATTTTGAAAGGAGACAGGAAGTGGCCGGACTAACGGTTTTCCATAGGGCCATAGGAGGGCTGGTCTTGGCACAACTCTTGAGCACTTTTGTCCCTTTTTTTTGGTTTAATTTCTTTATTTCATTATAAATCTGGGATATTATCGAGTGGGTGAGTGAACTGACAACTAAGGACTTAATGCCTGTCTTTGGATTTGTAGAATATTCAGAGTGAAAGTGTGTGTGCGTGTTTATTGTAAAAAATCGCCCCAAATTCTGCAAAGTTTCGAAGGTTTTTTCAGAAATAATGTAGTTTTTATAATACATTTTGCCGTGACATGCTTTCTGTCGCGTTATAAGATACAAAACATTAAGGACGTTGCTTTAATTTGGTTTTCAGAGTGGTACGTTTTGGATTGGGACAGTGGCAAAGAGGGTTGGACAACTTGAGGAAAGCTTTGATCGTGATTTTTGTGGATGAATATTGTGATTCGATGTTCGTTTTCAGTTCAAAATGAATTGATAATCGAGGAATATTCAAATTTGAAATAGACTAAACTAATACAAGAATTTTCATAGACCTGTAAACTGATTTGGTCGTCTTGTAACCAAAGGGCAGCTGGTTCAAATCCCACAATCTCTAGATAAATTAACTAAAGATAAATAAATTCCATGTTGCAAATATATGAAAAAAATATGAGAAAATTGACCCAAATTCTGCAAAGTTGATCAGTTTTTTTCAGAAATAATAACCTTTTTTATGATGAATTTTTCTGTTACTATCTATCGTATCTGTATTTTTGGTATGGGAAAATATGGACTGTTGCCATAATGACTAACACTGAATGGTCAAAAGGTCCTCAAAATGGCGGCTATAACAGGAAACTGAAGCCCACAAATAGCCTGACAGAGTGGGCCTTGTGTAAATACGCTCAAAATTATTCAACCCTTATTTAGACGCGCTGTCCCCACCCATATCATACCATTCTTTTGAGATCATTTTTTGAAGTTATATAAGAGATTTCAACCCAATTTTCAAATTAATTTCACATTTTTCTGACAAATAAGACAATATATTAGTGATATCTTACAATTTTGGGGCATGTTTACTTGGCGTGTGTCTGCTATCTCCCTTTTACCGGAGATTATTGACAGGAAGTGGAGAATTTGAGCCCTTTTCTAGGATTTTAAAAATATTAATACTATAGTTTTTTTTTTTTTTTTTTTTTTCCATTATAAGCATTGCTGTTGCTGTTTGTTGGCTTTCTTTTGCCTTTGTGTGCTGGTTGCCTTGGAGACAGTGGGGTTGTGTGTTACAGGAAAGTATTGTTCGTATGGATAATCTTAAAGGTGCATTGTGTAGCATTGTGGCGCCATCTGGTGGGGAAACTTGAGATTGAAAGTCTGATTTTGAGCAAGTACGGTGGCTTGAAGAGGACATAATGATTAGAAAAAATATCAGGTGAATTTAGGATTGTTGAGACTTCATCTGGCAATGTTTTTGTGAAATTTATCGTGAATTAATAAATAAATAATTAATAAAAACATGCTTTAGGTTGGGTAGGCTAGGTTCATGTGAAAATCTATAGTTTAAACTGATAAAATTTTAATGTAATTTATTATTGTTAAGAACCAAATCGGCAACTTCTACTGACACAAATTGTCTAAATGTGAAATGATTTAACTATGTTGGTAAAAAAAAAAAACAATCTGTCATAAAAGTGTGATTAAAACAGATGACAAGAAAGCAAAATGTTAGTAGTGAGTTTAGGAACCCACTTTGTAACAAAAAATGTGTAAAAAAAAATGAATGAATTGTCAATATTTATTCAAAGTTTTATTGGTTCATCTCTTAAATTCTTGAATATGAAATGTAATAATTTAATTCTATCTATAATGTGAACCCAACCTATGACTTAAACTCTCTTTCTACACCAATAGATAAAAAATAAGAACAAAAAGCTAATTTATTATAGAAATTTCAATATTAACCGCTGCAATTATTACCGATTTGGCGTCTTTTTAATTTAACTTATTTAACTCATCTTCACGAATTTCAATTGTCAAGCCAGATATGGGAATTTGAATCTAAATTTTACCCTATTTTGGTTTCTGGCCCAACAGTTAGGAACCTTGTAGTCACCATGGAGATCGCATAACCAAATAATTTTACGCAGTGCACCTTTAAAATGGCCATACGGATGTTGCCTCAAACTGGTAGAAGACAGAACCGTGGATTTATAGATTTTTGAGCTGGCTTTGATCGCATTCTCCCTCAATTTTGTTGCGAGGAGGGAGTTTCACAGTGGACTATACAGTGAAATACAATATAACTAATGCCAAATTTTTTTAGTGTGGGCATTTTGAGAGGAAGAAGAAGACGTAGCGAAATGCATCGGTCATCATTGTTCAATAATTGTGGTGAATTTTGATGTTGTAATTTTTGGCGTGGAGGGTGGGCGGGTTGGTTGGTTTACCTGTTTTTATATTTTGTAATTTGAATTGAGGAGGGCGGGGTCAGCAATGTGGTTAAGAAATTGTAAAGAAATGGACAATCTTAAAGGGCTGCTAACACAAGAATTGCTAAAATGTAAAGTTTTCATTATTACAGACAGTTTAGAATATATATAGGCGACTTTGAGTAAACCTCTGGTGTTTTGGCCTCATCTCGCAATGGGGAAGAATCATAGAAACAGTTTTGGCTGCATTTTAATCTCAGTATTCTACCTTCTACCTAAAGCAGTTGTCTGGAATTAGTGGTTTTCAGACTATTCAAATAGAAAATGTCTTGTTTTCATGGTCACTTTGTGTTATTAATAATGTGGGTAATCCGATACTAACCAGGTCTAAATGTAGATTTAAAAAGGACTCATTCGAAATTTGACAAAGATTTAAACAGAACTAAACCAGGACTAATTCAGGATTTAACCAGGTCTAGCAGAGGACTCATTCAGGATTTAACTAGGTCCAAACCAGGATTACTTCAGGATTTAATCAAGTCTAAACCAGGACTAATTCAGCATTTAGTCAAGTCTAAACCAGGACTAATTCAGGATTTAATCAGGTTTAAACCAGGACTAATTCAGGTTTTAATCGGGTCTAAACCAGGACTATTTAAGGATTTAATCAAGTCTAAACCTGGACTAATTCATGATTTAATCAGGTCTAAACCAGGACTAATTCAGAATTTAAAGCAGGTTTAAACTAGGATTTAAAACAGGTTTAAACCAGGACTAATCCAGGATTTAATCAGGTCTAAACCAGGACTAATTCAGGATTTAATCAGGTTTAAACTAGGACTTAAAACAGGCTTAAAGCAGGACTAATCCAGGATGTAATCAGGTCTAAACCAGGACTAATTCAGGATTTAAACCAGGCTTAAACCAGGACTAATTCAGGATTTAACCAGGTCTAAACCAGGTCTAAACTAGGACTATTTCAGGATTTAATCAGGTCTAAACCAGGTCTTAACCATGTCTTAGCTAGGACTGAACTAGATCTAAACCAGGTCTTACCAGGACTAATTCATAATTTAACCTGGTCTAAACCAAATCTTAACCAAGATTTAACTATGTCTAAAACAGGTCTAACCAGGACTAATTCAGGGTTTAACCGGGTCTTAAATAGGTCGAAACCCAGACTAATTTGGGATGTAAACAGGTCTAAAACAGGACTAATTCAGAATTTAACCAGGTCTAAACCAGGTCTAAACCAGATCAGACATGTCCATGACTAAACCCCGGACTAGTGCAAAATTTAACCAAGTCTAACCCTTGAATTTAAAACTGAAAAGTGTGTGCAAGTACGACAGTCACTGCAGATTTGAGGAATTTGAAAACCACTGTGTTGAAATACGCTTTTCAAAATCATTGCACATTCAAGAACTGTTTATCTCGACACTCTCAACAGTTTCAATACAAAGGTAACGGGGTGACGCAAGGTAGAATTAATAAAATGCTAATAATTGTATAAGCAGTATTAATAACACATAAATGCAACCAAAATGAAAATGAAATATAGAAATTCACTTAAGGAAAAACTGCGACATTGAAATGCATTCTTGTGTAAACAGCCTTAAAATCGCACATTTTTCCTTATTTCTTTGACCCTTTCTTTCTATAATGGCATAATAATGAGTGTAATGAGCATGATACTTTTGACTCAACACTGTGATGCCAAAAGGAAAAATTATCGATCACATTCTAAAGCCCAAGACTTCTCTTTGATTCCAAATCCTCTGAATCTCCTTTTCTCTTGATGTCCTTGTAAGACACTGCAAGAACAACACGCAGCTCTTCCCACTCCACCTCCGAGAAACAACGTCCTGTCAGACTGTCTCTGTTCAGACCGTCTCTGTTCAGACCCTGTTCAGACCGTCTCTGTTCAGACCGTCTCTGTTCAGACCCTGAGGGTACCCACTGAACCTGTCCAGGTCATTGGAATAGTTGTGAACAAACATGAACAACTGGAGGAAACTGCTCGCCTGTTTCCTCTGGATAGTGTCACTGAATGGTGAGCTGTGTTTGTTTCCACGACAATCTCTCATGCATATTTCATAAATTCTGCTCAGGTTTTGGGCTCAGGTGGTGGAGAGCAACAAAAGACCATAAGGTTCAGAGCGCTCAAGGCATATGCAAAAGAAGACATATTGTGCTTGTTTCAGATGTATAGTTATAATCCATGACACCCGTGGCTCATTATGTTATAATATGGACATTTTAAATCACTGATGAAGAAAATTGAACAGTTTAAATATATATTTTTCACAGATTTTGAGCAAGTATTTATTAGTAAAACTGTTTATATTCCAAGATTAAATTTGATCAAACAAATCTCAAAAATAGGATTTGACCAAAGTACGATCAGTTACTAAAGCAATTTCAGGTTATGGCAAGAATCACACCACGTTGTTTTGTATTAGAGAAAGCAAGCAGCAGATGCCACCAGGCCACATCTGTAGAGACTAGAGAGTTGAGCCCACTCACAGTAAAAATGTATTTTTTGTAGCAAAAATGCATATAAATTAATCAATGCAAGATAGAGAAATTTTAATGGCATACTGTGGAATATTCCAGGCAAAAGCAATAATCAGAATCAGCATAAAACAAAACATAATAACATAACAATGTATAACATGACAATAACATCTCTGAGAGACTTGGTGACCTCTACCAGGTTGCATAGTGCACTTTTAATATATTTTTTCAAGGAAGAGTAAGAAAGTTGATGCTTTCACTTTAACCTCCATACAATAGGGCTACATGGAGATAATTGAACTTCTTCCTCTCAAACTGTGAAAATATAGAGAAAAATATACATAAAATAAACATAAACATGTATACATCACAGCAACATGTATTTGGAAAAAAACTAATGAGCATAACATAAACAGAGCAACTTTGGTTCTTGAAAGCAGTGATTTTAATGAATCAATTATCAAATAATCTACCAGCTCACATTTAATGTTGATGAAGGGATGGTAAAGATATGAAGATGAGATTTAGTTTTACTCAGCACAGTGTCAGGGTCTTCTGTCCAAAAAGAACCATTTTGTTTGTTGGTGTTTTCCCACCTCACCAGTTATTTTTCTTTCCCGACAATGCAATGTTATATGAATATGAAAAAAATATAATACACAGAATTCTACCTATATAACTGTACGAAGAGAGTCCTTCAAAATAAGGTGCTCAAATTGAATCTCAGTTTATCTGAGTTTAGGGAAATAGGCTGTGTGATCTAAGAGGTCCAGTCCGACTCCAACATACAGAGGCTGAGTGAAGGTGGTCTGGACTCTGTGGATGAGGCTCATGGTTTGGTCCTCAATGTTGTAAAATGCTAAAACCCCTGCACTGTGGTCCAGGTAAACCCCAATTCTTTTTGATACTGAGCATGATATTTTTGATTTAACACTGTGATGCCAAAAGGAACATTTATATGTATAACATTTTAAAGCCCAAGAATTCTTGTTGTATCCAAATTTACAATCCTCTGAATCTCCTTTTCTCTTGATGTCCTGGTAAGACACTGCAAGAACAATACATGTCTCTTTCCACTTCACCTCCCAGTAACAGCGGCCTGTCAGACCGTCTCTGCTCAGGACCTGATTGTACTCACTGAACCTGTCCAGATGATCGGGATAGATGTTAGGAAGCTTATAGTTCGTAGTCATATGCATTATTTTCCTGTTTCCTTTGTGTAGTGTCATCATATTATTAACCGTGTTTGGGTCCAGGACAATCTCTCGTGCATAGTTCATAAACTCTGCTCTGGTTTTGGGCTCAGGTTGTGGAGGTCCTAGTTGAGGTCTGGTTGATAGTTGGCCTTGTGTAAAACCCTGTGAGATGTTCTGTAGTCCCTCTGTCAGAGTCGACTGGAGCAGGTCTGTGAGGGCGGTCACCGCTGATTTGGCCTGCTCAAAGTACCCCAGGGGCAGTGAGTATGTCCTGGGTGTGTGGGCAGAGGGAGGGAGGTGTCTCTGAAGCGTCTCTGGAGCCGCCTCAAAGAGAGTGTTCTTCAGCTCTGTTACCTCCAGCCCCAGTTGGTCATGGATCTGTTTCATTTTGGCCTCTTCTTTCTCCTGCAGAGTCCTGATATTTTGGGACACGTCACAGTGAACAGACTCCAGCACACGCACAAACGAACTGAAGCGCTCCTCACTGTGTTTAATTGTCTCGTCAGCAAGACGCCTCAGGGACAGCGCCTCCTGCTGGAGCCTCTGCTGCTCTGCCTCTTTGACCTGAATGCTGTGCAGGATCTGCTGCCTCCAAGTCTCCGGGTCCATTGTGTTGTACTGGAATTCAGTCCTCATCTGCTCCACTAACTCTGCCATCATGGTGTTTACATGGAGCACAGGTCTGGGGCTGTGCACCTGTCTACACTGAGGGCAGGTGCTCTGCACCTGTCGGTCCCAGTGGCTCTGAATACAGACTCTACAGTAGTTATGTCCACATGGAAGAGTGACCGGCTCCTTCAGCAGATCCAAACATATGGCACAGAAAAAGGCCTGTCTGTTGAGCTGAACAGCACCCTGCTCCATTTCTGCTTCAGATGAAAAAGTAAATGATGTTTCAGTTTTACAGAAAGAGAAGTGAGACCTGTGTGGGCAGAGTTGAGGAGGAGCAGGATCCGCCCTTTGGATTTGTGCCCAACAGAACTAGCAGAGACAATGAGTCAGAACAGACAGACACTGCATTTTTAGTGGTAGGCAAAACACTTGAAAAACACTGAAAACCAAATCACACATTATATATACAGTAGCAGTCAAAAGTTTTGTTTTAGTTCAGTTCTGTATTAATAAATATTGTCCAATAAAATGCTGCGGCGTCATCTGAAACCAAGCAAACATATCTATGATTGTAGAGCACATGAGAAATTTTCCGGAAATTACAGCTCTTAAAATAAAACTCCAAACTGCTCTCGCAAAAACTTGAATACAGTTTTTCTAATGCACCTGTGGTAGGATTCCCATATTGATTGACCCATGTACACACTGTACCAAAAGCTAAGTCGTGATCTATGGACATCCAGTCATTTTAATTGTTGAAAATGTACATCTATAATTTTATTGTGAATGTTCAAACCGGAAGTACTGCTCCATGATTTCATTTGACGAGACACCTGGTTGCTAAGGCCCCCTAGCAACAGTGTCACATGTAAATGCTATTGTTTACATATTTTTATTGTCTTAAAACATCCAAATAAGCATGTCAAATCCAAAAGTAACAAAGACCAATCCACTGGGCACGTCTAAAAAACCCAGAGAGAGAGTTAAACCGCTAAAGGTAAGAGAAACAACCGGAGAAAGCGAGTTAAAGTTACCGTGCAGTGTCCGTGGGAACCGCACGGCGAGCTGCTCACGGTGTCCGCCAGAGAGCTCAGAGGCGGCCTCAGCGGGACCTAAAGCCGCTCCAAACTCCCAGAGGAGAACCAGAGCCGCCTCCACACCTCCTAAACCCGTCACCCAGCGCTGTGATGCAAAAACTGGGAACAAAAAGCCGAGAATTCCCGATAAACAAACCGCTGAAACGAAATGCAGCCAGCAGAGGGCGCAAGATCAGGGTCAACTCTCATCTACGAGGCACAGGTGAGAAGTCCAGGTTTATTTTTATTATTTAATTAACTGTAATTTTCTATTTCTGTCTTATTTTAAGCAAAACAATCATATCCCATGGAATAAAGAAATTATTTTAAGTAAGTGAAATCTCAAAGAAAATAAACAAAAATGGATTTAAGCAACACAAAGAAAACAAAAGTTGAGCTCTCATTAACAGACTGTGTTAGTTAAATTTGTGATGGACTTGTTTAGCAGTAAAGACTTACATTTAGATTTAGACTTAAACTTTATTGATCCACAAGGGAAATTATTTAGACACAGGTTTCACACATCACAATATAATATAAAATAACAAAGAGATAAAATATAAATGGTAAATGATAAATTCTAAATAAGCAGCAAAAAAGAGCAAGAGACAGGTCTCAGATAAGGTGAAATTATATAAATGTAAATGTACAAGTCAAAATAAAATACAAAAATTGGAAGACAGTGCAACAACGATATGATGACTGACCAGACATAGGGTGAGTGAGTTGTTGTCAGTGGCGGGGTTAGCAGTTTTGGGGCCCTAGGCGAACTTGAGTTTGTGGCCCTCATTATAATGCACAGTTTTTAAGTTTTGTTTTGTTTTTTTAATATATTTATTGTCTGTTTTTTCCCCATTGTTCTTGAGACACGCACATCTCTATTTATTTGAATTATGATGGATTGGAAACTTGTCTTATTAGTTTGATCATCTACTAGATAACCAGAACTGAAAGTAGTTTTATTTTTTTGCTAGTACAATTACATGTTTGTTTTCATCCATTAAATTATGATGATTATGATTATTTTTCTTATGATTATTGTTTAAAAGTAAACTACTCTCTTTTAATGCCATATTGAGAGAAAATCAAATCACTCTGAGGCCTTGGACAGTAGTGGCACTGAGGGCAATTGGTTGGGGGCCCCTCCAGGTTTGGGGGCCCGAGGCAGCTGCTTACTTTTGCCTAATGGTAGCGCAGCCTGTGGTTGTTGTACAGTAGTAGGGAGTATTATCTGTTACATAA